GTGGCAAGGCAATCCGGCGTGTTTCTTTCTGGCGGTAGGATGGATTGCAGATGGCAACGCCACAAGGTCGCCATGGGCGGCCGATGCCATGACGTGCTGGTGGGTTCTGATTCGACGATGGCGGTGCGGGCACAGCTAAGTGAAGAGGTGAAGGTGAGGGAGGTGGGGGAGGTCACCCTGTGGCCCGTGTGCACCATGGCAGTTGTGGGCAGACACGACCAACAATCACCCAGGCCTAAGGTTGGTCACTGATTCAGGAATAGGTGCCCAAAGTACCGGGAACCGCGGGATGGTTTCGAACAAAGTTGGAGCCCGGTTGAAATTGGGTGCCCACTCTTGAAGATTGTGCCCGCAGCCCGGCCCAGTCCAGCCCGGCCCACGCCCACAATGGAGCGATGATGATGATGTCTGGCTGTGACTATTACTTAGCGTTGGCTTGGTAGCGAGTGGTGTGCAATCAGATCGATCACGGTGACGAGGCAGCAAGTTGCGTGTCTTTGGGGGGAGGGGTTTGTTGGGGGAGGGGGGTTAGACCATGGTGAGAAAGATTGATTTGAACCATCTCGGTGTACTGTGGGCAAATATACATACATGTATATATAAATATACATGCGCGGTATGGCAGACTACCTACATCGGTGTCTACTTCGCTGTGTAATAGTAGATAGTCTAGGTAGGTAGTATCTAAGGGTATATCGTTCAATCGCCCCCCGTCATCCCCCCTCCCCCCAGCATCGGGAGGGAGCAGGCCCATGTTGGCGCCCTGGTCGAGGTCAAGCAGGGCGGCTGACGGCTGGCGGCGGGCGGGTGGTCCCCTGAGGGGGTGACGGTTCGAACCAGACATTCGGATCGCTGGTGCATCTATCATCCTTGGAGCTGTTGCAAAATAAGCATCTGACGAAGATGGACCAGCGTGTGACAAGAGTCAAGGACATGGGAAAGTCTGTGTGCCTCTGAAGGGTCCAGAGAGGATCAGATCGCCTGCTACCTAGCCACCTAGACTACGTACATGATTCTACAGGAGCTTGGACTCTATGTTCAGCGTGCACGGCCGGATGGTCGTGTGAGCAGAGACAGCTAACGGCAGGACTGCCAGGCTCAACTGCCAGACCCGGGACCGGGACTCTCGAAACTTGTCCTGGGCACACCGAGTTGAGACGGGGTAGCCTGCGAGGTCCATGCTCTGCTACCAAGTGTGTCTGCTGAGGTCGAAATGAGTGTGTTCCATCCCGCCAATCCTCCAGAACTCTAGAAGCAACGTGGGCCCATCCCGTCGTGGGTCTTGATGATTGTGCAAATCAGTCATGGAAAGGCACCCTCTGCTCCTTTACCTAATAGATAGACACATGTATCTGTCTTGAACCCTCCCTCATCTGCCTGCTTGCCTGTCTGTCTGTCCGTCCCTCCCTCCTCCAAACTTACCCTGTCCCGAGATCTCAAGCCCATGGGGGTGGGCGGCCGGTGGTACGGCGATAAGCACCTGGCACAGGAAACACCCGCACCGGCCAGGTCCAGGGCCGGGGCGAGGGCCAGGGCCAGGGCTGCAAGTGGGCTCGCCAGGTTCGGCCTGTGCCCAGGTGCTTGGGAGCCTGGCAGCCCGCGCTCCCACGCTAAGAACCCTGCCTCCCCTGGCGCCTTCCTTCCTAAGTTTTGTACAGTGCCGCAGCATGCATGCCGCCTGGCACTGTAGAGGGTGCCTACCTCCCACCGGGCCCTGTCAGCCCCGGCGCCACCTGGGAGCATGGGCATCTGCAGCAGCTGGTTGTGGTGGGTGGGAGGTACCTGCCTGCCATGTGGGCACCTGGGCAGAAAGAGAAGATAGATCAGCTCCTGTCACTGTCATTGTCACTGTGCTGGACTGTATGGCAGTCCCGTACCCACGTACTGCGTGAACCCTATGTAGCCAGACGAACCGACAAGCTCAATGTCCCTCTCGACGCGACTGCAGGCATTTGGTTTTGAAATTTCGCAACTCCTGCCTGTCCTCCTCCGACCGCTGCCATCATCGCCGTCACCGTCGCCCTTCGCTTTTGGCGTCTCTGCGTCTCGTTGATTCTTGCGCGGACGACAAACAGTCGCGCACGCATTGCCCTGTTGGCCACCCAGAACCGCATCCACATTATTACGCATCTACATCCACAGTCACGGTCAGTGCCTTGTCCAGAGCGCCCTGATGACGGTGCTCGCTCCAGAGCCAGAGCTTGCAGCAGCCCCAACCCACGACGCGACCGCGCGCAGAGGCCACCCAGACAGACAGGGTCCATACTCCACTCTTGTCCTCTTCCAAGCCAAGAATTGGGATTTTGCCCTCCTGTGTGGCACTGACCTCGACCTGCAATTGCTCTGCGCTGCCTTGCCTTCTACTTCTATTTCTCCTCCTTCCCCTTCACTGCACCTGTCGTTGTCGTCCATGCTGCCCTCTGCTATCTCGTCTTCCGGCTCGGGCTAACCTTTGGTCTACCGCTTCCCAGGGTCACTTAGGCGCAACGGTCGTAGACCACGATCATCCCTGCTCCTTCCCGACCAGGATTTTCTCGCACCTCGAAATCCCTGAGCCCTTCAAGGTTCACCATATTCCCCAAACTCCCACTCCAGACTCGATTTCGACGGCCACTACAGCCAGACAATTCCGAATTCAAGGTGCCACGGCGACTTTGTCCTTCGGTATCACGACAACTCTTCTCCCCACGCGGCCGACTGCGCCACCGCCGAAAGGTCGTGTGGCTTTCCGTTGATACAGCCTCCAGCAGCGAGCGCGCTTCTCAAACACCATCAACGCCCTCACTGCTTGACCCAAATAAATCGTCAACAGCCGCCGCAGTCTACATCACAAGAAATTGTGCGCGAAAGACACCGTCTCGTCAGCTCACCTGGCCCACGGACACAATCTTCTTCTGTGACCAGCAGCGCGACGCCCCGTCACTTGTAATCAGAACAACGCCCGAAAGTCCGTCTACCTTACGAGTTTCCCCGAGCCAAACGAGAACCTCTGGCGTTCTGAACCCTGACGCGATGCGTCTCTCCTGAGTTTACATGACTGATACGAGCCTTTACAGCTACTTCGACCCTGAAAGTGGACCGAACTGGCCGCCCTGTTTTGCCTGCGGATTTGACTGCTTCAACTCAAGCTCAGGTGAGCATTACTTTGTCACTTGTTCCGTCAGGCCCCTACCCCAAGCCCCAGTCATCTCGAGGCCCTCTCTCCGTCGAGTTCCCCTTCGCACAAGGCCTGCGACTCTCAGCTCCTCCCAGGCTGGGCGGGATCTCGTCGAGCGCCACCAGAGCGAGTAGACATCTCAACCTCAAACGATCCGTCGGATCTGTGGCAGATTTCAGCCTCGGGGCACGGCTCAAGCATCACGTCACATCTTGGAAGGGAAGAGGCCCATCCAGTGCTACTTTGCTGGGGTCGCATGCGAGTGCCGCTCCAAGGTTCTTAACCCCTGACACTCTAGTCTCTCCTTTAATATCACCCGCACCCAAGTGGGCGGCATGGCGGCAAGCCTGGAACCTACCCCGAGGTGTCCTTTTGTCCAGCCCCAGGGCATACATACAGTACCTCCCTCCTTCCTGTACTTTCTGTATGAATACTTGACCGCCGAATCCCTCGTGCTGTTTGCCGCGGCCTCGTTCTCCCAGCCGTTGTAATCCCTACACGCTTTACCGTCTTTCTTCACCCAGGCCGACATAGTCTTAAAAGGACTTGTCACGACCTGGCCGCCCCGTTTCCGTTTGTCGCTGCCCGCTGTCGACGGCGTCTGTTGTTGGTCGAACAAGGATCCTGCGTCATAGTCGGTACCTACTCCGCATTTTGCGACTTGCACCTAACCCCTGCCTACCTCTGCATCCCAAGTCATCGTCCCCTGGAGACACCTTGAATCCCCACCGCCCGCGAATCCATGGCTGACCTCAAAAGTAGATACAGCATCGAGCCGTGTCGGGACTCACGTCTGTGATAACTCCCATCCAGACACGCACTTCCTGTGACTGCAAGGGCTTGGCTTCCTGCAACTCGGCCTGCCGACCGGCTTGTTCAGCACACCTGCTCGCGCAGCTCATCCTTGACCGCACTGGCCCTGACAGCTAGGGTACGACCCTGCTTGCCGTCGAGGACATCCACGCTCGCTCACGTGGCCGTTGGGCTGAACTCCCACCACAAAGCATCCCGAGTGTCTGGTCTGCCAAAGAAGCCTCGCACCCGACCATACCAGGATTCCCTGCGGACGCTTGTATTACATACGACGTCTTCTTCAAACCATCTGTGTTCACGAATTACTACGAGGTTGGTGAGCTCAACAACTCCTTTCTTGAACACACGCATTTTCACTCCTGTTCTTCAGGGGGAGCCCCCTCACGAAGATGGTGCCAGAGCGATCAATTTTTGTTACGTCTTGTGCTGCAGCAACAGCATGACTGGACTTGAACCCCTCTATCCTATACCTAGCCCCGTCAACATCTCCGGCAGTCGGCTGGCTGATGCTCCGAGCCCGCCTCGGCGGCGGTTGAGGCCGGCGGCGGGGCATCTCCGTGGTTCATGCGCGTCACTAATTCACTTTGCGCAGTCATTTACCCGTACTCGACAGTAGTTGGACGCCGTACTTGTGTCTCAAAGGCTCTCGGTGTATTCTTTGTGAAGGACATTCAACAGTAAGTGAAATGTGTTCGTCGCATTGTGTTCGATTTCCCAAGTATTGCTAGCATGAGCGCCTGGATTCCCCCATGCATAGCGCAATCTCAATGCGGGCCAACTCTGGCTTAGATCGGGTAGCGTCAGGTTTGGTCGATCAGAAGAGCGACACTTGGGCTCGAAGAACGCGGGATTAGTGCCAATGCTACGTCCTCGGCCCTTCTCGCTTGATCGTGCTACAAGCCGAGGCAATATCGGTCGGAGATGAACTCTTTTTTTTCTTTAGCACCCATCAGGCTAACATTCAGCCGCTGTGCAGGTCGTTCGATAGTTCTCCTTTGCCGCGGACGCTGTCCATATGGGCTTGATGACAATGGCTAGGGATCATCGACAGGCCAATGGCCAGTTTAAGGAAGAGCCGGGCAATGACTCGGTGAGTTTTCCATTGCATTTTCTAAGAAAGTCAAACAAGACCCTAGCACACCTCCCTCTCGTTGGCGGCATTTCCACACGGTAGTGCCGATATGCACGTCCTACTCGGCCTTGCTGCCCACGTCGCTGCCGTCGAAGTGTCGGACGCATCACCCTTATTATTTCCTCCCTGCACCTGCACTTGCCGTCCCTTGAAGCCCACTGGGTGCAGCGCTCGTCACCCCAGTCAGTTTGCATTTTGGGGGTGTTTCCAGAAAACGAGATCGAACGTCGCAAGCCTGACCGGGACCGGATTGGGCTCAGGTCTGTGGGAATTGCAGGGGAGGCAGTTGTTTCACATTAGAGACTGGGGGGGGGGCCGACACCGTTGCATGCGACAAGGCGCGCCGGACAGGGTTTGCTAGTGCGACCCACAGAGTCTGAACTGTGGGAAACCTTGGATCTCCCTGCTAGCCAAGCCGGCGGCGGAAATACATGGATGCCACGACGCATTGAACGGGGGCCCTCGACGCGTCATGCACACGAGCAGATGTCATTTCCCTTCCCAGGTGTCTGCTGTCTTTTTTTGGTGTGTTTCCTTTTTGGCGTCCTCAAAGCGGAGCCAGACGAGCTGTGCAATGCGATGCCGTCCGGTACGGCGCCCACAGATCCACAGGATTCGCAGCAAGGTTTCAACCCATTGACCGGGGGAACCGGGAGCTGGGTGGTCATGGCAAGGCCCAAACCTTGGCGGGAGATTGGGCAGTTCAGGCTAGAAGCCCAGCTGGCTCGCTCGTAGGCCGCGTGCTGTGGCGCTCAGCACGCAGAAATGCACGCGAAGGTGCCGTCTATGTACGTGTGGGGGATGGTGCGGTGTGCTGTGGGCGGCGACGTCAAACAAGCAATTTCCAACGGCTGGACGCTCGGGATCCGGGCGACAGCCGCCAGTGCTTCAACACTGGCGCTCGTCTTTCGTCACACTTCCTGTCCGCTCGCCCATCCGTCAGGCCATCGGCGGCGGTGGTGGTAGTGGTGGTCGAGGCGACCGGACATGTGACGGATGTGGTCCAGCAGCACAGCACGCACAGCAGAGCACATAGCACCACGGGCCAAGCCAGACCAGTCAAGTGACAGCAGTGCGGCCGCTGGGTCTTTTTTTTTTTTTTTTTTTTCTTCTCTGCTGCCGGAGAATCGTCGAGCCTGGCTAGCCCTGTTGGCCTCCACAGGCCCCGTCCCTCCCCTCACCCCTACTGGTGGTGTGTAGTGCTTGTGGCTTGAAGGCGCTGGAGATGCACAGATGGGGGATGGATGGATGGATGGGATGGAAGTCCTTCCCAAGCGGCAACGGTCCCCGGTTACAGTCTAGGGCTGCAGTGCAGCCATTCCGCGAGTGCCCCGACACGAAGCCACTTGACCAGACAACTGGGCAGCTGGGGAGCAAGCGAGCTGCGAGCCGAAGCAGGGATCGGCCCAGAGGCTAGGATTGCGCTTCCACACCGCCCCTTCGCGAACACACACGAGTACGTACACGCTTGTACTGCGGTACATGTGTGCAAGAGTCGCGCGCAAGCACGGTGGCCAAGCACCCTCCTCTAGGCCCGGAGCAGAGGCCCTGTTCTGGAAACCCTTCTTCCCTGGCCCTCGTCTCAGCCACGCTCATTGGACCACGGGCTGGCCCCTGCATCCCTGCCTGCTTAAATCCCTGGCCCCGCCCACCACCATCTTTTTTCCCTGGGCCCCATAATTTCATTTCATCTTTCCAACGCAATGCAGTCAATGCCTGCGTGCTGGCCGCTCCTCGTTTGCCGACTCGACGAGTCTTGAGCGCCCGACTCCGCCAGCCACCGGTCCTGGAGCTTGCTGCTCGTCAATGCTTGGACAAGCCCAAACAGCCTACGCATCAAGACCTATACCACCGCTCTGTTATTACTGCCGTACCGTGCCTGCGCCTGTTGCTACTGCTGCTGCCGCTGCTGGTTTTTGCTCTCGCCGCCGTCCTTGGTCGCTTGCCATGAGCTGATGTGGCTCCTTTTCTTCCGTCTTCTTTTTCTTGTCGTCGCCGCCGCGTGTGAGAGCCATTGCAGAGCCAGTCCAGTCCAGCCCCACAAAACCTTGCGCTGCATCTAGTTCAAATATCTTCACAACCCTGCTTCCATCCATTCCCCCCCTCGCGGTTCTCATCCTCGCTACCCTTCACTACCGACGTCTTTCTGGATCCCGGGTCTTGGTCAGTAACAGTAACAGTGCCCTGCCCTTTTCCCCCCTGCTCTGTCCTGTCCTGTCCTATCTTGTCCTGTCCTGTCTTGCCCTGCCTGGCCTACCCGGCCTGCCTGCTGCCCTGCAAATGCAATCATGTTCATCCTATTCCCTGGTTCGAAGTGTTCTTTTTTTTATATTGTTTTGCTCTTTCAAGCCCCCAGTTCACCTTCCCCCGAGCGCATATCATGGGTCTGGGATGACATCGCAGTGGCTTCCCACTCGTTGCAGGGCCATGCACATCACTCGATTTCCGATCTTGGGATTTCAGGCATTATGAATGGTCCAAACTCCTCCTGCCCTGCCCCCCTGCCCTCGCTTCCGTGCCTCCCCCATGGCATGGCCTGCGCGTCAGCAAGGGCAAGGTGAGAGGTGGATGCTGCCTTTCCGAGGCTAGGCCTCAGCGTCGCCAATCCATCATCCCCGTCATTATATCGTGTCGCCCCAATCAATAATAGGCTCTCGGAAGCTTCGCACTCCTTGACAGTGTCAGGATGCTGTGCAAATAAAGAAAAAGCAAGAAACCTTGCTCTCGTCTGGTCTTCTTTCGCTCGTCCTGCCCCCTTCCTGCCCAGTCTCGTCTACGTTGAGCCTTGTTGCTGGAGCCGGCAGAACTAATGGGAATCTTCTCTATGCAGCATTATCCCCACCAGGCCCCACCACCCTCGCATCTTCAGCATCATCGACCTCCCAGCATCGTTCACCAACAGCATCATCCCAGGCCGCACCTCCACAGCAGCCATCGCATCCTTCAGGGTACGCTTCGAGCCATCCCTCTGCTCCGGTCTATCAACAGCCAAATCAAGGGAACGCCGCGCAGAACTCGACACAGGACGGTCTGCCCTACTACCAGGCGAGCCCCTACAGCACCCCAAGCGCGACAAGCGGATACACGTCCGCAGGTAAGTCGCGTCTTTCTCTTCCCAGCAATAACATCATCAACAACGCCTCCCAGCTTCATTTGCTGACGCGACCATTGCAGTAGAGACGCCTGACATGATGGCCGCGACAATGCATCGACAGTACCCCCCCATTTACCAGACTCCCCAGTCCAACTCGCCAGCGTCTGTCGCGTCGCCCTCGGGCCACGATCAGCATAGAAGCATGTATGCCCAGCCGACTTCGCAACAAATGCCACAGCAGTCGATGTACTACCCGCCGCAGACCCAATATGGATCCATGCCCCAGCAGCCTGCACCCTCGCCATACAGCCAGCATGCTCAGACGTCCCACCAATCCATGACCTCCCAGCCAAACATGATGATGTCGCACACCGCGCCACAGCATCAGATCGCGCAGCACGCGACTCAGCACGCGCAAGCTGGAATGACGGGCAGCCCACGGCATCAGAAGATTGAGGCGCATCAAGTGCCCCCTCAACTCCAGAGGCCATCGCAATCAGGATCCATCGGAGGTCCATCACCGAGCACTCAAAATGGCGCCCAGCTCTCAACGCCGACGGGCTCTACCCCCGGCGGTGTTAATCCCAACGCTGCTCCGGGCCCGATTCCCGCCACAACTCCCCTGGTGGTTCGCCAGGACGGCAATGGCGTGCAGTGGATAGCGTTTGAGTATTCCAGGGATCGCGTCAAGATGGAGTACACGATCCGCTGCGACGTCGAGTCCGTCGACACCGACCAGCTCTCGGCCGAGTTCAAGACTGAGAACTGCGTGTACCCTCGCGCGTGCTGCGCCAAAGACCAGTACAGAGGCAACCGTCTCCAATACGAGACGGAGTGCAACACCGTCGGTTGGGCATTGGCACAGCTCAACCCACCTCTGCGCGGCAAGCGGGGTCTTATTCAGCGCGCAGTCGACAGCTGGCGGAATAGCAACCAGGACCCCAGGCTGCGTTCCAGGCGAGTCCGCCGTATGGCCAAGATGAACAACCGAAAGGCCGTCAACAGCACTCACCCTGCCCACATGGCCGGTCCAAGTGGTCCTGCAGGTATGGCTGGCTCAGGGCCCATGGGTCCCAGTGGTTCAGCTTCCATGGGAAAGCCCGCAATGGCGATGGGCGGGCAGATGCACCACCACCAGGGTGGCTCTGACGGCCACTCTCATGGTGGGGGGGATGAAGTCGGTATGTTCCACCAGATGTGAAGTGTGCATTATTGCGACTGCGTGTGATACCTTTCAAAACATATTATACCTATGGCTGCGCTTTGCTTTGTCTTGTTTCTTTTTTTGGTCGTTGAGTTTGGAACCTCGGAAACTGTCTTCGCATTCCTTTTCTTGTTGTTTATACGGCCGCGCCGACTCTATACATACAAGCTTCAGAAGCTCGCCCGGCGACAGGACATGCAGCATATCAGAAAAAAAGACACCTGTACATTACACTATGCGCCTGTTGCGTTGTTAGCTTGTTCTGCTGATTTTCCTTTGGTATTTTGGCATCGCATCGCATTGCACTGCATTCATTTGCGCCTGCTTGCGCTCGCCTGCTATCATTACCATGCAGAGTCATCAGCACTGCAACCAAACACACTCAACAGCTCGCTCAGGCTCACTCTAGTCCACAAGACTGTAGTCAAGTCTCGAGGACCTTTGTATTGCAAAAACAAATCATTTCTCATCAACCCTTACCCTCCTGCTTCAGCTCTCGCGCGCCTGGGCAATAGCCATGCCTCGCTTACACCGTTCTGTTCTTGGCTCCTGTTTCCCGTTTCCCCTGCGACACCTCGTTCTCAAAGCAGCAGCCATAGCCGTCGATCACATGCACATCAAACAGCTAGGATTGCTAACGGGACTACCCTTGCAGGTGAGGGAGAGTATATGGACGACCAGCATCACCACCATCACCAAGCTCCCCCGGCACAGCCCGGCCCCGGCGGCGACGACGTTCGTCAGGCCCATGTATTCCACGGTGGCTTCAACGGCGGCTATGGAAGCAACGCCCCTGCCAGCAGTTCCACCATGCCGTCGCTTCAGGACACCCTGAGCAACGGTCATCATCCCGTGGCTGCTCGCCGTGCCGGCTCTCGCGCTGCCGGCGCTGACGAGCCATCGGATCTGTTCCCCGACATTCCCGAGGCAAAGAAGCGCAAGTTCATCCTCGTTGAGGACAGCGACCGACAAAGCCGCCTGCGTGTGCGCGTCACCCTCGACGGGGTCGATACTCGCGAAATCCCCGACTCGTTCCGCAAGAGCTCGTCCGTGTTCCCACGGTCCTATTTCCCTCGCGAGATGCAGAGCCCGCCGCCTAGCGCCACAGGGTCAAGGTTCTTCCAGGAAGACATGAGTGAACTTGAGGATGACGGCAACGCTGAGACAGAGGGAAGGCGTGCCGGGCGAGGGGCCGCTGGAAGGGGCCGGTCCTTGATCAAAGTTCCCGCTACTTCTAATGAGGGAGGCGAGGTCGAAGTTGCTATCCCGAAGTTGCGCAAGAGCATTCGCGGCAAGGAGGTCCGTCTCAATGACCTGGGATACCGCATGGCTTGGCTCCAGAGCAGAGTCTTCGCGGGTCGACCAGTGTTTCTCCAACGCGCCCTCGACTGCTACCGCAACAAGACTCGCCAGGCAATCGACTCCATCATGCAGGATGTCAAGACCGTGGCCCCGCATTATGAAACTCGTGTTGGCAAGCGCAGGTGGACCGAGAAGACCCGACGCGGCGATAAGAAGGACGATGAGTCTTAGTTGGACACTCGGCTTAGGTCGCCGCCGCAAGGTCCCAATGAGAACTCGGAACAGGTTGCGCCAAGTGATCATCAGATTGCGGAGTAACATAGGCCATGGGGAAGGGGGTGGGGCTGTCCGTTCATGATCGAGGAGAAAGCCAATCGACAGCATGGCACGATGAACGCCCTGCGCGAAACATGGACCGCTGGGTGTTGCGGCCTGTCAGTGCTTGGTTTCGAGCTTTCCAGGACCGAGAACTTTGACGGTTGCATTAGTATGCATACAAGCCATCAACTGGGGAGATCTCCCACCCCGACTGTTCAACAAACTCTGGCGTGGTCTCACCGGACATTCGCTTCCTCAGAAGCTACCAAAGTGCTCGGTCTAGACAACCTTGTTTGATTATTTCTGCGGCAGTGGTCGAGCGCTTGCGAACAAGCAAGCGAAGTGGCCCCTCTGGGCTGGCAAAGGGTGTGGCTTCCTGCCGCATTTCGTTCGTGTCTGGCAAGAGATAGACGGGCAATTTCCTTTTTTCAACCCCTTTTTCCTTTCCGTCGTGACTGCTCCAGCAAAAGTCACGACATGATTATCACGAACGAAGACTAGACGAACATGATCTCAGCGACGACCACAAAAAAAAAACGAGATGAAATGGGGACATAGGGGAAAAGGAGTCTTCAAAATCAAAGGGAAAAAAGATCAACTCGCTCGGGCGGAATCAGTGCAGCTTTCTTCAGGTGGGAAAGGATCATGGAGGGGTGGCGTGCGACAGTCAAATTTTATTTCCACCTCATCGACATCGTCATTATCATCAAGTTGTCAAGAGAACTTTTGGAGGAGTGAAAGATGTGCATGGGATCTGTTAGGATTCATGCTGGCGAGAGTTGGTGTTGTACGTTTGTTATGATTATGGTATTTGGTTGAGTCTGGCTCGGATGAAGGCAGTTTGGCTGTTTTTGGCGTGGGGGGACCCGGGGGGGGGTTGCGCGGCTCGACGACCTGGTTTAGTAACGGACCTTATTTTCGATCTGTCTTTACCGAAGGACTTGGTTCGCCTTTGATGGGTAAAGAGAGAAAAAGAGTGAGACCTATTGGGCCTTTTATTCTTCCATTGCCGTTGCTAGATATCCCTCGTCAAAAAGGTCTGCTTTTTAAATAGTCCGGTCTGCATGCATTGTCAGCTTTTTGTGCGTGAGTACTCGGTCACTTGGCCGCTCAATGATTCCGTGGAGCGGTAGTCAGCTCAGTCAGTGTGCTTGGTGGTTTAATCCCGCGAGGCTTTGAATTTGACTTTGACTCACAATGCATGTCTGTCTTCCTGCTCGGCTGTTGATAACGCTGTGCTCAGCTGTCATGTTAAACGTGCGAGGTGGTTCCCGAATCGGGCAAGGGGCAGAGATGAGCCAACTTTGGCAGGTTGAATCTACTTGTCCTCAGGGGGGTGGCCGCGTCGTTTCGAGAATGGGGTTCAGAGCGGACGATGGATGAATATTGCTTCCCCCCCCCCCCTCTTTTTTTCTTTCTTATTCCTTCGTTCTATCTCCTTGCTTGGTCCATTTTTCCAACCGGCCCACCGATGTTGTGAGGGAGGAGGCTGGTTTGGTGTCCGAGTTTCACACCTGACGTGCGAAGCGAAGTGTGGCCGGTGTAGGAACCGATCGTCATGTCTGAGACGTAACATGATGCCTTCTGTTGACTACATGTTTCGCCCTACTGCATGTATTGTGGGGTTTGGGGGGCGAAATCGTTGGGTGACTGCCGTTTTCGTGCTGCCTACCTTGAGTTATGCAATGGTTTATAGTTTTTGGTTGTTTTCTTGAATTTTTCTTTTGACCTCGGATTCCTTCTTGTCTTCATGCCGTGAAAGCCCAACAGGCCTGCGTGAAGGAGGGATGGGGCCAATGAATGAGTACAATGCGTGAAGTTCTCCTTCCTTTCTGCCCATTGCTTGAAAGCTTTGGTCCACCTGGTTCTAGCACAAGTCTAGCATAGTTCTCACTCTCTGATTTTGTATTAGGTCCGTTTTAAACGCATACAAGCGGGGTTTTGGGCCTCAAGTCGTCCTCGCGTATAAGTCTTCTCCGGGTAGAGTGGGGCACCTGGGGATTTTGTTCTTACCAGCTGAGCGTGATTCAAAGTTGTTCGTCGACATCGCTGCCAACGCAGGCTGAGTCTTGCCCAGCCAGCTGGGTCAGATTGAGATGCGGCAAAGCTCTGGTTGATGGAGACTGCGATACTAATAGCTTGTGTGCCGAGTAGAACATATGACGGTGTATACGACGACCTCGTCAAGTTCCGTGCCGGGGTATACCAGGCGCTTGAGTGGGTGATCCCTGCTTGCTGACCACGGCACAAAGCATTATCCTTCTCGAAGCTTTCCAGGACCCCTTCCCGCCGTGCCCCCTGCGGGCATGTGGCAAAAGGGATTGACCCCAACGGCCCCGTTGGTGTCACAAGCCCTCCCGAGCCGCTTGGTCAATCCTGCCAGGCCCCGGCCGGGCTGCCGGGGTTCATCGTCGAGCCGCACGCCCAAGATCCAATGGTCCCCTGGAGGTGCATATGCAGAAAGCAGCATGGGCCAGGGCCCGTGAGTTTGCCAGGTTGGCTCGAGGAGATCGTGACTGGCTGGCTGGCTTCATGGACGTGTCTCCGCCGTATGAAAGGTGAGTGCTTCATTGGGTGAAGGCCCGAGTCCGGCTGCAAGGGCGGACCAGCCGAGTCATCAAAACATAGCCTCAGGCTGTGCCACTTACACCTTCGGTACGAATCGCAGCATTTGCTGCAGCAGGTCGCTCCTAGATGCTGTAGCATACTGCAGAAACACTCATGTCGCTGCTAATTGGTTCCGAGGCGCCGTCCGTACCATCTCGCTTAATGCATCCGAACTTGCAAGTCCTAAGCGTGTCTTCAAAGTATGAGTTGACTATAAAGACATCACATGGACAAAGGTCTTCATTTGTTAAGCTGGAGGACGTGGAGAACAGAGAGAGTCATGGATCCGGAGGCCGATCATTCATTAGCATGCCAAATGGGAGATTTGGCTAATATGTCTGTTGAGTGATACTGTTACAGAGTCTGGAAATCTTTGAGGATGTGGGTGAAGATTTTCTGATCAATGTTGCATTGCGGAAGTCATATTTTCATAGCTCGCCCGAAGAATGTCCACGTGAGGATGCGTACGTGAGACGTTACATGTAATGTTGCCCACGAAGGTAAGAGACCAAAGAGAGCACAGACAAAGTTTCTGCGAGTGGGAAGCCGACCAACAATCTCACTGGCTGTTGGGTTATCGTCGCAAGAGCCAGGTCGATGCAAGCAGCAGAAGATTCGACCTGTGGATCTAATGTCATTACCCATAGCGTCATTGCATTTCATTGTAAAATGCCCAGCCCAGCCATTTCCGCCCAACCGTCCTGGTATCTTGGTATAACATCTTCTGGTCATATCATCTCTGATCCAACGCCGCACCCAAAGGATAATCCGACCCAGCCAAACCGTTAACCCAGGCACCCATATACACCCAGACCCAATCTCTTCATCAGTCATGGTCAAGTCATCAAATTCGTCCCCGGCCCAGAAAGAAGTGTGGCTCAGCCCACAACCTTGTAGGCATCCGGCCCTCTCAGCCTGCCCATCTCCCAGGCGCCCAGGTGCCTCTCGCCCTTCCAGGCATGCAGCTTGACGACGACGTCGCCAACGGTGTCCTCGCGGCCCTTGGGGACGGCATACTTGGGCATCTCGTCCTTGGGCAGGCTGACGGTGCACAGGCCTGACTCAGAGGCCTGGACATCGCGGGCGGTGATGCGCTCGACAAAGATCTCCTGGTCACAGTCCGGTCTCTCGAAGGAGAGCTGGAGCCCTGAGGCGGGGAACTGGGGCAGTCGGGTGTTAGTTGTTCGGCCCAACAACATGCCCTGGGTGATGGGCAAAACAGATGTGGCGTGGACTTACGATGGGATCTCGGCTTTCCACACCCCTCCGGAATGAGACTGAGAGGTAAGGCGAGAACTGGTTGGGAGCCATGAGGGACTCGGGATAGATGGAGTATGTGGGCATCTTGACAAAGGCGTGAGGAGCACAACGATGATTCGAGTAGTGAGTGGATGCCTGTTTCGACTTGCATGTGACGGGGAGGGGCAGGCAATAAGAAGTCAGTGCTGGTCACCGGTCCGGATCCACTGGGAGAGCAAGCTCGTAAACTTTCTAATCGGGCTTTTATATCTATGCGAGCTCGGATATGGAGATAAACAAGACGGGCAGTATGCGAGAAAACGTTACGAGGCTCACAAAGGGGCAGGAAGGTGTGCCAATAAGGACCTGTCAAGAATTGCGCTGCGCCGTCGGCACGCATGAAGGGCGCTGTCTGGAATGCCTGGTGTTAATCTTGGAAAGGAAGTCCAATTTCAAAAGTGCCCGGGTGAGCCAGGGAACATGTCTGTTCGCAGGGGCGGGAGGTGTGTGATTGGTGGAGGGAGTTGTTTGCAAACAAAGGTGTTCCGGCCGGAGGGAGGGCCGTTGCCGAGCAATGCAATCGAGCTGTTTGGCGCATCTCGACGGATTGAACGGTCTAGCCAGATAAATACGCAGGTAACCGAGGAGCTCGTATTGTCCTAAGAAAACAAATTGCCAAAACGGTGCTTTGGCGCGTCCAAACCTGTCATCTGTCCGTGGCTGGACCGGACACGTACGATATTCGAGCACCAGCGGACTTCTGAAAAGGACCTAAACAATCGTCATGCAGTCTTGTTGACTTCAGGCCAACGCAGACTATCGCTGTCACTTACAGCCAAACACAGTGTCGATCGGTGACCCACCAGAGCTCCAAAATCGGGGCCCTTGCATCTCCACCGCGGGGCCTCCTGCAAGGCGGAATGGAGTCAGCTTCCAGAAGTGTATCACAAGCGCAAGGCTCCATTTCATCCCAGGCTGCAGTCCAGGCTCCCGCCCTCCACCCATGCCAGACTGCTCACTACTGTGCGTGAGCATGATCAAGTGAATCACCGAGTATTTAATCGGTTGATGCCATGTTCAAAGGCCTCGTGCCAGGCCTCTCCAGGCGTGTGCAGCCCACCCCGAAAAGGTCCAAATCCGTCCTCTGCTCAACTAACACGACTTACGCCAACAAGCAGACTAACGCCACAATCAAGATCAATATGGCAGACAACGTCTTCATACTCAAAGAGTACAACAATGTCCCGGTCACGGCACAGGGCCTGAAGAGGGACCAGCTGACCCAATGGCCTCCCTTCAAGGTGAGCACTCGACGCCAGAGCCTCAACTTCGACAGCATCGTTCTCTCGCGTCGCGCCCAGAAAAGCTGATCAGGTCCCCAATACCACACAGAACTGGATCTCGACTCTTTCCCACTCTATCTCGCTCCAAGCGCAACCTTCGCACCCCTTCCACAAAAGCCCCTACCGGCTCAAGGACATCACCATCGAGTCCTACACCCTATTCGGGGCCAACAACATCGGATTCCTCAAGCTCAGCGCAAATGTCTCCACCGCCGACGGCAAGAGCCGCCTCCCCGGCACTATCTTCCTGCGCGGGCCCGCAGTCGCAATGCTCGTGGTGCTCATCCCGGACGATGTCCAGCCCGCCGACGCCGACGCGCTGGACGAGGCCTACGTGCTGCTGACCGTCCAGCCGCGCCTCCCCACCGGCAGCCTAGGCTTCGTGGAGCTGCCCGCCGGCATGATCGACGGCGACAGCAACTTCGCCGGCGTCGCGGCCAAGGAGATCGAGGAGGAGCTCGGCATGGTCATCAAGCAGACCGAGCTGACCTGCCTGACCGACAAGGTCGGCGAGATCAGGCGCGCGCGCAAGGCCACGAAGGGGCCCGTCAGCAAAAACACGCGCAAATCGGCCGGGGCCGAGAACATACCGTTTGCCATGTACCCGTCCGCCGGTGGCTGCGACGAGTACATCAAGATCTTCTCACACGAGAGGCGCGTGCCGAGGAGCACGCTGCACGAGTGGGAGGGCAAGTACGGGGGTCTGCGAGACCAGGGAGAAATGATCACCCTCAAGGTCGTGCCCCTGGCCGACCTCTGGCTGGAGGGCGCCATGGACTCCAAGGCTTTGGCCGCAGTGGCACTCTACGGCAAGGTCAAGCAGTGGGAGAGGCAGCAGGCAAAGTGAATTATTGCACAAAGACCAAGCCGGGCGGGGACGTCTTTCATTCCGGCCCAACTATTTTCACCTAGGGATCTCTAGAGTCTGGATCCCGAGCCTGGATTGGGACCCTAAGAAAGCGGGTTTATCCCTTTCTAGAGTTTGAACTGCTTGGCCAGCTCGATGCCCTCGGCCAGAGTGCCAACCCGTGCGTCGATGCCAAAGCCCTGGGCCTCCAGCTTCTTGCACTCCTCCCACAGGTTCCTCAGGGGCACGTAGAAGACCTCGATGAACTCGTTCTCTTCCAGCTCGGGCTTGAGGTTCTGGTTCTCGGGCAGGCTCATATCGATGGAAACGTGGACCATCCGGAGGTTAGTATTACAGAATCCGGGGTCTACATTTATTGGTTCCCAGCAACAGGGCTCATGTCAGTCGAAGCGCGTCCGGCGGAGGAGTCGCAGAGGAGGTGCCGGGCCACAAATGGCATCGCAAGCTGGGCTACTGACCGTTCCACATGAGGGGCGAGCTCTCTGTGACCTTGCCCACGTAGCCGGTCTCTTCCTTGAGCTCTCGCACCGCAGCTTGCTCGGCTGTCTCGCCCGCATCGACCAGACCGGCGGGCACCTCGATCATGATCTGATTTGCTGGAGGTCTATACTGTTTTTGAAGCACGATCTCGGGCCCTGAACAGTAGGGCCGGGCGCCTGGGTCAGCCCAGGTCCATCAGGGCAGGATGGGTTCGCCAAGTAGAAGTAGAAGTAGAAGTAGATGAAATGACGAGGATTCCTTACCCGTGGGCTTCTCCAGAATGGCCACGATGCCGACCCCATCGATGTCGCTGCCCTTGGGGCGGGTGCTGCGCTCGGCAGATTCCCAGTCCCGGGTCCTACCGCGCGGGTCTTTGTACTGTATCCTTGATTTGTCGAGTTCATGTCAGCCAGGCTGCCGGCGAGGAAGTGTGTAAATATGCGGAGGGTAAATCTACTTCACCAAACGCGTCCAACGGGCGTCCCTTTCAGGCTGGGCGTAGCCACTCAACGGATCAGCTACGAGAACATGGCCTGGCTTTGGGTTGCATGGGCTTCACACAAACACATACCAGCGGGCTAACAGACAGGACCTTTGCATCGGCGGCAGACATCTTGGGCAAGCGGCGTGGTCGCGGTGCTTCTCGGCTTGTGATGCGTTCAGTCGCTCTCACTGTCTGGGAACACCACACGCGTGCTCCCACACCTGCCAGCACCCCTGACGTCAACAGGCAGAGAGGCCATAGCTCCAGGCGTCTGCCCGTCCTTTAGTGGGGGGTTCAAGTGCACGTCCTGGGGCAGGCAATCAAGGAACTCTTCCCCCAACTTTATTCATTGCTTGGACACTCGCATCACCAACCGTTCACATTCTGTGCGACCACACACTATTTGGTACCCACACTGCCAGCTGTTTGCCATTCTGTCTACCTGCCGTATCGGGACGTATGACAAAGGCAGCACGCAATCGCCAGAAGGCACCATGACGTGGCCTGGACATGTGGGTTCAGCAAGCCAGAGTCAGCACCGCAGGACGAGCAGGGGGGTGGCGGATGGATCTCCTTCCTGGTCCAACTCCGAGTCCGACGAACTCCGACTGCTTAGCGGGCCGCCAACCACAAGCACACGATGACAATTCCAGGGCCTGTCTGGTTTCAAGGGAATGCTTACAGGCTTACCACACACTTGACATGGCCAGTCTAGATACGGGCTATCAGAAGACAAGGAGCTGAGCCAGTTCGTGGGCAAGGGGTCCCAAGGGGGACCAATGGGGCCAGCACGTCATGAAACCTCCGGGGAGTGTGCTCCGGGAAACTCTGTCCACCCACGCCCGCCTCTGCTATCTTCGTGGACGGTATTCCGATACGTTGGACGACAAGAACTCGCAGGATTCTGGCCGCTTTTGGGTTTCTTACTTCTTATCGGCATCGCGTGCTGTTGGCTACGAGAGTAAGATTGTTCGGATTGGGTTGGCTTGCGTTTCTTACACGCCGCATGGGCAAAAGCTTACCCGCGCGCACACACTCCCTCTCTCACTTCCAACTCCGATGCCTGCTTCACAGACGACATATTTCTCTTGACCTGTCCCATTTCACTCCCCCACTGGGACGGAACTGCTCTCTTTACTTCCGTATTTCGTTACTAGATATTTGGTATTCCTGTTAGCTCTTGACACATTTCCCACGAGAAGTCGGACCCGGAGATCCCAGACAGACAGCCGTCATGGCCGCAATGACGGACGCACACTCGACCGAGGACGAGGCTCTCCTCACCTTGGAGGAGACGCCGCTGCTGTCCGGGGACGCTACTCCCGCGGCCATAGACGATGAGGACCCACGGAGCAAGTACAAGTGGCGTGTCATCGTCGGGGCCTTCTCCGTCCTCTTCATGATAGAGCTGGCAGTTGGCATCTCCACGCCGGCGTGGAACGCACTCCTGGAGAAGGGCCTCTGTGCCGAGGCCTACCCGGAGATCGCCCGGTTCCTGGCCGCCGGCGACGAGAACCCGCTGTGCAAAGACCCCGCCGTCCAGGGGAAACTTGCCCTCTACCGCGGGTGGGAGTATGCCCTCGAATGCCTCCCAACCATCCTGTTTGCCCTCCCCTACGGATCGCTCTCGGACCGGTGGGGGCGGAAGCCTATCGCGATACTGGCGCTAATCGGGATAGCACTGGGGATGGTTTGGTACCAGGTTGTCTTCTACTTCCCTCTGCCGATGTGGACATTCACCCTGAGCTTTGCCTTCAACTTCATCGGAGGCGGAGCCCCTGTCGGGATGAGCATGATATATACGATGCTGGCGGACGTGCTACACGTAGAAGAGATGTGAGTTCCATAACGCCACAACCAACACGACACGTCTTGGCTAGTAAGCAAACTGACTCTGTGAACCACAAGGACTCCAGTTCTGTTCAGGTTCTACTCTGTTTTCCTTGTGGCCGAGTTGGTCGCGAACCCCCTGGGCGGCTTCCTGGTGAACAAGAGCCCATGGCTCTCACTTTTCATTGGCGATGCGTTCATGGTCCTGGTCCTCGCATCAGTTTATATACTGCCCGAGACACTTTCTGTGCGCCAGTGGCATGACAAGAGGGCCGGAAAGGTGCCCAGCCCACGGCTCGCGCCGTTGGACGGCGATGATAACGATGATGAAGTACTCAAGAAAAGCAACATGCGCGCCGCGCTGGATGACGCCGGGGCGCAGCTGGTGGAGGTCTGGGATTTCCTCATCGGCAACAGGCGCATCGTGGTGCTTATGCTGCCGCTCATCTTCGTCACGCTCGGGAAGTACATACAGGAGATGCTGCTGCAATATGCCACAAAGCGGTTCGGCTGGTCGTGGAGCAAGGTACGTCGCCATCTGCTACTCCCAACGTAAACGTCATCACTAACAGAGGGCACTCCCAACCCAGGCCGCCTACTTCCTCACCCTCAAGTCGGCCAGCTTTATCGTCATGCTGATAGTCCTCCTTCCCGCCGTGGTTAGTACCATTCTTCTCCTGCTACACATCCCCGATCTTTGTTCTTTAGAATGTTCCAGAATGTATAACTTTGGGATCCGTAGCAGGTGACTAACAGGTACTAGTCGTCCTTCTGCCTCAGACAGCTCAACATGTCGCCGCTGTCCAAGGACCTGTGGCTCTCGCGCTGGTCAGGTATCGTCCTCATCCTGGCCAACCTAGCTATCGCCTTCTCGTCCAGCCCGGCCCTCTTCGGCGTCGGCCTCGTGCTCCTGTCAGGCGGATCCGGGCTTGTGCCGCTGCTGCGGTCGCTCCTCAACGCGCAGGTCGAGCCGCACCACGTTGGTATTCTCAACACCTTGTTGGGCTTCCTCGACACTCTGGGAGTCATGGTCGGCGCGCCGATTTTCACCGAGTCGCTCCACAAGGGCATCGAGCTCGGCGGGCCCTGGATCGGGCTGCCTTTCCTGGCCGGCGCGGTCATCTCGTGCTTTGCAGCCGGGATCCTATGGGTATACCGGATCCCGCCACAGGTCGAGAGGAGTGTTATCGAGGAGGATCACGTGTGACGGACATCGTGCCCATCCCACAATGTTCACATCCCTTTCTGCGCCCTTTTCTCCGTCTCTTACCCCCCTCGCACGTATGGTGTGGAATTTTAGAAGGATCCCCCTGGACGACTTACAGCCTGGTTGTTGGGAGATTTCATTTGTGCCTGACCTAGACATGATAACCTAAGTATCATGTCATTGACCGGAGTGAACTCGGTCTTTTGATGTTGTTTGGAATGTTATGCGCCCCTGTTTGGGATGCATTGTACAATAACACGGTGTGGCTCGGGGTTCACGCGGCCAACTGGATACCCACGCGGCGTCACAGAGTCTTGTTACTGTGCTCTCAATTTTCTGTTATGGAACTCATGTACGGCAGGGGACCAGACTACACATCTCTGAGCACGTAAAGTATAGAGAATTCAAGACAGGGCCAAGTTGCTACCGGGCTCTATCGAGCTGTGAGAGACGGAAACATTGAAACATTGCGATTGAGCCCATGTGTATACAAGTCTGCACATTGCTCGCCACGCATCAACGAAGTCGGCGGGCGCGCTCACGAGTGGGCGGCGATTCAACCGTCCCTATTCTGGTCGTCATGCAACCAAAGAGGACAATACGACGCCCCAGGATGGCATGTTCCCTGTTCCGGGGCCAGGGAGGCTGAGCACGCGGCTCTGCCCAGATGCATCCACCTCAGAAGCCAGTGACGACCTCCAAGGCGCGCTCGGGCACAATGGTCAACATGAACAGCATGATCAATGGCAAGGCTGTGGGTAGGCTATTCGTATCCAGCCCGATGAGGGATAGGCGGTGGCTGCCCAGGTGTCTATTGGAGCGCTTTCTCCTGCCCAAGTGGTGCTTGGTTAGTTGGTAGGTCAGTTAGTTAGTTAGTCTAGTTAGAAACTGTGAAGTGGATTTTGATGAAGCTAGAGGATGACAGTCGGATGGGTCGATGACTAGCGAGGAAGCCACTCTGCTAGTCCAGTGGGCCGGTACACAACGGGGTGTACCCGACAGGATGGTGCACGCTTTTAGTGAGAGGAGCTGATGAGGCAGCCATGCCCGTGTGCTGGGGCTTGAAACATGCTGTTTTCTTATTTTCTTATTTCCAGGCTTCCGTGGTCCTCCAGCCGTGTCGGGCTGTGCGGGATTGCTGTGGACAAGTCCGGGTGAACCCTTGAAGGGGATTGGCCCCCTGCCGAGCAATTGACTTGGCGCAAGTCTTTGGGCGAAGGGTGATGGAAGGGGAGAATAGGGACGGAGAAAAAAAAAAAAAGAGAGAGAGTCAAGTAGAGCTGGAGAAATCATGTGGTGGAACTCGAGACGCACACTGCACACGCCATCTGGGTTCCCGGCCGGAGATTTACTGACGAAACATGAGCCGTCTACGTCGTCAGTCGTGTGGCCCTGGTCATCGCCCATCTCCTTGGGCCCCTCAATTCCTTTGCAAAAAGAAAAAAGGCTCCGTGATGATGCTGCCAACCCCCGGAGATTTCGTCAATCAGACGGGTCTGCAGTTTCTGTGGGGAGGTTCATTTGTCACCTGAGCAGGCCGAGGTTATTACATCTTTTGTTGTAGTAGACTACAACCTAGTCGGCTCGAGTACAGCTCGCAGGCCCTGTTCTATTCCGGTGCGGTACGGCACTCGTCAAGGGCTTGTTCACTCGGCCCTCGGGCCAGGAAGGAAGGACCCTTTATTTTTCTTGTTCGTATGGGAAATTGGTTGCTCGGGCTGGCTGGCCTGTCATGGGACTGATGGCTTCCCAAGCCGGGCGACTATGCTGCCCTAGATCTGCGCTCAGGCGGCCTGCATGCCCTTGTTCCTGGCCACCTCCTGGCCACCTCCTGGCCACGGCCCCTTGCCCCTGTCCCTTTTGCTCTCTGCAGCAGGCACACTACGGTTCTGACTTCTGGACCCCAGATGGGGCTTGTCACTCCCACACACTGCAGCCAGAGTTTGAAACATGATGTCGGGCGATGTCGACATCAGCGGACTCGACCCCCATCTCCCCATTCTCCGTCAAGCCCACGCGGGTTTCGGGCCCAGCCCTAAACAGGTCTCATGTAATCTTACAGATGCAGCCGCTGCAGCCGCGCTCTGTCACTCGGCCGCCACTAATCCCCAACGGACAGTGGTCAGGGACGCAATTCATCCTTCCAACTCCACACCCGATCAAACAAATCTCGAGGCGCATACACAGAAACAGTAGGTAGGCTAGTGTAAAGTTTTTTTTGGAGCTGTGTTGCCGCATGCCAGATGCCAGATGCCAGATGCCAGATGCCAGCAGCAGCCACGCCTTCCCCTTCTCGTCCCTGCCTGCTTGGCCACGGCTGTCCCAAACGGGTAGCCACACCCTGCACACACATAGCTTGGCCCCTTACCCCGTCACACCACCATGATCTCAACCCAGTCGGTCCTGCCCAAGCCTGCCATCCCTACACCCACCCTGGCCACAGCCTGAGCGGCAATGCAAGGTACACACGGACAAGAGGCCCTGCGCGCGTGTGGCAGGACACCACCCTCTGCGGTGACCGTGGCCATGGTGCCATCCTATCATTCTGTCTGAACTAGTTATTATAATGTCCAATCTGTGTGTTGCTATCTCTAGCTCTTGTCGGGGAAGTGCCTGCCTGCCTGCCTGCCTGCCTAGGTAGCTTCACCCCTTAAGGACCGACCTCCCTCCACCTCTTCCACGCGTGCTTGACTCTCGCGTAGAACCTCACTGCCGTCGCTGTTCTGTTGCTCTGGTGTTCTGCTGGGCTCTCTTCTTCGTCTGTCCTCTCTGTGGGGTAGCCTGCAAGTACTGGCAAGCAAGCCTGCCTGCTGTAACACCCAACCCCCACCGGCAGTCCCAGCTGTCATCCTGTCCTTATATTGTGGTGATATTGGGCCCCCCCCCTGAACCCAACACCAACCAACACCCTTTTTTAACTGTCGTCACCTATCGGACGGGGAACAAGAGAGGGGCGCCCTGTGCCTGTGCCTGTGCCTGTTGCCCGTTACATCCCGTGGCCTGCCCGTCCATCCGGACGCTCTCCTTGGGCGTGTTTCTTATCGGCGGATCTCAAAACGAAACCAGGCCGCCGCGGATCTCTCCTTTTCGGCGAGGCAAGCGAGAAGCCCCTGACATATGCCCCCGTACTGTTGCATGCCCCGATGCGCCCGTCCCCCCTCGTCGCCCCACGCACATTCTAACAAACAGGTGGGCCTGCGCATGCATCCGCCGCCCCTCGACCAACCCGCACCCTCAAAAACCCTCTGGATGGGATCACCTCTTTTCTCCTCATCCCCCGAAAAAGTCTCTGACAGCTCCCGAGAGATTCGGATCGTCGCCGCGCCCGCGCATCTCCTGCCCCCTCAGAAATTGGCCGTCCCCAGCATCGCGCAGCAAAAGGACCACCCCGCCTGTCGCCCTGCCTGTCCTGGCGCCGCCCTCTGTTATTTTCCCCGATCCCAACGCCCACGAGGCTTGCCTGGTACTTTTCACGCGAAGGGGCCGTCGACGGGGTATCCAGGCAAAAATGGGCTGCTAGCACATCCGCTGCCCTTCCGTCCTTTTTGCTTTGTTTTGTCTACCATCTATCTGTCTATCCCTCGATCATTCTTTCCTTCAACCCTCGTCATTCCTTGGGGCCAGCCTCCCTAGGCAAAATCAAAAACTACGTCGTTCCTTTTACTGCTGTTCTTGCTCTTGGGGAATTGGAGTTTATAGTCCCTCAGTTGAAATCACTTGCCAACCACTACGCTCCTTGTCTTCGTCTACTACTGTAAGCCGCCCCCGAGTTACTCAAACCAGTATCAGCTATGCACGAGCCCGACTTCTAATGCGTTGCCACAGTTCCCTACCAGGTAGGGTATTCGTAATTTTTAAACATGGTTTCCTTCTTCGGCCTCAAGTTCGGAGCCGACAAGAAGAAGTGAGTTGACCCCGGCCATACCATTCCAGCACCGTCTCATTTCCTCATGCGCCCCCCCCAAAAAAAAAACAATTGCGACTAACACGTGCCACAGGAAAGAGGTAGAGGCCTTACAGCCTCCCCCTCCACCACCACAATGGAAGAATGACCGGACCGAGGTGCTCCTTCAGTGCTCTGGTCTGCTGAGCACAAATCCCAGCAGGCCCGGCACCGCACACAGCTCGCGTAGCAGTGCGCGAAGGCCATACGCCGCAGGCGACAATCGCAATTCCGCGGCAAACAGCATCTGGGATTTCCATGAATCTGAGTTTCGAGGCGTGGGCGCCGGCCGTATGGGGAGCTCTGCTAGCATCAGCGCCGGCTCGGGCCCGTTCATACCCGGCCACAGCCACGGCCTGAAATCGTTTGGCTCCGAGGCAAATCTGCAGTTGAGCCTGGGCGCAAGGAATGGGTCCTCGACAAGCCTTGCTGCGCCGAGGTTACCCTTTGGAGGGGGTGGCGGTGGTGTTGGTCCAAGGCCCGGGAGCGCACACTCGATGCGCAACGGCCGGGAGAGGCCGTGGATGAGCCCGCTGGACACCAGCCCCGTCAAGGAGTCAACGCCTGGTATTGCAGGCCCACAGAGAAGTCCGCTCGGCCAGCTGGAGCTCATGTCGCCCGTGCGGAGTGACAGCGAGTCGCTCCTGGGCGAAGACCCCGAGAAGTTTGCCCAAGACATCAGCGACAGGGTCACGCAGGAAGAGAAATTGGCAAGGATGAAGAACGAGGTCGAGGAGAGGAGAAGGGTCCAGGCCGAGTTGGAAGCGACGGCAAGGAGAAACTCAGAAGCCTCGAGGCCGAAGACATCAGGAGGATATCCGTCGCCACCCGCCTCGGTCACAAGTGACCACATCGTGCCGTCGGTGCTGGTGCCAGGGCAGAGATCGGGTTCCTTCGCAGGACCAGCTGCAAGGGAGTTGAGACCCGCGAGCAGCGGCCGGGACATTTCGGGCAGCCAGCTCACACCAGGACCGCGCACCCAGGGCTCGCCAACCGGCGATGCGAGGTCAGCAAGCAGAGGACGGCAACCCAGTGTGGAAGGACAGCAGCCTTCCTCGAGATCGCCCCTTGCAAGTGTCACGCCAGTCGCAGACGACAGGTCAGCAATCAGGGGCCGAAGTCAGACCGCCGACATCCCCTCGTCAGGGTCTCCGGGATTAAAACCGCATCCTTTACGCGAGCCGGTGCGCGGCAACACAGTCCCTGCGTTAAAACCTCAGCGCTCGCCGCTGTTTCAGCAGTCGAGCCCTTTCGACCTCCACAGGGCGGACGGTGAGAATGGGGACGGAGATGAGCAGCCAAAGATCGACTACCGAGCCGCCAACGCACCCTATGGAATACCGTCCCCACCACTGTCCAACCGCCAACGCACGAGCGAGGAAGCCGAGAGTCGTCCTGTGATTAGGAGCGTGATGGCCAAGCGTGACACCCTGGTCGTCGGCGGCCCTCCGCGCCAGAGCCTGGGCTTGCAAATTGACGAGTTCGAAAAGACTCTGCAGCAGGCACAGACCATGACGGCGCTGGAGAAGGGCCCGAGTACCAGTACTGTTTCCCGCAGTCGTGGTGACAGCGACGGCGGCAGCAGCAACTACAGCGACATCTCAGAGTCACCCATGACCATCGAGCCGCCCCTCGTCTCGCCAAAGCCCTTCCCTCTCACGCCGAGACCGACGACTCCCAGTGCGAGATCAAACTCGTATTCTAGAGACATTCTCCAGCCGATTGGGCCGACATTGGAGCCAAGGTGGGAGACTCAAGCCGGAAGTGTCGGCTCGATCACGCCGACGTCTAGGAAGCCGGCTAACCCGACTCGAGAAGAGACCAACGACTCACCCGCCGGTAGGCCGCGACCATCGGGTGCCACGCCGGTGAAACGACCGACAGTGGACGAATACGGAAATGCGAGGGTCAACGCGGTTGCTTCGATGGCGAACCGCATCCGCAGGCCCAGCCCGGACGAGTACGGGATCCAGATCAAGCGGACCGAAAGCCCCTTCCGGAACGAGAGCCCGATCCTCAAGGAGGTCCGGAATAGATCTGGCACTGATATATCGTCAGACGGGCTCAGTAGCAACAACACATCACGCTCAAACAGCCCCCTTCCAAACCACAGCCACAGCGTCTTCTCGCCGCCGCCCCCGGCGAAGCGCCCGTTCCCTACTCGGTCCGCCACGAATGAGTGGAACCACGGCCCGGCCCCGACAGCACCCCCGACGACTCCACTGCCTATCCCCGAGAAGAGCGCCCGTCGCAGGAAGGCCCAGGACACGCCAGGTCAGCAGCAGAAGGCGACACCGACGCAGAGCCCCGCACCGACGCCCATGTCAAGATCTCCAGTGCTCGCCTCGTCGGCTAGTATCATCCCCGACCTGGCCAGCAACCCCAACTGGCCCCTGCCAGCACCAGACGCCTCTAGTTCGACGTCCGTGGCCGCCGACGGTGGCTTCGGGGCGCGCCGTTCGCTTCTGCGCGACAAGCGGTCCGCGCCGGCGCCGCTCAACATCGCGGCCACGAGGTTCGCGGAGGACATCGGGACGGGCGGGCCATGGACCCCGGACGACACCGCGTCGGTCGCGCAACCCAAGACGGCCGGCGGGGAGCGTAAGGGCTCGCTGATCAGGGTGGACACGGAGTTCGAGTGGAAGGAGGAGTACTCGACCGCGCCCGGCAACCTCGGCGGGCATCAGCAACCAGCATACCACGTATCGTCGCAAGTGGCGGCGGGCGACGGCAGCAGAGCCGATGCCATCGGCATGGCGAGAGGCCTCTCGCTCAAATATGACCAGGAGAGGGAGCAGCAGAAGCGGGGGAGGGCCAGGGAGCGGATGAAGCTAATGCGGGCGTGGACTATCGACGAGACGGCTGCGTCGCCGACGTCGCCCACCGCCGCCTCACCCCCCGGGCAGCCGTTCGACAGGACGATGAGGCCGAACCACGGCCTGAGGAGCCCGACGGGGATCGCCGACGAGGCTGGGACCAGGTTCATATAATGGGAATATGCTTTTTTGCATGCATGGCTGGTGTTCATTCTTTCTCTTGCAGCTTTCCATTGCGGGGTGGACCGAGGTCCTACTTTTGTTTCGTTATTCTTGGGTAGATACCATTTCGCAGGAAGCTATAGATATTCTCATGTGTTTGTTATTGCACACGATTATAGTGTTCGTGTGGTCTGTGATGAGAATGAATAGCAGCAACGTATCTAATGTGTCCTTCCTTATATGTGCACTTGGCATATGAACAACTTTGATATGTCCCGGAATTTCGACCGCTCAAAAACTGGAGATCTACGAGAAGTACGCGAGAGAAGACTAAATTGGCCAGATACGGTGGGAGTGAACCATTCATGAAAGTGACTAATGATAGGGGATAACTGAAACGAGAATGTCCAAAGCGATGATGCCAACTTGCACTTTTTAATTCTCTGATGCACGCCATCTGCATACCTGTACATAAGGCGATTGTGCCGGGATGGCCGGTAGAACATGATATAGGCAAAGCGTTCACCCCAAAGTACAATGCGCCATGCATAACGTTAGAATGGGCATAGGTGGTTTAAACGGGAAGTGGACTTCCAGGTTGCCTGAGGACTTAACCACTCATATATTTGTCTTCGTCAATGAACCCTATCAGAGCAGACTACTTATAGCATGGCATTCGGAGATGGTCATGACACTGTTGAGCATATCTGGTGCAGTAATTGAACTGGCCTATGTATCCAAGTACCTGAGTGCCGGTTCGTTCTCATCGATCAACAACGGTACGACGGCTGATGTCACATTCATTGTCGGATTTTGTCTCTTACTGAGCACACACAAATGTTTGTGAAGAATCTGCGTTGGGAGGAGTAATGTCCCATGAGAATACATTGAGGTTAGTGTAGGATGCTTTGGTCTCTTTACATAGGTGGTCTGGCATATTTATGGAAGAGCTTCCCCGCGAGTAGATCATGACTGCCGAGCAAGGACGGCGGACACGCCATTGCAGACACCACAGAGAGAGCCATTCCCAAGAGCAACGTGAGCACGATCCCTCTCCAGTCTCAATCGGAACTATGTATGTGTGCGATGGCTCATCCGAGCATGTGTGAGAGAACAAAAGGCAAGCACATCGAAGATGTTACTGCAGTCAGCTGCGCGTAACTGTAGAGAGGGATTGTTTTCGGAACGAGTGGCTCAAAGGAAGAAGGAAATGGCGAGAATGACAAGAATAAACCAATGGATTGAGATTCCGTAACCACATCGATACTACAATTGCCCTAGTGATCTTGTTGCCATACAAAGTAAGTGCAGGGACTCACTGAGACCCACGACCACCTTGCACCTGTTTTATGCGTGGAGGCGAGAGAGTTACACCAAATCCTTCCAAGTAGCCCTAGACCCTCAGGCTCTAGTGAAGGCTCTGTTTTCACAATTCTTTTGTAATTGCTGTCATGTGAGATTTGAGGAGTCCCCAAAATGGTGTACTTTTATACGAATACCTGTAAAACTTAATTTTCATAAGCCCTGGTTAGTGGCAGCCTTTGGAAACCTTTATTGATATCTGATTGACTCGGACCTAGCAGCAGTTCCTCGGAAAAGGCGTGAACTTTGTCGCCGGGCATGACTTCAAATCAATCACTACAGGGTTTGAATCCGCTTCCTCCGCTCCCGGTCTGGACTCTAGACTCGACCACACGCTGCCGCTGCAGCTTCCATCTCGGTATGTCAACTTTCTCATACTCTTTAGAAGGTAGAGTTTCCTTTGATATGTATAATGGAAACATGCGGACTTGTACGCCCCTCCCCTTCATCCCAAGCAAATGAATCCGTACTATAGCTCGACTGGTCATTTTGTAGTATTGCCAAGGGCTATGGGTGGCTAAATTGTATGATGCGGCAGGAATTCGACGGAAGGTCAGCTTCAGAAGACGTGCGATCCGCGAATGACAACTTTAAATTGACTCCTCTCAGTTCTTCAAATAGAGAATGCATACTCGCACCCGTAAAAATGGAGGGTACACCCATACGTCACACACCCACACACCCACACACCCACACACCCAACACCCATATACCCATATACCCAGCACCTACACACTTACAAACCTAATACTTAGATACATCAGGTATATAGGTGTCAGGTATATGAGTTGAGTGTGAATTGGGTCTGTGAATTGGGCGTGGGTGTTGGTTTAGTGCTGGTGACGCATGGGTGTACCCTCTGTTCTTGCGAGAGCAAATATCCGTTCTCTTGAATAATCTGCGGGGTCTGCCACGGAATACGCTTCCTCAGATTTATGAAAAGTATCCAGTGCCTAGATTTATTGCGCATGTCTAGGAGCAATCCCGTACCAGTAACTATGTTGTGCTGTTGACGTGATCAAGCTGGCCTGTGCCGCGCTTCAATGTTTATCCGGTGAATTTCCATAACTGAGGAACCTCCTACGCATCCCAAGTGACCATGATCTCCCTGATACAGCTTGAAGGGAGCTCGCGGTGATGCCCATATCCCAAGCTTTGTGTTATATGCCGAGCTGCCATGTGTTGCTTCACGCTGGCATACCTGGGTACAGGACTGGCACATGTGGGGGAGCTTACGCACTTGCTCGGAACATTTTCCTGCAGCTCCTGTAGGGCTGTCGAGTATCAGGTTGAGAGCAGGCCAAGCTCACAGGCACATGATGAATGAGTCGCGAAACCTTGGAAGCGTGAGAGAGTAGTTGGGCATTCAGATGTCAAACGGGAATTGAGTTTGGTGTCACGGACGGGAAGCTGTTGGTGGTGGTGGTGGTGATCCCGACTTGGCAACGGGGTGCATGCATGGTCTGCAACGAAGCTTCGGAAATAGAACAAAGCAGACTTGTGCACGGTAAGCTGAGAAGGCGTGCTTGCTTGCTGCTGTCTGTGGCAGCGTGGCGTGCAGCTGCGGACCATTCTGCGGCCACCTCCTCGCACGGCGGCGATCCAGCTGGATCGCCCGACCGACCGAAAAGCTTCAAGCTGTTCCTTGTCAGGCCTGGATGGAGGTTTCACAGTGGCCCCTGACGGCCCACGGGCGCTGGCCGCGGCGGCCTGACCTGCAGTGGCCAGAACCCGGGCTGCCAAGGAGGACCAGGGCCGAAGTCCGGGGCTCCCCTCTGATGTATGGGGCCGTGGGCCCTGAAACAAGCTTCAGTGGCAGCTCACTGGACGGCAGTGACAACACGTATTCGCAGCACAGCCTCTCTTTCTGCCAGAACAGAGTTGGATGGCGATATGACATGATGGCTGTGCTGGCGCCCTCATCGGGTCTCTTGAGCCAGTGGATCAGCCTGGACCCCAAGCACCCCTGCCGCCTGCGCGTACGATGAGACGAGTTTCCGAGCTTGAAAGGGGCCCGTCCTGGTGTCAACATCTGCCTATAAAGAGGTCCAGTCCCTCGCGTCAACTGGCCCGGGTTGGAAGAGATCATGACAACATCCACTCCTACAACAGCAAAGAACAGAGTACCTCCTCCTCATACAGTCATCTATCTCAGCCCGTCCCGTCCTTTCCTGACATACCCATCCTCTCACCACCCCACATCATGTCTGCTCAGGATTACTACCGTGACGGAGGAGACCGCCCTCACGACCGCCACCACGATGCCCCTCCTTACAGGGAGGAGTCAAGGGGCGGCGGATCGGACTACTACAGCCACGACGGTGGTCGACGGGATCGCTCCCGCAGCAAGTCCCGCAGCAAGTCCCGCAGCAAGTCCCGCAGCAAGTCCCGTGACCGCAGAAACAGCGGCGGCGACAAGGACCGAGATATCGCCGGCACGCTGATCGGCGGTGCCGCCGGTGCCTTCGGCGGCCACGCCCTCGGGGCCAAGGCCGGCCACGGCGTCATCGGCACCGTCCTCGGCGGTGTTGCCGGTGCGTTCGCGGGCCACGAGGTGGAGGAGAAGGTGGACGACTGGAAGGACGAGCGCAAGGAGAAGAAGGAGGACGAGCGCCGCCACAAGGAGGATGACGAGCGCCATCGCCGCGAGGACGAAGACCGTCGTCGCCGGGACGATGAGGACCGTCGTCGGCGAGAGGACGAGGACCGTCGGCGCCGTGACGACCACCACCACGAGGCGCCCCGCGGCGGTGGCTGCGGCCCTGACACGGTGGTGGTCCAGCAGGGAGACACTCTGCGGGGCATTGCCGCCAGGTTCGACGGCGTCTCGTTCGAGGAGATTGCGAGGCACAACAACATTGCCAACCCGGACATGATCTACCCGGGTCAGACCCTCGCCATCCCCCGCCGTGGTGGGTGGTAGACGTGTTAGTCACGGTAGCACGGCATTTCACGCTGGCTTGTCTCGTGCTGGTGGAGGAACCGGTGGTGTGCAGGCTTGGGATATACCACCTGGGCGGATGACCTGGCTGCTCGACGCACTTCTACGGGAATGGCTTGTTCTGGCACGTGGTAGAAGCGTGACGTGAACGTTGTCGAGAGGATACTGAGTCGATTCCTTTGCCTGCCACCACCCTGCCACAAGACTGAGAAGACTAGGGATCAATCAATGACCAATTCCCAAACACAACGCTTTGCTGCTTTGTAATTCATAGCGCCTTGAGGCTGAAGACTAAAAAGAGTGTTGCATGTAGTGTGCTTTGAGCCGTCAGGATAGTGCGGCATCTCTCTCCGGCCAGCCCCGCGAAGGCCCGCAGATCGAGGTTGATGTCGAGCCCGTCATGTCCCCCCGCTAATGCAGCCGGACGCACCGCGGCGCTTGGTAGTGGGCACGCCCGACCCGATGATTATCATCCGACCCCACCACCGTTGATACCATGGACGGGGGGACCCAGACCCAGTGGCGACCAGCACCCATTCCCACCACCCCATCTCGGTCTGGTCTGGCGAAGAGAACAAGACGGGGGGGGGGGGAGGGAAAAAAAAAGTGAAAAAAAAAAAAAAAAAAAAAAAAACTTTCATCGACCCAGACCGGCGGGACAGATACTAAGTGTTCCATCCATACCTCTTGGGCCACACCCTCATCTATCCCAGTCTTAAGCCAGTCAGTCAGTCGCACGTCTGTCTATTCAGATCGGCCTGAACCCTGAAGGAAGGGTCTTTCGCCGCGTCTGTCTGCCTTTTCTCGACGCTCTCACTCGCGCCGTCGCCCGTCTCCTCACCTCAAGCCGTCTCACTCACCACCATTTCCTGGCACATCGGTCCATGTGCCATCTGGGACCTCACTGAATTACAGCAGGCGACTTCGAGTCTTTGCGCACTGCTCAAGGGGACGATAGAAAGACCACGCGAACATTCATATTCATACCCACATTCACATCGGTATAGTATACTCTGCGGTATATCCGAACTATACGGTCACGTCAGGTGCATCTGCGGCTGCCGCAGCAAGGACGCTTCAGGCCGGATCCGGCCTCATCTTCCGGGACCCAATAGACTTGTCACCCTCAAGCCGGACACGATCGGCAGCACCTTCACGATGGCGTCCACCACCGAGACAACCTCGAACAAGGCCCTGTACGACGGCGTCGACGGCTCGCCCGTGCAGACGCACGTCTACAGCGAGGGCGACGCGCGGGCGGCCACCACCACCGAGAACCAGGCCGTCGCCGAGGGCCTGCAGCAGATCCAGGCCAGGAAGGTCCACTGGTACTCGTACTTCACCACCTGGGACTTCTGGACGCTGATCCTGCTGGGCCAGCTGCTGACCCTGTGCAACACGGCCACCAGCACCTTCACCTCGTTCCTGGTCGAGTGGGGCACCTCCATCCCGGCCTTCCAGACCTTCTTCAACTACGTGCTGCTGAGCGCCGTCTACGTCCCCTACATGTTCTACCGCTACGGCTGGCGCAAGGTCGGCCGCGTCGCCCTCTCGGACGGCTGGAAGTACTTCATCCTGGCCTTCCTCGACGTCGAGGGCAACTACTTCACCGTCCTGGCCTACCGCTACACCAACATCCTGTCCGCCCAGCTCATCAACTTCTGGTCCATCGTCTGCGTCGTCGTCGTCTCCTTCACCCTGCTCAAGGTCCGCTACAAGCTCTTCCAGATCCTGGGCATCCTCGTCGCCTGCGGCGGCATGGGCATGCTGCTGGGCAGCGACGCCATGACCGGCTCCAACAACTTCTCCACCCCGGACATGCTCAAGGGCGACCTCTTCTGCCTGGCCGGCGCCACCTTCTACGGCCTCAGCAACGTCTTCGAGGAGTGGTGCGTCTCGCGCCGCCCCGTCTACGAGGTGCTGAGCTTCATGGGCCTGCTGGGCATGTGCATCGGCGGAGCCACCGCCGGCATCTTCGACAGGCAGACCTTCCAGGAGGCCACCTGGAACGGCCCCGTCATCGGCTACGTCGTCGGCTACACCCTGTGCCTCTTCGTCTTCTACTCGCTCGCGCCCCTCATGTTCCGCATGGGCTCCGCCGCCTTCTTCGACATCAGCCTGCTGACCGGCAACTTCTGGGGCGTCATCATCGGCATCCACGTCTTCGGCTACGCCGTCCACTACCTGTACCCCGTCGCCTTCGTGCTCATCATCCTCGGCCTCGTCGTCTACTTCCTCGCCGGCAGCATGCTCGGCGACTCGAAGAAGCCCTGGCTCGGCGACAACCAGGAGGGCGGCGTTGCTGGCATCGGGACTGCCAAGCTCAAGGCGCTCAATGAGGCAAGGAAGCAGGGCCTCATCGCTGATGAGCGGGTGTAGATGCTCGATAGTTGTCCGTGGGAAGAGGTACCATGGCAAGGAGATCTAGGAGGATATTGTGGACTAAATACATTGGTAATACTTACGGCGAATAAGAAATTCTGATTATAATGATGGACATGTACCTTTCTTTAAGAAGCCTCCCCCCCCCCTGGACGCGTTCCAAGCCAGCCATTGATTGGCTCGAGTCGCACGACACGAGCTTACACAAAGGTCATTGAACGGAAAGTACGGGACTGACCGAAGTGGCAGATGTCGGTTAAAACCAGACCTGCCGTCGCCCGCGCGAACCGTGATTCTCTGGGTCGCCAGCTCAAAGTGACTGATACCGGCATCACCTGGCTCGACTTCGGGTGATTCTTTCTCCCAACGCTCGCCTATTCTCACGCAGCGGTAATTTTAGAATCAACGGGGCTCCCATGCGGTTGAGTCCACGAAGCGTCACTCCATAGTGTGACGGGAGGTGTCTGGCCAGACTGATTGGTTGACTGTGACTTCGTCGGGGTTGTCTGTCCCTCGGCCGCCCTCACCTGTATCATGCCAGGTGTAGTAGCACGGGAGAACGAACACACGCGGAGCCGGACGGTTCCTGCCTCTGCCGAGAGCACCCGGCGTCTGTCCCCGGTGGCGGCAGTCCACCTGTGCAGCACAGACGGGGCCGTGTCTGGAGAAGTTATCACCCCCCAGCGGGTGAACCATCCTCGGCTGGATGCCTGACCTTGGCGGGCTCGCAATGTAGTCACACATCGACTCGTCACCACTGTCTTGTTTCGAATCACTGCCAGAACAGGGCCCCAACGAGGATCTCGGGCCAGCCATTAAAGATCTGGTAGCCGATGGCAAGCCTTCGGCGGCGTCAGGTGTCGAACGGCCGAACCTTGTTGCGCCAGCCACACAGGCCTGACAGGTGGTCCATGAGACGCATCATCAGCGACCGGCCGTCCTGGGGTCCGGGATGTTGTCTCCGATCGGTAAGGATGATCGATATGCGGCATCTACAAGGAGAAGAAATTCCTGCGGGTTTTGAGATCCACTCCCATCGAAGCGTTGGGGGTCTACATGAAGAGTCCCATGTTCACGGCAGAAGCGGTGTCACTCTTCACCCGCGTATTGCAAGGTCATGTATCTCATTGGCTGTCGATATATCACGGCTCAAGATCGGTGTGAACAATAGCCTAGTAGAGGTATCCAAAGATAGCAACAAAGGCTGGACGAGTGTTCGTGATTTGAGACGGTCGACACACGTGACGACTACGACTTTTTCTCCCCTATACCCAAGCCCCAAAATAAACACTGCTAATGGATATTTCGAGAGAGTGCCTGCAGCATCAGCGCCTCCCAACTCCGGCAGAATTGCCCTGCTGCGGGATGTTTGACATCACGTTCGAATCGTGGCGGTGGAAGACTCATAGACTAGAAGAACTGTATCACGGTTCTGCCGAGTAATAAAGATGCCTAGCTCCAAGTTGCCATTCCAAACGATGCAAGACATCGCCATAAGTGCTCAAGACATGATGGGGCTGGACAAGATAGCCCCAGCATCTCGAAAACGTTTCTCCGACAGAGCTATGGCCTCACATGAGATTGGGCCTCGAGAGAAGTTGCACAGATCGCAAGGATATAGATCCTCCATGTAGCCAAGACCAGAAGGACCCTGGCAACTCAACAGCCACGGGCCCGTGACAGCTAATAGCGAATACTTTAATAAGCTTTGTGACCATGTCCTCATCTTTGTTTCGCCATTTACTTTTCAAGATAGCTTCGGCGAGAGCGACGAGGCACTCCCCACCATTCTCACGGCTGGAGGGTGGACGTCTCCAACAACAACAGGCCAACTTGGAATAAGACACCGAGGTCGTGGGGAGATTTGGCCTGGCAGGCTCTTTGTCAAAGTATACGCTGATGCAGTGTGGGGGCAAGTGGTGTCTTCCCGCGCGGGGGCCGAATCGAAAACTTTCAAACCGACAACGACATGTGGATAACAATATGCAGTAGTGCCTTGGGAAGGCAGGCCAGCTGCAAGACAGGGATCAGAGAAGTGTAATAATGTAAAACGCCTTGCATCTGCAGAAGCCGTGGGAAACATCAGGCGACTAATCCTCGGCGTAGAGTGGAAACGTCTCGCAAGGCCCATACCAAGGCTACTTGATACTCGTGATGGCGAGGCTATTGCAGACAATCCTCTCAGGGGGTAATCGCAGGATGTAGGTCGTCGAAAAACTCAGAGCGGTTCCTCCACGGCATGAAACATGCCGGCCTGTCTGGCGGAATACTATCAGACGAGCTGCAACCCGGTGCCGGCATGGGTTCTTCCGCTGGTTTGCGAGGCGCACCTACCGGAGGAAGAAAGCCTGGACGATTTGCAACCAATGTCGTGGATGTTCCAGGTTGAGCCTTGTTCTTCGGAGGAAACCTTCTAGAAGAAGTGAAGGACTAGGATCCCGCAGTTGCTTTTGCGCAGGTCATTCTCACATCACACCGCAGGGTGCAAGTAAATGTCCCCTGACGAGTTTGCATGGCCCAAATCGACGAGATATTCAGGGTCAGCTTTAGCGCCCTCAAGATCAAGAAGGCAGGAATCGCTTCTGTGTTGAAGCTCACCAGTCCTCCAGCCAGACGCTGGTTTAAGAGTTGATGAAAGAAGTGGACAGCGCCGTGGAGCGCCCCGGAACCGGGCGGAGAACAGTTCCAAGACCCGGTGATCAGCGGGGCCGGGACCAATGTCTGTTACCGATCTGATTCTCGGAGGAGCCTCCTGTCGAGTGACGGCCGAAATTTAAAGTCTGGTAGGGCGGGCGACGATCCGGGCGGCAGAAGTGAAGGCTAAACCAGGGTAGACAGGAATGAATGCAATCACCCGCCATCGTTTGTTATTGTGAATGACAATCGATATAGCCCCACAGACTTTCTGGGCGCTCGGCAGGAGGCCCCAAAACCTTGACAGTAGCATTTTGGACAACCGAAGGCGGAATTGGTGCTAAAACCCCGGCTGGTCAGGCCATCAGGAGAACCTCAAATTCTTGTGGGCGACCCTGTGAACGAGCCTGAAAATCCGAGGCCAAACAGGCTTTTGAATTGGTTCGGCGATCATCATGGACTGCTGCGACACGACGTCCGTTGCCTGGGAATGGCACGACGTAGTGTTTTATCGCGTTAGAACGAATGAGGCACTTTCACCCCCCTTTCGCAGGACTATGTACGCCTTAGTTGCCTGACAAGGAAGCCAGTTGAAATGGCGTGGACAATCTGATAACCGTGTCGGGAGTTTGGACTCCCAGAAGATCAAAGTCCAGACAAGCCTATTGTACTGTAGAGCACACGACACGGTGGTGTCCAGGTGCAGGTCATAATCTGGTTGGTATCTGCTGGGAAGGGCCGGGCCGGCTGCCAATGACGGCGCTGTCCTCAAGTGACTGACAAAGGGCTTGTCTCGACACGATCATACACCCCGGCACCTCTTGTTCCAGTGAAGTTTCAACCTCACATGTTGAGATTGCCGATGCCGTTACGAAGGGAGCGAGGGAAACGTCAAGGCAAGATTAAAGATTGATCCAATCATCGGCTGCTTGGCCTTCATTAACACGATGCAGGGCGAGGCTGCTCCGGAAGCTCGGAACCCCTCGGCATGACATTGCATGGCAAGGCATGGCGCGGCACGGGCATAGGTCCTTGCGTTGTAGGGCTGTGTGCAGGTGTTTGCTGTTGGCGATGCGGTGCTGATGCCGATGCTGATGCTGGTGTTTCTTTCTGCCGTCTGCGACCTGCCAAGACACTGAATACTGGCAGGTTGTGTCACGGCGAGCAGGAGGCGGCCAGTTGCAGGGCGGAGAAACAAGAAGCAACAGATACAGATACGCGACGAGCTCGTGTTATGAAGGGTCTCAGATGGCGACAGGGTCGCATCGGCCGGACTTCACCAGCAGTCCATGTGGCAGTTGGGGAGATTGTTGGTGTTCAAAGACCAGCTGCTGCGTTCAGGGCACGCACATGGGGATTGGGCCCGGAGTGTCTGGGTGTGCGTGCGTGCAGCCAGGCAGTCCAGGCATGTAGGTACCTGGGTACTTGGGCAGGTACTGTGGGTCTTGCCTTCTTCTCCTTCTCGAAGCAACAGGGAAGCAACGAAGAAGCTGGGGACCGACCCTGTCGGCAAAGGAAAGGGCAGGTGCTTCCGTCGGTTCGGTTAAAATGGCTCCCCATGGCCTGCCTTCCTTGCCTGGCCGACAGCCTCGCCGTGTCTGGTTCGATGGCGGCCATCCTCACTGGGCCCTGACCACCGGACTGATGAAACGTTGAGAGCAGGCATGGCAGCTTCGACTGAAAATTCTGGGCGGGCTCTGTGAGATCGACAGACATGCTGCAGTGCTTTTCCTGCGTTTCCTGCGGTGCGCTCCGATTTTCTTTGCAGCCTCAGGCCATCCAAGTTCAAGATTGCTCTGCAGATCGGGTCAGCGCAGATTGGGGCCGGGGAAAAGTACCTACCTACCTGGGTGCTACGTTGACTAGACTGCATGCTGCACCCCATGCCGAGGCAAGGAGGTTGACTGACTGCTGTATTGCCTGCATGCAGGTGTCCTACAGCATTTGATCGTCTTCCTGGGCAGCAACTCGATGCTCATTGGGCTGGCGCTGGGATTGTCGGCAGCCCATCACCATCAATCACCATCACAATATCATGCCCGCGCATCGAGCGGTCAAGCCTCGATCAGATGCCAGCGGCCAGCCGCCCGGCCTCGGGAAACTTGATTGCTCACATCTTGGGATGACGAGGTCGTGGGCCACAAGATTGAGGCTCCACGCAACTATTGACAGTCAATTTCAATCTTGCCGACAGCTGCCTTCTAATTCTGTCGAATACGGATAGGGGATGGGGGGGGGGGCGGGATCATCAGGATTCTAGACGGGCCATGCGGGCCACGCAGGCCAGCGACTCGAGAAGAGTATGGGGAAGAGGTCAATTTCCGCCTTGACACCGCATCACGCACAGGCGCAGGTGCCAGGACGGCGCCCCAACGTTGAGGCAAAGATATGGAGAAGGTGGGCAGGCCAAGGGAGATTGGGAGGGCGGAATGGCATCATCACTATCGCCCGGCATGGATGGATTTTTGAGTTTGTCCTGCTATCACCCACCTGTCGCTGTATTAATCATACAGTTCCAGTGCAGTCTAATTACCATTTGTCGTAGGTGGAGACCGTAAAAGATGCACATAAAACAGGCAGGCCGGGCGGGCATGTGCACGGCCACGGATAGACGGCAACGGATGGGCCAGGCAGGGTCTCTCGCAATATCGCAATGGTGTCCGCGGGTTCAAATGGGCGCCGCTCGCCGAGGGCGGGCAGGCGGGCAACGATGGCCCTGCCCGCCCCAGGTGTCGTCTCCAGATTTCATCTTGAGGTGCTGATGGCTCTGTGCCTGGTGATTCGACCACATCCTCCCGCCCAGTGTCAACGGCGCAGGCCGGGCTGGACGCTACCGCCCAAATCCTCCGTGGGCCAATTTGATTCTCAACCTGCGTCGGTCCTGTGCTCCTCATTCCCGGGTCAACCCCCACATCCAAGGTCACTCAATGGACGTTGCATTGTACTCGGTACTTCGCAACGACCTTTGGGCGCTGGACAAAGGGCTGGCTGATCTTTTGGCTTGGGTCACTTGACTCGAACTTTTTTTTTCGATGCTTGCATCTGACAGGCGCCCACTCCCCTTCGGTCTTTGCTGGTGGGAAGGGGTTGTCCTGGCGGCAGCATCACAATTTCTCAGCATCATCATCGTCACCAGGACGGCCAGCAAGCAATCAATGCATCCATCCATCCATCCGTCCATCCATCCCGCCATCGATTGGGTCTGGTCAGGCACAGAGCAGCCTATCCGCTTGCATTCAAGCAGTTGAAATAGACGTGCGTTATCCGTTTCGGCTGCAACGGTACTCAGTCATTCATTACTCAGCCGAGCCCGTCGAGGACGTCACCCGCATGCGCAAGGAGCATTTGCAATCGAAACGGGCAAGTTCCTCGCCTGGCCTGATGGTTCTGGCTGGGCACCTGACGCTTGACTGTGGCAGCAAGTGGCAGCAGGTGGCAGCATGGCAGCGCGGCAGCGTGGCAGCGTGGGTGGCCTTTTCCGAGGAAGGATCCTGTCTCCCTCCCCTTCGCAAGCGGCCATGTCCCTAGGTACCGGGCGCGGTACCCAGGTACCGGCCCATCCAAACAACGTGCGACCTTTGGCCCGGCCTGGTCAGTGCCTAGCCTCCCCTGCCCAGTCTCCTGCCGGTTCCCCTCCTCATTCCCCTCAGGCCCCATTGAATTTGGACGTGTACGGAGTACTTGCCCTCGCTACCCTAGCTGCTTGCCTCAGCCCGCCGCCGCCGAGGGTTGAGGTCAAGTACCGGGGACCTGGGATGGGAGGTCAAAGGCACGGGCCAGATCTCCATTTCCAACCAGGTGCAGGTGCGCTGCTGGGAACCCAGCCGGCCAGTCCCCAGCAAACCCAGTCTCGGTCCCCGTCCTGCGCAGGCCCAGGATCCAAACCAAGGCCCATCCTCCGGTCCCTCAGTCTCCAGTCTCCGAGTCTCCAGGGCAAGGCGCAAAGCAAGTAGGCGAGCAGGCAAGCAAGCTGTGGCCCTGTGTATGTGTGCGCGCCTGTCTGTTGGTGTGCGTGCCTGCCGTAGTTGTGGTGTCAAGTTTGTGCGTATGTGTGCGTGTGTGCGCGTGTGCGTGTGCGAGCGTGTGTGAGATTGTGTAGGTGGCCCTATGCGCCCAGCGGGCGGTTGGTGGTTTGAGTGGTGCCGTGTCGTGTCGCTCTTTTCCCTCTCGAGGAGTTTTTTTACGTTACCTTGCGATTTTTTCTCGGGACTTTATCTACCCAGAGCATCCACCGCTCCGCTCCCACTCGGCTGCCGCCAGACCTGGCACTCTCCTCAATTCTTCCATTTCGGCGTGCGCCCTCTTTTCCTTTGCCGCTGCGTCCCTTTTTCCCTCCTTTTTTCCTTCAGGGCGCTGAAGAAAATCCCCCCACGACAACCCCCCCCAACCTCGTCCGTCCATCGATCCCGACCCCCCCTTCGAGGCACGAGTCGTTGAGCCGACCGATCAAACAAACCACACTCAAGTCAGTGCCAGTGTCAGTGTTCGTGTGTGTCAGCGTCAGCACTCAGCCTTCACCATCCGCACGTCTTGTCTCGCCTATCTCGCCTGGTCTAGTCCTGTCTAGTCCCGGGTCTTTGAGGTTTCCTCGTCCTGGCTGCAGTCGCTTGCGTTCCCGCAACGACATCGACCGTCTGCTCTCCTCCACTCCACCCTACGTTGCGCTCGCTCGAGCTCGACCCTGTCATCTCGACAACAACATATCCACGCCACCGACAGCGAATTGTTGGACATTGATGGTCGTGTGTATAAGGCAGTAATAAGCAAAAAAAGAGTTTGGAATCCTGGCGCGCGGGTGAGTTTGCAGTCCCGGTGATTCGGACCCCAGTGCCGCCGTCTTGGGCCTCGCAAGTGCGCCGTTGAATCCATGCGCCCACCAATGTGTTCCGTTGGGACTGGCATAGACAGCCAAAGTTGGCCGCGCCTCCCTTTTGCAACATGTTCTGCGAGGCGATGAGGCTCCCTGGGGCTGATATGGGGATCTGAACGCAACCGCAGTGCTGTCTTCTCGGTTCTTTGCTTACCGAATCATGCTGACAATTCTCCGCTTATTGCAGGTCTTGATTTTGCACAACAACGAGCTCCTTCTTGATACCCCTGAAGATTCTGTTGCCTGCCCTCGGGAAAGGTTACCGTTACGATTCATCATGTCATACTACGGCGACGCGCAATGGCCCGCTGGCGGTCAGCCTGGTTGGGACCACCAAACCCCTCCCACGCGCTCCGGTATGCCTCCTGTCATTCCTTGACACTCGACAACAATTAACGTCGCTGGACAGGCGCGAGCTCCACGATACCTCGCGAGGAAACCTCGGCATTCTGGTATCAATTTGAGGGTACGTGCGCTGCAATTCCGGCCGGGCGACTGCCCTCCCAGCTTTACTCTGCATCTGGATCAGACATTACTGCTTGCTCTGGCGCCGAAACTGCAAGGCTTGGGTCTGAGAACAGGAATAGAAGAGTGCTTGTGGGCAATGGTACTGATACTGATGAAAATTACAGAGGTTGAGCGCTCCATCGAGAATCTGGTCAAGAGCGGTAAAATGTTCGGGATTCCTGGTGGCAGACGTGAGTTCAAACCGCCCTTTTCTCCCGGCCCTGCCAGAAACCGGCCCAAGTTCGGTGAGTATGCACATCAGTGCCGGCTGGGCCACATCCCAGCATCGTCCAAGCTGACACATACCCCACAGACCCTCGTGGCTCCGGCGGCCCCCAGCGCCCACAATCGGTCGAGTTTGATGGCCGGTCTGGCCCCCCTTCGTCGAACCTCCAGAATTTCTACGCCTCCCAGCGACACCAATCCTCGCGCGGCTCCAACGAGGCGGAGCAGATGATGCAGGCCAAGAGGAGGATGGCAGCTCAGCGGGAGCGCGAGCTTCGCAACTATCATCAGGAGCAGCAATACAACCGAAGTAGGCCGCCCTCCTCTGTATAGCGTCACGAGACTCCTACCGCAATGAAAAAGAAGAAGACACATTCCTCCGTTCAGGGGTCACCAAAGCCAGAGACTGTTGTTGCGAATTCTCCATGCCTCAAGTGCGGCCTGACATATTGATGCCCCCATTGCTTCTCCCGACACCCCCTTTGTAAGACCGGACGGCTGGCTCGGGACCCTCACGTCAGAGCCACGGCACGAAGCACTTGATTGGGACTTATGAGCTAACTGCTGCGATCAATAGCTGCTGTCACCGACATTCAACCCGGCCCCAGCTCCGCCAACGCGCCCAAGTCTGCCGAACGGACACTGAGCCCCAGCGGCATGTCGGAGGAAGCCCGTCGTGAGCTGATCTCGCGCCAGCGGAGCGCGCTGTACGGCGAAAGCCCCTTTGGACAGACAGGAGGGTACATCGATGAGACCGGAACACCTCGCCAGGGATTGCCCGTCCACCACGGTGGACCTCCGGGTATGCGCGGCCCGTCGCCCCTGACGTATGAAGCCGGCCCGCAGCCGCCCAACGAGCCGGTCTCGGCTGGTCCTCAACAGCGAGAGCGGAACAGCAGCAACGCCAGCCCGGCCTCTAACCCTGCCGGCAACAAAGGCTCGCTTGAACAGCAGATCAGCAGGACTAGCAACTCCTCGCCTGGTGGCGAGAATGGCAGGGCCGTCACCGGGAAACCCGTGGCTCCTATCGGCACGCGGCCCTCGGGACCGCCCACCTCCCAGGGACCACCGAACCCGGCTCTGCAGAGGCAGTCGACTACTCCTCTGCCGTCGCCCCTGAACCAAGGCTACAACGTTTCGGGAGGCGGCGAATCAGGCGGTGTGAACACCGCGGCTGGACCGGCCAATCCTACCTCGGCTGGGTCTGACGCTCCTGTTGGGCTGGGCAGCTGGCCTCAGAGAGGACAGCCTTGGGGCCCCAAGACACAGACCAGCGTGTGGGGCTAAAGCAGAGGGCACACTGGGGATCCTCGAAGGCCAGAAAAATCCGAAGGATGGGTGGGATGATTTAAAATGCGCGGGACGTAATTGGTCAGGTGCATGCATTGATCTGGAGAATGGTGGGATCATGGTTACAGGGTGTTTTCTCAAAGGCTTTTGCGTTTACGGATGTCGGCATCCCGGAGGGAAGGCGTCGAGACACGATACCTGCATTGGCACTGGCATTGGCATTGGGCCTATTGAGCTGGTTGGCATATGATGATTGACGGCTGTCTCGCGTGGGAAAGAAAGGATACCACTCTGGAATTTTCACTATTGGAGCAAGGGAGACTCATGTCGGGCGCCAGGGCAGTTCACACACAACGGTCATGTCTGGTCTGGGTCTACGTTGGGCGGAGTTCATCTTGTCATGTTGTTCGGACGGCGGCTTGGTGTTGGAAGTCTTTCACCCTAATATTCCCCCTTGGGTCGTACCGGTTGTTGGAGTTGTCTTTTTTTCTTCTTCATTTCCTTGCAAATTGTTTCTTAATGTTTCCCCATGTTGTCGGTCGCGGGTCGGGAGTTGGCATGATTTTGACGTGACGAAGCGGTCGGTGCTGGAAGGGACGGTCGATACCCACGGTTTTACACGGGGCGCGGCACTCCTGGCTCAGTATCAACTACAAGCGTCACGATCCCCCTACAACACCAAAAAGAGAAAGAGCATATCTGATATATAGGATGGAGAATCATCACACGGTGGCAAAAAGCACAAAAAATGGAACAAAAATAATCATCGGCGGAATCATCATGGCGCATCTGGCACAACATCGGTATGTTGGGCGATTCAGGCGCACATCTCCTGTATCCAGGCCCAAAAAGCAAATCCTCAAGTGATCTATGATAAGGGCAGGGCTCGCACAAGCTCGTCATGATGGTTCATTCCTGTCTGCCGGCCTCTCCTGGGGCGGTGAAGTGACGGTGCTCGTGTGCCCAAAATCTGAGCAGCTGACCCTGGAAATGCTGCACTCCGGCTGTCACAGAAGCAAGCAATCAAATTTGATAAGGGGAATGCAGTGGCCGAGGAGAGTCTCGGGGCTGAACTCAGATTGAGGGAGTTTCTGCACGACATGGAGCACACACACACACACACACACACATTCAACACTCCGGGCCGAACCGGGCTCCGCCTCCGACTCGGCATCCCGACCAACAGCCCCCGAAAACAAGCACCGATACCCCCACAGGGGCCCGCGCCCGAGAGCGACACGACGCCAAATAACACGGATGTGCGAACTGCGGCGTCGGGGGTGCGACAGAACTGCGACAAGAACCCGGCCGCCCGTCACGTTCAAATTCATCCCCCCTCGTTCATCAACAAGCCGGAACAGACCCAAACACTGCGGTAGCCGAGCGGGCTGTTCCTGTTGTTATTTCTTGGTGTCGCGTTGCGCAAGAATGGTGTGGGAATATAAACAATCACATGGAAACGATCGAGAACGGGTACACATTGTACGAGATGAAAGTGACCTGTTAGATTGGGGAATCTCCCCGGGAAGAGCCCTCCCCAGGCGGGCGATGCACACGCAAGCAAGCAAAGCGGGCCACACAGAGGGCGAGACACCACACAGGCAGAGAAACCGATGTCTTGCACGCCTGCCGCGACCGGTCGTTCATGTGTGCGTGTCTCTGTGTGTGTGTGCCTCGTGGCACCACCCCTCGGCAGTGAGCCTCACGTCGCACGGTTCCTGCGGCTCGACCGTTGCAGTCAGAGTTAGTCTAGGTCCCGGGACAAAGTAGGGGGGCCCGGCCGGCGGCCGGCCAACGAGCCAGCCTGCCAGCCTGCCCAGATAGTCGAGCAACCCCAGGGAAGGAGGGGTGGGGGGCAGAGGCACGATCGACGTTTAAGTCAGACTCAAGTTGGTGCGACTGAACCGGTGCGGCCGGCCTCGCGGCCGGTCCTTTTCAGCATTGCGCGTAGCCTTCTCCAACCGTTGCGTGTAGGATATATAACTCCGTACTTGTTGCCTGGCCCAGTTGCGCTAACCAACTCCTAAAAATCAAGTATGGGACCGGCACCGCTCAATGCTGGGTCCCTCCAACGATATGCTGCGTGAGCCCCCTCGTGCCCGCTCATGATTACAAGCCCAACGCCCGAATGCCAGCCTCAAGGTCCACGACCTCGTCCGCCCTCTCCGCCTTCCCGCCCCAGACCACGGTGCCCCTCTCGTCAACCGCGAACGCCCCGCCCTGCTGCCACTTGTTGCCCATGATGGTCCCGGGGCCTTCACCCTCGGCGGCGCCCGACGCCCCGAGGTCCATGCCCCCTCTATTGGTCATACCCATCTTACGGTTTATGCTTGTCGCTACCGTACTTCCCAGCCAGCCTTTCTCCTTCCACGCTGCTGTCTGTGTAGTCGGGTTGAAATAGTACCATACTGAGGACAGGCCCAGCCCCCAGGCGGCGTAGATGGCCCGGTCCTCGTCGATAACGACCTGCACTTTCCAGGCCCCTCCCATCAGGTCGACCCACTTACTGGTAGCAGCGGGTGAGGCGTGGGATATGGCGATACAGGTGACCGGGGTCTTGTTCGCGAGGTCACGCAGGGCGAGAAAGTTCTTTTGAGCAACTGCGACCAGGTCAGGGGGATGTTCATTATTGATGTAGGCGGTGGAGAAGGAATGGATCGCGGGATATAAGAGACGCGCTGGCCTTGGCGGGTGAGGCGCCCGGGACAACTTAGGGACAGGCTACTTACATGCGCAGCCTACACACCGCAAGAAAACAACGATCACCTTGCGCCCATTGCTGCCGAGCATCAACTTCCTGTCGCGATCTAATGGTGCCAATGCTCCGACACCAGGGCAGTCTGGAGCGATTGGCACTGGGGGCGGTGCTGGGGAGAGCCAGGGCTGGACCGTCAGAGGCAAGCTCTTGACGGTCATCCACTTCGGCCAGTTGTTCCCATCGGCCGCATCCAGCTCCTCGGTAGTGAGGCTCTTCTGGTTCTTCTTCAGCCTCTTGGGCTCATCGTTGGCACCGCCAAAGGGCGAGCCCATGTTCATGGCATCCTTGGGAACGCCCAGCTTCTTGAGCGCGAGCTTGGTCCCGAGGCTGGAGAACATCGTGTGCGGGCTGGGGCTTCCCAAGGTGAATGATGAAGGACTGGAGCTTATACCAAGGTAAATAAACAATTAATTAATTAGGCTCTGGTGGATGAGCTGGCGATCGTCATGCATATGCAGGGGTGATCGAGGTCGGCGAGATGGGAATTTGAAATCGGGGAACATAATGTGAAAGGACGAAGAAAATCGAGAAACTCTTCGTTCTCGCTCTCCAGATGAGATTGGAAGAGGACAGGAGGGGCATGTTGAAACATTGCTGTCTGAGTGCTGAAATGAAACCCCATTGTGTCCTTCGCGGGCTGTCGAGGCTGTTGCTTGAGACAGGGCACGTTTCGGGAGCGCCCAAGCCTCGGTCGAGGCCCGCGCGAGCAGGGGCCACGCCCCACGGGCTGTTGAATTCCACCCTCCCCTGCAAAGAAAAATGTGTCTATTTTCCTATAACAGCTAGCGCGGCCCGCTCTCCCACCTTAGCGCTTCTTGGCACTTCCTAAATCTAAAGTTACTTAAAAAAAATATATCTTGTTTATTTTAAGGAATGTAAAGAGTATTAAGTTAAGCCTTAAAGTAATGCTTAATAATATTTATTAATATTATTTATCCTTACCCCAGCCAGCCCTTTTTAAATTTAATTGCCAGCCTTAGGGAAGGAAATTTAATTAAGAAGCTCTTTTAAGAGTAACCTATATGCTTTTAGATGATTTTTGGAGTGGAGCCGTCTTTCCTTTTCAGGGAAAATGTATACATTTTTCCTTGCAGGGGAGGGTGGAATTCATCGTCCCGCACGCCCCAGCTACCCCTGAGGAAGCGAGGCGCAAGGCTGAAGGATGGGGCCCTGGGTTGGGGGAAGCTTGGGCCAGCTGTGTAGTGGGGTACAAAGGTGCACGGGCCCTAAGGGAAGCATCCAGACCTGCCGATTGGTGGTGCTGACCGTGACAGTGCGGGGCCCACTCGCTCGGGTCTCAGCCTGATGTTTACCTTGGCACATAACCTACCTAGGTAGGTGCAGTACAAAACCTGTCAAGGTTTCAATTCAATGATCCACAGAGAAAGGCAAAAAAACCTCCGGCGAGTCGAGAACATATTAGATGGGTGCCGGGCTGCCCTGCAGGAGATCTTGTGTCAACTGGTGTCTGCGATTCGGATCAGATACTATAGACTTTCCATGGGATGCCAAAAACCTTCGACGGTTTACCGTGCGTCCGGACTCATGACATGCGGCCGCTCTAAGCAGCAAATTGCGCTTGGTCATGACTCTCCTAACCTCCTATTCTCCTGAAGGGTGGATTGTGATTGAGTGATCGCCTGTTTACATATGCTACGCGGTTTTTATGCAATCATTGCTGCCACAGAGAACAAGTGCATGTTTCAAGAAATAAGACGGGCACTCGGCCGAGGGTCCCACCTGTACTGTGCCCTGCGTCGGGTGGTCGCTCTCACGCGTGGCGGTACCAAGAATGGCGGGTGGAAGCTTCCCGGAGCGGAGTTCCGATTTGGTACATGTCTGTTTAAGTGCTTGCAGCAGAGGAAACCTTGGTGGATCGTCTGGAAATTGAGACGAACTGCGACGCAGGTCTCGGCAAGCAGCAGCGATCAGACAGGCGAACATCTTGACGGCTGATCACCGATTGTGACACCCAGCCATGCAGACGAGAACAGGTAGGCACCGCTCCTCTTTGTGCATTGAGATTATTAGCCTTACCGTGCTGCAAGCAGAGGCATGGTGTTTTCTGGTGCATCGCATACGATCAGGGCTCCGGGCAACACAGGGTCAGAAAAGAGTGGGAAAGAGCATGGCGCGAGTGCCACCGAGCTCGATCCGAACATAGACGAGGGTTGGTTGCATTGCCAGGGGTTGGGTCTTCGTTTCTATGCCAGCATCCCGATGACCATTGGTGGAAGCCAGCAAGCTTGACGGTCAGGCTGACGCACATCTCAGATTGGCCCATGCATGTCGCATATTGAGGCACGCAATGGCTCTTGCATACTCCATGGCTAGACCTGGTCCGGGCTATTGACAGCATGCGAAGCCAACATGGTAGCAAGGCTGGCCACCTGGTAATAATTGTTCCACTGCGGCCCCTGGCATCCTATGTATAGAGGGGTGCGCGGCCACTGCACGACGGCAAGATGGCCCGATCCTGTATTTTGCCAGCTACGCAGCCGAGTGGTGGTACACCTCCCGCCAAGTCGCTCCGACAAGCCAATGCCGAACCTCAATTCTGGGATCTGGCAAACGAGCGCTGGCCAAGCCACGCGGACAAACTATGGGACGAGGCCCGATTTCCGAACCCGTTGATCGGCTAATCAAGATATGTTCGGTTCAGACAAACATGTAGTATGCGTCACTGGGCAAATGGTACTCGGCTGGCGGATCTGGGGCATGCAAAGCCAGACCCATGGGCAGCTGTAGGACCCTTTATGGCGGAACATGACGTCGATCGGGTTGCTGTTCAAGACCAGAGCACCCTTTGTCTGATTCCGGTTCCTCGAAACGGGTAGGTACCTTGATGTCCATTGGCCCAGTTGTAATGGCACTGCTGCAGAGCTTGGTTACACGGCGTGCGTGGTCAATCGAGCCCGACCTGCTGCAGAGCCGAGAGCTGTGATGGTAAGCCTCATCCACCATCATACACGACACACCGGGCCAGCAGGGTTCGTAAGTCGGCTTGCCTTGCAGGATGAGGCAGCTGAAGCGACATCGAGAGGCGCTTGGGTCTGGGCGTCAGACCCGGTGGTACCATTGTGCGCCCTGCTCAGCCTTACTGCGCCCTGAGTGATTGATGAGTGAGAGACCGAGACATGTTAGCGGTCGAGTCGGCAGCCGCCGACTGAGTGCGGAGATACGAACTGTGGGGTTGTCAGAAAGGATCCGGCACTGTGGCGGAAGCGTTTGGACACGTTGGGAAGTTGAGCAGTCGCCTGTCTGCACACAATAGAGACTGAGACTGTCGTGTCTAAGGCACACAGGCCCGTAAGATCTGAGCATAGGATGTTGGCTATAAGTGGGAGCGGAGCTCGTATAGGGACGCGGTGCCTACAAGCAAACTAGCTGGACCAGGTTCTCTGTCTACCTGGTGGCCATGCCGCCCGCTGATCACAAAGGAAGCGTGGAGGTGTTTGGAGGGCTTATTCCAAACGGAGGAAGAGGCGTCGAGCTCCGGCGTGCCCTGATGACTTGGAGCGGCGCGTCGGAGAGAACGGGAGCAGGGCTGCCAGACTGGGCGAGCTGTGGCGACCAGCCCCTTGATCTGTCGCAGCTGAGGCGTGGGTGAGATGAAAGAGCCCCGCAAGGTTCTCGTGATGAAGGCGAGTCGCGTGTTCTGGGGCGTCGAAATGAGCGCTGGGGACCTGAGGGACTTGAAGTGCGCACTGCCCGTGTTTGCCGCGTCTGGAGGGCGGGGGAAACCCGAAGGGCGGTAAAGTGGGTGCGGAAATTGGAATAAAGGGGGCGAGACGTTGACGACACAGCACACGCCTTGCCCAGTGCCCAGGGCCCAGTGTGTTCAGTGTGCTCGGGGCTCGGTGAGAAGTGACGAGTGGTGGTGGCAGACCGACGACGGGCGTGTAGCAGGGCTCCATTCTGGCCTCCAACAGGCATGTGGCCATGGATTGATCGATGTGCGGAGGCTGCCCTTGGCCCGGCTGCCATCCCTAGGTACTTGCCTACTGATACCTAGTGTGGTTCTTCTGGAAGCTGCATCTCCATACCTACCTGCCTACTAGGTTCTGGACATGGTACGAGCGTGCATCGACACGCGCCGCCCCCAGGGCCGCAGGGCCCCAGAGAGGCAGCAGGCAGCGGTGGATGGAGAAGTTCCTTCTCATCCTGGGATCTGATGGCCTTCACGAATAGGGAAACGGGGACCCACCAGCAGTGCACCTGCCACCCCCGCAGCGGCCAACCCCTAGGCAGTTAGGCAGTTTCGGAATAAGATCGCCCATTGGCCCTCGTAGGAACAAAGTCCCTTGCCCGTTTCCTCGAGGGAAGAAAGCGCGTCCCAGAGCGTCATTTTGCTGCCACTCGGTCTGCCAGGCAAGGGCGGCACGAACGGTGAGGACTGGAAACGCGGTACTCCAATATTACCTGGGCAGTACCTAGGTAGGCCAGAGAATTAAAGGCCAGAGATCGGGGACCGCACACCAGATGGAACAGAAGGCTGCATGCATATTCAACCAACACACAGACTAAAGAGAACATGGACTTGGAGTCCCTCTTGTAGCAGGAGGCCAGGAACATAAGAGATGGGATGGAAGAGGAGACTCCCGGAAGATCATATGCCTGGCACATGTATCTACCCCTCTCCGAGCGGAAAAACACACAGACAGCAGGTATGCAGTACCGGGCTACAGTCCTGTGACTATAGGTAACGGAGGAGGCATGCTTCTCTGCAGTACCTACCTAGGTACTGTGTAGGCCAGGTGTGAGCGATCGGCTGCCCACATTTGGGGAGGCGACAGTAGCTGCACATTGTCTGCCTTTGTACCTACCTAGTAGTCTACCTGGGTCCTACCTATGCGTGGGCACTGGGCCGAGTAGCAAGCCTGCCACCAGTTCAATGCAGTCAATGCCAGTCCCTTTCAAGACGTCGGCCTTGTGCCTTGGCCTTGGCCTCTGGCTGGGTAGGCTAGATAGATCAACCACCTGGACCACCCAGGTACCTGCCCTGCCCGCCTAGGTATACTGCAACCACGTCCTGCCCCATCTGCCCTCTTCACGGTATCTTCGTGGGACTCGCGGACGGTGCTGGGCCATCGGTAACAATCCAATAACGAATCTCATCTCCTTTCGGCCCCCCTCTCACTTCCACTCCAGACAGCACCTGCGACCCGGAGAAGGCAGATGCTCCAGAGGCTAAGGGGGTTTCTGCTTGAGTACCTAGGTACCCGGGTGGCTCGACCTGGAACAAGACCCCAACCTGGCTCATTTCCCGCCTGCGCATGCAACCGCAACCCGCACCGCACCGCACGGCTCTGCACCTTACCGCTGCCAGGCCCTGCCAGGACCAAAACCAGAGCCAAAATCATAAACCAAACCAAACCAAACCAAACCCACCTGCGCATTCGCACTTGACCTGCCGCGCCTCTCCTCTCCCTCCCTCCCTCTTTCTCCATATTATTTTGCCGGCCAAAAGACGACCAGGTCACGCCGTCAGACGTCGAGGATTTGCCCGTTCCTTCACCTGCTGCATCGACACTGCATCACGTTGCTTCCCTTTCGCACCGCAGAGCAAGGCAGAGTAGGCCCAGAGCATAGCATAGCATCCCACAGCATTTGGCACATACGCGCACGCACACACAGGGCATATAGCATTGTCGCACGCTCATTGCATGTCCAGCCAGCACCCACCGTCCATTTCCGTCCCGCTACCCGGGGTACCCTACACCTTTGCGCCTGCACCTCTCCCGAGGTCCACCTGCACCTCTGCCTGCGACTGCGCCAGCGCCGCGCCCACGCCCACGGCCTGCACTGCACTGTGCTTCTGCACTGCTCCCCTCGACTTCCCTGACGCACACATCCCGCCGCCCCCCCTTATTTCGCTCCCAAGACTGTTTGAATAGTCGCTTTCTTCTGCTCGGTCTCTGCAGCGGCAACACTCAGCAAGAATTCATTCAGCAGCAGCAGCAGCAATAGTCCAGGAAACGGGTGTCACTGATTGCAAATCGCTTCCTCCAGGCTTTCTTCACTCACCGTCTGGTTGCGACCGTGGTTTGCTATTTTGGGAGCACGCATCACAACCATGTATGTACAGTACAACAACTCCTAATCCCGATCCTGACCTGTGTGGTCCAGCACCCTCTCCCACCTGCCCGACCACAGCGCTTATCCTCAACTCAGTCGCAGAAGCAGAAACAGAAGCTGTAACAGCCCAGGTAGACCTCAGGCTCCTCCTTCCTCAGTTAGACCTGGCTTGCCGGTCACCTCACGCATCGATCTCGCTTGCCTCCTGCTTTCCAATTTCTGCGAGAGAGGTAGCCACCAGCCCGACACACTGTCGCAGGTTGACTGTCCCAGCCAACCGAAAAAAGCCGGCCCTGACCACTGGTCACTCACCGACCCAATCCTTAATTCTCGACGCCGAGTCCCTTGATATCTGCCACATCCTCCATCGTGTGCCCTACTCCGATCCACTCCCGGCATTCACAGAGCGCGCCCAACCGCTCTGCCCTCCCTGCCCTGCCCTGCCCCGCCCGTGCAGACAAAGGTGCTCATTCCTCCCAGTTCCTACCACGCCTTTCCTCCTGCCCGTGGTAAAAGTCGCCGGCCCAGATTCATGGACAGCCGGTCAGCTACGGCGGAACCAAACCAGACCTACCAACCAGTCAACCCCTGGGGTCGCATCAGCGTTCCCTCGACACCGCGAACCCCAGCTGCCTCCACGTCGGGCTCGAGTTCTTTCACCGACGCCACCTCGGCCGCCAGTCCGTACCCTCCAGCATATGACCTGCTGCCCCTGCTGGTATCGCAACACCAGGCGCAGCTGTTGCAGTACAACAAGCTCATCTCTCCCGGCAGAGGAGGCGGAGGGTTGCAGAGTCCACCTCTCCCGAGTGCGCTCCCCGTGCCCAATATACAGGCAGCGCCACGGTCGAGATCCTCCTCCAAAGTGTCGAACAAGGAAGGTCACAGCGTCAAGCAGTCTCCTGCACCGCAGAGCTGCCATGGGACAAGAGGGCCCAAAAGCACAGACAGATCAGAACGTGAGGGCATGACAAAGGGGAAGGACACGGACAAGGAAACACCTCGCAAGATGCCTCCAAAGCAACAGCCTGATCTCGCCCACCCCCTCCCCTCCCGGCCACCGCCTCGAGCGAACCCCGCCCAGCAATCGACGAGCAGCTCTACACAGTCTATCTCTGTGCCATCGACGCCGCATCAACGGCCGCGGAATTTCTTCGAAGAGTCCGAGTCCCGTGAGCCCTCCCCGACCGTCGCGCAAAATCATTCCCCTCGATCAGCATATTCAGAACCGAATGGCGGTGCTGCCTCCATGCCGCTGCGCCCTTTTCCCAAACCTTGTCAATACGAGACCGCATCTAGGCATTTCCGGAGGCGCATACCTTATAGTATAGGGTCAGATAGGCTGGAACGGGTAGACTTGGACAAGGTGAAGAACAACTTGTCTAAAGATGAGGAGCGGAAATTGTCAACCGATATGCGCGAGCTATACGACAGGTTATTGCCATCGGCCGAAGTCGAAGAGAATCGCAAAAAGCTGGTTCAGAAGCTTGAACAGATCTTCAACGACGAATGGCCTGGTCATGAAATCCGGGTCCACCTCTTTGGCTCCTCGGGTAACCTGCTGTGCTCGGACGACTCTGACGGTTGGTCACAATACCCACGCGACATAATGTGGACGTCACTGACGGAAAACAGTTGATATATGCATCACGACAGACTGGAAAGAAATGGAGGGTGTTTGCATAATAGCTGACTTGTTAAAGAAGCGTATGTTTGCCTCGCCTCTTTCCCCGGACTGACATTATCTATGCTGATCGTTTCGGCAGGCGGCATGGAACAAGTGGTTTGCGTTTCCACCGCAAAGGTCCCCATTGTGAAAATCTGGGACCCTGAGCTCAAGTTGGCCTGCGACATGAACGTCAACAACACCCTAGCACTTGAGAACACTCGCATGGTTCGTACCTATGTGGAAACTGACGAGCGTGTCCGGCCACTCGCCATGGTCATCAAGTACTGGACACGGAGGCGAGTCATCAACGATGCTGGTAGGACACCCACGCCACCAATAGCCACTGAGGCTCTGTTGACTGACTTCACTTCGCATCCACAGCCTTCAGCGGGACGCTCAGCTCCTATACCTGGATATGCTTGATCATTGCGTTCCTCCAAGTCCGCCAACCGCCCGTTCTACCCTCTTTACACCAGTGTCCGACCAAAAAGCTACCCACGACAAATGGTCACAAGACTGATTTCGCAGATGATTTGACCCAGCTGAGAGGTTTCGGTGACAAGAACAAGAGCACTCTGGGAGAACTGCTGTTCCAGTTCTTCAGGTTCTATGCTCACGAGTTCGACTACGACGAAATGGCGATATCGGTGCGGCTCGGCAAATTGGTTCCCAAGAAGGAGAAAAACTGGCAAGTTGGGAACGGAAATCAGAACCTCTGTGTCGAGGAGCCTTTCAACCGAGAGCGTAACCTAGGAAATACCGCGGACGACTGGTCGTTTCGTGGCATCCACCTGGAGCTTCGACGCGCCTTTGAGCTGGTAGCGGAAGCAAAGTTGGGCGAATGCTGCGAGCAGTTCGTCCAACCCAAGGAAGAGCCAACCGAACCCAAGTTGTTTACAAAGCCGACGTCGCGTCCAGCCATTATCCGCAGCTCATCACAGCAGAATTCAGGAAGAGGCGGGCGGAACGGTGGCAACAGAGGCAACCGTAACCATTTTCGCAACGGCAATAGCAGTCGGAGGGCTTCATCAAGCAACGCCTACGACAACACGCAGAACCCCGGCGCGTTCCCCCAGCCTGGTGTCATGCCGAACGGGTTGATGGCTCAAGACCTGCAGTGGAGCCAATTTGCGCAGCATTACCAGTACCCTGAAAATATGGCAATGCTAAGTAATGCCTTGCAAATGCAGGATCGGCTGAACTGGTATACACATTACCAGCTTACGGCGCATCAGCAAGCTGTGGCGCATGCCCAACGCATGCAAGCCGGCTCCACGCAGGCTGGTGAAAGATCACGGACAAACTCGTTCGACCAAGCGCCGCCACTGACCGCTCCACCCCGGCCGGAACATTATGTATGGCCCCTTCACCTCCAGCCCGCGTTTTACCATCACCACGCCGGCTATGGGACCTACCCCAGCTCGCCTTCCGCGCCAACCGCAGCCCCCGAGTTTAGGAGAAGCCTGCATAGGTCAAGCGCGGCGAGTGAGGTTGGTGGCTCGTCCGGTGGCGGTACACTGAGATCCCAGTCTCAGCCAGCATCTCGAACACCGGCGCCCGCCAATAAAGCGGTTCAAGGTTCTGGAACGCCATCCCAAATGGTCAACGGTGTGTCGAACCATGCGCCTCGCCAGTCAAACCTCATTCCCTTCCCAGGACTCGCCTCGGATGACAGGACGGACTCGGAGGTAGAAGAAGGATCAACCAGGACGGTACCCGACTCTCCGCCAGAGGAAGATGGTGCTGGATATCTTGGCTACTTCGTCGCTGATTCTTCAACGCCACCTCGTCGGCCAATGCAAGCAGTTCCTCCTCTCAATGATGTGGGGCTAAGTAGCATAAACCGCCGCAGGCTGTCTACCGAGGGACCTCAGTCTGTTCTTGACCGGCGATTACAGAGGACGTCCAGATCTCCATCCCCGCTCGGACATGGTAGGACCTTCTCCGGGACGAACTCGGCCCCAATCGCTTCAGCGCCGTTCTCGCAAAGCAGCAGTCGGACCTCCAAGGATACCACGCCGTTGGTTGTGAATGGTTCAACCTTCATGCCGCCTTCTGCCATGCCATCGAGCTGGGTACCCACAGGTGATGATTCTGGATTCGACAACCCACTGCGAATTAGTCAAGTTCCAGGGGCCAACAATACCATGATTCCTGAGCCCTCTAGCTCGCAATCTGCAATGACATCAGAACCAGGCTCGACAGGTCTGGACCGTCCGCTTGTTGTCAACGGCTCTACGCAATGCCACATTCTGCCTCATTCCCAAGCTCAATTGCAGTCTTTCGGACAGCGGATGGCAGCAACGCAGGGTCCCAACGGTGCGCCTTATGCCGCATTTTTTGGGGACAAATTCCAGGGCTATGGAAAAATGTCAGAGCTAAGTCGCCAGAGGTTAGCAGTACGGAACCAGCAGGCCGGTATTTCACCGCTTGACTTGGCTATTCCAAATCCAATGATGCCCGAGTCGCAGCACTTGTCACCAGTCTATGAGAATCGAACACCTTCACCGACAGTCCGGCGACGATGGGAAGCTTCAGCGAGCCACGGGAGGATGGTCATGCCTGGACAGACCGCGGGCTCCTCAGACGACTCTCTACGAGAACAAACGACCAAAGCCTTGCATAGGTCTCTCGGGGCCAATGGTGTCACGAATGGTGGTGACAACGGTCCTTTGCCTACCACGCGACCGAACGGTTCTGCGCTGCAAGAGAGCGCCCCCCTCCGTGCAGCCAAGGGCGATTCCGAGAATGCGAGCGGATGGCAGAAGCAGAAGTCTCGCAAGAAGCAAGCAGAGGTCAAGAGCACGACGAAGACAGGTTCTCAGAGCGAGAAACCCCCAAAGAACGACCTGGAACGGAAGGGAGGATGAGCGGGCCCTACCCGATGACTGCGTTGTCGCCTTTTGGATAAGCGCACATCCTTGAGCCCAGTCGTGATTGCCGGGTACAAGAGCGTGCTTGATCTTATTGGACAGCTCTGTTCAGGATCTCGCCACTTGGTGTGTCATTTATGTGCCTCCAGATGGTGTTGAGGCGGAGGAGGATGTACGATCTGGTTGTTGATCCGGCTGCCAATGTGGACGTGACGAAGGAGAGCTCACGTATATTCGGGACCGAGGACTATCAATCTTGGCAGCTATGTCCGGGCCACGCGATGGCGATGCGACCAGCTCCCGCGACCCTCCAGCCCTCAGCGGAAATCATAGAATCACAGTTTCCTACCCTTTTGGCCTCTCTCCGGACAGGGGACACCAGGGCTTTTCACGCGAACATGGTTTTTATAGAAAGTCTTTTCGACGACAGCATATACCACAAAGGAATGGACAGCGCAAAATGGAAGTTTTCGGTTTTCGGTTTTCAACAAAGCATGACGCATTGCAGCGAGTTTGTCGGCTGTCTTTCGCAACATTTTCCCGGGCGCAAACGGACTTGTGTGTTTACACCTGTTCCAGTTGGTTCCTTGGACGGTTTTCCGCGCCCTCCACCCCCAACAGCTTCGCGTCATTTCAAAATTGAAGATTTCGGAGGAAGAAGTTCTCTCTAGGGTCTTTGTGGGTTGACCCACTAGTTGGTCGGATCCAGCATCAAGAGGAGGAAAGCATGAGAGTGCTCTTGGGCAACCCGAGCCTGGTGAAGCTGGCGGATGCCCTCGGCTGTGAAAGCTGTGCCTCAGCCCAGCTGGCTGGTCGCATTGGGGATCCACCGCACCACCCTCCTCACTGGTGCAGGCAGACTTCAGACAACAAATTGTTCTATGCTCTGCCAACGGAAGCGCGGCCAATGCATGCATACGGTTGGCATCTTTGCCAGGCAGGCCCCTGTTCGAAAACCAAGCACGGCTTGAGAGAAAGGATGGAGAGGGCTACAGTGTGTGGGCCGCAGAAAGAGAAGCCCCTCTTGCAATGCTTTCGGGGAGGGAGGGTGCTGGTTTACTGAATGGAGTTTCAAAGAGGCACATGGTATGGTCATGAAAGTTCGAGGATGAACACGGTTTTGTTGCCAATAACACGCAGATCAAGTGGAGCAGGGCAAGGTTTGGTAGGGGCTAGGCATATTCCGAGAGAAAAGCGAACAAAACAAAAGGGAAAAAAATGTTGAAAATCTAAAGTCATTCTCAAAAAGAGCTCCTAGCTTGGGCCTGGCCAATTCAAGCGTTGAGAAAGCTGGCCAGGAATGAAAGCGAACTCTGGGGCCACGCCGATCTCCGAGTTCACCTCGCAGAATGAGACGTAGACATGCCTGCTAGCTAATGTGATTCGGTTGGAGGGTGGAGGGGCGTACGCATCTTGAGGCTCTGCGGGCCCTACCAGGTTGGTGGGTGCTGACGGCCGGCCCGCTAAACCGTTTCTGGATCCGCCCCAAGTTCGGCTGCGGCCAGCAGAGACGGCGGGGTGGATGGGGGAGACGCTGACTGTCTCATCGCCTTGAATGTGAGAGAGTCTCTCGGCCTCACTGACCAGCCCTTGGTTCAGGCGCAAGCGAGCCCGCATGTCGGCTGGATACGCCCTCAGTCCGCGACCATGACGGGGCAGCACGTCCGATCCGAATCCGCGACGGCAACGATGAGGTGCCCTTCGTCGCCTCCTGCTCCGTCGCCTTCTCCTTCGTCGACCAGGCTCACTGGCCCGGCAAGGACCCGTAACCTCAGGAGCGCCTTGCGTGGACTGTCCATTTCTGACCCAAGCCCTCCGACCGTCTCTCCTCGGGCGTCCCTCTCACCCATGTCAAGCCGAACCGAATGGTCACCGAACAATAATGTGCTGGAATCTGTGACCCGCAAGAAAAATGTTGGCCCAGCCAGCGGTCGGGCATCTGAAGCGGTGGCAGAGATGGCGCTGGTGGAGGGGAGACTCGGTCAGCTGAAGGGCTACACACAGAGGCTTCGAGCGGCCCGCGTGCCCGGGTCGGACCCCGGGTCTGTGGACAGCGCGTACGAGGAGTTCGCGAGGGTCAGAGACGAGGCGGCAGAGACGGTCGCGGCACTGCTGGCCGCACACAACTCGTCCGGCGCGGCGAGTAGATCTCGCCGTGCCCGGAATGGGTCGGTTGCGGAGACTGTCGAGAGGCTCGAGTCGATGAGGATAGCACATGCGAATACGACTGCTGACGGCGACATGGACAGTCTGAAGACTTCTTTCAATTCTCTTGGCCTTGGCGACTCCTCTTTCACGCCCACGGGCTCTGGGTATGAGGACAGGGCACGGCACAACAGAGACTCGACCCCGCCGAGTGGGCCTGTCCAGAACGACTCATCTCTCGCAGCCATCCGAGACTGGAGGGCAGTACTCGTGAAGCTACTCCAGTCTCACAGGAGGAGTCTGGCGGCGACAATACAGGCCTTTGAGAGGGACGCACCGCTCGAGGTGACAGAAAGAGCAGTGGACGACCCCGAGTACCGCGCCGGGATGATCCAGAAGATCCGCACGCGAAAATCCCCCTTGCCTTCCAACGCGCCCGCTGTCTCGCCTGCCTACTGGCCCTGGCACGAGAGGCGGTTTCGACATTATGACGCCGTCAAGGAGACCATCATGCAGGTCGACCACCTGCTGATGATGGCGGCGGGGGATGCCGGGAAGGGGGGGAAGAAGGCTGTGCGTGACTACGTGATCGCGCCGCGCGGCAACGCCGTCCTGGAATTTGCCAACACCGGCGGCTATGGCACACCCCTTCTTCGTTTTCGTGTGTCAAGCCACATGCTGGCTGAGACGTCGCCCATCTTCGAGGCTGTATTCGGGGGCCAATTCAGCCACCCGCGGATCCTCGACAGAGACCTGAGAGAGTTGGACGGCCAGGTGCCTCGTGAGCCGCCTCGCTCTGTCACCTGCGCTGACGGCACCAACGTGAAGCTTTACAGCATGCCGCAGCTCGAGCCCAATAAGGAGGAGGCACTAACGATCTTGCTATACGCCGCACACATGCAGAACGACAAGGTCCCGCGCGAGGTCAGCTTTGCGCAGTTCACAGCCATCGCAGAGGTCTGCCTGAAATACCAGTGTACTTCTCCCCTGGAACTATTTGTCGAACACCGATGGCTGCCTGCATGGGTGCACAAGGCTACCGAGCAGCAGCCTGACGGGATCCTGCTCATTAGCTACGCCTTCGGCTTGCGGCGGCTCTTTACCCGCATGTCCAAGACGGCAGTACTGAACATTGTGGACGAGGAGGAGCTGCGAGCCAAGCCGTGGCCGCACGCAATGAGGGAGAAGATCTGGGCCGTGAGGAACGCTAAGATGGCCCAGGTCTACACTGCTTGCGTCGGCGCGGTGCAGGAGTACTTCCGGCCCACCGGCCAGGCGGGCGGTGTTGACGGAGCCGGGGCAAATAATGGAGGACAGCGGGTTGGAGCGGGTTTCCTTCCTGGCGACGACCCGCCCAGGACGTCGTCTTTGCTGCGAGCATCCTCGTACTTACAAACCCCCGCGCTGCCCAGCTATGTCTCTCTATTCTCCCTAACCAGCACACCGCGTTGTCCCAAGGGCGACCACTGGTGTGACGCCACAAGCCTGGGGTGGCTGCTCCTGGTTCTAAACGAGCTGCAGCTCGTCTGGACCATCGTCAACCCTTCTGTCCTGCCTGATGCGCAGGGCCAACACAGCCAGCCGCCACGGTCGCTGGCCCAGCTCCTCGACGTGCTGCGGTCGGTACCCAGCCCACCGCACCCGGCCCACCCGGGGTCCACCGTGTGTGACCCGGCCCCTGCCTTCCGTGCGGCCGTCAATGACGTGTATAACAGCATCAGCGGCCTCACGCTGTTCGACGTGGACGGCAAGAGACACGGCTGGGGGCTGTCGAAGCACAGGCTCAACGAGCCGCAGACCATACAGAATGTCTCGCTGGGCAAGCTCAACAAACTCAGCCTCGATGGCTTGAGTGTACAGGACGAGGCGGTGGCGCCAGCGCAGGCCCCCAGCGAGGACACGCACGGAATATTGCGGATGGACACAGAAGACTGGTTGCCTGACAATGGTAATGAAACAGACACGACGGGAGAAGAACAAGAAGTAGAACAAGATTACACAGCCGACAACATGCAATGGCACCGGCCCCGCCCACCTCCTGCCTTCGCGCCCGACGAGGCCCTCTGCCTGCGCATTATGCGCCACGCAGAGACCTTTGACGACCTACACGCGCTGGCGCTGGCAAGCCACACCTTCTACGCGGCCTTCGAGAAGAACGAGCTGGCCCTCATGCGGCCACTGGTCGGCGCCTGGCGCCGGCAGACGCTCAGCGCCCTGGCGGGCGGGCCGGCACAGCCACAGGATCTCCTCCCGCAGGAGCTGGCGCGGCTCGAGGAGATACAGGCAAGGTCGGAGGAGAAGGCGCGGACAACAACCATCATCCTCCTTCTGTTACTCCGTCGCCTCCTCCCCCATTGGTCAGTCACCAGAGCATGGAGGACGACTCGCTCGCCGAGGCCGTCCAGCTGGAGTCCTCGCATTCCACCGACGCGGAAGGCGGCAGTGAGCGTGGAGATGGGGGCGGGGCCGAGGGCGAGGGCGAGGAGCCTCACGAGATGACCGAAGAAGAGGCCGGGCGGATACTCTGGCCGGACCAGCCCTCCTGGTCAGACGACAGCGCGGTTCCAGACTACTTGGCCAAGCGAAAGACGGCGGAGCCGCCTGCTTGGGCCGTGGTCGCCAGGGAGGATAGCGGCGAGAAGTTCCTCGCGGAGGATTTGTCACTGCTCACCGAGGACAAGTCGCTCGCCGTGCTGGGGGACAAGTCCCTTGGGGAAGACCTCGACAGGAGGAAGGGAATCACGAGTTCATGATGAATATGTAATGGTACCTATCGACGGCAAATTTCCGCTACACGGGGTCTGGCAACAGAGGGGCACAGCGTAGCGTTTTGGCGTGAATATGGGTTAGATGATGACGTTGTGGATGTGGAAAGAACTCAAGAACTCAAATGAATATTAATTCTGCATTTTGCATTTCCTTGGTGGCTATTTTAGAATACGGAGATTCGCACCTGTAAAAACAAAGGGTATACTAGTATATCAGCTTATGCCATCGCTATAGCTAATCAGAGCATATTACCTAGGTTTAATTTATTTACCTACACCTAATATCTATATACTTAAGTGAAGACAATCTTGCGGCAAGGGTGTTCGAGGGTATCAGTTGGACCCCCAATCCATTCCTGGAATTGAGACAAGGAATAGTCTCCACCTTGTGAGAGTGGTTTGGCCTGAGCAGTGGTGAAGCTGTAGTAGTGATCGTCGTAGTGGACCTTTTTGATCAAGCCGAGTGGTTTTGATCGCAGCTGGCAAGTTGCGGGTTAGCAAGGACAAAGCCGTGAGGTTGGTGAGCAGCACTTACGACGAACTGGTTCTCACGACCTGCCCCAGAGGAGACAGTGAGAGAGTGATCCAGGGTGGTGGTTGTGTGAGGCCAGTACTCGGCATGGTCAAGTAGAGAGAGAACGATCTCGTGTGGCAACTTGCAGCCCTTGGTCAACATGATTTTGACTACTACGACATCAAGAGCAGACGCCTCATATTCCGCGTTCCTGGGATGGCTGGAACCAGTCTTTGGGTTAGATGCAGAGTTGTGGCTACTAGAGTCGCTGCCTGGCGCGGATGAGCCAGCACCATTGCCGTCGTCGGAAGTTATCCCGAGGGCGTTGGTGATGAGGCGTTGCACTCCTGGGGGGAACGACATGGTGGACCATAAGACAAGTAGGATCAGTATGACGGTAGAGATCATGTGTCGAGAGGGGTGTGGTTGGAAGTAGTGAAACTGGAGTGATATGTGTCGAACACAACTAAGGGACTGAGAAACAATGTCGAGGTTATCGAGGCTGTGCTATTATCCCAAAGCGTTCTCGCTGCCAAACACAGCCGTAGTAGTACGTGAGTGGATCGACTGTGACTGTCACAAGTGTGATGTTCAATGTGTGGCTGTGATGTAACCAGTCAAGTTGTGGCCAGCGGTGATGAGAGTTTGGTTGAGACTGACGGGAGCTGCTCAGGCCAAACCGTGGTTTCCTCCAGTCAGTCTTCAGGCCTCCAATACTAACGAAAGTGCCCCCTCCAAGGAAGCTTCTTGATGGACAGTCGTGCCCATGCGACAGACGCAATACACGCAACCCCCTGACGAGGATCCACGCACTCTAGACCCTTGGAATGTGGGGTGATAAGCACAAAGAGGAAGCTACGTCACACCCACTCGCCGCCGATAACACGCCCGGGGTGGCTGCAGCGCACGCGATCTGCGAGATCGGCCGAGGCAAGAAATCGAATGAGTAGCAGACCAGACTTGCATGATTACAAACCTCCAAGTTTGGCAGCTCAAGGTTACTTCACTCACGATGGTGGTGTGAGGGGACTCGAATTACTGTGGCTTTTCTTCTCTTGTCCAGCGTTTCGTGTTTGCCTGCGAGGGATATGGCCGCCATGAAGCCCCAGCGATGCATTGCGACGACCTTGCGCCAGCTCGCGACGGCCAGCGCCGGGAGAGGGACTCGCTCTTGGAGCCCACGACTACCAGCTCATGCGGCGGCCTGTCGAAACGCAACCTCACAATCGACTCTTGCACCGCAAAGATGTCTTCATACGAGCCCGCGCCGTCGCAGCGGCGCCTCCAATCCCGCCATGTCCTTCCCCTGCCTCGACGCCGTCGAGAGCAGATCCGCAACCCTCGAGGCCCGCACCTCCTCGAGTGGCCCCGAGCCAACATACACCGTCGGCGAGACCTTAAAATACCACTGCGACCAGCCCCTCCTCCTCGACTGGGGCGGCGTCCTACCCGAGTTTGATATAGCATACGAGGCATGGGGAACCATGAACAAGGACAAATCCAACGTCGTTTTGCTGCACACAGGCTTGTCTGCGTCGTCTCACGCGCACTCGACCGAACTGAACCCCCAGCCTGGATGGTGGGAGAAGTTCATAGGGCCCGGGAAAGCCCTGGACACCGACAAGTACTTTGTGATCTGCACCAACGTGCTGGGAGGCTGCTACGGCTCCACGGGACCCAGCAGCATAGATCCTGCCGACGGTCAGAACTATGCCACGCGCTTCCCCATCTTGACCATTGAAGACATGGTCAGGGCCCAGTTCAGGCTGCTGGATGGCTTGGGCGTCGAGAAGCTGCATGCCAGTGTCGGCTCGAGCATGGGTGGCATGCAGTCCCTTGCAGCCGGCGTGCTGTTCCCGGACCGGGTCAGCAGGATTGTCTCAATCAGCGGGTGTGCCCGAAGCCACCCATACAGCATAGCCATGCGTCACACCCAGCGACAGGTGCTCATGATGGACCCCAATTGGAACAGGGGCTTCTACTACGGCAAGGTGCCCCCGCACCACGGCATGAAGCTCGCGCGAGAGATCGCAACAGTCACGTACCGGTCGGGCCCCGAGTGGGAGCAGCGGTTCGGCCGGAGGAGGGCAGACCCGAGCAAGCCGCCGGCCCTGTGCCCGGACTTCCTGATCGAGACGTACTTGGACCACGCCGGCGAGAAGTTCAACCTGACTTACGACGCCAACAGCCTCCTATACGTGAGCAAGGCCATGGACCTATTCGACCTGGGCCGCGAAAACAGGGCGCGCACCATCGCCCGGCGGGCCGAGAGGGAGAACGAATTCGCGTCCGGCGCCTCGTCAGGGTTCGAGGCTAGCTGCAGCCTGACGCTGCCGGACCAGGCCTACGAGGAACAGCCCGGGACGAGCGAGGGAACCGTCGACATTCGGGAGGCGATGAGTGCGAAGCCGCCCGCGGACCTGGTATCTGGCCTTGCGTCGTTGAGAGATCACCCGACGCTCGTCATGGGTGTTGCTAGCGACATCTTGTTCCCTGCGTGGCAGCAGAGGGAGATTGCCGAGACGCTGAGGTATGCTGGCAACAGGAAGGTGACACATGTGGAGCTGAGCGAGGAGCAAAGCCTGTTTGGTCATGATACGTTCTTGTTGGACCTTCAAAATATTGGTGGGAATCTGAAGAATTTCTTGGGTTAATGATAGCCAGCCCATAACTACTAGTCTTGAAGAATCGACAGGTATGCTACCCCCTGGAAAGCAGATGCAACATTGTGACATCTTGCTCGTGATCGTGACAATTGAATGATCAGTCCCAGACCCCAGCATTGAAGGACGAGACTTGGTTGTACATTGGAGAGTTGATAGGATTTGGCTGCTTGGAGGAATCGATTGACAAAGCTGCCACAGCAAGGTTAGGCACATCTCTATGCCCAAACGTGTCCGGATGAGTCTATAGCCCAGGGATTCTTCTAGAAAGTAGTTTGTTTTGAGCACCTTTGTTGATTGACCAGAAAAGCAAGACGCTCTCTGTCACTGAAAGGTGTGTTTTCAAAACAAACCACAACCCAATCCCATGCCACCCGACCGTTAAATTTCAGAGGGCCAGCAGGACCAATTAATGATGACTCCGCCGGAACGTTCGGTAAAAACGAAATGACAGGAAGGTTGTGTCAACTTTGGGAAGGAGCGATTGAAACTGAAGGGTCAAGACGATAACAGGCAGCAAAGTGTCCGGCCCCTCTCCTTGCCCTGCCAGGTTCATTGGACTACCAATTGTTGCCCTGATCGACCCTATCTTCTTCCCCAGATTCCTCTGGTCTGGCGATTCAACTGCGGCATTCTGTGTTGTGCCTGGTTCTTCGAGGCCAGCTGATGTTAGCCAACTTTCATCAGCCCTTCATCACACAACATTCATCCAATTCGCCCACGAGAATATGGCATTCAGAATCAAAATCACAGGTCACAGTACCAACTTCGACCCCCAGACTGGCCCTCCCACCTGTAGCGTCTGTGGCAAGGCAGGCAGCTCGGTGTGTGGACGATGCAACGCCAACACATACTGTTCGACATCCTGTCAGAAGCAGGACTGGGAGTACCACCGACTTGTCTGCTCCAGATACGCAATCGTCACGAACGATAAGCGACCAGACAATACCCACTTTCGAGCTCTCTGTAAGTATGCTTCTTTCTGGGGGGAGGGTTGGAAGATGCAATCTGTCATGGCGCGAGACCTCAGCTGTAGAGAAGGCCGAGCTCTTGGGAGGATGCAGACACGAGCACATGTACTTACGTACCGCACGGCAGGGCTTCCACAAAACAAGGCCAAGCCTCTTTGGTTCTGGCTGAAGACGGAAAAGTGTGATTTTGACGGAGACTGTCTGTCCTATTCGTCAGTCAATTGCCGCCTGGGAACTTCATGCTTTCCGATCACTCCTTGGGAGGTCCTCCATGAGCACATCCCGCAGGACGGTCTCGCGCACGGCCTGATGGCTCTCGTCACCCCAGACTACAAGAAGGGAGGACCCCAAGCCCTGCCGAACGAGTCAATCACAGCTCTCTTGAAAGAGGGTCAGCCCGCACTCTACAACTCGGTCATCGTCTTTGCATACCAGACGCGAACCACTCAAGGCAGCAACGGGCCATCCAGCGCTGTTGTTGTCGAAGACCTGAAGATGAGGGATTTTGGGAAGATTGTGGAGGCCTATCAGCGACACGCAAGCATCGGCAAAGAAGCCTCTCCCCTTTGAACACCATTTTCCAAGAAGGGCATTTTGTTGTATGGGATTCGAGGGGGGAAAGGTCTACGTTTTGCACCACAACGCCGTCGGTCAGTACGTCTGTCTACTGCTCTGAAGAGGTTCTCTGCCCGAAAGATCTCCACTCATTTGGGCATAGGTTGGTCAAGGCCGTTCTCGAAACCTGATCATGGCAAGATTCGTGGCAGCTAAGTCTGTGAACTTGTTTGAGAGAGCTTGAAGTTGCTGCCGCCAGAACTGTGATTGAGATGCACGTTGAAGCTAGCTAGCTATCGATGTCATGAATTGCAGTTGATTCTTACGGTGATACCATTGAAGAGTCCAAACGTGTTGTACTTCAATAACGGCTCGTGCCTCAACGCCGAGTAGGAAAACAACACCCAGGCTACCTCGTACAGACAGCACAGAACTCAGTACAAGCCTATAAATAGCCTGCTCAGTGCCTGTTGAATTTTGGAGAGGCTGACAGTTGATACTAAGAAAATCAACAGACACATTACGTCAGGAAGCCGGACGTCCCAGCCCAATGCCGAGATAACATCGAACCTCGCCCAGCTCAGCATGATTTACCCTTTCCGGCATGTGTCCGGGGTTGTGATTGGCTCGGACTTTGCCTCAACGCGCATGCTCGGCTTTAAGCAACATGCCGTGGTTGACCACCTCCACGGCAATTCTGCACGACGCTTACTGTCTCGCCGACCACAAACTACTCCTAACTGGGCCAATACGGGAAAAGTCAAAATGGAATCATGCCTAGCTTCCAAAAGCACCGCCGATTCGACTCCGGACTTAAATCCAGAGACTGAGGAGAGTCACGGGCTTAAAGGATGTTGTGACGCTTCAACTTCCAGGCAAAAGCATAAAATGGGGAACGGTGCCATTATACATAGGCTGAGAGGCTCAGACAACAAGAGAGCAGCAAGATATTCCTTCTCTCAGAATTCCTTCCAACATTAGTATACTCTGATAACACAAGTCCCCACTCCTGAAAGAATGGCTCCTCAGCTCAAGTATCACAAGCTACAGGACAAGCACGTCCTCGTCATTGGAGGCTCCTCCGGAATCGGCTATGCCATCGCTGAGGCATCCCTTGAGTCCGGTGCCGTGGTCACTATCTCATCCTCACGCCAGGCGAAACTGGACGCCTCGGTCTCTAGCCTGCAAGCCAGTTACCGCGGCGCCAAAGTCACGGGTATTGCGGCGGATCTCAGCAAGACAACCGTAGACCAGGACTTTGACAACTTGTTCAAGACCGCTACCGCCCGGTCAGGTCAGATCCATCACGTTGTCTACACAGCGGCCGATCCGCTGGCCCTGGGACCTCTGGACGAGACAACGACAGAGGGCATCCTCAAGGCAGCACACATGCGCATGGTCGCCCCGGTCATGCTGGGCAAAGTCGCGCCGCGGTACCTCGAGAGGATGCCGCAGTCGTCCATCACCATCACCACGGGCTCGACGGCCGAGCGCCCGGACAAGGGCTGGGCCGTGGTCACGTACTTCGCGGCGGGCCTGCACGGCCTGACCAGGGCGCTGGCCACGGATCTCGCGCCCCTGCGGGTGAACTGTGTCGCGCCGGGCTACGTAGACACGTCGTTGTGGGACGGCATGGGCGAGGAGGCCAAGCTGGGCGAGGAGGCCAAGCGGGGCCTGCTGGCCAAGCTCGGCGGTGAGATGCCGCTTGGGCGGGTGGGCAGGGCCGAGGATGTTGCTGAGGCGTATCTCTGGCTGATGAAAGATGCTAATGTTACGGGGACTGTAGCCAGCACAAATAGTGGGCAGTTTCTCAAGGCTTGAGAAGGGTGGCCGAGGTGTTCTGGGACACTCTAGAATTTGGCCGGTGGACACCAGATCAAGTTGTTATATAGCATTTTGCAGTTCTAGCTCAGAAACAATCTGTCTTCCCAAGAAACATGACTCAAAGGAAGTGATATAAAGGGAAATTGCCCCGGCTGATCGCGAGCAGGGCCTTTTAGGAGTCGAGTTTCAAAATACAGCCAACCAAAAGGCGATCATGTATTTTCTCTGGCATTGGACTCGAGACTAAACCTTGAAGTAAGCTGTAGTCAGTCCCCCCCAGTACCGTGTTCAAGAAATTACCGGGTCCAAAAGCTAGCTCTCTATACACATCTGTCGTTCTTGCTCAAGAGTGCTTAGTATTATTGGCAGTGACACTTGAAATAGTGCTCTCCTCATCTACTGAGGAAATGCAGTGATTTTGGATACTGGTCCCCAGGAGCAAAAGTTTGTAATGACTCCAAGATGCACGAGACGTAGTTGCCAACAGAGTTCCCCGGTCCAGGGCATAGAGCTGGTGCTTGTTTGAAGTCGTCCCATGTCGCCACCAGCTGGGTTGTTTGTGAGCCCCATTCCCAACTCACAGATGCTTTAGGACTCACAGAATCTGTAGCCGGATCTCTGTTTTCATCTTCAGCTACTTGTCGGTTCGTCAAAACCCACGTCGACAATTCCTACCACAACATCAACGACAACGACAACGACACTTCGCACTTCGCCTATACTCTGACCGCCCCCCCAATCAAGGCAATAAAGACATCACTATGGCTGATGAGGACCAAGGCAAGATTCTTGGTTTCACCAAGAAAGAGGCAGAGATCCTCATCATGTCACTCCAAGTGTTCAAGCCCAACCAATGCACTACAAACGGTTGCACGGTAGGTTCAATCCTGTGAAGAAAGACACTCACCCACAAAATCCCCAGATTCGTGAACACAACACAGCTGCTGGAGTTGCGTTAGTCACGCGTGAAAGAATCCAGAGCCATCACTAATAAGACTTCACAGGCCTTGCCTTCGGACCTTGTCCGTATCGGAGCCTACAGCAACGCGGAGACGGCGCGTACCAAGTACGCTGCTCTGAGGGCTAGAGTCATGACTCTCCCTAACCTCCCCAAACCAGCACCCCAGACCCAGAGCGCGGCCACCACCAACGACCGAGACGACAACGAGGGCGAGGACGAGGGCGAGGAGGGTGAGGCTGAGACTTCTGCCCTCGAGGCTACCAGAAAGGGTGGAAAGCGTGCTGCCACTCGCCTTGGCGCCGTGCCGAAGGATTACAAGGGCCAGCCCAACCCCTTCCTCCTCACCGAACAGGAGGAGCAGCTGGCTCACGATCGGGCCCACGCTCAAAAGGAGGACGACAAGCGTGAGCGCAGCCAGACCAAGCGGGGCGAGGGCGTGGTCGACGATGACATGCCAAACCAGGAGGAGTGGGACGACATGGGAGACCGGAACGCTTGGTAGAAAGTTGCTTGGAACAAGCCTGCAAGCGTCTGAGAGTCTCCTGGACTCCCTAGGCTGCAAGCTCAAAACCAACAACTAGCTGGGGCTTCCCCGAGTTTTTTTGAGCAAGCGAGAAAATAGAAAAGACGTGGAGAAGATATAATAGACCGCATCGCTGAAAATCCATTCTCAGCGATGGCAGGAGTCGACTTCACCCTAACGCACAATAGATGGGTAGCTTCCCCTAGAAAATGAGGCTTCATCGACTCCTCTGAATTTACTAGGACAAAAACCAAAAACGACTAATCCAGCGCTATTCTGGTGGCAAACAAGAGTTCTCTCGAATGGCGCCTTAACCGTGGGCCTTCCATGCCACTCTTTAATAACCCCCTATTTCCATCGAGTGATCCGCCATAGTGGCCTTTATTTCTCGCGCCATTAGATTTTATAGTTCAGTGGGCCACCAGGGATTCCCTTCGTATCCCAATCTATCACATCCGCACGCGAGGTCTCCTCCTTGCACCCGCCAGATAGCTTACCATCAACCACCTGGAGCCAAGTAATGCCGACGAGCACGGCGTCTGGGCTCCATGAGTCGAAGCGGCGCTCAGGCCTCACATCATCTACAACGGCGACGGGTCCCCGCGTGTACAGTACAGCCTCGTCCCAGCCGTAGAGGCCGCCATCCCACGCGAAGCTGCCCCGGAAGACTTCGTACTCGGACTGAAACAAGCCCCCATGGTGGAACCAGCACCCGAGGTTAGTGGGCTTCCAAGAGTCCGTCACCGAACCGTGTGACAAGAGCTTGTGTTCTCTGACGAAGTTCATCCATCTGAGGGGCACTGTCGCATGGGTGATGTTGGTCACGGTGAACGTGAGATCCCGACGGCCTGTGACCTGTACCAGCCCTGGAATTAGCAATGCTTCGGAAACACACCCATTGATGTACGTACTGTAGCCAGCAGGCGGAGGCCAGCGAGAAGCCGGCCCTCGTCGGCCCTGATAGGATGTGCGACCTGTCGCCAGCCCGGGTGGATGCCGGTGGCCTGCTCGTCCCGGAACCCGGCCACCATCATTAGGCCCACACTGGCGCCAGGGACTGTTGCCCACGGGGGCAGGTCCTCAAACTTCGGGTCGTGCGGTCCACTGTTGGCACAAATGTTGACGTGACTGCCGGCTGGGATGTCCTCCAACGCCTCTCGCACCGCCTGTGTGCCGAGCTCCCAGAGCGTCTTCCGCCGCTTGTGTTCCTCCTCGCATGGCTCAGGTGGCCTCAAAGTGCGCTCGAAGACGGACTTGTGTAGGTTGTGTAGGCCGTGGAAGCTTGGCTCACGACGCCCGGGATGCCTCTCCTCCTCCCTGTGCATATAGTCAGTGGCGAAAGAAGACTGTCCATCGGGTAGAATTGTGGTCCTGGCTTGAGTAGCAATGGAAGGGTGTGGTGTATTGTGGCCTCGTTCACCGAATTTGCCTCCAGAAAGAGGAGGCTCCTTCTGTGTGAGACGCATTGGTGTGAATTGAGTGAGTGGACATTGTTTGTCATGGCCCGGGCCTTTGATGTCTTGTCTCGCTTTACAAGCTATGGGTAATGCTGTGTTTACTTGTTCTTATCGACAGAGGTGCTCGCTTCGAATCCGTTGATTTCTGGTTCTTTGGTGCATTTATATTTGAGCAGCCAACGTCAGAAGTCTGAATTGACTGTCTCAGTGAGCCACAACAAGACTTCCCTTGGTGAATCATACTGAGGCAATGCATCATATCTGCACAATCTGTCAGGGGGTTTTGACTGTCTCGCTTTATGCTTTGTTGCCTGCCTTGTGTATTGTGAATGCTCAACTTGCATTGATATATGGTTGTTATTACTGAGTCAATGTTCGGATTCAGACACAATGTCTCCTCAAAGTTGACAGTTTACGAGAGTTTCCTCTTTTGAATAAACGGATCTTCAATTTTTACAACATCATTGACTATGTACAGGCCTGTCTAAGCCACTGTAGTAGCTCTGGAATCTTGAAGAATCTTGCCCTACCAGTTTGTAGCTCAAATCAACGAGCTTTAATCGTACAGCCTTACAGTTACCTCACCTCTGGTGACTGAATCAATGTACGTATGGTTGCTTTGCTGCTCTTGTGGGATGTGTAATTACCAGGATTCCAAAGTAGTAGCTGATTAAATGTAAACAAAGGGAGGGCCCTGAGCGATAATGTTCGTTCCATCTGACATAGGACGAGTCAATTTGATGAGGACACACAAGCCAGTCCAAAATGACCAAGTCTCAAGCCTTCTAGGTAATTATACACCGTATTCACGGGAAAGTCCCCCGTTCATAGTAACATGGCTCAATTACTGACCAATATCATGAGGTGCTACAGCTCTAGGCACTTAGTTTCATCCTGTTCGCCGAGATATGGGACTGTTGGTAATTAAGTACAGACATATGATTGTGGATAGCACCTGCAATCTGGATGTCCAACCCAGGTATATTCATATCCTGTTGATCTACATGCCTAGGTGGCATGGGTGTAGCTGACAGAGTAGTAAGAGGGAAAAGTGAGGATGCTCTCTTCTGAGACGGGGGGCGTCTTTTGGTAGTCATGCAGACCTGGCTTCTGATTAGATGAGTTCAGTCATAAGAGAGAAATGATGCTAAGCAGATGTGACTTGGCGGCATGGTTACTGAGACGTCTTTCCCCTACCGACAGTCTCCAGAGGCGGAGTCATTAAACAGAAACTCACCGGCTTAGAGGCGGGCACGGCCTAAATGGCAAGAACATGATGCTTACAAGGTGGTGAGGTACTCAATTACAGGTAGCAGGATCCCAAAGATCCACACAGCGAATTGAGTGAATGTACAGTAGCCGGCCGGGAGGGGGAAAGGGCGTTCTTGATCTATGCGACATCATTTTCCAAGAATGATAAGCTTCCTGGATCCGTTCATAGCCAATGTTTGGGATTCCAGTGACAGTCACAAATGATAGACCGGGGAGTCTTCAGCGCGCTTACCCTAACCCCGGCTGCCTACGCCTCCACCAACATGACCTCGAACCTCAATCGCAAGCCTTCTTCGCCAGCCGCAATGTCAATCCCAGGATAGTGTTTCAGTATTCTTTCCAAAACATTCTTAGGCATTATGGCCACCAAGAGGGACATAGATGCTGTCATCAACGCAGACAACGACGAGCGCCAGCCCCAGCAGTCCACCAAGCGGGCGCGTAACTCGAGCGGCCAGAAGAAGTCGAAGCAGTCGCACGAACCCCAGACCGACCTCACGTACGGCCAGCGGTGCTGCTTTCCCGGCCTCGACAATGATTATGCAAACAGTGACGAAGATCTCGAGTTTGAGGACGAGACCGACGCACTCGCATACCTCCAAACTGTCCGGTAAGCAGTCTTCCGAGTCTTTGGCGCACCCCTCTGATTATTGTCTCGATCGTCTTGGCTGAACCTTTGTCTTCCCATCCCCACAGTGAACTACTACTGATATGGTGAGTATGACAGGCAGCAGGCCAGTGGCATCCCTCACCTCCTCGTAGCACCCAGGTCGGGACCGCAGCTTCCCACAGCCCCGACCGCCGACGGCGATTCAGACTACGACGACGACAGCAACCGCGCCGCGGATCGCAGTATTTACGATGACGGCATCGGCGACACGCGAGGCTACTACGAAGACGGCGCATACACGGCAGCACCCGATAGGGTCGAGGATTACGGCCCCTACGGCGAGGAGTCGCTCGAGCAAGCCGAAGACGACGAGGCAGCCAGAATCGCGGGAGCCTACTACGCCTCCCTCACGACACACTTCCTGAACCTCCGCGAGCGCCTGCACCAGGACCCGCCGCCGGAGGCCCTCGCCGCCCTCACAAAGGAGCAGTCCCCCTACGTCGGGCGCTTCGGCCCGTCGTCTAGGACCTTCACCACCTGGTCGGTCCGCGTGCGCCGCTCCGACCCGGTGCCGGCCCAGGTCGCCGCCATGGACAAGGACGCCGTGTTCCGCCTGCTCCGCGTCGTGCTGGGCGGCAAGTTCCTCCGGAGGGGCGCCGAGCTGCGGGAGCGGACGTCGAGGTGGCTGTGGGCGTTGCTGGCGCGCCTGCCCGACCGCGGCGAGCTGGACTACATGGAGGTCGGCTACGTGCGGGACCTGGGGAAGCGGGCCGCGCTGTTGATGCACAGCTTGCGGGAGATGGCTGCCCTGAGGGAGGAGGTGGAGGGTGGCGGCGGGGCCGCGCAAGAGGACGATGGGCTGGAGGGCGATCAGGAGGACTGGGACGGCGAGGCTGAGGCGCTGGATGATGATGGCGCGGAGGTATCTGCACCGCCTCAGGAAAGCGCCGAGCCTGCTCCAGCCGCGGACAACGACCCAGCGCCGGTGCAGCCCTCTTCAGACGCCCCGGCGAGATCATCCTCTACTGCTCCCACGAGCGTACCTGACGCTGACGGCGACAAGGCCAATCAAATGGAAGACGGCGAGATCGACGAGTCTGCGCCCATGGATATAGACACGGACGTCGAGAGCGCAAAGACACGGCTCCTTGCTAAACTGAATGCTCACAGCTCGAGCGGAAAGGATGCTGACCAGGCAGGGGAGGAACCTTCCTTCGACCCGGCCCGAGCACGGATGAATATGCGGGCGACGCTGAACATGATCCTGACGGTCGCGGGTGAGCTCTACGGGCAGAGGGATCTGCTTGAGTTCCGGGACCCCTTCCAGGTTTGAGCACGGCTCGCAAGGATCACAGGTGAGCTCACGGTGGGTGCAGAAGAATTTCTAAGCAGAAGAGCATATAACTGTAAATGTAATGAATAGCTCACTGCCCATTGCCGCAGCTTTGGGTCTTTGCATAGCTCGACCTCATCAACTATCTTGGACAATGCTGTAAACCTGTGTGCTGTTGTCGTCATTCGTAAAATGTGATGTCCTGACCCAGGAACCTTTCCCTTAAACGCCGCGCTCATGAGTGTACATGACACATGAAACCAAACGCCATACCTCGAAAACCAGAGATACTTATGCCGCCATGAACAATCGACATCGCGCAAGCCCGTACACGCCCTTCCTGCCCTCCGGCATATTCCAATCATCTAGATGTCCATGGCATCGTGCGCAAGCGCCTTGTAGTCAAGGAAATCTGCCTCTTGAAAATCCCCGTCGATAGCCATCATGTTCTCCTGACCCAGTTGATCAAGACGCAACGGCAGGGATGCTCCACCTCCGACGCCAGCAAAGTCCACAGAAGGAACAGTTCCGGACCGCGCCTTATGGGCTCGGCGGCTCTTCTTTGGAATCGCCATGACCCGGGTGTTGGTGTTATCCCACCCAACAGGGACGAGGCTACGTGGGCTGACCTCGCCGTCCATCCACGCGCCACCAGGGACCTGCAGGGAGTCGGTCACGGACGGCGTGTCGCTATCCTCGTCCTCGCTGTAGACCCGCTTGCGGCTCGAGGCGGACGCCGTGTTGATAGTGAGGGCCGGCTGGCTGGCGTTGCTGTCGATCGAGCCTTGGCTGCTGGTCAGGGATGGGACGTCGTCGATGCTCGGTATAGAGCCAAGCTGCAGGCGGGGGACCGGGGCGGTTGGCGCATCGGAGCCAGACTCGGGCTGCGAGGAGAGGCCGCCGACTTTGTTGATACCGCAGAAAGGCAGGAGCTCCCGCTGGCCGGTGGTGGAAGAAGAGGCTCGAACGAGTGTGGGGTTGGGAGTGGCCATGTTCTTCATATTCGTGGCGTCGTTGTCGGACCAGAGGCTGAAGGCGCTGTAGCTGCCGGTCTTGTAGCCGTCAGGAACAGACTTGCGGACGCGCATGCCAACGTTGAGCAGGTGGGACTGGGTATCTGCAGGCAAGACAGGCCTAGAAGACAGCGAGGCTTCGGTAATGGAAGAAGTTGAGCTGTTGTTGAGGGAGTCGTTGGTGGAGAAAAAGGACGTGATTTGCCTCTGGGCAGGATCGCTGGCTGCTCCGGCGAATTGACGCTTGGTCCGCGGAGCTGACATGGCTGCTACCCGAGACCTTTATTATTGCTCGGAGGGGGGGATGAGGGGCGTGGCGTGATACAGATCTGCCCAGGCGAGAGGCAGGTAGCCGTAACCGGTGTTCCGTCACGCCAATGAAGAGCTGACGCAGGGTGCAAAGTGGGACGAAGTGTTGGCAGGCTGCGAGACGGGCAAGCAGTCGGGGCGATATTGAGCTGGGCGCAGGTGTGGAGGTTGACCTGTCTGAGAAAAAAAAAAAAGGCGGTGGGGGATGAAATCGTTGGATGACAAGAGATCAATTCCGATTCGACATGGGGGACCAGAGGCGAGGGCTGATGTCTGAAATTTTGTCTTCATCGGCAGGTGGGAATTTGGGAATTTGCGAATGGGGGCTGGGGCTCCAGTCGCGCGAGTGTCTACTGGATCCCGCTGGTTTTGAGGTGATACGAATTGGGTGGGGCAATCGCGGTCTCCTCGAAATATTGGCGCGTCCTTCCCGCGTTGAAGACGTGTACTTCCGGTCCTGAACTTCGCCGGCTGTCACCCAGCTAGGAGACTCCTTGGTCGGCCAGGTACCGCCGGGTAGATAACTTCTGCAGGCGGGGAGAGGCAGCTTCGATCTTAGTCAGCACCACTCTAACGAGGCGTGGCCCATTGGTCAATGACGCCTTCACCGAGAGCGAAGATGGACAAGCGGGCTCTTTAGAAGCTGACAAGCAGACCGCGAAGGGCAAAGCCCAGACACATAGTTGACTTTTGGGAGGGGCAAGGAGTAATACCACTGACGGGACAATACGTTACATCGAACAGTCGTTCACTTTCTCCCGAGATCTCACCGTTGTAAGACAAGCCCGCTCAACACCACATGCGGAGGCCAGCACGGACGGCCAGCATGCATATGCTCCACGGCCTGAGACATGGTGATGGGACAGTTCCTCGATCTGCGCATCCGAACCTGCGGTGAGGATATGCCATTCCGTCATGGCGAACCAGCCCACTGCGTGATGGAGGCAGGTCTAGGGTACGCTGTTGCACGATGATTACACCACATGTCACCATACAATTATACACACACACTCCCACAAGCACATGTAAGCTTAGGCTTTTGTGAATCCCATTGAATTGCAATCGCGAAGCACCTCGAGTCCTCCAACTCTGCCCTCAGGTACGGGTATAGCGATCCTCAATCAGCGATCCACGTCATCACGTCTAGCCAGCCTGCCGACCAACCTCGTCACACACAGATTTGCAGACAGATCTAAACGCTCGTGAAAATGCCCATTTCCGGCTATCCACCTCGGTCAATGCAGCATCTCTTCTGCAATCAAAACGTACTCGTGACACGACACGCGGAAGGAGACGACCACGACGACCCAAGAGAGGCTTTTTCGTGTCATGAATTAACTGAAAAAGTCGATTGTTGTTGTTGATGATGCAGATATCCGGACCCCAAACGCCCCCTCCATTTTTCGATGAGGTGAATTTGGATGTTCCATCTTCTACCCGCAACACAAGGTCGGCCGACGAATTATTTGTCTAAACGCCCATGTTGAGAGGGTCTTGCCTTGCAGATATCCGATGTGCCATCGTGTAATTCTTTGTCGTAAACCAGCCGTAAGGAAAGGGAAGCCCGATGTCATCTCAGCGCGCACACCACTACTTCCTTCGGAAAGAGCAGCCCTCTGTGAGTCGTGCTTTACCACCAGTAGGTTGGCAGAGGACAGTGGTGCAGCCCTGGCAGATGACGACGGTCTGGGCGTGGGAGAAGACGGTGGTAATCGTGAAGCAGCCGGGGCACTTCACGTCCATGAAGAAGGAGCGGGGGGCGGGCACAAGGGTCTGTGTCGTCCAGTGTCAGTACTTGCTGGCGTCGGGCGGGGCGAGATGTCGTCGGGATGATGTTGTATGTTTGTTTGCAATCGTACCTTGAGCTTGTGCTTCTTGGCCTCAGCCGCAGGGCTGGGGTTCAGGAGATCGACAGCGAGAACCTGATAGGCACGGACGTTAGCTTGGCTGAGCGAGACATCGAACGAGATGCACCTGCGATCTTGCAGAGGCGTCTATCCAGAGGCCAGCCGCCCCAGGATGTGTGGGTGTGTTGCAGTCGAAGGGTCGGGGTGCGCCGCGAGGTGTCCGTCATGATCCATCGCATGAATATTTTCGCAGTTCATCATCGTCGGGTCGTCGGTGTTGCCCTCATCCTCCATTTCCGTTGATCTCGTGCAGACCATGTTCCCCACAGCGCACCGTTTTCGATTCCATCGACTGCACACCGGGCGGCTTGGACATCATCAAAAGCGGCTTACCATCTTGATTGATTTTTGTCGGAAATCTGACTTGAGTGTCTTGTTTCGGTTGACGAGATGTCTTGACGGCAGAGGTGTCCGTTTGGTCGTTTGTCGATGGCTGGATTATCGTCAAGACGAGGTCTCGCAGTGGGGGAGGAAAAAGTTCGTTAGGAAGGGCTCCAGTTTGGAAAGAGCGGCCGAGAGAGCGAGTGAGGAGATTGTGTGGTTGGTCCGAGCTCCCTCCCGTCACGTGCCGTCGGCGAGGGACCCACTGGTGTTTGGCCGGCGAGTGGCAAGCGCCCTCTAGCCTCTCTCCCCCCCCCGTCTATACTAGGTGCTTATGTCGTCGCAATCTCTAAGGGTCCTCGCCTCTCCGACTGAGCCTGAGCCGAAGTGAATCATTTGCGCAATGGCTTTCTCGACCCCACTGTGGGGTTGTCAGTGAAGCTCTCCATCTGGAAACTGCTTGCACTTCCATTACTTGTAGGGAGCTGGCTGCAGTACACATAATCCACATATTCCAGCTACCAAATCCAGGACATGTGTTTTCTCTTTACCTGCTCTGCCGTTGACCTCAACAGTACTGAATTAAAGCGGGTGCTTACATCCCTTGATCATTTTGGCCTTCCCGAGAAATAAAGCGTCATCACGACACGTATTGCATTCAGGCGGCGACATTCCACCACCAAGTACACCTGCAGCCAGTGCCACTGCCCAAACCCGAACGACCTTCCTGTGAATAGTAAACACCCATCACCTCGCACAAAGATGGCCGCACCAGGGGACCAGCGCATAGCTGTGCCAATAGATGACCCCAATGCCGACACAGAATGGTGCGTTGGACCGAGTCCATCTCATCGACTCCCACTGATCACCCGGCAGGAACGACATTCTGCGGAAGCACGGCGTCATTCCTGAGAAGCCACCAAGCCCTACTCCCATGATCGAAGAGGCCATTGTCGAGGCCAGGAAGATCGCACACGAGAACCGCCTCGAGGGCAAGGATCTGGACGAGTTGGACGAGCTCGAGGACGACGAAGATGACGACTTCCTAGAGCAATACCGACAGAAGAGGATGGCCGAGCTGGGCGCACTGCAGAAGAAGTCCGTCCATGGCAGCGTCTATCCCTTGTCGAAACCAGACTACCAAAGGGAGGTGACGGAAGCATCGAACAACGGCGCGGTCTTTGTCAACCTGACATCGTCCTCGGGAGGGAACAACGTCGAGTCAAGAGTGCTGTCCGACTTGTGGAAGCAGGCGGCCAAGGAGTACGGGGACATCAAGTTCTGCGAGATGAGAGCCTCGCAGGCCATCGAGAACTACCCAGAGAAGAACTGCCCCACGATATTGGTTTACAAGAATGGAGACATCGTGAAGCAGATTGTGACACTCACTACCGTTGGAGGAGTGCGCATGGGCATGTTGGATCTTGACAAGATCCTGGTTGAAGTTGGCGCACTCCCTAGTAATGATATGAGAGTCGTCAAACGGAGGAGAGAAGCCGAAGATGCTGAAGAGGAGAGGCTCATGGGCGGCAAGGGAATCAGAAGCAGCAAACCAACTGCTAATGACGACGACGACGATTGGGACTGAGCGGCCCGTCAAAGCGAGGGCGATGCGTCTGTCTGAAGAGGAAGACAGACGACTGTGCACTCGTCCGGACCTTCGGGGAACAAAGTATCGTCCTCCCGGGCTTATGTTCGCGCCCAGGTCTTTACAGATCACAATGCACGGCGTGGGCAGCGTTAGGGGGACATCTTTTGGATACCAAGTGAAGGAGACAATCAAGCTGTATGTACGGTCCGTCGCCAACCCTTTCTTCACGGGCCACGGAACAATGGCTGCGAGTTGCTTGCGACAACAGGCGTCTCATCGGAGCTTATTTTCGTGCGTATTTAGATATACCACAAGACGCGTACAATCCAACCGGTGTTCGATCCCCAATCAGAACCCACCCCCCACCCCCCTCCTCACTTGCTTCAACGTTAGCGATGGGGAGAGGGCCGTCCCAAAACTTATGATTGGTACTGTTGCCTGGGTCAGGACAGAATGGCGAATTAGTGCAAGGAGGCGGCTTACACGACTCCAAATTCTCCTTGTCCGTGAGGTCGAGAAACTCGCTGTTCTCTTGGTGCTCAACTCCAAGACCCTCTCTACGTCTGTTCTCGTACGTGTAATATGCCATCAGAAGGGCTGTCATGCAGCAAGAGAACGCAGAAGTGACGACGATAGCGATCTTTGCGGGGACATAGTCGGGTGCGTCCTTGCCCCTGAAAGTCAGAGGCCCGATAATGTTTCCGAGACCTGGGCAGCAACCGGTCAGCCTCCCTTGTCGGAGCAATGCGTCCCGCTAAGGGCTGGATTATGACTTACAAAAAGACATCAGAAGAACCGCATTCATGGTCACCTTCTTGGTATGACCCGAGTAGTTCGCGCCGGAATATGAGTACAACAACGGCAAGCTCGCCCCAATGACGTTAGTCAGGTAGTTCCCAGCCAGCTTGGCCCCTTTGCTGTCGTTGGCAGTGAAGGCCAGCAAGGAGCCGCCAACAACACCGCCGAGCAGCAGGTACGTGATAATGATAGGTCCACGCAGGTTGAAACGGCCAGCCATGTATGTGGCGCTGAGGACAGAGATCGCCCCGATGGCACCCGAGGGGATGGAAAGCAAGGCCGTCTCCTTAGAGGTGTACCCAAAGTTCTTGATGATGGTCGCCTGGTAGGACGACACGGCGCCATTAGGCACATTGGAGGAGATTGTGATGAGGCTGATCAGCCATGTCTGCGGGTCCTTGAAGCACTCCCAGGCCTGGTGCGCCTTGAAGTGTTTATTCTCAATGCCCGTCTTGTTCTCGCGCAACCTCTCGACGGCCCAGACCTTTTCGTCGTGCGTCAAGAACTTGCACTTCATCGGGTTGTCTGGAACGATACACATCACCAAGGCCCCCACCCCCATTGTGATCAACCCGAATACCAGAAACATAATTTGCCAGCTCGTGAAGGTTTTGCTGGTATAGTGCTGGAATCCGAAGGAAGCGAGCGCACCGATGATGGTGCCGGTTCCAGTGCCAACATACCAGAGCCCGATACGTGGTGGTTGTTCGCTTCTCTTGTACCACATGGTCGTGATAAGGATCTGGTCACAGCCCGCGTTGGACACAGTCAGCCACCAGGTTTTGGGAGTAGCGAGTTGTGCCCTGTCCGCGGACACACCGCTGTATGCTTTGCTGCATCGAAAAGGGGGGGCATAGGTGGTGTTGCTGGACGTGACTTACGAGCGCAGGAGCGACGACGGCCTCAAAGCATCCCAGGAGGACTCGAAGGGTCACCAAACCCGCCCAGTTCTTTGCGGTGGACACAAGCGTGGTCATCAAACCCCAGAGAATGACGTTGACGCCGAGGTACTTTGCTGTGGGCAGGCGCTGCATGAGGTATCCCGTGGGAAACTCGAATGCGAGATAGGTCACGTAGAAGACAAGCGCGAGCTGCGAGAATTGGTCGGCAGTGATGGATGTGTCTTCCCGAAGGCCCATAACGTTTGCATAGTTCACCAGTGTCTTGTCGAGATATTGGAGGTTGTAACAAGCCCCTGAGGATTCTTGTTAGCTGGACAACAACTAGCACATTTCATATCCAGGACCTACACATAAGAGGTACAATCCGCCAGTCTATTTTAAGAACAAGGCTTTCTCGTTCACATCGGTCATTACTGTGGTTTCCTCGGCATATAGGAATTCCAAGGCTGCATCGGCATCCTTGCTCCTGAGTGCCTGCTTCTCAGAATCCATGGTCTTCTCCGAGTTGTCCAGGACATCATTGCCCACAGGGCTGGGGTGGCTATCCGATATCTTGTCGGCCATATTGAAGCACGGGGTCTCTGAACACGAAGCAGTATCACCACACTGGGAGCCAGAAAACGGCAAGATGAAAAGAAGACAGCGAGACAGTCACAGCGCAGGACGTACACCACGTAGAGGAGGTAAATCCTTTTATATAATGCTACCTGAATGCAACCTCGGGATGACAACTAAGTGGAAAGATGGTTGACCCAAACCCCACCTGCTTATGGTCGACGACGTAGGACGGCCTGCACCCGCCTTCGAGATTTTTGCTTATCAAACAGAATGACCGGGTTACAACGTCTTGACATATCTGCTGGGGGGCTTCAATCGACAGGCAGCTCCCAGCAAATCCGCCGGTTTCAGCTGTCGAGATAGTGACGCTGGTTGGTCGGCAGCTGGTCCGGCAAGTAATCAAGTGGTTGCTCTGCGTCCGCAGCTATCTTTTCAACAATCAAATCCATGACGTCGATGGGATCAGCTTGCAGTGAGGAGGCACGGCAGACGAAATGGGTAGGGAGTATCCAGCGCGCAGCAGATACCACCGTAGATAAGAACATGGGCTGAGCGTGATGAGATACGGAACGAAGCAACAGCACCAGATTCGATTGGCAGGCCGGGCACCTTTTAGCAGGCGGCTCCTCAGGGGTTGGGGGGGGGGGCGGACGTTCTGTAGGGATTGGGGGGGGGGGTGAGGAGTGAAGACGATGCAGGGCCAAGTCTTGCCGGGGGATCTCCGAGAAGGAATATCTCTCCAGATATCTCCAGATACCTCCCGACAGTGGTGTTCAGGACACACGCCCAGGGAGGTGTCGAGGAGGTGTCACTGCCGTGTCTGCATATCGTTGTACAAGGCAAGGCCCCAACCTGTCTCATGCTGTGCGCATATGCACACCGTAATGCAATTCCGTCCTTCAACGGTGCGGCTGCGGCCTGTGCTTTCCTCGGCTCTGCCCGCGAGCAACGACATGTGGGGCGGTGGACAGGGGTACAGCTCCACGGAACCCCTGGCCCCTATCAGGGAAGCCTTGTTATGTCCCTGCCAAGAGAGAACGCGTCCCACGCGACCACCTCTTCGATCCCTTCAGTTCTTTTCCAAACCGAGCTGTCAGCTCCAGGGGTTCCAAGACATATACAGTCGATCGAATGTGATGGATCTCCAGATCTCATATTAGCCGCCAATCAACCAAAGTTTTGTCACTGGAGGTGTTAGCCGCACCGGCGCTGGCGGAGCAGGAGTGAACCCGATTCAGGCCCACCCCTATCCATCGCAATTGGAACACCATGACGCCCCGGTCTGGACGCAACAATTCAGATGATGGCGAGCTGGGCCAGCCCGTGGAGCACCAAGTATCATCGCCTCCTCCCCTCGACGACATAAATCCATTTTCACGGCCAGAAACGCGTGAGCCTTCCCTGCCGCCACTGCCGGCCGTTTCCTGGGACTCGCAGACGCAGTCCTTCGCCAAGAGGAAACGAAGCACCGCGTCACAGCTCTTCTCCGACTCAAGTGACCCTGCCATATTCTCCAGCGACGATGATCCCGCGCTGGACAACTATGTCGAAGGCCGTCACAAGAAGAAGCGCTACGTCGGCTCCTGGTTCCAGCAACGCCCAGCAAGCTCCGATTCCGGCTTGAGTATTCGTCCAGAGTCCAGCGGCCGGCTCGAGTCCCGCTGGAAAAGGCCATTCGTCCCGGTCGACAGCGGAGTCTTCATGGGGAGTGACGGCTCCATTGATGATATCCTCCTGGATGAGCTGCCACCTGCCAAGGCGAACAAGGCAATTTTCCCGCCTACGACAACAACGAGACCAACGGCTGCTCAGCTTAACCAAGTGCCCCGCCCGTCCCAGAAGGGGAAGCACTCCGATACGGAGGCAAAAGCACAGGAGATTATCCGACGGTGTATCGATCGCGGCATTGAAGATGTCGACTTGTCGTAAGCATCCCGAGCCCCGGCCTTTGTTAGACACTGAATTTGCTGACGCTTAGAGCAGGGCCCAAGGACTGCAACACATTTCCAATGCGACCATCTCATTGATATCGCAGATTGCTCGAATCCCGAGTGTAGAAAGGGGCGTTCCCTTTGAGCATCAGGACCCGGAGCTTCACCTGTTTCTCTGGAGCAACCAGCTTACGCGGGTCCCTGGGGCAGTCTTCGACTTGGACCACCTGACGATTCTGAGCCTGCGGGGAAACTCGCTCACAGAGCTGCCCCCTGCCGTTCTGAAGCTCAAAAAGCTACAGACCCTGAACGTATCACTGAACAATTTGAAATACCTGCCTGTGGAGCTGCTTGAGCTGATATACGACCCCGAGAGCTCGCTCGAGACATTGATGCTTCACCCAAATCCGTGGTACCGGCCAGAAGGGGATGAAGAACCGGAAGCTCCTTGGTCATCTGAGAACACAGACAGAACATATTCCGGCCCTGGCCCGCGGGGCAGAGGGAGCAGGTGGCTTACCCGTGAGCCACGTACCGGCTCGTACCTGGATGCGAAGCGCTGGGCAAGATCACCGGTGGAATTCAAGAACACACAAGACACTGTGTATTCCGTATTCCGGGTAAAGCCCGACGACAAGATCCTGCCGACCGAGGACCTCGAATCAGAGCCAGTGCCGCCGATGCAGAATACTGCCCAACAACGGATCTTGCTCTCCACCGAGGTCAAGACTACAAAGGTGCCGTCCCTGATGGAGTTAGCGCTGCAGGCGTCCGCAAGGAACCCTTACCTGTCAGAACTGCCCGAGATACTCGCCGACACCACCCCGAACACACGCATGTGCAATCTCCTCGTCGACACGCAGGTGCACTCGTACACGGGCGGCCAGCGCTGCACCGTCTGTAAGCGGCCGGTTATCAAGCCGACCGCGCAGTGGTTCGAGTGGTGGGAGGTCTTTGTCAACCACCAGGTCCCGGGGGATTCGGCCGACTCGGAGCCGCTCACAAGAGTGCAGTACCTGACCAAGTCCCCGGGGGAGAGGCTGGTGCCCTTCGTCAGGCGCGCGTGCTCGTGGAATTGTGTTCGGAACCCGGTCAGGGGGCTGGGAAGGCCATCGGAGGAGGAGAGCGCGGAAGCAAATGTAGGGGAGGGCGTGCTTCAAAAGTAATTCTTTAATACAATCCACGAGCGCTTGTACAATGTCAATGCATTCAAAATTCAAATCCTGAGGAGTTAATCTTGCTCCAGTACCCTCGTTCCTGATTCATCTGTTGGTAGAGGACCTACCCAGCATCTAGGCTCGATTGATATTTCTCCGTCTTCAAAGAGGTGCCTCTCGGTCATGTCCATCTTGAACCAAGCTTCCTTGACCACGCACAATCTTGAGCCCGTTTTAAATTGCTAGTCAACTGAATTATAGCAAGACTCCTTTCTGCAAGGCCCCGGAAGCAAAAGGCGAAGGGTGGTATTAAAAGGGGCCCTTTTTACAGCAGTCTTCTTTGGATCTCAAGATGTAGACAGCCACTGTAGCCTCGAATTCAAGGGCCCCGTCCCACCTTCAAAGCCACCCACAACATGCCTGGAGGTCTTGGAAAACCCCCCAACGGCACTCTTTTTGCGCCAGGTCATGCCCATCACGGGCTCGCGGACGGCCCGAAGATGTCTTTGGACCGATCAGGTCCTCCCACCACGAGCAATACGCCAATTTTCTAAATAGCTCGCTCATGCAGGGCTCGTTCCTGCTGTGGCGCCCAGCTTGGCTGCCCTTTCGCCCCTCTGGTAGACATACAGCGCCTCGTCCTTGCCGGCGAAACTCGGCAGCGGGATCTGAACCACCTTGGTCCACGCAGGCTGCTCCCGCGCCATGTACTCATCAAAAGTCATGTCTCTGAAGGACGTGTAGCCGTTCCGGTTCTGCGTGCCGACGACAGCTACTGTGTCACCCTTGAAAGCCTTCATCAGGTCCCTCGTAAACCCGCCCTCGACACCACCCGCCAGGCCTCCGCCTACCACGGGATAAACCATCAGGAGCACCATGTCCGCGCCACCAGCGTTGCGCGGCTGGGCCAGCCACTTTGTGCCATCCATGACGACTGTGTCAGAGACCCAGCTTGCCCGCCAGTCACTCTGCGCGTTGTCGACAGGCACAACGTCGGCCAGCCCGTGCAGCCGGAGCATGAAGGTCCAATATCCATTGCCGCTGCCCACATCCACGACCGTCCTGCCTGCCGCAACCAGACGCAGGATCTCAAGGCTCTCGTACGAGGGCACCGCACAGCCGAAGTGGTGCATAAAAATGGGCAGGACGTGGTGGCTCTGCTGCGGGCGGGCTTCGGACGCGGGGCCCGGGCCACACCACTCGAGGTTGCGGCACGACCACTCCCAGAAATCGAAATAAATGTTGGGTGGCACGTCCTTGGCGGTGGGCTTCTTCTTGGGGATGTTGAGATGTGCCGCGCCGGGGTGGATGAGGCGTTTGGATATGAGGTGCGCAGCGACGCCAGAGCGGATACTGCCCTTTTTCGCGTTGGCGCCGAGCGCCTTTAGCGCTGAGGACGTGAGGCTTGATGGCTGGAAGACCCGGATGTAGTCGTCTATGTCTGGCCTTGGAGGAGGGTCCAATGGCGTTTTCGGGTCGCCGCCGTCAGGAGAACTATACCACGCGTGCAGGCCATTCTGACCCCCCAAGCCGATGATGTGTTGCACCTGGGGCAAGGTTACAGCAGTGATGGCGTGGTATGTCCAAGTGTCGTTCGCGGGGAGCTGAAACCAGGCCTTGATGGCAGCGGCAAGTTCATCCTTGGCCAGGACTGAGAGTGCTTCGGCCCTGGCATCCGCGTCCTTGACACGGATAGCCGGATCGAAAGTCGGAGAGCCGACACAGGGCACCGTTTTCCTGGCCATGGTGAGAATTGGAGGGGTATGTCTCAGCGGCTGTGTCGATGGTGACAGCAAATTCACAGCACGCTATTCCCTGTAGCATATGCAGGACTCTGGGCGAGACGAAGCTTGTGAAGTGACGTCCGGGCCTGGCTGGCTAAGGCCCGAGGCGCTCCGGGGCGTCCGGAAGGGCCCAGAGAGAGGTGTGGGTCCCCGACCCGCCCCGCTGCGCAAATAGGAACAAGACGAAATGCAGCCCAAGCGGATCCTGAATCGGGCTGACCACTATCGATTGCAGCCGAAAGTGAGCGATCTGATCAATCTGATCTTTGATCTGGCCCTGGCATGGCCCTGGCGTGCAGGCGGGCCCGCATATGATACTTTTCACCCCTGAGCTATGAGTATCCATAGTCTGCGTCTTTGCTAGCCCCAAGCCTGATCCGCTCCAGTCTTCCAGTCGTAATGCGATTCTGCTTCGGCACAAGTGGAACCTCTGCACGCTGCATCAACGACTGAGCCGAGCGTTTACTCCTCCATTGCTTTTTCTTGTCGTCGCCAAGTGTGTGACGGACGACAGGTCGACAGCTGAGCTAGCTGGTTGGACACGAAGCGCCTCAGTCCTGAGAGATTCTCACCGCTTAGGCAAAGGCGCTGTTCAATAGGTCCTGTGGTGGTGCCCGATCGACTCGGCACCCCGAGGTCGTGTTCATCGAGCTATGGCGGACGGAAGTGCGACCCTGAGCTCTGGAGAAGGGTGGCTAAGAAGAATACTAGAAGAGCAGCTGCCCGGGTACCCTGGGCTGCCTGGGACCAGATGCTTTGGGCCGTGAGGGCCTAGACTTCAGCCACTCCAGGGGACTATTGTGGATGTGCTAAGGCATCGTGACACCTTGCCCAACGCGGCCTGGGCCGAGGTGGGTGACAGTGAGTGCTTGAGCGTACAGTCGCCATCGCCGTCGCCGTGTCGTTGTCGTTGTCGCCGTCGTTTTCGGAGGAGAGGTCGTCCTACCTGGCATCCAGCCCCACCCATTTGCGGGTGTTCTGGTAGGGGTGGCAGTGCGGTAATGTGGAGGGGCTGACGGACAGGCGTAGGGCATCGATTGTCAGTTTCCACGGCATCTGAGCGCCACAGCGCAGCAGTCCATTACTTTGGACGCAGTAGTTCATCTGAGCCGGCGCTTCTGGTAGTGTGGTCACGGAGAAATTACACAGGAAGCGTCGGGAAAGGAGTGGAGAGGGAGAGAGGACGGGGGAGTTGCCGTGGGCCGAGGATGCTGCTGCGTGTGCCTGTCTGCTGTGCTTGCAGGCCCATCTGCACACCCGCCACAGCAGGTAGTCTAGTGGCATGGCAGCTCTGCTCCTTCCCTCCTGCCCTCCTGCCTGCCTCCCACCTGTGGCAATCCTGGTCCCGGGGTCGCACTCGCCTATCTCGTGTGACGTCTCCCCACCTTTAAACCACCATAGTAATAAGCCTGAGCACGCTGCACGCTGCACGTTGCGCATCTCACATCTCACATCTCACTCTGGCCTTAACACCTACTGTATATCCACGTTAGGTACCTACCTCGGTACATTGTGAAGTCTATGGTCTCCAGACCTCAACCTTGCGGCACTGGGCACCTGGTCGATAGTTGACGTTCGACGGTCGACGGCCAACGGGTCCTTTCTACGCAGGACCTAGATCCATGCCCCCTGTCTTTGTCTCCTTCTGTCCCTCGTGCTGCGTCCTCGTTCTCGTCCCCGTCTCCGTCTCCGTCCCCGTCCATGTCCATGTCCATGTCTGTCCTGGAAGACGGCGGAACCTACTTTTCATTCCCTGCCCTCCTCTGAGCATCTTTACCTTTTCCATGGCACGCTAAATGGGCGGCAGCAAGCAGCACACACAAACTCGCCTCCTGACTGCAATAATTGGAACTATCCCACCGACACTTCCTCATCGCGCACGTCTCCCGCTGCTTCGGCCTCATCTCATCTGCCGCCTCATCCAACAAACTGCATGAACCAGTGGTTTGAAAGCCCTTAGCTCATTACCAACCGCCGCCGTCTCGTCGCCCGCTTTCAACCCTGCTCTGTTCAGCGGTCGCTGCCGGCGGACCACACAGTACCATCTTGCGTCCCCGTCCTCTTTCTGGTTCTACGCTGGCCACCGCCTTTTATTCCCGTACCCTCGCCGGGGATATGAGATAACCATGGACCCTCTCCACAAAACCGACTCGGCTATTTCAGTTGCCTCCAAGGACAATGGTGTTTACGATGAACTCTCGGCCTACCACCAAAGTGAACCGCCACCTTCCAAGAGGCTCAGGCCGGATGACGGCTCTCCACATCCGGAGAGCTTTCGTCAAGCGTCACCGACATCACAGCCTGCGGCTTCCCACCAGGAGTCTCTGCCCCCAGTTACACGACCATCCGTCCCACCCACCATAGAGAACCTCCTTGCTCCCCTTGAGGACTCACCTCCGCCACTGGCGCATGGGAGTCCGTCGCTACCTCCTCAGGAGCATGCCACATCGCCTCTTGTGGCTAACCAGCAATCACAAGCACCCCAGTCCTACAGAGTTGACCCATGGTCCTCTACTGAAAGCCAACATCCTTACTCACCCCATCCAGCGGGTGAGTCTATGAGTGCACCGCGAACTACTGGCGGCGACCAATACGACCAAGACTCTGTGCAGCAGGCCGGGAACGGCAACATCGTCGTTGACGAGGACGAACTGGAGTCTGATCCAGGCTACGAGTCTGACCGTGCCAGCTTCGCCTCGACCTCTCTATCTAGCAGTGCTCGGGACTATCTCTTCGAAAATGGACGGCGTTACCATAGGTTCAGGGAAGGCAGGTATAACTTCCCCAACGACGAAGCCGAGCAGGACAGGGAGGACATGAAGCACGCCTGCGTCAAGATGCTGTGCCAGCAGCTCTACTTTGCACCACTAGATGAACGCAATGTGCAGAACGTCCTCGACATTGGCACGGGGACAGGGATATGGGCCATCGAGATGGGTGACCAGCTGCCAGCGGCCAATGTTGTCGGCATTGACCTCAGCCCCATCCAGCCAGATTGGGTGCCGTCAAACGTACACTTCGTGGTCGACGATGCTGAGAGCGAATGGCTGTACCCAGACGACCATTTTGACTATGTGCATTCACGGCACACAGTCATGGCGATCAAGGACTGGCCAAAGCTATATAAACAGGCTATGACGTGAGTTCTCCTCCGGGACATCCAGTTTCCACACACTGCGTAGCTGACAAGGTCTTAGGCATCTGAAGCCTGGCGGCTGGATCGAATCACAGGAGATCTATCACTACCCCATCTCGGCTAACAACTCGATGCCACCGGACCATCCCGTCGCGCAGTACTGGGGGCTGATCAAGGACGGGCTGGCGAACCTAGGGGTCGACTTCCACGCGGCGGCTGGCGGGAAAATCGCAAACGCGATGCACGAGGCTGGATTTGTGAACATTCATGAGCGCGTACTCCATGTGCCACTCGGAACCTGGGCCAAGCACCCCAACCTGAAGATGGTCGGCGAGTACTGGAGGCAAGTCCTGCTGGACGGCGCGCAAGCTATCGCCCTGGGCCCGCTGACCCGGGGCTGCGGTTGGACTCGGGACCAGGTGGAGGTCTTCCTGGTCGAGGTGAGGAAGGCGTATTTCGACAACAGCTGCTTGATGTATATGCCGATGCACATAGTCTGTGGGCAAAAGCCGGGGCATGGGTTCTGAGGGCAGGACACCCGGCGCATTTTGGATATGGATGATTCACAAGCATATTGAACATGTTGGCCTCCCCTAGGGAATAGGGGAAGAGGGCAATTCTGCTATTTCGTGATACCAGGCGACTACAGACTTGCGTTCAGGCATGGTGCTCGGCCCAGCTTTCAAAAGCTTACAGAGCTCGTGCCCACGCCTGTAGCGTCTCCCTAACAAGTAGATTACAGACGCGGGGATCGATACCAGCCGCCTAGTGACCCGAGCAGAAATGACACGAACATGTGGGACATGAATTGACTGGTCGGTCGGCTGTTGAGAGCTGCTGGGTCAAGATGCTGACATGGCGGTTGACTTTGGCGGCAGCGGACCCGACATGTCGGGCCAGTGACATCTAGGATGCTGTTGCCGATCACGCCACAGCCAATAGTTGAACGGATGCGATTCGAAAACACGCGTTGGTTCCATGACGTGCAGTAATGATGCTGAGGAAAGGGGGCCGGGAGGAGGGAAAGGGAGGGGGCCGACCCGGCAGGCTGGGGTAACACAAGCACACCACACCCATTTGCAGGAGAGCAGAACACGTCTTTTCTTACATGCGGCAACATCAGAACCTAATTACCTCCTCAGCACAAGGGTGTCGGTCTGGTCCGTCTGGACTCACACGCACGGGCACGCGGAGAGATGCGGAAAGCTGGGGTTGTCGCCCTGCTGAAGAGGCCAGCGAATCCGAGACCCGGCCAAGGCACAGCACAGCACAGCACAGCACACGCCAGGTGCGAGAGCTCTCAATGGGCCTACTGACGGCCTAGTTGTTTCGTTTTGTTCCAGCGCGCCCACATCAAATAGCCAGATGCGGCCGTGGATGGCACCCAACCTCACCCGGTCCAGGATGGTGCGCCGACCCCGAGGGCTTGGCTTTCACCACTACCACGGTCTTGGGCTCCGAGCTTCCCAGTTTCCATGCACAAGGGCACACACTAGTAGAGCCTCTTGCGCAGCTTCCCTCGGGACGTAGTCTTGGTGCTAACAGTAGCTGTCCCCAGCTCTCCCTTCCGCGGGACATGGTGCCCATGGACAGCCACATGAAATCCAGGCGAGGTGAGCTCTCCGGCGCCTGGGCGCTCAGGCCTGAGGCCCCAACAACCCCAGCACGCTGGTAGCAACTTTGATCCACGTCTACAAGCAGCTAGCACTCATGCTGGTGGTCCTCGGGACGCTGGGATCGGCGCTCGACTGTGCCGACAGAAATCGGCCAGGCCACGAGGGCTGTCGTCCTGAACCTCGGCCGCCACGATCCGGGACATTGACAGGCACCCTTGAGGCTGGCCGCCCAGTAGGAAGTCGGCCGGCCGCCAGACCTACTCGCTAGCCCCAGTTTCTCGGCGCCATTCGTCCCAATGGGCCACGGGAATTGGACGGGGAGATCCACGAGCTTCGTCCCCAAGTCGGAGAGGGGGGACGAAATGAATTGTGGAATTGCCCTCTTGTCTACCAGCCTGCCTACCAGCCTAGCGGTACCTGCTGAGAGGTGCCGAGCGACACTTGGGAAGCAAGCCCGTCTCATGGAGCCTGCTAGCCTCGCGATGCTGCTAACCCCATCGGAGCATACTCTCCGATCATGTCTCTTTGTTGCTAAACTCCCAGTCCGTCCCCTTTCCTTTCCTCGCCGGGCCCTCTCCTCGGGTGGCCCTTTGCAATGACTCTGCTGCCTCCCGGTCCTCGACCTGTGCATCGCTAAGGTGTTCCCGCGCTGGCACGACTGGTCCTGCTGTTAGCCGCAAAGGACGAGACAAAGAAAAGGCTGCCAACCCACGACACCTGCATTGCAGTAACGCCACAAACTGTTCCCACGCCCCCCCTTTTTTTTTTTGGTTTTGATTCATACCACCCACTGACCTGGACGCCGGAGCCCATCACGGCCCTTTTTGGATGCACCTCTCGAATCCGGATCCCGGCACATCAGCTATTGTCGCTCCTCCGGCCAATCCGCGGCTTAACGACTGACGAGAGCAACACGTCACTCCACCACCGCCATCAGTCAAGGGGAGCTGGAGAAGAAAGGCAAAGGAAATCGCAAGGCACTTTTTCTCGCACGGGAACGAGTCCCAGCCGCGTGGAACCTGTCACGAAACGTCTGTTCTGTCCCGACAGGACGCACTGCTGGAATCAACGTGGACTTCTGGTTGGGTGGTTGAACTCCAAGCGAGGTTACCTGCTGCCAAGAAACCCAGGGTGGACGCCGACGTGTCCCACGACCGCTGGTTCCAAAACCTCACGAGGGGGTGTAAAGATTAACAGGTTAGCAGCGTTTCTTTTCTTTTTCTCTTCCTTTTGAGTGCCTAGTTCGGGAGCTCATGGGGCCATGGGTGCTGCTCCAAGTGCTCCTTTTCAACGGTCTGGTGTCTGTCTCCTTGTTCCCTCTCTGCCCTCGAGCAGGCAGGCCATGGGACGATATCGCTGGTCTCTCACCGCAGTTTAGGTATGAGCTCCCCCAGCAGACCCCGCCGGGCCGTTCTTTCATTGGCTTTGGTAATGGCTCGGTCTAGATGTTGCACATGCGGTGGCTCTGCAGTGGCACTTGCAGAGAAGTGGCTGCTTGCTGTGTAACATACCGTGCTGTAATTGACCTGTGGCAAATGCTCAGTCAATCCACCAGGCTTGCTTTCACTACTGAGAGTCATTATTGCGGCGTTTAGGTGAATGTGACTGCATGCTGGGAGCGGAGCTTACACGTTATTTGTTGGCCGTGTGCGGATATCGCGTGACAAGCTGCGTGAGAATCAACGACTGACTGTGAGCTCGCAGTTTTTAACTCAACGCCTCCCTCGGGGCTTTGTCCTGGTCAAGTCGCAGCCATAGGGAAACAGGCATTCCTGCTCAGAGTCTCTGCCGCAGGGCACTCTGTAACCACAAAGAGAGCAGCCAGCATGACCAAGTTCAGCTTGAGCTCCTGGCTCACCCCCAAGAATAATGGTACCAGCGATGCCGAACGCAAGCGGCAGAACAGACGGACCTTTTCTGGGTTCTCGTCGTCGTCGCCTTTAAAGACTGGTGTGAACGGCGCAGAGACCGCCAAGGTACCGAACAGCGGCAAGGGAGCACACGTCAACGGCAAATCTGATCAGAACTCTGTCAGCACATTGGAGCCTACCTCTGACGTGGCCACCGATAGCGCACAACCGCAAGTCTCAGCTACGACCAGCATGATCGCACTTTCGCAGAAGATTGCGAAGGAGACTGAGAAGTTGGAGGCGTACATGAAGGAGAACGGGCTTGCCATGCCGTCGTTCGACGTCGATGCCGCAGATGACTTCCCCGGGCTGCCAGAGGATATCCAGAGGAGCAGGCTGGAGATCATACATGCCACGAAGGAGTTGCGAGACCTGGCGGTTGGACCCCGTGAAAGTGTGAGATGGGGTGTGTGGGAGGTGAGTCTGTGCATGTGTTTTCGTATTCCAGGACGTAAGCTCATGAGGAATTGCAGTTTCTTGACGTCCTCGCACTGCAACTGATCAACAACTACGGAATTGGTGAGTACGACCTGGCTACGATGAGATCTAGAACCAATGCAGCTCACACACCGTCTAGCGAAACTCGTCCCTCTGGAGAAGCCCATTACTCTGGCAGAGCTTCAGTCCCTCACCCCCCTGGATCCTGTCAACCTGGCACGCACCCTCCGCATAGCAATGACCAACCACGTCTTCTGCGAGCCCTCCCCCGGAATGATCGCCCACACCGCGGCGTCTCGCCTCCTAGCCACCGACGCAGAGCTCGCCGCGTGGGTGGGCTTCAACGCCGAGGACATCTACCCGGCCTCGGCGCACAGCCTCCAGGCGCTGCGGCAGTTCCCCGAGGCCACGTCGCTGACCCGCAGCGGCTTCCAGTTCGCCTTCGACACCGTGGACAAGGAACCAATGTTCGTCACGTTCGGCAAGGACGAGGACCGGGCCAAGCGCATGGGGCGCGCCATGGCGAGCCTGACGGGCGGCGAGGGCTACGAGGTCAGCTTCTTCGTCGACAGCTACGACTTCTCGGAGGTAAATTCAAAGGGTGGCACCTTTGTCGACATCGGCGGCAGCCACGGGTTCGTCTGTGTCGACCTTGCGAAGAAGTGGAAGGACATGAAGTTTGTGGTGCAGGACCTCCCCAAGACGGTGGCGAGTGCGCCCAGCCCGGTGTGCGAGGACGCTGAGGTAGCCGAGAGGGTGGAATTCATGGCGCATGACTTCTTCACGACGCAAAGCGTGAAGGGCGCCGACGGTGAGTCTCCTCCAGCTGCCCAGCCCGCTTCCTCCCAGTCAAGGCTCGTCTCCCAAGACAGCCCGTGGCGATTCTGACACTTGTCGCGCAGTCTATTACTTCCGCTGGATCATGCACAACTACTCCACCCCATACGCCGTCAAGATCCTCAAGAACCTCGTGCCGGCCCTCAAGCCGGGGGCGCGCATCGTCATCAACGACCACTGCCTGCGCGAGCCGGGCCAGGAGAACCCCTGGGACGAGAAGATCATGCGCCGCATGGACATGGTCATGCTCGCGCTGCTCAACGCGCAGGAGCGCACCGAGGCCGAGTTCAGGGAGCTGTTCCGCATGGCGGACGAGGGTTTCGTGTTCAAGGTGAGCCAGGCTGTTTCCATTTCTAGGAGAGTTGGGGTGCTCCCCGAAAGATATGTCCTTGTACGCTGACACATAGCCCCGTGCTGTAGGGAGTTACACGGCCTAAAGGCTGTCGCATGAGCATCATCGAGGCTGTGTGGCAGGGCGAGGACAACGCTTCCAAAGCCGCAGACGAGGTCGAAGAGCAGAAAGCATAGTGCCTACTACCGCGTGGGTTGTTTCTGGGCATGATGCGCTGCTGTGTTTGTCAAGGGCGTCCTGGCTTCCCAACTGGACTTCGGCAACCTGCCTAGGTGTGAAGATGGGTCTTCATGTGATCGGGACAGCCTTGTGTTTTTGAGGAGTTCGGAATTTTGTTCGGTCTGGCATTGCTTCCAACAAGTATACATCAATAATCCACAGTTGAGGGCGTGAGGCAGGGGAATACACGGCGTGATGATGACATCTTGAAATCCGGCGTCATGCGTCGAGGCTCTTTTCTGTTTCTATTGGGCCCCAATACCCTTCTGTTGCAGCGCCATGACGGATACGCGTATGTGGAGGATGGGCTAGTGTACATACTTCCAAGCTCGATTGATGTGGGGTGTGGGATCTTTCCATCTACGATGATTACTGGAAGGCGTTGCGAAGAGCTTGTCGGCTTTCCGTCTGCCACTTCTAGTGACTGGGGCTGCAATCATGTGCATCTTTTGTGCTGACTGTCAAACTTGCCAGAATGTTTAGACTACTGCTCACTCGCGCCAGTGTCAACTACCTTGGCAAGTGGTTGAACCCTCGAGGGCTGGGGTGTTCGTAGCTATATTGTATGTTCTCACCATCATCATGGAGAAAAGAGCGTTGTTGTGAATTGTAACGCTGATACATTTTTGTTCGCATCCTCGTGATGCCTGATGACAAGATCAGATGATGCAAAACGTATCCCAATCCTTGAGAGAGCGCCTCGTGAGTCTGAATCTTGCTAGAGCTGACCTGGTCTCCTCTACGAGAATGTGTCAACATCACCCTCAGGCAGCAAGATAGACATGGCCCCGTTGAGCATATCCCAGCTGTGAAGCGTTGAGGGATAGCAAAAGTAAATAAGGAGGAAACCCAGGCAGTGCTCAAGACAGCGGCCAAGGTGTCCCTGAGGTGCCTGTTTGGGTTGGGTCGAGCGGGAAGGACCAGGTGAAGTCGGACGGAAGCATCTGAAAGATTCACCGCGCCCTGTGGGATTTCTCATTACCTGCGCAAACAGATACATAAACCCACTTGACCCTCTGACTTCCATCAATCACCTACCATTGAGCCAATCTGGCCGAGTGGTAAGGGCGCGTGGCTTTCGGGCCACCTTAGCGACGATGGGGTGGTAGCTTGTGCGAACATGTTCGGCCCCAATGTCACACCCTCTACTGGTAGGAGGGATAGTCAAGGAAAGCAAGCTCACTGCCCAATTTTTTTTTTTTAAATTTTTTTTTTTTTTTCCATTTTGGGTGTTCTCTTCAAAGCAGTAACGACGTCTCATTGCTGAAGTGTCGGGCCTCATCTGCAACGGCCTTGTTGACAGCAGTGCTCGGTGTGTATTTTGCTGCAATGGTGGCTGCCGTTGTGAGTGATTACAATTGACTGCAGCAAGCGGGTAGTTTCAGTTCGATCCACGAGTGTGGCAGGTATTCAACTGCTGCAAGAATGTTTTCTGAGCACTTATCTGCCCTCATCGCAAAGTTTTAAATCAGCATGGCTGGCTACCAAAGTAGGACTTGTCCACGGTGTAACCTGACCTATACTATGTGTTGAGCATCATACTGCCCCATGACACAACAAACAACAAGTTGCAAACCGAAAAGAGGTGAGGTCTGGGCCAGTCCCTAGCAAGATTGTTACCGCACAATATTAGCAGTGTGGATGACCGAAGTTCTGTTGGACACCCTCCAATCCGATTTCTGCCAAGCATGCCATAGTTATAGCATCTCAGAGGATATTTGCAACGACGGTCCTCGGTCATTTCTTACGGTGCTGTTAAGACGATCTCTCCGTTCCACGTCTTGGTTCTGAACTGTACAAAGACCTGCGAAGTGGTATTGACCCCGGCACAGATCTAAGGAACATCGAGCTATAAGTCCTCTCGGTCATTGACTGGCAGAGTCTGGAAGGGAGGCGATCAAACTCTTCGAACCAAGTCAGCCTGTAATTCCCGGAATCCAGTCCCACTCCCGTTGTAGACAGAAAGTGTACCACTTCGCCAAGAGACTCCCACCAGCACATCTGTATTGACACACAAAAGCGCGAGGACAGAACAAAGTTAGCCAGAATAACATTCTACACAGGCAAGTCCGACGTACATCACTCGGGGGTGATAATGAGTAGACAATACTTTTCAGAGGCACCAGCGAAGACTGCTCTGCCGATACGAGGTCAGCACACCTGTTCCACGAGTAGTTGACCAGATACGAGCAGCGAGGCGGACGAAATAGTATCACCACAATGAAGACACGCCAACGGGTTGAGACAGGTAGTAGTTCGATTCGGTCTTCTGATTCACCCAATCAATCCTCCTCCAGCAGAGCATATATTCATACATACATCTCTTCCTTTTCTTCTTTCCTCGGGAATAAACAATTATGCTACTGTAAAGACACACAGAACCGAAGATGTAGTAGTACGGTTGTGTGGGGGTATGCGATAGAAACTCGGGGGTTAAAAAAAAAAAAACCGATCCAACCATGGTAAGCTCTAGGCAGGATGGGTGACAGAAGAAGATTGAAACGTGTTTAGAAGAAGACGTGGCTGCCCCGAGGCAGGACAAGAATATTAGAAGCTCAGTGCCCTTGCCCAAGAAAAGAAGAGAAAGACCAACAAGGAAACCCGCCCCAAACGCCGATTCATGATAGCCGTAAAGGACGCCCATCCCGCAAAAGTTGTCGCGCAACGAAGGTATGGTGATGAGGAATTGGGTAAGGTTCAGTCATCCCCGTCGTCCTATGAATCCAGCCTCTTCTCCAGTCAGCCAAGCTCTGATTCATGCCCAGGCCATTACCAACTTCAGGCGCTTCCTTCTCTTTGTCGTCCACCACCGCACTTGCTCCTGTGGACGAGATGGCAGGCCCAGACGCAGGCATCTCGAAGTCAAACGTGTTGCTCAAACGATAGTTCTTGTTCGTCGCCTCCCAGTGACTCCGCAACGTCTCCAGCTCGTTGGCTAGGTTGTCCAGCGCAGCACTGTTGCGAGCGTCGCCCATGGTCTCGTAAACCGATGTCGAGTCGGAACTCCCTGCTCGTGCGTGTCCTCCCCCGTTTGTTGTCGAGCTGGTGGTAGACGGGGCCTTTTGCAGGGCTGGCGCGATCTGTTCCGCAGAAGCAATACTCGGGACCTGCCGGCTCTGCCGGCGGTAGTTGCCCACAGAGGTCTCGACTTGATCCAGCAGCATAGAGACCTTTGTCTCTGCGTCGTGAGCCCGTTGCTCGAGGAGTGCATTCTCCTGCTGCAGTTGTTCCAGGTCTTTGCGGCTGGCCAACAAGCGGGTGTTGGCCTCTTCGCTGTTCTTGGACGCCTCTTCTTGGGCCTGCCGGGTCTCAGCCAGCTGTTGCTGCACGTGTTGCAGTTGCTCTTCAAGTTGCTCCTGCGAAGTTCTTATCTCCTCCTGAAGCGCCTCGACCTTCCTGTGCAGCTGCCTACGCTCCGACTCCCAATCTGCCGGCACATCGCCTGATGATGTGCCCTTTTCCTCAATATCTGCTAGTTCTTCTTTCAGCCGAGTATTCTCCGTCTTGTATCTCGCCAGCTGCTCCTTGAGCTGTTTGAGCATCTTCTCAGTTCCCTTGACATAATGCACGGCAGATTGATAGTCGTTCTCAAGCTGTGTCAGTTTCTCCCGATAGGCGACCTCTGACCCTTGGGCCTGCGACGACATTGTCTGCTTGGTCTCCTCATGGGCTGCCATGGATGCAGCCAGTTGCTTTTCCAGTTCACGTAGTCGGGAGAGTTCTGGAGAACCCTCCCGGGGGCTCGCCATCGAGCGAGTCCGCCCCGCGCTTGTTGGGCTGATTCCCCTCTCAACGAGTATGTCCTTGAGCGTATTGTGCTGCACCGTTATGGCATTGGCCTCGAGCTGCTGGCCAGCAAGCTGGTGCTTGAGGTCCGAGTTCGTAGCCTGCAGAGACTGAGTCTCGCGAAGAGCAGCCTGCAGCTGTCTCCGGATGGTCACGCCTTCCCTGCTCGCTTGCTCTTGGTATGCCTCCAGGCCGGCGATCCGCTCTTCTGCAGCTCGCAATCTATCCGATGCAGTGTCCGCCTCCTGTTGATACCTCTTTACCAGGGCATTTGCGGCATCCAGCTGACCCTGGAGCGCTGCGGAGCGGTCGTGCTCTGACTTGTTTGGCGCCGAGACGTCTCTCGTGGAGATCTTGTCGAGGCCGGACAGGAGCGCTTGGCGATGTGTTCGTGCCTCGTTCGCATGGCGTTCGGCGATTTCCTCCGCGTCTCTCAGGCGCTGCGTGGCCGTGACAAGCTCACCAGTCCGGGCCTCATGCTCAGCCTTCAACTTCGTCAGCTTGTTCTCGACCTTCTCCCGCAGCGCCCTTTCTTCGTCGAGCTTCGTTTCCAAGACAGCCTTGGTTTCCGCTGAAGCAGCGATGGCATCCCGCAGGGACTCCATCGTCTCACTGTGGTCCCTGGAGCTTCCAACCGCCTCCTGGTACTGGTTCTCAAACTTCGTCTTTTCGGCTTGCAGCAATTGCAGGGCTGCTTGTGACTCGTGCGCGAGGACAGATTGCTCCCGTGCTTCTCGCTGCACCAGGTGCAGCTCAGCCTTAAGTTGCTCGAGCTCGGATGAGCTTTGCTGTTTGTATGCTTCGAGAGCGGCCATGCGCTTCTCTGCAGCGGATACGGTATCGTCTGCGATCTTGCGCGCACGCCTCTCAGACTCGACTTCTGAAGACATCCGATCCAGAGCGTTTTGCAATTCCCTTTGAGCATTGAGCGCAGTAGCAAGCTTTCGGCCCAGTTCGTTCGAGCGTTCATCTTCTTCACGTTCGTTGTCGAGGTGGGGTGAATTGGCTGCACTGCCTAGATGTCCTGCTAACTTGGCCTTGGCATGGACAGCCTCCTGGATGGCTGCGTCTCTTTGCTTCTCTGCTTCCGCAATGTGTTTGGCGGCAAGCACAGCCTGCTTGTCGAGAGATGCCTGCACATTAGCCACCTCCGTTCGCATGGTCAAGAGTGCCTCGATGAGGGGTCTGTCGTCCTCATCAAATGTCTCAGCCGCTCGGCTATCAAGGGTTGGGCTCAAGGAAGCGTTCGGGGAATATCCGGCTTTCCGCGCCAGCTCCAGCTCCGATGCGTACCATGCATTCCTGTTGCGTGCTGCATCAAGCTCTTTGAGAATTGCCACTGTCTGAGAATTTCGCATGGACGACCTTCGAGAAATGGGGTTGCTGGCCTGTCGCGTTGGCGGCGGGGGTGACGCTGGGCGTACAGGAGCGGATGCTGGTTCAGGTTTCGTGACCGGGGCTGCAGCAGGTGCAGCAGACCTAGAAGCGGGTGAAGCCACCATATTTTTCAGATTCGGCTCTGTCGTACTATCGACAGAGCCTTGTCCCCGCTGGCGTGCACTGCGCGCAGCCTTCGGTGTTTCTGCAGGCGCAGTGTCACTTCCCGGGCCAGGTTTGGCCGTCTGAGCTGTCGGTGTTCGGCGTCCATTCACGATAGGACTCTCCACGTCCTTCTGTTGCGAGACTGGCGACTGATTCTGACCGCTCGGGCCTGGCGCAACTCCTGTCAGTTCGTTCCTTTCCAAAGATGCATTCCTGCCCTGTCTTGCGCCTGCCCCAGTGTTGACGGTTGGTCTTGGTGGCTGGCCCTGCGGCGGGGGCCCGCTTGGTGGTAGAGTAACAGGCGGTGGACCCCTGGGGCCACGAGAGCCTGGACCAGGTTGGCCGTTGACGAGACCCCCCTCGGGAGTGCCCATGCCCCTGGGACTGTTGAGAGCGGCGTTTTTCTTGGGCGCGCCCATCAGTCTCCCTTGCCCTGGCGGCCCTTGCGAGCCGTCACGGGAGGGCAAACGACCGTAAGACGAGGGCGACTCGGCCATGCTTGGGCGCCGTTGTCCAGGAGCCCTCTGTGACTGTGACTGAATCTGTGAGTCGCTAGGGTAGCGAATTTTTGTCGTATCCAACAAGTAAATGAGGGAGAGGTCATTGACTGGAGGTGCGGCTTGGCTCGGCTCTCCGCCAACAACCACCACGGTCTTGCCAACAGTTGTCATCGAATGGCCCGATCGAGGCGACGGAGACGGGCCCATGTTCTGGAAGGTGTACCACCGGCGAGAGCTGATTCGGAAGGCGGCCAAATCACCCAAGTCAGCTCCTTCTTCAGTCCGACCCCCAAAGATGTACATAACGTCGTCGACCAGGGCAGCAGCATGTCCCTCACGAGGCACAGGTATGTATCCTATGCAGTCCAATTGTGACCACGAGTTGGATGCAGGGTCGTATACCCAGACATCATTAAACCATTGGAAGCCATTTGTACCACCGAAGCTGTTCTGGGTCAGAGAAGGCCTGGTAAGCACGGTGACGATGGAACTTACAGGTACATCTTATCATTGAATGTCACCATGGTGTGATTCGTCCTCGCAGGCGGGATCTTGCCCGGGGGTGGACCACCGCTATCGCTGTTCATAATAAGCAGTTCCCATCGATTGTTAGCCATCTGAAGCTGGTTCAGGTCAAAAGCCGCCAGATCATTCATGAAAATGCCCTCGACTTGGCCTCCGAAAATGAATATCTTTGACCCTAGTATATTTAGAGTGTGCCCATAACGGCCAGACGGCCGCGGACCGGCGGGGAGAGATCGCGACCACTGTCGTGTGGCTGGACGGGTCATTAGTCTTCGAGCCGTTCATTTGCGATGGCGGGCGGCGGGGCAAAGGCGTGCAACATACATGTGTTCAATAGATACAAGGTCTCGTCGAGGGAGTCATTCTCTTCAATCTTGGTATCGCCGCCGTAGACGATGAAGGCGTTGCCAACAAGCAGACTGGCATGCCCAACCCTTGGCCCTGGCCCTTCGGCGGTCGTAGCGAGTGGATAGCATGACAAACTGCCACCAGCCTCGATCATCCAAAGGTCACCTTTAACAGTGGAACTGTTTATCAAGCCGCCCATGACGTACATGTCGCCTTCTTTCGACGACATAGCGTTGGCAGCTGCGCCATAACGGGGAAAGGGCCCGGGGTGGGACGAAGTAAAGTTCAGTTTCCGTTGCGACCATGGGTACAGCGACGAGTTGGGGTTTGGTGGAGAGGGACCGTTTCGAAACTATTGCAAACAGGTTAGGCTTCACGAACAAGTTGACATGTGCTTGCGGTCTGCTAGCGACCACCTGGGGCGCATCGATGCTCACCTGTTGTTGCGTGTCGGGCGGCGCCTGGGCAGGCGGATCACCTGTTTGTGCCCGACGTGGTGGGCCAGGATTGAAGCCCTGGTCTGGACTCGCATTGCTAGCATCGTTGTCGATCGAGTTCAGGCTGCCTGTTGGTGTTGACCTGTGCGTTGGGCCCTTCTCTTCCCTGACGACGCGGGATCGAGCATCGGGGCTCTGCACCGACCCCTGAGAACTGTTTGGACCATCGCGACCTCCTGCCAGTGCCCTGTCCTGGTGTTTCTTTGATTTGAAAAGGAAAGCCATGGCTGTTGTCTACAGCGCGGGCGCAAAATGCTCGATGCGACTTGAGCTGGAATGGCCAGGGCCAGGTCGATGGCAGAGTGCAGCCCGGAGGCTAGTCGTGGTTATCGTGGAGGTGCCCAAGAGCTGAGGCAGGCGGCTCAGTGCGACGGGCTGCAGGGCGGGTGTCGGAGCAGGAGCACGAGCAGCGGGAGCGAGAGCAGTCGCGGGAGCAGTCAGGGCCGTGGCGAGAGGGTGACGGCGGAATGGAGAGTATGTTCGAGGCTGGCGAAGGCTGGGCCTGGGGGAACATTGGTGTGCACAGATGGAGCCGTTGGAAGTTGGCGGTTGGCGTGTCTCTGATTGCTCGGGCTCAACCACCCACTTTATTTTTGGGGGGAGAAGTTTTGGGCGTGCCGCCTCGGACGAGCAAGCGACACAAAGATGGATGCAAAGCGCAGGGCCAGCGACGACTGCTGCAAACCCGAATCCAACCGAGACGAGCTGGGGGCAACAAGAAGACAGCAAGGGAGGGTCAAAAGAAAAAGTCGGATGACAGGAGCAACTAAATCATTAGGTTAAACGTTCATCATGCTGCGTGCACAGGTCGAGGGACGATGAGAGGAGTCGGTCGTTCGGCCGTGGTGGTTGTGGAAAGGTCAACCGGTGTGAAAGGGGAGCAACAGTAACAGTAACAACCAGCAAGAGCAAGAGTAAGGGTAGCCGGGCAGGACTAGTCCGGTCTTAATGCGTGGAGCAGCAGCAGCAGCGGCGGATGGACAGGAGTTGGGGACAGGCGAGGTGAGAGCAGGGCTAGGGGCGGGCGCGGCGGGCGGGCCAAAAGAGAAAAAGGTGCCGACCTGGGAAGATGTGCTTGGGCAGACTGGCAGATTGGGCAACTACACGGCAGGTACCACCTGGGTCCCCAGGGTCCCTGGGTAAGGCAGGCCGGCAGGCCGGCAGGTACGTGATCTGGTCTACGGCATGGCAGGCGCATAACAATGATGCAGGGCTGGCCCGCCCGTCCTGCCTGCAGCATCTGCACGTCCACGCTCCCGTGGTCGTGCTGTTTGAGTGTGCACTGACCGGACCGTGGCATGATGCTCACCTACAGAAGCCGGTCGCACTGAGGAAGATGACAGTACCAAATGCAGGCACCTCCATACCTCCAGACTGGACCTATGGTGATCAAAAAACGGGGATGAGGCGGCCTCGCCTGACCAATGAGGAATGGCACCCGCCTCCTGCTCCTTGCTCCTTGCTCCTCGCTCCTTGTGTCCGCCGCGGTAGTGGGTCGTGCCTCTCGATTGTTGCCCTCCCAAGGCCAAGGTCATGTTCTCAATGGGGGTTCTATGTGGGGAAGCGCCAGGACCCGCAGCGAGCAAGTACTGTCCTTGCAGATAGACACATGCGCTTTCGTCGAGGGCTGCCGTCGCACCGTCGTATCCTGCTTGCTTGCTTCTGACATGCGAGGTGGCTGTATACTAACTACAGCACGATATCTCCCAGCAGCCCAACAAAGGAGCGGCATCAAGCACGTCGTTACTGTGAGCCGACTGGACGCTCGCCTCCTTTGTACCCCGTCTTCAGCACAGCACCATACCACCCGCACTCGATGCTAGCGGCTCATCGCCCTCGTCCTGCTGGCGGGCTGTTTCTATATTAAGCCCGACCTGTCAGACAAGGCTGCTTTGATGAGGAAGGAGGGTCGGCTGCTTCTGGCTCGACCCGCTGGGGTTCTATGCACAGTATCTAGCTGCGCTACCACTCGATCCTTTGGGTGGGTTTTGGACCCCAAAAGGCGGTGCGATGCGGTGTAATGCGGTGTAATGAAAACAAGTGGTGGTGATCTTGTTTCACTCGGGCGCACACAGCCAGCTCCTTTTGTGCTCGATTGGGGCCGGGCCAGCACCACTACGTGCATACCTACCTACCTAGGTAGGTAGAATGACCACCGAGCCGTCACCACCCTGAAAGTCAGCACCCTGGATCTGGATCTTCCATGCTTTTGGCCACCCGCGACCACCTCCCGCTCCAAGAGAGCTGTTGCGTTATCAGGCTATGTTGTCGCTTGTGTCCGGATGACGCTATGCGAGACCAACAAAAGGGGCTCAAGCGTCTACGGAAAGCGAGCGCAACGTTCAGCCTTGGGAGCCCTTCGGAAATTTTGCTGGTCGGGTATCCTTCAGGGGTGCACTGCACATGGCCCAGCCAGGCTGCCAGGGCAGCCGGGCAAGCCAGCAGGCTCCTCACCGTACCCACTCGCGTCTTCTGTGCCGAAATTCGCTACTCCATCCCTCCATCCCATCGACGTGATAAAATCCGACGGCGCCAGAGAGCCCCCGACAACCTGGGCGGCCTGTCCCTGGGCCATCAGTTCGTCTCTGGCTCGGTCTGGGAATGCCTACAGCGCTACTGTATCTACACGACCTCCTCACTCGCTGCCCGCTCACCTTGGGCCTCCACATCGAGCCGCGTTCAAATGGTGGTCTCGCGTTCGGGACAATTAGACCTGGACTATAGGTCTGTGGTCTTATATGTGAATTGTATCATGGTATCGCCATGACAGCATGGCCATCTCATCTTCGAGCCGCTCTCGGAGTCAGGCACCCGTATGATCTTTGTCGCTCCCAGGGTGACCGAACCCCATTTCAAGTCCTCCCACGCCCTCTGAAGCATTCGATTTGCATTGCTGCTGCGCGCCGTTCCACTGCCACCACCGGTGTTTCGTCCGGGCCCGGATCGACTTCGAGTCCTGAGAATGAGCCTCATAGACTGTCAAGGCTGACCCTTGCTGCGTGACGCGGGCATTCCTTGACTTCCCTCCCGACCAGCAGGCCTGCGGATTTGATACCACCGGCGCGCGTGTTGGAAACTGGTACCTGCGTGTCGTGGGCTCTAGCACACCCGCCGCGCGTTTCAGGTGTCCCCGGCCCTCACTGAGTATAGTCGGACGAGCATCCGAAAAACCTTCAAAGATCGCCTAACCCGCCGAAACAGTGGCGATCTGGTTCGCCAACATCTGTCCACGTGGACGGTGGATCGTCAACTGCCTATTCGCTGTGATACCAGGGAGCCAGGCCGGCCCTCGTGCAGCGTAGCCAGAACCGTCGCTTGGAGTTTTGATTTATTGGCGTGGTTCGTCTGGATTCTTGGTTCAACTCCACATGACTACTAATCGAAGTCCACTACAGCGTAGCGCCCCTTTCAGACGAGCAGACTCGGGCATGTGCAATAGTCTGCGACAGATGCCCCGTATCCTTCAGATGTAGGCGTTACTACTGTGTACAAAAGACCCCCGTGATTTAGCTTCACGTGCAACACAGGAACCCCCCTCCATACGGACGCCCATGTTACGGGATCAATACTGCTGCCGTGGTGAAGGGTTTATGCCAGAAGGGAGGATGGTATAGAAATTGCCCAACACGTCATCCGTTGTGATGGGCCTTGTGGGTCCTAGACCTGTGAGTGTGTTACCGGTAACATGTTGACTGCCTTGAGGGACTTGGGACTACCTGACCGGCAACGAGGGCTGGTGAAATGACACCACAACGCGTCCAATTTCTAGGAGAGGCTTTCATAATCTTGAGCTTATTTCGCATGGACTGTGAGCAGGATGATGTCACCAGACGTGTCTGCGCTCGGCGAAACCATAATGAGGTCGACGGATTGCTGAAACTCTCGATTCGCACCCAAGTACCAGCTAGGAGCATCACCAGCCTGGACATGTAGACTGCGGTGTCAGTTGCGGCGTCTCACAAGCATTTTGTGCACAGTATATCAACAGCCTGGTGGTCTTCTGAGCAGACAACTGGATTCTATTGCTTGCACTAGACGGGGCCCGGCTCTTGACAGAGGTCCTGGAGGGTAAGGGTTCCGTGGGCGGACAACCCAAATCCTCCATCACAGCTTGGCGGAATGCTTCCCGAAGTAACAAGAAGGGCACGAGCTAGCATGAGTTGACGGCAGCAGCAATTGTTATCGTTATCGATACGATAGGCTGGCTCGAGAGACTGGGTCCATTTTAGGACAAGATCCGGGAGTGGGCTCGCGACTCTGACTCAGCACTACTGTGCACTTGCTTCCAAGGTTTGCGGGCATGGCTGGCTGGCTGCCGAGGAACGGGACCAGGGCCTGGTTTCCCCATCATTGGAGATGCAGCTGGTGCTTGGTGCGCCAACTCTGGTTTGCGCGAGGTCGAGTGTGCCCGCCCATTGACTTTGGGCGCTTCACATGCTTCGCGCGTGTCCATTTTGACCTCATTTTTTGTTGCTTTAGGATTGCTCAAAATCATTACCGATGATCAGCTGGTGGGCGATACAACCTTCCCAGCACTCAGGTCTCTTCTCCTGGAGTACCAAGTGTACATTATTCCAGAGGTTGTCTGAGCCCCGCCGCTGTCGCGAATGCTAGGAACAGCTGACTAGGTCGTAGTGCCTAGGCTGCTGGTGTGCCCTGTTGAGCTGTCGCTGCGGAGTGGGCCCGTCTGCGGTTAGTCTGCCGTGCCGTGCCTCGCAGCCTCAGACTCGCAGGTCCCAGTAAGTCCTAGTCCCTCACCATCGGGCATCCGGTGCGGCGCGGGACAGGCTGCTCACCCACTCTAGCCAAAACTCCCGTGTGATTTCCAACCAGGCCGACACCCCAACTAGACTGGCCCCCCATCGTCGCGTGCGGTCATCCAAAGCCGAGCCGCACCGCACCGCATCTCCACAGGACTCGAGCGTCTGAAAATTAATTCTCACCGCACCGCACCGCACCGCACTGCACCGCACCGCACTGCACCTTGCCGCTCGCTGCCGCTGTGGGCGAGAGGAGAGGTCTTTGATACCTCTCCCGAGGATGGTCGACTTGCGATACAGTGCGCTTCTCTTATGACCGCGGTCACGACTCAATTCGGTCAACGACACCACACCGCCCACCCGCCTGCCCCCCTCTCGCTCTCGCGAAACCGACCCCCCAACAGCTCTCTGTTCTCCACCAGTCCTCCCCGTCAAGCGCCCTGGCACGCCCCTACCGAGCTTCCGTCATCGACCATCTAAGCCCGGGCACCATGCCTACCGCCGTACGGACCTCGTCGGGCGCGGGCGTCATCAACCTGGCCGCCACCCGCCCCGACCCTCAGCCAAAGTCCACCGCGCCGCGCCCGCAAACGGAAAACGGCCACCCCCGCCGCAACTCGACGAGCAACCACAAGCGACCCTCGAGCGCCCCCGGCGACGACAACAACAAGCCCAATGGCGCGCACGCCTCCGACCCTCCGCAAGCCCCGAACAGGCCGAGGAAGCCGCCGCTCATGAGGTCCAAGAGCGACCACCCGTCCCGAGCCTTACACGTAGATACCAGCACCGACTCTTCCAACGATGAGCAGACGATAGCGGCTGCCGAAGACTTCGGCACCCGGCACGGCTTCGACGGACACTACCAGAGCGAGGACATAATATCCCAGCTTGCTAATGTGGGTGTCTCTTCCTGTACCGCTTGACGACCCAGCCTTAGTGCAGGTCGTCTCGTAGCTTCCTTCTGCCCAGTGTCAGCCCTCGCACGGCAGGCACGAACTCTGGCTTGCAGACCAGCAGAAGTGCTGGATCCAAGCGGTGCGAGTCCTTGCTTGACGCGGCCGATAGCCAGCTTCCATGTGCCTTGGGAGGAGGAGCACCTATGTGTCATTCCGCACCGGCCGTGAATCTCCAGTCGTCGCGTCGAAGATGGAACCCGTGGCCAAGTTGCCTTCGCAGTTGCTACGAACATACGCTAATTCATTCAATCATTTTCAGGGTTGGTACATGTATTTCACAGACAAGAGGCACGAGACGACGGGGAAACCAAAGGCAGAGCCGTTCAATATCCAGGATTGGCGGATGAGAGATCGTCTGAAAACAGTCTCCGCGGCCCTTGCCGTGTGCCTCAACATTGGCGTCGAGCCTCCGGACCAGTTGAAGACAAATCCAGGCGCTAAGTTGGAGGCGTGGCAGGACCCGACGGTGCCACCAGTCCAAAAAGCACTGGAAAACATCGGCAAGACGCTACAGGGGCAGTACGAGACACTGGCCATCAGGACAAGATATAAGCAATACTTGGATCCGTCGGTCGAGGAGACCAAGAAGTTCTGCATCTCCCTCCGTCGAAATGCGAAGGACGAGCGAGTCTTGCTGCACTACAACGGTCACGGGGTGCCAAAGCCGACGGCATCGGGGGAGATATGGGTCTTCAACAAGAATTACACCCAATATATCCCTGTGTCGTTATACGACCTCCAGCAGTGGCTGTCAGCGCCTACGATATTCGTCTGGGACTGCTCTGAGGCTGGGAACATCTTGAGCAACTACCACCGGTTCGTCGAGAAACATGAGCAGGAACAGGAGGAGCTGGCCGCCCGCGACTCAAATTACGAGAAGGCAAATTTCAAGCCCTACATTCACCTGGCGGCATGCGCAGTCAAGGAGAACCTGCCGACAAACCCACAGCTTCCAGCGGACCTGTTCACTTCATGTTTGACAACGCCAATAGAGATGGCGCTGTGGTTCTTTGCCCTTCAGAATCCGCTCAACAAGGACCTCACACCTGAACGAGCCAAGAAGCTCCCGGGCCGTCTTCAAGAGAGACGCACTCCGCTAGGCGAGCTTAATTGGATCTTCACTGCCATCACGGACACGATCGCCTGGACGGTTCTCCCACGGCATCTCTTCAGGAAATTCTTCAGACAGGACCTCATGGTCGCTGCCCTGTTCCGCAACTTCCTCCTGGCCCAGAGGATTATGTCAGTATATGGATGCCATCCTGAATCATACCCGAAGCTGCCGGACACCCACAACCATCCCCTGTGGGATAGCTGGGACTTGGCAGTGGACATGGCACTCTCTCAACTACCGGCCTTGGAGAGGAAAGAGACGGAGGGCATCGAATACGAATACCAGAGCTCGACATTTTTCACCGATCAACTGTCAGCTTTCGATGTCTACCTCACAAGAGGAGATGCGATGCTGCAGAAGCCTCCGGAGCAGCTACCTGTTGTCCTTCAAGTATTGTTGAGCCAGCAACACAGGGTCAGAGCGCTGATTTTGCTCGGTAGGTTCTTGGACCTCGGTCCTTGGGCAGTTCAACTTTCACTCAGCATCGGAATCTTCCCCTATGTGCTCAAGTTGCTCCAGTCGACCCACGCGGAGTTGAAACCGGTCATGGTTTACATCTGGACTCGCGTGCTCGCTGTTGACATCACATGCCAACAAGACCTGATCAAGGACAGTGGCTATAACTACTTCGCACAGATCCTGAAGCCTTCAGAAGTGCTTGTAGTAACCAACAGCGATGAGCACAAGGCCATGTGCGCATTCATTCTCGCTATGCTCTGCAAGGACTACAAGCCTGGGCAGGTTGTCTGCAATCAAACCGACATCATGTCGTACTGCCTGCACTATCTACAGAACGAGGACAACCCGCTGTTGCGACAATGGTCATGTTTGTGCCTCAGCCAGCTTTGGCTGAAAATGCCGGAGGCGAAGTGGAGGGGGATCAGGGAGGGCGCGCCCACGAAGCTTTCTGCCTTGACCAAGGATCAGTGCTGCGAAGTTCGGGCGGCTATGCTTGTTGCGATGACGACCTTCATCGGCATCCCGGACTTGACTGCTGAAGTGCAAAGGATAGAGGAAGCGATTACATGGACGCTGCTGGACATGACCAACGACGGGAGTCCGATGGTCCGACGAGAGCTGCTGGTGTTTTTGTCTCACTTTGTCCTCCGGTACGAGAGTAAGTTCGTTGTCACGGCCTACGAGCATCTACTGGAGGAAAGGGAGTACCTGCTCTACCCGCCCAGAGATGATGTTTTTGATCGGCAGAACATGCTGCTGCATTATGCGCGGCCAGCGAATCGCGACAAGGATGGCTCCATCAAGCCCCAGGCGGAGGGCTTTTCGAACAACACCGTCATCGCAGCCGCATGGAACACATCATGATAATGAGCGTGGATCCCCATCCTGAGGTCCAAAAGGATGCGACCGTGGTCACGGACTACGTGCACAACACACTGCTCCACTCAGCTGTCGGTGCGCAAGCTCAGAACCTCATGGAGGAGATACAACGCCGGACGAAGCGCACCTTCATGAAGAACCAGCCTTCTCACCAGCGGACCAATACGAGCTTGTCAGTGGCCTCTGATACGTCAGTGCCCGCATCTCCGGGCCTGCTGAAGAGAACCTTCAGCACGATCTTTGGGTTAGGATCCGTTGCGGACAATCTTAATACATTGGCAACACCAGCACCCTCACAGTCGGCTTCCAGAACAGGCTCGCTGAGGAACAGGACGGGCCTACCTGATGCTCCTCCGGAGCAGAACGAGCAGTTCCAGGCGCCTGCCAATTACCACGTTGCAGAAGAACCTGTATCCGCTGGGTTTGAGGAGCGCGACGTGAAGGAAGTCCCGGCGCTCCCATTGCCGAGTGGTTTCCTGGACTGGTCAATCGAGTATTTCAGGGAGCCGCAAATGAAGCCCAATGAGGCCGAGGAACCTGGCAGCGTAGAGTACAACGCGCGGCTGTGGAGACGGTCAAGGAATGAGAGCATCCTTCGAGAGACACAGCCCCAGAAGTCTCATGCCGGATCGCACAAATGGAATCAACAACTGGCGCTGATCAACAATGGCGCTCAGCCCTCAAGGATGACGTTCCATCAGTTTGAGGATCACCTGGCCGTCGCAGACGACGCGAACACCGTCTATGTCTGGGACTGGAAGCTGCAAAAGCGAAAGAGTAGGTTCTCAAACGGAAACCCAGAGGGCTCCAAGATCAGCGACATCAAGTTCATCAACGAGGACGACCAAGCATTCCTCATGACGGGCTCCTCAGATGGCGTCATCCGGATGTACCGCAACTACGCTCCATCCGACGATGAAGCCCACCTCAAGAGCAAGAAACCGGAGCTCGCGTCTTCGTGGCGAGCGTTGACGCACATGGTCGCGAGCAACGTCAACTCGGGCATGGTCTTTGACTGGCTTCAAGTCAATGGCACAGTCCTAGTCGCGGGCGACGTACGGGTGATCCGCGTGTGGAACGCCAGCTCGGAGACGTGCATCATGGACATACCCGCGCGGTCTGGCAGCTGCGTTACGTCATTGACCTCGGACCAGATGACAGGAAACATATTTGTTGCCGGTTTTGGCGACGGCGCAGTACGCGTGTTTGACCCACGGTTGAAGCCGCAAGACGCAATGGTGCGGAAGTGGAAGGACGAGCCAGACAGGCAATGGATACGTAGCGTACACATGCAGCGAGGCGGACAGAGAGAGCTCGTCTCAGCGTCTAGAAACGGAAAGGTCCGGCTGTGGGACATCCGCAAGGACCAGCCGCTGAAGGTGTTCCAAACGACAAAGGATGTTCTGAGGACGGCGAGTGTCCATGAGCATTTGCCAGTCTTCTCTGTGTAAGTTGCTAACCAAACCTCGGTCGCCGTGCTACTCCCCTCCCCCCTCCGCCCCTGAACTTTGCCCACGCGCTTGTGTCCATGCAATACTGATACATCTACTTGCAGCGGTACCTCGGCCCACATTGTCAAGGTGTTCAACTTCCACGGCAAGGAGCTCTCACGCTCAGAACCGTACTCGAGCTTCCTGGGACAGAACCGCGGCTCACCCATCTCTGCAACTGCCTTCCACCCACACCGCATGGTTATGGGGGCCGCAGCGAGGGGTGACCACCACATCAACGTTTTCAGTTGTACAAACGAGCCGGCATTCGGCACGAATATCTAATTCCTAAATGACTCGAAGGAACTCGAAGGTGTAACGATGGCTCTTGCTTTTACACGATGGATTCGCAGAGCGAGGCGGAGGTCCACCAGGGAGTGTGGCTTGCTGGTCATTGGGCTGCTGTGCTGCTGTGCTGCTTACGAAGAGCTCGGATCTTTGAGAGGCGGATTTTCTCTTTGGCATAGCGAAGGAAGGATTCATCATGAGCATTATGACTGCAAAGAGCTGATTTTGGCTCTGGCTTGTTCGAGACGCTGGAAATGCTCTCAATCGCTGGCTTTCCCCCCAGCTTCATTTAGGTGTTGGTTGGTAAAATGCTATTTTCCAAAGGCATTGAGACGACGAGCGACAGCATCATTGATTAGGGAGGGTTAATGAATTTGTGTTGTCTCAACACAGGTCTATCGAATGTTTCATCTCGTCGTCAGTCTTGGCGCGTCTCGCGCCGGAGGGAGGTCCCGGAGTGCGGGTGCGTCTCGAAAGGGGGTGTGTTTAAGTTTGCTGAAGTCTGACTCTCGCGAATTGGATCAGACCGATGCAATTTAAAGGTCAGTCACTCCACGAAGGGTCGAAAGGTTAGCGACAAGAGACATCGCTCCGGATGACTCTTTTACGAATCTCATGATTTGGAAGCTGGAGCTGGGCCAAGATGGCGAGCACCAACAAGGGTTCCTTCCCTCTTGAAACGCAATTCCATATGAATTTGACATACGGTCCATTTACAGCTTTGGAGGGCGTTTGAAATCGTTTACGGCATGCCTTTCACACAGATGCAAACTTGAAGGAATTAGTTACTCGGTAACCAAGCAGTCTTTTCTCGTAGATAATATTCTCCTCGAGCCGGGGGAGTGACGTAAGTATCTTGGCCTAAAGGCTGTAAGGCAAGGGGCTCAGGTGGGCTCACACCAACCGTCCTCTCCAGCTCCCGCCGGACCCCACCTCGACCTTGACTTTCACCCCTGGCCTCAAAATTTACCCCTCTAAAAAAGGCACGCGGTTCTGTCACCACCTCATCGCCACGAGCACTTGGAAGGATCCTTCTTGGCCGATTGAGTCAGACCATCTTGGGTTCCGTGACTTTCTCGAAGTTGTCGAAAGGTATTATATGCCCTGTTTGCCCTTCACCCGCTTTTGGCCACATCTCTCCCGTCCTGGTCCCGTCACACTTTCACTGCCAGAGCACCTATACACCCGGCACCAAGTGGCCCTGAGGCAGAGGTATCACACAAGATCGCAAACAGGCCAGACCAAACCAAGCTGTATCAATTGTGCCGGCAAAGGGACAGCAAGGGTGTGGAAAACTCCAAATTACTGACTTGTCACAATTACAGACCCTCTCATCTGTTGTTACTCTAACCCCCGCCTGAGTCACACGGTCCACAACACAAGACAACATCATACCACCACCCAACATGGCCGACAACCCCGAACAGAACCCCGCTCCCGCCACCGACCCTGCTGCTGAAGGCGGTGCCGAAGGCGAGGCTGGCCCCTCCAAGAAGGCCCTGAAGAAGGCCGAGGCAAAGGCAAAGAAGGAGGCAGAAAAGGCGAAGAAAGCAGCTGAGCTGGAGGCCAAGCGCGCTGCCGACGCTGCCAAGGAGGCCGCCGACGACAAGGCCAAGGACAACTACGGCGACCGTGATGTGGTGAAGCTGGGCGGCGAGAAGGTGGCACTGAGGGCTTATGGCGACGAGCACCTCGGCAAGACGGTCAAGCTGCGCGCGTGGATCCAGCAGAGCCGCATGCAGGGCGCCAAGATGTGCTTCGTCGAGCTGCGTGAGGTCGAGGACTGGAGCATCCAGGGCATTGTCACTGCGTCGGCCGAGGGGACTCCAGTTTCCAAGCAGATGGCCAAGTGGGTCGGCTCTGTCAGCCTCGAGAGCTACGTCGCCGTCGAGGCCACCGTCGCGAAGCCCCTCGAGCCCGTCAAGAGCTGCAAGGTCTCCAACTACGAGCTCCACATCACCAAGATCTACTGCATTGCCCGCGGCCCCGAGGTGCTTGGCCTGACCCTCGCTGCGTCCAATGCTGCCATCAGCAGCTTCGATGTCGACGGCAAGATGCAGGAGCTGAACATTGGCGACGCTGCGCCCGGCCTGTCCGCCACCCTGGACACACATCTCAACAACATCGTCATGCACAAGCGTTCCCCATTGCAGCAGGCCATCCAGACCGTCCGCGAGAACGTGCGCGACCTGTTCGTCGAGTACCTCAAGCAGAACGGCTTCCACTCATTCGAGCCACCATGCCTGATCGGTGCCGCCTCTGAAGGTGGTGCCAACGTCTTCGGCCTGCCGTACTTTGACAAGAAGGCCTTCTTGGCACAGTCACCACAGTTCTACAAGCAGCTTGAGATTGCTGGCGGAAGGAAGAGGGTGTACTGCGTTGGCCCTGTCTTCCGTGCCGAGAACTCTAACACCCCAAGACACATGACCGAGGTGAGATGACCACACCACCATTTTGCCTTGCTTGTTTGCCGAGATGCTGACGAATTGGCAAGTTCACCGGCCTCGATATGGAAATGGAGATCGAAGAGGACTACCGTGAGGTCATCTTCATGCTCGAGGGTCTCTTCCTCTACATCTTCCGCAACCTCGAGGAGCGCTGCAAGGAGCAGATCGCGGTCGTGCGCTCCATCTACCCGTCTGAGCCCTTCGCCCTGCCTGAAGACGGCAAAGAAGTCCGCCTCACCTTCGCCGAGGGCCAGCAGCTTCTGCGGGAGGAGGGTCCCGAGATCTACCGCAACGTCACTGACGACGAGGACATGTCCACAGCGCAGGAGAAGGCGCTCGGTGCCATTATCCGCAAGAAGTACGGCACCGACTTCTACGTGCTGGACAAGTTCCCCGAGTCGGCCCGGCCATTCTACGCCAAGGAGGACCCGGAGAACAACAAGGTGACCAACGCATACGACTTTTTCATGCGCGGCCAGGAGATCATGTCGGGCGGCCAGCGTATCAACACCCCCGCCGAGCTGGAGAAGCGCATGCGCACCAAGGGCGTCGACCCTAACAGCCAGGGCCTCAAGGAGTACGTTGACTTCTTCAGGCAGGCAGGGTGCCCGCCCCACGGTGGTGGCGGCATCGGGCTGGACCGCGTTGTGGCCTTCTTCCTGAACCTGCCCAACGTGCAGCTCGCCGCCTACTACCCACGTACGCCGAGCCGACTGACCCCGTAAGGTGTCGTGGTAGATGGGGTGCAAGAGATGGATTTATTCAGTGGTATAGATCGAATGAGAACGAGACTGGTACAGCCCAGTCTAGACTACCTCCGCTCAAAGCTTGGCTGATTCTTATCCTGTGATCACGCACGTTGACTGGAAAAATGCTATGTATCGCCCGACCTTGGTATCTGAATCAGATATGCGTCTCATGTCTTGGTGCTATGCCCAGGTGGCCCACTTGTGCTCAATCCCAATGATAGGAAGAGGCCCGTAGCATCAAAAGCCTGATATCTGATGCGTCCAAAAGTGCTTTCTGGCTCAAGTTATCAGCTGACTACAGTTTCGCCATCTTTTCATGTCCTCCCGTATGCAAATAGCACCTCTGATCGCCAGTGGATGCTGACGTCTGAAGCCTGAGTTATGGCACTAAGCTATGAATTCCCTCCGTTGACAGTGCTTCCTAAAACTCTCGTAAGAATTGTCGTTACGTGTGATTAAAATATGTCCTGTGAAATAATGGACCTCATTCAAGAGTAAATCGGACCAGAAGCGCCTGGGAGACCTTGATAGTTCATTCAATATTAATCATCTCAGCATCCCCAGCCTTTCGGAATCCGCAGCATGGGCTCGAGGCCGACTAAGCAGTGTCATCCTTAATTACATCCACGTGGGTGTACATGTCTCTGGCCACCCAACTAAGTGAGTTGCTTTGTTGGCATATGTGCTTCTTGACCACGGCAAGTACAACTTTTTCGTCTGCAACTTCTCATCGACTTGTCGGAGACCTCTGTTTTCCTCTATTTTTATAGATTGCTCAGCATGAGAACACGCAGGGGTGTTGAGGAATCTCAAGACTGCTGATACCCTCATGGCTTTCACTTGGTCCTTTACGTGACTCTCTCTCTCCCTGAGGCAAATGCTCAGGCTCGGACAGTATCACTTCGGTTATTTTCCGTTTTGTCACTGGAGAACTGACAGCGTCCACAGTATTGGGACCATGTACTGCTGATAGACAGCAAACTCCGTATTTGTAGGTGAATGATAATCAGTCGGCTTTCCTCTCTGAGTTTAATTGCCTTACTAGTGACTGCACAAGAAGGTTTGCCCTGACCCAGTGTCTCTGTTGTACTTTCGGTTATGGGATTTGATGGTACATCTCTACACCACACAGAATCCTACTCGAGTGAGAGCCCAATTGAATACAAGCCAACTTTTCATGCTCATGATGTTCATTTATCAGTATCGTGCAGCAGGCGTCAGAGCTTAGATTGGTTTTCATAGTTGTAGTTCAGTTGCTATAACTTGAAGAGTTCTCATGGGTAGATATATCATCTTGAACCCATTCATAAGTCCTTAGGTAGTTAACAGTACTCATTAATAGAGCATTTCTCAGTGAGTCCCTTTTTTGTCACCAGTCAGTCCCGAGTTCACACAATCTCTCGAGCCCTGCGCGTCCTCGGGGACTCTGCAGCTTAGGTCGTCTTTCTCGGCCTAACCAAAGCTTTCCTGAGCCATGCCAGATTTCGGTGAACCAAGGGTAAATATCTTTGACCAGAGCCTAGGCTCCTGAATCCCCCACCGACAAAGAACTGCCCTTCCTGCAAACTTCCAACAACAACAAGTTTGTCAAAATGTCTTCAGGTGAGAGGGATGAGATCATCTTCGGCTTCACCGAGAAGGAGGTCAAGTTCCTTATCATGAGCCTCAAGTGTATTGAGACTCACGGAAACCGCCGATTCGTAAGTTTGCCCATACTGTCCACCGCAACAGTTCGAAGCTGACATTGGCATCGCCAGCTGAACTGTGCCCGCCTTGCCCGGCTTACAGGATACTCCAGCGCCGACGCCTACAAGTACTACATGGACCAACTGCTCCAAAAGGTCATCGCGCTGCCTCCCGTCGATTTGACCCGCGGCGGCGACGACCAGAAGCACGATGACACCGCCACGGCTGCTGCAACTGCCTCGCAGGTCCCTACACCTGCTTCTGACCAGGACGGCAAGGCTGGCCCTTGCGACGGCCGGGAGGATAAGAAGGAGATGGAAAAGGCGAGCGACTACAAGGGCATCGATGACGGCATGGACGGTGCTGGCGGCGACCCGGAGGATGAGAAGGAGCTGAAGGCTCTGGGCAATGCTTATGCCTGGGACTGCTAGAGAGAGACCGACACCAGCGAGAGTTCATGCCTAGGTCACTCTTGGAGCAGAGGAATAGCAGATCGACACTCTCGTAATTGTTTCGAGAGACACTCAATGGGTCCCTAAATATCGAAGATCACTCTGGGCCCTTATCGGACTTGTACAGCACGTCTAAAGATCGCCCAAAGCCCAGGTTGACTGTGATCTCTTTTCTCAAACATTCACTCTCAAGAATACCAGAAAAGTTGCCAGCGAAGTGTACTAAAAATTGCCAAATGGGTCCTGTGATTCATGTTTTGGGCGAGTCCCAAGTACGGTACGGGCACACAGAGGTGCCTCAGTGACGGAAGGAGCTGCTCTCTGTGAGTTCCCTCCATGCCACACTCACCACGTGTGTGGCCTTTGCCCTTGGACCATGTTGAAGATAGCAGCAGGTTCAACGCTGGAAGGCCGATATCAGAGAACATAATTATGCCGTGCCGGTGGCGAACCTGCCTTGCACTGCTGGATAGAGTCCGGCTCCTGACGAGCGCATCGTGACCCCAATGCCTCAAATCGCTGGGAATATGATGCAGAACATAGACTGCCTAAGCACACCTCCAGGCTGACTTAGTGACTTAGGCTACCCTCGATGACGAGATGGTGTTGCGCAGGTAAACGCTGGTAGTACAGGTTCTTTCACAGCGCATGCTTGTCTCCCATCTCGTTCCACTTCTCCTCCGTCCTGATGTGTGTTAATCAAATGCTACGGGTCCTTTATTGGAACATTCTGGAACATTTCAAAGCACAAAGATTGGGGAACCGTATTCAGAGAAGAGTTATACTTACATGCCGTCTCCAATGTTGTCCCATGCCTTGTTGGTGCGGTCCTCGCTGATGGATGGCTCAGCAGTTTCGTCCTCGCTGCTCCTCATCGGAATATCGTTCGTGGGTCCAACGTTGTCCTCGACCTCAGAAGTGATTCCAATGTTGTCAATGACGGAGGGTTTGGCGACTTGCTTCTGCTTCCCCTTTCCCTTGGTCTTGACCTTGCGCTTGGCTTTGCGTCCGTCCTCCTCACCGTGCTCGTCCGCATCGTCGGAAGCAGACTCGTCGTCCAGCTCGTCCTTGACAATGATGCAATCCTCGATGATCTCCTCGGACACGTCACGCTGCTCCGGAGAGGGGCTCCTGCTGGGCAGGCGCGGCAGCCTCATCAGCCTGCTGCTGAGGCCCTTCCACTGGGCTCGGGCGTCGGGGACGCTGTTGTTCGTGAGATCGGCGAAGTCCTTCATTCCGACCTGCGGGTTGCGAAAGTTATGAAACTCAGTTGCGCTCTCCCCCCATCTGGGACTTGGAGTCATAACTTACTTCCCATCCGACCGCGTACCGCTTGCTGCTTTTAATGCACTGGATGGACATGAGGACAAGCTCGACCTCGTGCTCAGTGAAACCGAGGATACGGAGGCCGTCATTCTCATCATCCGACATGTTACTGGCCCGCTGCTTGGCCATGAGAGGCTCTATGCGAGTACTTTCGATGCAATGTGGTGTTGTGATATTCCCGATGTCAAGTCCTTCTCTGCGTTACTGTGAAGAATCAACTGGGTGCTGAGCGTCTGGCCTTGCCAGGTATTGCATTAAAATGCCATTCAACGGATATTCCCATGAAAGGAAGGGACAGGTCCAAAAGACATTTGAAAGGGGTTTCAATTTCAGCCTAAAAGCCACGAGACTTGCATTTTTACCCCGAGTGTTCAGAAAGCTTCAGACAGACAATGGCTGCCTTGCAACGGCACTTCTCGGCCTGCCCTGATCACCTGTGGCATGTTGATGAATGAGTAAAAGGAGGTCTTCAGTCACTTTGACTTGATTGTATCCCTTTTCTCAATATCATCATGGTTTGCGAAATTGAATTCTATCTAGAGAGTGACTTGTCAACTAAGCACGTACGGTACAGGTCTACCCTGTGAGATATGAGTGCTGTCAAAGTCGTGACTGGTTAGCTTTTTCTTCATTTCTGCAAGCCTGAGAACCTCACGCAAAATGCGTATGCAGACCAAAATCCATTTCAGCATAAAACATGTCTTCTATGGTATTTGTGAAAGTTCCCTGTCAGTATTGGTTTCTCCTAATTGAATATTTCAACCAAATACCGATCTCGCGGCAGAGCTCTGAACCAACCATCAACAGACGCCTCATCCGTTCTCCCGACGGTTCTATCCGCCTCGAATAGTACCGGAGAGAGCACTGAAAAGACTCCGTCTGACATACTCTTTGCTCCACATATGTATAGCCTGGCGCCTCTGTCCCACAGCTGAACGATTTCCTCGACATGACTCTTCACCGTGTCCGCAACATAGCGACAACCACCCTCCTCCTGTTCCCGGCTGTATGCCCTCCGTACACCCACAACAGAGTCCTTTTCCATTGAATCTAGCTCGCCGCGGTAAAGATCATCGAGACTCGAGCCCCGACAACCAAAGAACAGCAGAGCAGGCGAAAGGTGGCCGCTCCCTCCCTCGTTGTTCTTGATGAACCAAGCACGCTCCTGGATAAAGCCTCGAAATGGAGCAAGGCCTGTACCGGCTCCGATCATAATGACTGGTGTCTTGAGCTCTGGTGCAGGCAGGCGAAACAATGAAAGCGCTTGATTAGCCGGCAACGAGACGTAGACAATCGATCCAGGCTCCCGAGATGCCAAGTGATTCGATGCAACTCCCTTGTTTGGGCCTGCGGCGGCCCGATCTACCACACTGTAGGTCAAGGTACCGTGGCCAGGCTTCCAACGTGGCGACGACGAGAAGGAATAGACCCGAGGTAGCATCGGTGACAGCATGAGCAGAAAGGAAGAAAGGGGCAGAGGGACCTCGCCCGGCTCGAATCGGTCCAGAAGATCCAATATGCTGGCAGTGTTCTTGTTGTCTGTTAAAACTTCTCGCAGGGACTGCTTGGTCTCCTCGCCTACCGCAGTATCGATGAGTAAATCGATCTGACGTGTGCTGGCCGCACGCCGGAGGTCGAAGTAGCTCGAAAACAGCTCTAACGCTGTCAAGGGAGTGTTGGTGGGTATGTGGCCTGGTGGAGGACAACTTGCCGAGCCCGGGTGGATAGTGACCACGGTGTTCCCCTTCAAGGCAAAGCAAGACAGAGCACGCTTGACAATGGACAAGTCATTCGTTGGAAGGACGTGGAGGTGATCACCAGCCTCATAAGAAATTTCAGCTGGCAGTTGGAGCTCGATGTGTCTTTTCTGAGCAACACCAGGGCTGGAAAGAAGCCTCGTCTCGGTGACGACTGCGGCATGAAAGCCCTTTCGGGGGGTGTGGTTGCGTGGTGGTTGTTCGCCAACGGTGACTTTCAGCCTGGTATCGGTTTGAATACCGTCGGATTGCGGCTCTTCTCCTGCACTGAGGGTTGGCCACAGCTGTCCGGCCAGCCATGTCTCGAGAGAGTCGAAGACATCGTCTTTGGCGGTGTTGGCCCTTCCCATTGGCGATAACCTCTTAGCGCCAAGCTTCTCTAATTGGGTGTCGAGAAATTCCGGGACCTTGTAAAATGTCTGTGTCCAGTCACTGTGGCCTGTGTTCACCGTCAGACATGGCACTCACCCTTGATCAGGGTCTGGTTGATGTCTGACTCACCGACACCATAGACGGCATACTCGACGTCTTTCAGCTGACCGGGTTCCTCACTCTGAATCCACTCCAAGAACTGCGCTGCATTGCTGGCTGCCTTTCCATGGTATGTGCCAAGAATGAATATTACAGGCTCTACTGTATGTCAATATTCTGTTGAAGACACCAAAGATGCTGCAAAAGTTGTCTACTAGCAGAGAGTGTGTAAAAGAATCATACTTACGGCCTGGCGGTAACTCCTTCAAAGCCATATTCATGGTGGAGATACTTGGACTGAATCCTCTGGTTGAAGCCTCGGCCTTGAAGTGTTTGGCGAGAGCCTCACAAGTGCCTGTATCGGAACCGTAAAGAATTGTCATCGGGCGACCCTGGTGCTGCAACACTGCCGTGCCCGGCGCTGCTGCTTCTTTGGTACTTTTCAAACTCTCGCTTCTAAGACTGCGATGGAATGAAGTGGCATTCCTCCCATGCCTCAGTTCTGCTCGGATCTTGAAGCCGTCGGGCTTAATAGTCAAGAGATGCTTGATTTTCAACGTGTAATTGGGGTCATCTTTGCTGAGGTTGAAGTTTTGAAGTATGATAGCCAGAGCCTAGTTGTGTCAGCTTGTGGGATTCGATATCGGCACATCCCGGAGATCATAAGACGAGGTACCACTTACAAGTTTTGCTTCCTGCCAGCTGAAAGCCATGCCCAAGCAGATGCGCGAGCCATTTCCGAAGGGTTTCCATGAATTTGGCGGCAAAGCATCGAATTTATCTTGCATCATCCTCTCGGGCTTCCACTCATCAGCATCATCACCCCAGACTGCCTTGTCGCGATGTATGGGATCGAGAAGGAGGCAGATCGCTTCTCCCGGATGGACCTGTACCCTTTCAGTATGCCTTCCTTCATTTTTGACAAGGGAAGTGGTGACTGATTCTTCGCAGTGAGTTCTTGAATCTGTGTCATCCATGGGAAGTGGCCTCGGGAGTGTCAAGAATCAAGGGCGAATCTTCCCGAGCTACTTACAAGGTACTTTCCCCCAATGATTTCGTCCTTATATGGAGTTACATAAAAAGCAACGGCGGTAGGCATAAGTCGCAGAGCCTCCCGGAAGACTGCGTCCATGTACGGCATGTTCTGGATGTGCTGCAACGTTATCGAGTCTTCGCCAACAACCCTGTCAACTTCGTCCTGTAACTTGTGAAGCGTCCCGGGATGCTCGAGGAGGTAGAATGTGGCGAAAGACAACATTCCGGAAGTCGTTTCATGGCCTGCCACAAGAAAGGTTATGAGGTTTCGCACGACCTCCTCATCGTTGAGTTTCTCGCCTGTCTCTGGGTCTGGAGTCTTCAGCATTGCGTTAAGGAAATCATCCCTGTCCACAGGGTTCTGTCGTCGAAACTCCACCATACTGCGGCAAAGTGCGTGCATGAGCTTGATGTCCTTCTTGAATTTCAGCATGGCTCGAAGCCGGAAAATGCCTGCCCAGTCAGGTAACATGGACTGAATGTCAGCCTCAGCCAAAATGTCTACCATGTGCTTCACAAAAGGATGGTGCTTTCCACCGAGGTAGAAGCTATTGAATCGATAGTCCATTAGGCATATCGCAATGGTGTCTAATGTAAGTCGAGTGTAGTCGAAGGCTATGTCAATGGAGGCGTTTGGTCCGTCCCGAGCCCTGGTCACAATTGTCGACTTGGTCAGTCGTTGACTCCATGGCGTGGTGTTGTTTGAACAAGATAGAACGTTGATGACTTACCACTTGAGACAAAGTTGCTCTGCGACGTCCTTCATGTCATCAAACATACCCCGGATCTTCAAAGGCCCGAAGATTGGTTTGAGGATACGGTGTGTGATACCCCACTGCCTGCTTCCATGGTGTGCGGTGAAGAGGGCGTCTTCGACGACTTGCCGCAACGTCAAAACTCCGCTGGCGACAAGCTTGTGGAAACGAGTCTCGTCACAGACCTCATCGGCCAGTTCTCGAGTACACACGTTGATCTCTCTTTGGCCAGCATAGATCATTTGAAAGATCGGGCCTAGGGGTAGCAAGGCTGTTAGAAGCAGGTTGCAAGATTTTAATGTATTGGACAGCGTGCTCCATGTCCCAAATTCTTACTGTACTTCTTTGCAATCTCTAGAGCTGATGCATAAGGTGCTTTGAGGTCAAGATCGAAAATGTTGCCCACCACTGGCAGCGCTATTCCGGTTGTCCATCTCGGTCAGTTGAAAATTCTACCATCTGGATCTGTGGCGTTGTGACAATACTCACGCTTTGGGCCAGGCGCTTTGTCAAGAGGGCATATTGCGCCGCTCCCTGTGGAACTCGGCATCCTGGATCTACTCAACAAGTTTCTGAGGCTGATATTCTGGAGAAGTACTCTCTCTGTTGAAATTGGGTGGGGAGGCTGAATGTAGGAGGGACCGCCCAGCCTCTTATGCCTGGCCACTAATACATCACTGTCATTCTTTGGCACTGCGGCTGTCCTCCAGTCGCGTGAACCGCGACATCTGTCTCGAGCTCCATTGAGCTATCAGGCCCTCATTCCAACGGACTTTGAGAAAACCAAAAAGAAATGCCTCACTCTGCGGTATTTTGGACAATAGCAGGTCCGGAGGCCTCATGACAGGGTGCCTTGACCGCTTCGTCGCTACGAGGCGCAAAGGCAGCCAGCCCCGTGGTGATTTCCGCAATCCTAAAAAATGGGACTGATTGCCTCCCACATGTCACAGTCCAGTGCTAGGGTAAATTTGAGTTCGACATATGTTTTATCTTGCGCATAGGTGCTAGACAGGGGTGTCACGTGTCTGGTCATCATACTTTTGGATCTGCTCACTGGCTTGTGACGACCGTCTCCAGTGAGTCGTGTTGCAGGAGGAAGGCCATCAAATGAATTCCCGATCCTCTAGATTCAGCACTGCCTCCTTCGGTCCCTCCTTTCTGTATTCGATTAGTTCCTCCGTCGGGAGACACTTTGGTAGAGTCCTGTGCATCTGATGCGGCATTTTTGTGAATGCTCGAATGCCGAGTCAGTCAAGCCATACAATCAGCTCCGAAATGATGGAGTCATGCCCTCTTGAAGCGCCTCTGACACGATGATGACTGGAAAAGACTCAGAGTCTCCAGGCCTGGAATAAGCCGAAAGACGACGGCTATCTCGCGTTGAGCTCCTCTACGATGGCTCCGAATTCACTCACCGCTTCAAAGCCTCCTTCCACGGAGAGTCTAATTCCCGCACTAGTCGTTATTTCTGAGCTGCCGAATTTGACGTAGCGCTTGACAATGACTGCGCCTCGTCGTAGGTTTGGAAGAGTGTTCATCGGCCTGCGGAGTTGTTTCTACAGCCGTTTTGCAAAACGACCCAGCCAATGGCAGTTGCCGTCGTTGGCAGCTCGATGTAAACGGATACGGCTAGGTCACGGCCGAGTTGTTCTTCCGATAATCTCAAATGCGGCCTCCGCTCATCAAATCAGACATGCCGTAACATGGAAGAGCTTAGAAGACGACACGGGGATGCTTTCTTGATTTGACTATTAGCTGCGGTAATTTCTGCGGCAGCTGGAACCCATCAGGAGTAGAGACACAGCTGCAGACGGAGGGATGGGGTCCATACGACCTCGAGAACACTTTTCCTAAGGATCCTCGAAGCAAGTATGGATGTCAAATGCTGAAATAACACAGACGTCTATTTAATTCGTGCAACCCCAAGAACCAGAAGACCATCGAGACCAGTCATCAGTTTCATACATGTATGTTTTGAAATCAATCCCAGATCCGGCGTTTCTCCCGTGTCTTTCAATCCTACGATTACTTCTCAGACATGTCACTTCAGAAGGGAACTGTCGTGTCCGTCACAACAGTCGAATCTCCAGACGAGCAGTCACCCCTGTTAGATGTTATCCTCAACATCCGCTACAAGCCATCATGCGCTCGGCCGCCGCGTGTTAGTGCGGCTGGCAAGTTTCTTGAGATGGTATGCATGTTCACCACTCGTCTCCGCGTCCTCAGCTGCAAGTCACAGCATCACAGCTCCATGTCAGCATCCTTTGAGCCGCTCTCCGAGACAGGCCGCTTCGTCAAGCTTTACGTGGAACCCATGTTCCATTGGTGGGGAGCAAACTTTCGCCTTCTGATAACGCCCTGTCTCGGAACAGTCGACGTGGTCAACGCAGCTGGTGAGCGGCGGTCAGTCGTCAACGGAGCCTCGCACAATTACGCTGGATTATATGCAATCACAGCCGAGTCTGAGGAGCTACAGCGGCTGTGCTTGGACAACCTGCCCGTTTCCGACAGTGACGCGGTTCCTCTGTTGCGGGATTCTGTCCACGCTGCCATCGCAGACTTCTTCAACTGTGACTTTTGCTTCACGACAAGTACTGGATACGGCGCCAACTACGTGGCTCTACCAGCGTTGATTGAGTCGACTCGGACAGTGGTTTTCATGGACAGGGCATGTCATAACTCTATATTCACAGGAGTCTTTCTCGGGCGCTGCTCAGACATACACAAATTCAGACACAACGACATGATCGACCTGGAGTCGATGTTGCAAACATTGCCGCGCAACCTAGATCGGGATGTCATCGTGGTTGTGGAAGGGTTGTACAGGTTCGTGACACCCTCCCTATCTCATCTTCCTTTCCTTCATTTTGTTTGAGAAATGTCGGGAAAATCTAACGAACTGAAAACAGTATGGATGGAGACATTCCTCCTCTGGGCGACCTGTGGCGTTTGAAGAGCGAGTACGGATTCACTCTCTACTGTGACGAGGCGCACTCATTCCTCTCCATAGGTAGCACGGGTCTCGGTTGCTTACAACATTGGAACGAAAACCATTCCGCGTGGCCTGTGCCCTGGGATTTAATCGACATAAGAACAGGCACTTTGTCAAAAGCAATTGGCGGTATCGGTGGATTCATCGCCGGGAAGTCTGTCTTCAAAGAGCACATTCGGAGACACGTCGACCAGGTACAAGACAAAGACCACATTTCTATACCAACTTCCACGATGGTACAGACACTCTTGGTCATGGAACAGCCACGAAGAATCTCGCGCAATCTGCATCGACTTTCCGAGATATCCAAGTTTTGTCGTGCCGAGCTGGATCGCTTAGGCGTCTGTGTGTACGGAGACGAAACTGGCACTCCTATACTTCCCGTCTGGGCTGGGAGGCCTAGTGCATCGGCGAGGCTTTCCTTTGCCTTGCGACAAGCGGGTCTTCTCGCAAGTCCTGTCACTACACCAGCCGTCCCCTTCTGGGAAAGCCGGGTACGAGTGAACCTCTCGGCTGACTACAGCCATGCCGACGTTGAGAAGCTAATCAACTCGATTGTCTCTGCTGTGGATTCTATCGGTCTGTCCAGACGAAGACATGGTCCATTCTGGGTCAATGACTTCAAAAGCCTTCCATCACCCGAGCATGGAGTGTCTGACGAGGCGAGAATATCTTTTGCAAAAGTCAAAAGTCTCATCGACCAGGCTTCAGTTCACTTGCAGGAAGCCCGCCAGTCGAAAGCGGCATCTCCACATCTCCGCCAGTATCTAGGCGCAGGCTCTGTCGACAGTGGCCACTCAGCTAGGTCAAAGTACGGAATCGGTGCCGGATCTGCGCGGTGGATCTCAGGGACCTATCCGGTACATCTGGCTGTTGAGCAGGCCCTTGCCCGTACCCATGACGTTGAGGCCGCCATGACATACGCTGATGCGACTATCGGCCTCGCATCAACCATTGCCGCGTTGGCCCGTCCTGTCCTCGGCCGCAAAAAGCATTACATGCTGTGCCCACAAGCAGCGACCGGAGCCGTTCGAGATGGATTGTCACTTATTCCTCCCAGTCGCAAGGAGGGCGCCAACCAGAAAACCTTGCAATATCGAGACGGGCAGCACCTTCTTGAGACAGTCGACCAGCTTGCTCGGCATAATGCTTGCTTCACCGTCATTGTTCATGCCCAAGAAGCTCATGTGCTCAAAGGGCTGGCAGAGATGGCAGGGAAACGTCCAATAACCATCCTTCTGCACAGCCCATCAGGACGTCTCAATGTTCAACAAGTGCGCACTGATATTTCAGCCTCCCGCAGTAACGCGGCAAACGTGCAGGTGTTATTATACGGCTCATTCTACAAGATATTGAACGGTCTTCCGGGAGGATATTTAGTAGGTTCTGAAGCACTCATTCGGGAACTGAGGTACACAAGCCGAGGATATATGTATACTACATCGACGCCTCCATTCGTGATGGCCATGATACGTGAGGCTTTAGAAACTGTTCTTGAAACAGCATGACAGAGCCACAAATTCACTTCCGGCTTTGATTCCATGCGTTCCTCGAGGCTACTACTGATCTTAAGGCTGGCAGATGAGTCCTCTAGGTAGTAGTTTCAGAGATTGTGGGAAGCCACAGATATCTCGCATAACTAGCAGCTCTAAACCCTAGGCTCACAAATATAGTGGGCTTTAAAATGTCCTTTCAGTCATTGTATTCCCTAGGGAGACACTGATGTCTCGGGATGTGTCGTCCTGGCCTACAGGTATTTCTCATAATTCCATCGCATTCAAGGTGTTTGCTGTGTCTGTTCAACAACGTGTATCAAATGTCCCAGTCGCATGGGCAGGATCTGAGCATTTCGCTTTCAAAATGAAGCACAAATCACCATCGGCAGATGTACATAGTATATGCATAGGCACATATTGATCAGCACCGGTTTATTTATATCTTTCTCCTAGTTCCTCATACTTAGACTTTGCAAGCAGAGACGCCCAGCTAGGGCCAAGCTAGGAATGCTGCAAGATCGAAGTCGTCCAAGGCCGTTAGAAATGTGGGCATTCAACATTTGATTTTGCACTTCCAGAAGAATAGCACACACGGGACCCAACGCCCTATAACTATTTATTGATCTATGAAAAAGATAATGTGCGCTCAGGCGCAGCAAGAGTGTCTCTCGTTGCTTCATTTGTATGTTTGTGGCAGACTAAGGCCAAAAGTTCTCACAAGCAGCAGCCTGGACGGTGCTTGCCCGCAATATACAATGACGAACCAGATATTTGGAATCCATATTCTAGGCTATTCAACATTCAATTCCAAGCTGGTATCAGTAATGCGTGGGCTTATGACCGCTCAACCTAATCTTTGCATACTACATGACTGACAGTATTGAGTGAGGCTCGCTTGGCAACCATCATTCTTCGACTACCCTCTACACTGACCTCAATGCGCAAAGGCCACATGTCATACTCGAACGAGTTTCTCGATGGAAAGTACGAGTGACACACTCACGCCGCCACGTTATTATGACCACGAGCTGGGAAATACGTATCATGAATCCAAATCCTGTCCCTCATTACATTCCCAGATCATGTACATAAAACTACTTACCTATCCAGATTGACATCAGAGGAGTATGAGAAACTCATTGGTGTTCCAATCCAGTACCAGCATTATTCCCAAAGACCCAACCCTTCGACCAGATGTGCTTTTCATTTTGACTCTGGACATCACTGATTCATTCCAAAACCATCCTTCGTAAACCGTCATTACCTCATGACCAGCCCAGAGCTGGAAAGCCACCCGGCGAGAGACCAGACACCAATGCTCAAGAATCACCATGGAAAATGAAGCGAGCTCTGGCGGATCACCAAGTCAAGCGACCTCCACGCCCTGACTTGGTCTGCCCTTACAGAGAGGAACCGTGCAGTGTCTTGGTGTCAACAACCATCTCGCGGCCTTGGTCGTTGACAACCAGCACTCGGACGGATCCGCGGCCGGAATCGAAGGCCTGCTGGAGGCGGTCATAGAGGTTGGACTGGTCAAGGACTGGCAAGGACTGCTTCACATCACCAGTCTCGGTCATGGCAACAACTTCAGGTACACAGTCAGCCTCCAGATCAGACAAGTACTGGCTTGGGATATGGAGAACTCACCACTGCCGTCCTGGAGGTCAAGGACGCGGTATTGCTTCAGGATGGGTCCGCGCATGGTCTGGACAACAACGCTCGGGGCGGGGTTGTGAATGGACGAGGACTCCTCATGGAGCTGCTTGGTGAAGAGGTCGACTCCGAGGTAGCGGTGCTGGCCGGTGGCGGAGGAGGTGGAGATCCGGATGACCTGGGAGATGCGGCCCTGGAGGATCAGGATGTCGCCGATCCGGATGTGGTGGCAGGGAATGGTAACTGAATTTGGGGCTTCATCTCCGTAAGCGGCCTGGCTTACACGGCGAGACGGACGGCTTTCCCGGACCTCAGTCACCTCAATGGTCTCATGATGACCTCGAGGGTGAATGATACGATCAGCGGCCTTATGGAGGCCGTGCCGGAAAGAGTGATAGTGGCCTACATGGGGGGCATTCTCAGAATACAACAAAGGAAACCATGTTGAAAACAAAAACAGGCAACTCACCATCTTCGTCGAAGTAACCCATCTTGGCTTTGTGGTGATGCTTGTGACGCGGGGAGCGATCGATCTCGACTGTCTCGTCTACACGGACAGTCTGGTTGACAGCAGGGCGGATCCTGGGGGCCTCGATGATGTGCTCGTCGTGGTGAACAGTCTCCTTGACGACGGGACGGCGCAGAGGCGTGTCGACGGTGGTCTCGGTTACGCGGACGTCCTCACGGTAACCAGGCTGGGATCGAGCACGGTACCCACGCTCGATGTTGTCGATGGGAGACAAGGGGATGGCCGGGCGAGACTCGGGCCGGTGGTGATGGTGGTGGTGGTCGTGGTGTCGGTGAGTGTCGATCTCAATGCGGGTATCAGAGTATGAGGAACGCGGAGGTCTCTCAGAGTAGGAAGAACGGGGAGGTCTGGAGTGAAAACACTCAGTGTTAGCTGTCAAGCCCAAGTTGTGTTTACTGGTATTGTTGGTGTTGTTCCGAGGCCAATACATGCGAAGCAGCTCCACACCCGATGCCATGAAGCTCGAGGCGATTGGTGCCCAAGGGCCCCTGGCCACGTGGGTCCAGATCTCAGCTCCATGCTGCCGCGGATCCACACGCAGCCTGAACAGACCGGGCCGAGTTCATGTGCAGTGACGACAAGGCGCGCTCGGCCGAGTGAAATTGGGCGTAGGTCAGGACACACACACGAGGCAGAGGGCGTCGGGGGCGGCGGAGGCGGGGTGGAGAAGGGCAGGGACAGGGCAGAGGAAACAGATGGGTATTGGGAATACCTGGGCTGCTGCTCCTTGAGCTCTTCGCGGTAGTACTCTTCACGGTGGACACCGGGACGGCGGTACCGGTCCTCTTCACGGGTGACGAAGACCTCTTCCTCGCTGTAGCGGTGCTGCTCCCTGCGGGGAGGAAGGTCGGCCGCGGCGGCGGAGTAAGAAGAAGAGACCTGACTACCTTCCCGCCCGGGCTTGTGGTGGGGGAGGTGGAGGTTGAGCTCCTCGTGGGTAGTGGTGCTGGTGCTGGTCTTGCCCGACTCCTTCTTGTCGTCGTCGCGGTACGACGAGGGGAAGATGCTGAAGGGGACGGGGACTCTCGCTTCAAAATCCAGGTTGACTGCCTTGTATGGGCGCGCAGAGTCGTCCTCCTCTCAACCTCTTGACAAGGAAGAAAAGAAGAGTCCTCTGGCTTCTTCCTGGGGAAAGAAGTCGAAAGAAAGGAGAAGAAGAGAAGGACCCTACCAATTGATACGGACTCCTTCTGTACTCTGGGGATTCGATCGAGCTCCTTTTTGGCTGGGGAAGAGGGTGCGTGGAGGGGGCCGAGCACAACAGGTCAAGTGGCTGACACTACGATGTGTGTGGTATGGCGAAGATGGAGAAGAGGATGTTGTGTCTGGATGTGTGAGTGGAGGACAGCAGTGAGGAAAAGAGGAGGAGGGAAGACGCGGGCGAGAGGCAGAGGAGCAAGAGACGGCGGGCATTGAAATACTCTAGTGCTGGGGTTCTGCGGAGGGGGAGACGGTCCGTCTCCTGGCCCATCAACCGTTGCTACTGGCTGCAGCAGGGCCTCAAGGGTGTCTGAATGGTGAGATGATTGATCTCTTCCCCCTCTTGTGCCCGTTGCTGTGCCTGTGTTTACTCGCGGTGGAGCCAGCTGCAGCTCTTGTTTACCCCCCGGTGCCCTCCCCCCGATCTTTTCCTTTACAGCTGCTGAGGGTCGAGCTCAGCGAGCAGGGATCATAGCTCCGGATAACCTTTGCACCCCTGTCCATTGGGGCAAGTCCCAGTTTTCTCCCAGCCCGGCTCGGCGCGTGCGCTCAATGCCCATCCATCCCATCACGTCCAGCCTGCAACCTCAGCTTGCCGCTGTACCTACCTAGATAAATCACACCCAGGCGAGATGAGCTGCCATCGTCTCCCGTCCCATTACGACCCGTCCCATTACGACCCGGGCCATGTTGCACGCCGGCAGGGGAAATCCGTCATCAAGGCACTGGCCAGCAGGGAAAAGCCCCTAGAAGCTGTCAGGCACCCCAGAAAGGGCCCGGCCCTGACGCCATCTCGGGCTGTGGCATGGTAGACCGCGCCTCGTGTCAGGTCGAGCAAGCCCAACCACCACCTTTCTTATTAACCTTCCGTCCAATGCCCGGGCTCCCTGGGTCGGACTGGGCTGGACCGCACTGATGAGCCTCGATCTGTGTGTGATCTCTGGACCGGCCTGTGGGAGTGGGACGCTGCAGCCTGCTGCACTGCAGAGCACATCAGTGAGGTACAAATGCTGATGGCTGGGGAAGTGGGCCGTGTACCACATGTGGGCATCCGCGCCCGGGAATACGATGCGCCACGCACTTAATTCAGCAGGCTGGGATGGGGGAGGAGAATCACTGTCTCCAACGGCTCTCACCAGCCGGTCTCTCCTCTTCTGCATGCATGTCTGAGAGATCAGGGCAAGCGTGGACCGAACCCATTGGGCCTCCACAAGCACGGGCGAGCTGACCATCCACGACTTGTGCATGTGCTTGCGCCCAATTCGTCGGAACGTGAGCAGAGAATGGAGCAACGCGTCACAGAGCCCGGATTGCATGTGACTGTTTCTTCTTCTGCCCTACAAGCTTCTGCTGGAAATCGCGAACATCTACACAACTTCAATCATCGCGAGCACTCATGCTGCTCCTCTTCACCCCCAGAAGCTCTCCACAGCTACAGATCTGCGGCCGGCCATGAAGACCTTGACAGCTCCGATCATGCAGGGGGCCATCGTTGCCATAGAAACGCTGGGCGCTAACGGAAGCTCAATGCGACCCCACCGTCCCAGACGGGCAGGACGGCTGGACGGTAGCCCCCAGCGGTTGGCAAATATCAAGGGGTCTTTCACGTGTCGAGACCTATCATGTCCTTGAAGAATGAATGCTATGCGGTTGAATCTATCCCATGATGAGCAGATTAATAAGAGCTATGGTCGGCCAATTGATCAGAATGGGAGAAGTGCCACGGCTCTGTCCACCTTGGCCTTGATTCCAAGGAAGATAGCACTTTGAGCTGTAGAAGCAAGGCTCTGTTGTCAAGTATGTGACACATTTTTAGAGGTTGAGCACAATTACGTTGCAGCAGAGTCAGTGTCACTACCATTGCACTTACGCAACAGAGACTGTCGGTACGAGGCATTATGGCGTATGCTACAAATAAACTGTAGGCTCAGGTGGGTTGTGATGGTTCATACAGCCGCGGAAGTGCCTAGGCTGAATACACCAAGACACGTTAGAACACTTAACTTCTTGGTCTTCAAACCAGTCTAATACTCGGAATTGAGACATCAGATAGGCTTGTGCTAGTGTTGCTTTAAAACCACATGGTGCTTGGGCATTTAAGTGAACAATCGGCCATGTCACTATGGCGAGGTATGGGGGAGGGGAGGGGTGGTCTAATGATGAGGGTCCGGGTCGGGATGACGTACCGAATTATGTGATGTAAGACGGCGACGGGCGCCCCACCATTCCGCCCATACACTGCCGCATCCAGCTCGCCGGCCGCAAATTTCGAGCCATATCACCACGCTCGCCACCCTCCGGAGCAGTCGTTGCTCGCTTTAATTCAGAGACACTGTATCGGATCGCCCAAAATGAAGCAGCGCTTTTCTTCCTTGGACGTCAAGGTATGCTCCAGTCCTGTCGCGCAGTACTGATGTGAGGGTGAACGAGGTCGCTGACGCGCATTCGCCTTGATCCTAGGCCATTACCAATGAGCTCTCTCAAGCTCTTGTCGGCCTTCGACTCGCCAATATATACGACATCTCCTCCAAGAAGTTTCTCCTCAAGTTCGCGATATCCGGAAAGAAGGAACAGCTGATCGTGGACTCTGGTTTCCGACTCCACACCACTGAGTTCACTCGCCCCACGGCCGCCGCCCCCTCGGCCTTTACCTCTCGCCTCAGGAAATTCCTCAAGACCCGGCGATGCACCTCTCTGTCGCAGATAGGCACAGACAGGATAATAGAGTTGCAGTTCAGCGACGGCGGCTACCGACTCTTCCTCGAATTCTTTGCATCCGGAAACGTCATCCTCACTGATGCCGACCTCAAGATCCTGGCAATATTGCGGACCGTTCACGAGGGAGAGGGGCAAGAACCGCAGAGGGTAGGCCTGACGTACAGCCTCGAGAACCGCCAAAATTACGGAGGTGTCCCGCCTCTGACCAAAGAGCGAGTACGAGAAGCGCTGAAAAAGTCAGTGGCGAAGGTGGAAGCCGTGGACGCCTCTAAGAAGAAGCCCAAGAGAAAGGCAGGAGATGAGCTCCGGAGGGGCCTGGCAACAACTATAGAGGAATTGCCACCCATAGTGGTCGATCACGCCTTCCTAGCCACCGGATTCGAACCGACCACCAAGCCAGCTGATGTGCTCGAGAATGAGACCTTATTCGACGCGCTCTTCAAGTCGTTGGAAGAGGCCAGGAGAATAGTGGATGATATCACGGGTTCGACGAACTGCAAAGGATACATCATTGCAAAGAGCCGTGAACCTAAAGCAGCCGGGCCGGCGCAGCCACAAGGAGACATGCCACCTAGTCTCCTCTATGAAGATTTCCAACCCTTCGTGCCCCGCAAGTTCGAAAAGGACGACACGTATACCATTTTGACTTTCGACAACTACAACAAGACGGTAGACGAATTTTTCTCGTCCATTGAGGGACAGAAGCTCGAGTCAAGACTCAATGACAAGGAAGCCGCTGCCAAACGCAAGCTGGAAGCTGTCCGAGAAATACAAGAGCAAAAGGTGGAAGGCCTCAAGCAAGCGCAGATACTGAACATGCGCAAGGCCGGCGCTCTTGAGGCCAACGTCGACCGAGTACAAGAGGCCCTGGACGCTGTGAACGGTCTCATAGCGCAGGGCATGGACTGGGTCACCGTCGGCAAGTTGATTGAGAGAGAGCAGAAGCGACGGAATCCTGTGGCTCAGGTCATCAAATTGCCCTTGAATCTGGAACAGAACTCAATGACACTGCTTCTTGCCGAGGAGGAGGAGGAGGACGAAGAAGATGTCGACGAAGACTCGGAACATACCTCAGAAGACGAGAGCGATGACGAGGGAGACAAGCGCAAGAAGTTGGATTCTAAGCTTTCCATCGAGATCAATCTCGGACTGTCCCCATATGCCAATGCCCGCGAATACTACGACCAGAAGAAGACGGCTGCAGAAAAAGAACAGAAGACCGTTGGTCATTCGGTGTTGGCTCTGAAGAGTGCTGAAAAGAAGATTGCCGAAGACCTCAAGAAGGGACTCAAGCAGGAGAAGCCAATTCTACACCAGCTGCGCCGCCAGAGCTGGTTCGAGAAGTTCATATGGTTCATTTCTTCGGATGGCTACCTTGTCCTGGGTGGCCGAGATGCCATGCAGAACGAGATGCTGTACAAGAAGCACCTTCGCAAGGGAGACGTATACGTTCATGCTGACATGCACGGTGCTGCATCCGTCATCGTCAAGAATAACCCTAAGACGCCGGATGCCCCCGTTCCCCCTTCCACATTGTCGCAGGCTGGCAGCCTGTCAGTCTGCTCATCAAATGCTTGGGACTCGAAAGCTGGTATGGGAGCCTGGTGGGTCAATGCAGAGCAGGTCTCTAAGTCCGCCCCTGCAGGAGAGTTCTTGCCCTCCGGAAGCTTTATGGTGCGAGGCAACAAGAATTACCTTCCTCCACAGCCACTGATACTGGGATTCGGCTTCTTGTTCAGGATTAGCGAGGAGAGCAAGGGTAACCACGTTAAGCACAGGCTTATGGACGCGGAGACTTTGCCAACCAAACACGTTCAAGAAGCTCAAAACCACGAAGCTGAGCTCGCAGAAGAAGTAGCCGACCTTGAGCGTGAGGTAGCACAGCATGAGCAGGACAAGAACGACTCAGATGGCGGCCTTGACGACGACGAAGGCTCTCGGAGACAGAATCCGCTGCAGATGAATGGCGACGACGAGTCGAACAGTGGCGATGACATCGACGTGCGAACCGACGACGATGATCACGTCGACCACCAGGTAGACCATGTGAAGGACAATGTCAATGAGCTCAGCCTCGAAGAGCCTGCCGAGCTGATGATGTCGGGGGCCTTGGCTGCTGACGGTGGCGAGCACGAGAATCCGTTCGCAGATGGTGTAAACGGCGACAAAATTGCTGAGCCAGGGGCTGGTTCGGATGCTGAAGACACAGAATCAGAGACGGCCACCAAGGCTCCTACTGAGGCATCGAGGGCCTCCACTGCCACTACTTCACAACAAGCGAAAGACCCAAGGCAGAAGAATGCTCCGGCGAAACGAGGCAAGAAGAACAAGCAGAAGAAGATCGCTGCCAAGTACAAGGACCAAGATGAGGAAGACCGTGCCATGCATGAGGAGCTCATTGGCGCCACCAAGGGCCGCGAAAAGGCCGAGGCAGAAGCCAGAGCCAAGGCGGAGCGCCTGGCAGAGGAGGAAGCCCGGCGCGAGCGCCGCAAGCAAGCCCAGCAGAAACAGCAGAAGAAGGTCGCCGAGCACGAGGAAATCCGCAAGCTGATGCTCGAAGAAGGTGTCGAGGTGCTGGATGACGGCGAGGAGCAGGCATCCACCCCGCTCGACTCCCTAGTTGGCACGCCACTCCCCGGCGATGAGATTGTCGAGGTCGTGCCCGTGTGTGCGCCGTGGGCGGCCATAGCGAGGTGCAAGTACAAGGTGAAGATCCAGCCCGGTGCGACCAAGAAGGGCAAGGCGCTGAAGGACATCCTGGAGAGGTGGAAGTTCGAGGCGGGGAAGAAGGGGAACGTCGACGAGCACTCCAGGGACTCGGAGAGGATGTGGCCACGCGAAGTGGAGCTGATCAAGACGGTCAAGCCGGAAGATGTGAACAATGTGGTGCCGGTGGGCAAGCTGACCGTGATGATGAGTGGTGGTGCGGCTGGGAAATCTGGCGGCGGAGGAGGTGGGAAGGGGGCCAAGGGAGGCGGGAATCAGAGTAAGGGAAGCAAAGGCGGCAAGGGTGGGAAGAAGAAGTAAATATCGCGTTCATCAGTTTATCATGCATATAGAGGGCGTTCGAGTATCATGAGAGGACTGTTGCCACCACTTAGTCATTTTGCAATGAGCTGGTCACCAAGAGAACGGCCCGCCGGATGGATTCTGTTTCGATACTTCGGTCCTCCTGGGTTCTAATTCCAGCAAAACCTACCGGCACCGCAAGACCAACAACACAATTCATCTTTTGTAGTGATTGATCCAAGGTTAGTGGCTCCCATGCCGGCTTCAAGGTAGGTTGAGTGGATGGTCTACGAATCGCCCGTCTCCGGGCGGCACAGAGTACGCTTCCAGCTTCAGATCTTCTCAGTGCAGTACCATTGAATTAGTCGCTTTTTCCTTTCTGCATCGAAGTGGAAGCTTTATGTCTGAGGTCCTAACTGAGAAGCAACAATTGCTGGCTCGGCTGATGGCGGAAGCAGCCACAGGTTTCCTCGAAAGAATGGATACATTCCTGGAAAGAGTTGATGCGGGCACTGTGAATGATTGCATTCACTGGACCTTCGTGTCACAGACCACCACTCCGAAGAGTATCTCTAGCGTAGGTTGCAAGCCATTTAGCCTCTTCCTTTCCTTTCCTCTCTTGAAGCTCCGATCCAGCCACTGTTTGCCTGACTGACCAGATCACCACAACTTCTCGTTTGCAGGTGCAACTACAAGCAGTCCACACTCCACCGCGGTCACTCTAACGAAGCCTGTCCTTCTCCCTGCGACACCATGAAGCTGAGCCCATTCTCCTTCCTTCTGATGTGCGCCGTGTTGGCTGCCTTCCCCGTGTCAGCCGACTTCTACATCTACAGGATGTGGCAGACAACTGGGAATGACCATCATGGTACCGGGGACAACAGGGTAGAATGTGCGTCTAACCACTGGCCTCTAATTCATCCCTAGCAAGTTCTGTGTGTTGTTTGGCTAACTTCATCAAGACGCTTTCTTCCCCGGACCGCCTGACTGCAACGACGTGATAGACCGCTGGCACGAGCAGAAAGGCAAGGACGACGTCAGTGGCAACAAGCACGGTGTGCGCTGTGAAGGACATTGTGTGCGTTCAAACTTTGTGTTCCTTCTGACCGGAGAAGCTTTCCGAGCATCTTCGTTCTGGGCACCGTGATACATACTGACATATCTACCGCAGGGCCCCAAAGATCCTCGCGACCCAGAACTCATCGAGTTCAACAACGCTGTGGGTCACTACAGTAAGTGGATCGCCCTCACTCACACTCTGCGACTGAATACAAAACTAACCAAGGCAACCTCGTGGACAAAGCCTATTACAGGGACTCGGGAGGCGAGCTGAGAGACACCAAGGACAACATCATCGGACACTGTCACACCGACGCGTCGGACACAATCGCAAACTGTTTTTCCACACGTGGGGACATCAACATCTTCGGATTATGGGATGGCGGCTCTCTGGTATACTGCGAGACAGCTCTCACGGCTTGCAAGGTGTTCTACGACCCCCGGACTGAGAAGCAGTGCTGAGGACACATGATGCACCAGTGTTGGTATCAGCCGATGTCCGAGGTTTGGGGACGTTAGGAGAGATTTTGGGGGGTTTCATGAAGGGACAGATTCATTTTTTCAGACGAGCCGGATAACCGGTTACCTCTTGCGCTTCGCTTAAGTGGTCTCGTTTTTAATCTGTTCGAATATGCTTCTTAAGCAGTATGCATCCAGTCCAGTCCCCTTGCGCTTCGCTTGAGTAGTCCTCTCCGCGTCAAAAGTTTGGCGAGCAGGACGATCCCAATAGACACACTGGCAGGCAGTAGCTGCACCCACCCTCGGCAAACTTTGAGGAACAATCGACCGGTACTTGAACAGTTCAAGTGATCCTCACGCGCGGACATAATTCGACTTTGATCCAAGGTTGTCATAACAACCTGCCTAGCAGTTGCTCACTCCTTGACGACCTGTGACTTTTCGCTGAACCTATGTAGACCGTGTTGTCAGTGGTACCTAGACATCTCGAGCCCCACAAGTGTTTCCATACAGAGATATTGGGCATCTGGGTGTTGAGTGTGGGAGTGTGAATTAGGCCTGATTGATGTGCTCTAATTTGCTGCAGCTGTGGCGTGAGTGATGTACCGGTGTACCCTCTGGTTTTGCAGGTGCGAATCTCCGTACTCCGTAGATATAGGTATATATGCAGTCCGAGGTTCAAATTAGCGTTATTACTTCATGGGCTGTGCTCTCTGTTCAATTCGCATCTGTGAGTCCTTAGTCTTGCTGTGAGAAATTCATTAGCCATGGGGCACTGGGGCACAGAAAGAAGATGAGCAGTCGGCATGAAGAATCTGGGAGCTTCTAATTGATTTTGCGCCATTGGATGCTGGACCGCCGGGGAAGCATTCAATGTTGGAAATGATATGCTTGCCCGCGTGCGACCCCAAATACTTACTACAGGTATGTTTGACTCACTCCGGCCCCTGTCCTGCTTATGCGGCGCAGATAGGGCTCGAGCGCTCCTCTTGACTCATCTTTGTATTTCACCTACAAATATGTAGTCGTGAGGTGTGAGTACCTGGCCTTTCGATGCTCAGGTATGATTCCCGGTTGCGTTAAAGGTGCTGTTTCCTGTCGTGTCCGCCATCATTCCCCACGTCCAAAGCCGAAGTGCGCCATCGACCCTGCAGAATACCCGGCAAACAGCAAGCCTACGGAGTCGCAATGGACATGAAAAGCGAGGCAGTTGAGGCCAAGCCTGATAGAAAAGGTACATGCTTGCTCATCAGAAGATACAGACCTTTCCAGTGAATTTGGCTAATGACGTCCCGTACGCAGCGGAGAAGGAGAGGCAGAGAGCCGACAAGGCGAAGAAATTGGCAGACAAGCAACTCAAACAGCAAGCCGCCGCCGCGGCAGCCGCATCCAAAGGACCGAAGACCACTAGCAAGACAACGCCTCTACCCAAATATATCGATTCGACCCCTGAAGGTTCAAAGAAAGGTGTGCCAATGTCTCTTTATGTAATTGCGTGGCTGTCGTTTTCAACGCTTTGCCCAAGACTAATTTGACACCTCTTCATGCAGTCCTCGGGTCACTCGATTCCCCTTACCACAAAGCGTACATTCCCGCCGTCGTCGAGTCGGCCTGGGACGCCTGGTGGACGAATCAGGGCTTCTTCGAGCCGCACTTCACGCAGCATGGCGACAACATGCCCGCCGGTGCCTTCGTAATCACGCTCCCTCCTCCGAACGTCACGGGAGCTCTACACTGTGGCCATGCTCTGGGCACCGCCCTTCAAGATCTCCTCATCCGCTGGCAGAGAATGAGGGGATTCACGACTCTGTATCTCCCTGGATGTGATCATGCGAGTATAAGCACGCAGACTGTCGTCGAAAAGATGCTTTGGAAGAAGGAAAAACGAACGCGACACGATCTAGGCAGGGACAAATTTGTCCAGAAAGCGCTCGAATGGAAGAATGAGTAAAGCCCAGCCTACTCGCCCGATGGAGTCATGTTTGTATACACAGTCTAACATCTACTCCAGATACCACACAAAGATCAACACTGTGCTTCACCGCCTCGGAGGGTCATTCGACTGGACGAGAGAGGCGTTCACCATGGATCCCAGCATGAGCGAGGCCGTCATCGAAGCATTCGTTCGTCTTTATGACGATGGACTGATCTATCGATCTAATCGACTGGTCAATTGGTGTGTCCACCTTAACACGACCATCTCAAACCTAGAGGTTGGGAGTAAAGATCTGCCTGGTCGGACGCTTCTCGAAGTACCAGGATACGACCGCAAGGTCGAGTTTGGCGTCATGACCTACTTCAGATATCAGGTTTACCAATCCGATAAGACCCTGGAAATTGGTACAACTCGATTAGAAACGATGCTGGGTGACACAGCAGTGGCTGTTTATCCGGACGACCCGCGATACAAAGACCTTGTTGGCAAACTCATCCAGCATCCTTTCCTTGATCGTCTGATACCAATTATCGCGGATCCGTTGGCTGATCCGGAATTTGGATCTGGCGCGGTGAAAATAACGCCCGCACATGACGCCAACGACTTTGCTGTTGGTACACGCCACAGACTGCCCTTCATCAATATCTTGAATGACGATGGCACTATGAATCACAACGCTGGTCGATTTGAGGGGCTGAAACGATACGACGTCCGGTATATTCTCCAGGAGGAACTCACGAAGCTTGGACTGTTCGTCAAGAAAGAGCCAAACCCCATGTCCATACGCCTGTGCATCAAATCCAAAGACATCATCGAGCCCGTGATGAAGCCACAGTGGTGGATGAAGATGCAAGAGCTGGCAACACCCGCAATAGAGGCGGTGCGCAGCGGAGCAATCAGCATCAGACCAGAGTCATCCAGAAAGGAATACTTCAGATGGCTAGAAAGTATTAATGACTGGTGTCTGTCTCGTCAGCTTTGGTGGGGCCATCAGATCCCGGCATACTGCGTACACTTCGCTGGCGAGGCTCAGGAAATTGGTGAATCCAGCGAGCGTTGGGTTGTAGCCCGAACAGAGGCTGAGGCTAGGGAGAAGGCGCAGAATATGTTCCCCGGTCAAGACATCTCCCTGACAAGGGATCCCGACGTTCTTGACACATGGTTCAGCTCAGGTCTCTGGCCCTTCGCAACGCTTGGGTGGCCAAAAGAGACCCACGACATGCAGAAACTGTTCCCTAACAGTGTCTTGGAGAGCGGCTGGGACATCCTTTTTTTCTGGAGTGGGTGATTCTCGTTTCTGTCTCACCAAAGGCTATGCTGACCAAGTCCTAGTTGCACGAATGATTATGCTCAGCTTGAAATTGACTGGCCAGGTCCCTTTCAAAGAGGTGTATTGCCACTCACTCATCCGAGATGCCCAAGGTCGTAAGATGTCCAAGTCACTTGGTAATGTCATCGACCCGATTGCTGTCATGGAGGGTACTTCACTCGAAGCCTTACAGCAAGGTCTTCAGATGGGAAACCTCGATGAGAAGGAGCTGGAACTCGCCACCAAGAATCAGAGTGACATGTTCCCAAACGGTATTCCCGAGTGTGGTGCTGATGCCTTGCGCTTCTCACTGATCAACTACACGACAGGAGGTAATGAATTCCCCCGAGCACAAGTTCTTGCAACCATACACCTTCGAATCAATGCTGACATCAGAACTCAGGTGGCGACATTAACTTCGACGTGAAGATTATGGCTGGCTATCGACGGTTCTGCAACAAGATCTACCAGGCGACAAAATATGTGCTTGGGAAAATTCCGGACGACTACTCTCCTCCTGCGAAGCTCGCCAGAACGGGCGCCGAGACTCTACCAGAACGTTGGATCGTCCACAGGCTGAACTCCAGTGCGCTCGCAATCCATGGAGCTCTCGAAGATAGAGAGTTCTCGCGTTCATCGCAGATCATCTATCAATATTGGTATGATGATCTATGTGATGTTTTCGTTGTAAGCTTGCACACTCGCAACCGTTTGAATTTCACTTACTCATCACGATTCGTCCTCAGGAGAACTCTAAGTCTATCTTCCATGATGGATCAGAAGAGGCCAAACGGAGTACCATTGACACTCTGTACGCAGCCTTGGAAGGTGGCCTCACGATGTTACATCCGTTTATGCCATTCCTGAGTGAGGAGCTGTGGCAAAGACTCCCGCGGAGGCGAGGGGATCCCACACCGTCGATCGTCATAGCACGGTACCCAGAGTATGAAGAGGGTCTGAAAGATTCTCGGGCAGCAAGCCAATACGAGCTTCTCATCTCTTGCTCAAAGGGTATTCGGTCCTTGATGGCGGAGTATGCGATCAAGCAAGATGTTACAGGTTCGTGCATAAAAATTATCGAAACTCTCCTACAGTCGGAATGAACCCAGCGCTAATCAGCCGTGTCCAGCATATATCTCCTGCAACACCGCAGCAGACCTAGAATTAATCAAAGCGGAAGCAAGGCATATTGAGGCCCTCTCTGGGAAGGGACTACGCTCCTTGAGCGTTCTGGGAGAGAGCGACAACTTACCTGCCGGATGCGCTGTTTTCCCTGTCTCTTCTGCCATTACTGTCTACCTCGATGTTGGAAAACAGGCGGATGCCTCGGCTCTGATCGAGAAGACACAAGCCAAGCTGACCAAGCTCACTGACTTGGCTGACAGGCAGCGCAAACTGATGACGAGTGAAGGGTGGGCGGAAAAGGTGAGCACAGCGGTGAAAAATGCCGAGGAGGAGAAGCTATCTCAAGCCGATGCTCAAATGAGAAGTTTGGCCGCGAGCATCGAGCAATTCCGCCGGCTTGAGTTGTGCTAGACCTGTCTCACAGATACGCACACCGGTCACACGGAAAAGAATTGAAGCATCGGAAGAATTTGGGCCATAGACTGTGTACTTCAAGAATGAAATGAGTGCGATGCCACCGGATGTTTCGAGACTTACGCGCTCGGTTGGTAATGGTGTCGGAGAGCTCAATGCAGACGGGAGCCGAATGTTTTCTTTTATCCCTTTGGTTGACAGATCTTTTTTTGTTTCTTTTTTTATTTTACTGAAATAGATCCATAGGAGCTGAAAGGCCACGCTAACTGCCCTCGTCTGCATTTTCCCAAGCGGCGTCACAAGTACCTAAGTAAAGATTTCCCAATGCCACCGAGCAACACCATCCCCCCTCGAGGCTGCTTCTGATGCTTGTTCGTTCATGGTGAGAATCGTGTTTTCCGGTGCCAGAATGGCGAGAAGCGCATTTTTGAAATCAGACCTCAGCAGCTGTAGCTGATTGAGCTCGTTGTTGCAGGCAAGGAGCACGGTCTGGGTTTCCTCCGTCAGCTTGTCCATGACGATGAACCGATTATAATTAAGCTCAGACATATCCTGGGGTGGGAAGTGATGACGGGTGAGAACGTCGCATTCCTGTGGAGAGGCGCCAAGGAGGATCGATGGGAGTGTTGGGACCGATTTAAGTGGTTCTTTGGTGGCCGGGCCGCTGTGGAAGGGATGCTGGAGCGAAGTAACGAAGGCCATAGTATAAGGAGCAATAGTCGGATCAGTTTCCGGGAGCGTGCTATAAGCCTCTTGTGTGAAGGTGTTGAGGGTCTTTGTATTTTCCATCAAGGCATTAGCGAGCTACGCCTAAGATCACCACCAAAAGTGTGTAGACACGAGGAAAATGGACAAAGGCGGGGGGGGGGGATACCTCAAGATTTATGTCGGCAGTGCAAAAGACAGGAACATATGGCCTGAGATCCTCGGAATGTACTGTACCACTGAACTCGTCCCAGTCTTTGCTCTGCGGATATTGAGCTACAGAAATGCGTGCGGCTCTCTCACCAGCGTGTGCGTGTTGTCTTTCCACGCTCTCCTGTGTCCAGACGCCCCCAGCGATTGCAGCCTCATTTCGTAGAGCACGTGCAGTCTCGTGGCCGTACTGGTCCGGGCTCACCTCCAAGGCCTGTGCAGCGGCTAGGGCCGAAGTAAGCTCGCAACGAAGGGGCACTCGGAACTCGTAGTTGTCCTCGTCCGAATCGTCGTCGTGGGTCGTTACTTGACAAGTGTTCCCAACCTGGGCCGTTTGTTGATCCAGAACAATGAAGACCTTAGAACTGATACCTCCCTTGATCTTGGCACCAGCCATGAATGTTCTCAAAGTCTCGATGCCGTCGGGGAGCGTTGCAGTAAAGGGTGTTGTGAACGCGGTGTGGACGCCATCGATGGGCCGGTCGTACTTTGTCAGGAGCTGAGATGGGCCAGGCTTGGCAACCAGAACGAAACGGTCCACGTCCAGAACGGCATTGAGGATCTACTACTCGGTCAGTTACTTGAGCAATGGCAATGGGTTGGGAGGTTTGCCTGGAAGCTACCTTACTTCTGGTTCAATGTCAGCTTCCTCGCAGATCACGGGGAACTTGACGGGCACAGCTGCTACCGTCATAGTGGAAGGAGGGAAGATAAGAGCGAGGTCGAGGACGGTGAAACAAATCTAGCAGAATAGGGAGATATCAGACATAGCTATGTTGATCTAGCCTCTAACCACATATGTAACGACCAAGGAGAGATTTTATGTTGCAACACAGCTCCTCAATATACGGTGGTAGCTGCCTGCTTGGCCCGGTCAGAGTAGAGGTGAAAGTCACGTGCCGAGCGACGTCTACCTAGGATGAGGGACCGTCACAGTTTCCAGCACATCTCGCTTAACATCTTCCCCTCAGACAATCGCCGAACTCACCCAAACCAAAGTGCGCCGTAGAGGTTCGAAGGGATTCGGGCCCTGAGCAAGAGACATGATGGTTGAAGTAGGTCCCTTGCTCGTCTCACCGCTCATCGAGCTGGGAGTGCTCGCACTCCACCTCATTCTGCCCGCGCACGAGATCGACGGATATGTGCGCGACTCCAAGGGGAAGCCTCTCCGGTACCGACTGTGAGTGCACCGCTTACATTGAGATCGAGCCATAGCGATCGCAAGACTGACTGGCTCGCCTCAAGGAATGGTATACCGGTCATCATGACGTCCGTCCTGGCCTGGTCTGCCCTCTGCTGGGCCGGGGTGCTTCAATGGGACTACTTGTATGAGCACAGCGTCACCACTTGCCTGTGTTCCCTCGTCATCGGCCTAGCATTCAGCGCCTGGATCGTTGCCAAGGGCCCCAGACGGTCCCCCAGCATCCTCGCCGACTTCTTCCTCGGCAGGATTGACAACCCGCGTACAGTCGCCGCGGGGCGCGTCCTCGACGCCAAGATGTACCTTTACCTCGTCGGCGCCGTGCACCTGGAGCTGAACCTTCTCAGCTACGCTGCCGCGCACTACGCGTCGTCATCTCGCGACCCGAACCCGGGCGTCGCCCTGTCGGCGGCATTGCTCACCTGGTTCGTCGCCGAGTACCTGTGGTGGGAGAACGTGCACCTCTACACCTACGACTTCTTCGCCGAGCGCGTGGGCGTCAAGCTCGGCTTCGGCTGCCTCTGCTTCTACCCCTTCTTCTACCCCATTGCGCTCCTGGTCGCCGCCCGCCTACCGAACCCGCACCGCGGCCCCGCCTACCACTTCCTCGCCGCCGCCGTCTACTTCGGCGGCTGGGCCCTAAGCCGCGGGCCAAACCTCCAAAAGTACTGGTTCAAGCGCCGCGCCGCGCCCCCAGCCGCCCTGGCCCCGCTGGGCTTGTCGCCGGTGAAGACTGTCCGGTCTGCTGACGGGAAGCACGAGCTGCTCTGCGGGGGCTTCTGGGGCGTGTCTCGCCATATCAACTACCTGGGCGAGACGCTCGAGGCGGTCGGCATCGTGCTCGCTCTCGGCCACCCGGGGGATGCTATGCTGCCGTGGCTCTACCCGCTGTACTATGTGCTCTTGTTCATCACCCGCGAGAGGGATGACGACAAAAGGTGTCGCGAGAAGTATGGAGCCTTGTGGGACGAATACTGCCGACAGGTGCCCTACAGAATCATTCCATACATCTACTGACGCGTCGAGGGTCGTGGTGAATTGATATCTGGTGCTGATGGTGATTGTGGGTTTCCCATGACATGGTTCCGTTGCCGACTGACTTCACGACTGAAGCCCAACCTCAATGGTTCAAGCTGAATCACATCTGTCAGAATCCAACGAAGAGGCTGCCAAAGAATTAGATGAATATTGAGAACGAAAAAGAAATAAATAATCAAGACACAGGGTCAAGGAAGGAAAGCCTGGTCGGTACGATAGTACATAAAAAGAGTGTTCTTCAGTTGGGAATGCCTAGCACTGGGCAAGGCAATAAGCTGTCAACGAGTTATAGGAGAGTCTCATGAGATTGCTCTAATTTGGCTCACCTTCCACACCAGAAGCACTGCTCACACAAGGTAGAGCTTGATGAGATGGTGCAAGAAATAGTTGACCAAAGCCGAGGGAAATCTCACGAATGGGCCAAATATTCCCCAGCGTTCAGAAAGTGATTGCAGGTATCTCAGTGACTTCCACACCAATGAATGTCCAAAATGGTGTACTATATCACTGGATCTTGCGTCAAAGGTGAAGGTAGTCTGGCATAGTGGTAGCATCGGTGCCCAGGTGCCTTGAAGCAAAGAAACGACTGAACTTAATACATGCTCAGTATGAGGGTATGAAAAACTGGATTTGATTCTTGGGGCTGATGTGGCTTTCTTTCATTTTCCCTCTTAGTCTCAAAATTGCTGTACCGCAGAAGACACGACAGGTCCAAATCCATAAACAACATGTTGACTGCACTTATTAACTGCTACCTCGTCTATGTACAGCATCTATCACTCCAGGGTATCAACGAAGTTGTCCAGTGGAAAGAGGACAAAAAGCACACTGATTATGCATCCAACAACGCTCTCAATGCTACCCTCATCCTCCTCAATTTCGGCACGGTCGCACGCGTGGGCCTGCCTCTCACAACCCCAAACGATTCCGGGCCATCCCCCTTCTCGAGCAGGACCCTCCCGATCTCCATGTAACTCTCGACCGCGACCATCATCGGCCGTCTCGATTCGTCGGGCAGCCAGTCCATAGCTGGCTTCGACTCGGCATATATCGCGAAAGCCCTCTCCAGCAACATTCCCCGCAGACGCCCTAGACCCTGCAGTCTACTGCTATTGCCTTTGGCCCATGGTTCGCCTTTCGCTGTAGGAGACTTTGTGATGGTCTCTATGACCTTCTCCGGGCTCAGACCTTCTTCTGCTAGCCAGGAAGTTGGTAAATAAACCCTTCCTAGGGCAGCGTCGACCGCGATGTCTCTAGCGATATTAACAAACTGGAGAGCGATGCCCATCCGTCGGGCGGCGGTGGCTACAGCCTCCCGGTGGGCTGGATCGATGGGTTCACGGCTGTGGTGCGAAATGAGGGCGAGACACAGCTCTCCTACCGTGCCAGCTACCTGACGCCCGTATCCGTGAAGGTCGTGCTCTGTCGCGATTGGGAAAGAGTTACGCTTTCCGGTGGACTGAAAATTCGAATCGGTTCTGAAACCCTCAAGCAGTAGATACAATGGCTCAAAAGGCATTAGTGACGCTGGGAGCAGCGCGAGAGCAGATCTCGCTGAGGGTGGAAACTCGTTGGCGATGTATTCCGTCACCATAACTGCGTGTTTTGCTGGAGTGGTGTCCTTTCTCGGTTTATATACTAGGTCCAAGTGTTTGGTTAGCTTGCTAATCCAGGTCGAGGTATCCAAACCCTCAGGGGGCTCATCAACCAGGTCGTCTGCCATGCGGCAATATGAGTATCTAATACAGAATGTCAGAGACCCGATACACTCTTTCATGCCACCTCGTTAATAACTCACAGCAAGACCAAGTCGATTCTCAAGCGGCCAGCAAAGGTCGAGCTCGCCAGGTAGAAACTCCTGCTCTTCCGACAAAGCCTCTCCACCGCCTCCTGGATCCCGCGTATGCGGTCCTTGCGCTCCACAGGCCAGGAAATAAACAAGGCTTTGATGAGCATGGTAGGTGTGGGGCATTCGGGTGCGGATTCGAACACGTCTGGGAAAGCGTCGATGACTGCCAGGGCATTGTCAAAGGCACCCAGCCCAAAGACAATGAGGAAATTGGTTGCGGCGAAGAAGATTGCCTCCTCCACCTCCAGACTGCCCCAGACCGTCACGCCAAGCTTGGTTCCAGATTCAATTGCCCACGTGCCTCGACGGAGCGCGAGCTCATCCACGATCCAGAGGTACAAGGTCGGGAGAGCGATTGGTAGGGCGACGCTGGTCCAGGGGAGACGGGCCATGAACAGCCCGCCCAGAGTCCATGTCAGAAGGGCGAAGGGACCTGCCCATATCAATATGAGGCCCAGATATGTGCCAGGCCCACCATTTGATATCAGCCAGAGCCCCAGCAGCGTGAGGCTGGAGATTGCAGCCTGGACCGCCCTGTGCACCACCCTCGCGACCTGCGACTTGGAGTCAAGGTACTCAGCGTGAAGTAAGGGCTTGTTCAACACGTGGTACAGCAGCGACGTGATGTAAGTCTGGATGACGAAGAAGAAGAGCTCCTCGGCCGGGATCGAGAGCAACGTCGGCCCGACAACAACATTTGGCGGGTAGGTCCAGACATTGTGCCGGATGAGATAACTGTCCCAAGGGATGGTGGCTAAGACGGCTATGAGTACGAGGATGGAAGTCTGGTACCAGTGGCGCCGGGTGAGTATAGGGTACGATATAACACTGAGCGCCGTGGCCAGGGGAACTGTGAATTTGAGATGGCTGTTCATGGTCAGCACCAGGGATTTATGGTTAGGGAGTTGGGGGAGGGGGGGGGAGGGGTGTGACTGAGACGTACACCAGGGCATAGTCGTAGGCCATCGTGGATGGTGATGTATCGTCAGATAATCAAGGGAGCATATTTATCCGACCTTGTGGGATATTATACACAGCGGTTCGGACTTCGGCCAGATGTTTGCTGCGGCGGAGCGGACAGATCCAACCGGCTCAAGGCTCACTCAGCTAGCTTCCGTTGGTTCTTTGCTCGCCGGCAGACAGGGGGCCAACGCAAGGGTTGTGAGCTCATCCACGTCTTGGCCGTGGTGGGTTGGGACAGTGAGGTGATTGTTGGTCAGCAGAGCAAGCCGTCCTTGCTGAATTGGAGGCAGGACGTCTTCGTCCGGTAAGCGAGTGGCTGCTTTGTCCCGAGGTCAAGCGAGAGCCAAGCCCAGAAGACACCGAAAGAGGGTGAGGGAAGCCAACAAATTGGAACAAAACAAAACAGAGGAGGCCTAAGAGAGGCTGGTTAGGTTGAGTGGTATCGCCCTGGGGCGTCCTGTCAAGATCAATGCGCGTTTGGAGGAGCGGGACGGGGGTTTCCTCTCTCTCACGTTTCCTCTTCGGGACAGCTCCTGAGCTTCAACGTTTCAGTCGGTGACCACCGTCCCAACGTCCGTAACAGAAGCTCGATCGCAGCCAAGAACAGCAGATTGACGACGCGATAGAGCTGCTGATCTGGAAATTGGACTAAATCTGCCGTATGGTTCGAGCACAATAATGACAACTGAGCAAAAACAAACTTCCGGCTTGCGGGTGGATTCCGCCTCTCCCTCGTGTGTTTTTCGCGCTCGTAGTGGTGATGTCATGACTGTGGGAGGATTCGTCCTCTTGTTGCATTCCGGTGCCGAGACAACGAGCCATCACACCACGCCGCCTCATTCCTGCGCTCTCAACGGATTTGCTCCAGTCTCCAGCAGATCTCGGGAAGCGAGGCAGCTCACACGGCCCTTGCTAGCCGGACCAAGCCCGAAGCCACCAAAGCCACCCAGCCTCGATCATCCCAACGCGGAAACTGAGCTCAGCTTATAGACCCACACTATCCAAATGTACCTGTCATTGCCATAGGGCAGTGCGCCTGTATCGCTGAGAGATTCGAATCTCGGCCGGCAACGTACTATTGTCACCAGATCTCGAGGCCCCGGGAGGCTCGGGTCTCATCTAGATCACCAAAGCCAGAGAGGTGGTGGATAGGTCTGCCTCTAGGCTGCCCCGGTCCTGACATCCGCACACGGCAGTTGACATCTGGAAAGACCGCTTAATATTCCGTCTCACATACAGTGGTGCTTTCCCTAAAGTCATTGGCATCTTCTGCGGTTGTCCCACCGGCCTCATCAGGCTCAACATCGCAGGTTCGCCATGTCAGCTAAAGAAGGGGCTCCCAGGACCGCCATTGTTATCGGTGCTGGTGCTGGAGGCATTGCCACGGCTGCCCGCCTTGCCAAAGCCGGCTACCAGGTGACGGTATTGGAGAAGAACGACTTCACTGGCGGTCGGTGCAGTTTCCTCTACTCTTCACCCTCACACGGATCCGATGAAGGAGGCAAATCAAGCCAATATCGCTTCGACCAAGGGCCATCATTGCTCCTCCTCCCACCTCTTCCGCGAGACCTTCCATGACTTGGACACCAGCCTGGAAAATGAAGGTGTGGATCTACTGCGGTGCCCGGTGAACTACCAGATCTTCTTCCACGATGGACACGTTTTCAGGCCCACCACGGACCTGGCGCAGATGAAGCGCCAGATCGAGCACTACGAGGGCAAGGACGGGTTCGAGCGATACCTAGGATGGATGGCAGAGTCACACCAGCACTACGAGCTGAGCGTGGAGCACGTCCTGCACAAGAACTACGACAGCATTACGACGGTCCTGACACCCTTCTTCGCCAGAATGGCCCTCAAGCTGCACCCCTTCGAGAGCATATACAGCAGGGCGAGCAGGTACTTCCAGACCGACAGGCTCAGGCGGGTCTTTACCTTTGCGACCATGTACATGGGCATGAGCCCGTTTGACGCGCCGAGCACGTACTCCCTGCTGCAGTATACCGAGGCCGCGGAGGGGATATGGTACCCTCGTGGCGGGTTCCAGACCGTGCTGGCCAGGCTTGTCGACGTGGGTTTGCGGCTGGGAGTGACGTATCGGCTGTCCACGCCAGTGAAGAGGATTCTGACGAGGCAAGACGGCAGCGCCGCGGCAGGTGTGGTGCTCGAGAGTGGCGAGACGTTGCGGGCCGACACGGTGGTCATCAACGCGGACCTGGTGTATGCTTACAGCAACTTGTTACCGTCCCCTAGCAACACAGAGAACAGTGCCGTCAGGAGCGCTACCAGCAAGATCATCGAGAACTACGCCCGGTCCCTCCGGAAGCGAGACGCGTCCTGCTCCTCGATATCCTTTTATTGGAGTCTGTCCCGCAAGATCCCCGAGCTGGGCGTCCACAACATCTTCCTCGCGGACGAGTACAAGGACTCGTTCGACGCCATCTTCAAGCGGCAGACCCTCCCGGACGACCCAAGCTTCTATGTCAACGTGCCAAGCCGCATCGACCCGAGTGCAGCGCCCGAGGGCTGCGACGCGGTGATTGTGCTGGTCCCTGTGGGCCACCTGCTGCGCTCGCGGGGCAACGAGGGCGAGACGGCGGCGGAGGAGCACGACTGGCCGGCTGTGGTCGCCCGGGCGCGCGAGGCCGTGCTGCGCACCATCTCGGCGCGGGCAGGGTGCGAGTCGCTCGAGAGGTACATCATTGACGAGATGTGCAACACGCCGTACACGTGGGAGGACAAGTTCAACCTGGACAAGGGTGCCATCCTCGGCCTCAGCCACAACTTCTTCAACGTCCTGTGCTTCAGGCCCGCCATCAGGGCCAAGGGGCTGAGGAACGCCTACTTTGTCGGCGCGAGCACGTACCCTGGCACGGGCGTGCCTATTGTGCTGGCCGGCGCCAAGATCACGACAGAAGAGATACTGAAGGATGCTGGGATAAGCCCTCCATGGGCACAAAAGGCGCCCGTGGTGCAGGATCACGGTGCGCCGCAGAATGGAAATACCGCGGTGTTGGATCGGGTGAGGTGGAGGGGAGTCATGGAAGAGAAATTCTGGGAGGTGATCACCTCTGTAGGGCTGGTATTATCCAGCCTGCTGGTCTGGCTGTTCAGGAATCAGCAAAGTGAGATGTATAAGATTTCGTAACTAGTAATTCAGCTGTCAGATATGTCCCAATCCAATCAAGTTTATGTCTACAATATTCAAACTGTGCGGCTGGCTTGCCGAAACCTGCCAAGAAACATCAGTCAACAAAACACCAGGCCACTCTATATCTATCCAACCCATATTGAAAACTGCGGTGTCACCGTGGTATCGTCACCTCTACCCTTCCCAAGAACGCCCACATCACTTTACAGCTTTGGCTTCGGGGCTCCTGCGGCGCCGGTCGAAGCCTCTGGCTCCTTGAGTCTGACGACGCCCTGCGTTCAAATGTCAGCATCAGGGAAGATATGGTGCGGCGGATCAGACGAGGACGAAGCCAAGCACAGCGACTCACCTCCTGGAAACAGGTCGCCAGCAGCGTGCCGTCGGCGGCGAATATCCGCTGCGTGACCACGCCCCTCCCGTCGCCGGCCCACGGGCTCTCCATCTCGCTCATCATCCACTCGTCCGCCTTGACCCGCCTGGGCTCGTGGAAGTAGATGGAGTGGTCGAGGGAGACCATCATGCCGATCTCGGGCCTGTCCTTCCAGAACTCGGCAAACTCCTCGAGGGTCCTCTGCCGGCCGTCGGGCGCCCGGCTGCTGCTGCTGCTGCTGCTGTAGCCCTCGAAGTCGTTGAGCTTGCGGATGTGGTCCTTCAGGTCGGCGGGGAGGTCCTTGAAGTCCCTGGCCGCGAAGGGGAAGCGCCACAGCCTGTGGATGCGCGACACGGTGCCGATGAAGTACGAGTCGGACACGTAGGCCAGCGCGTTGATGTGCGCCTGGTGGCCGCCCGCCTCGGAGATCTTGCCCCGCGCGCGGTACCACTGCCGCATCTTCTTGGTGTGCGGCGGCGCCGGGTCCTCGTCGCTCGTGTTGACCACCTCGGCGCGGTAGCTCTGGAACGGCCCGCCGCCCGACCGGGTCAGCTCGGGCTCGTCGTCGAAGTCCTCGGGCGGCGCCTGCACCGGCCTCCCCGTCGCGGGGTCGGTGGGCATGGGCACGGCGTGGCGCACGACGTTGTCCTTGAACTCGTGGTTCGGCGGGGCGCTGGTGTTGGGCTGGGTCTCCTTGGTGAAGGACATGGTCGTCGTGAAGATGCACTTGCCCTTCTGCCTGGCCTGTACGGTTCGTGTGGCGAAGCTCCGGCCGTCGCGGACCCGCTCGACGTGGAATAGGACGGGGATCTCTGATGACCCGGCGAGGATAAAGTAGCAGTGACATGAGTGGACAGTAAAGTCATCTGGGACCGTCTTCTGGCCTGCTGCCAGACACATCGCAATCATTGCTCCTCCGAAGACGCCCCTGGCTCCTGGGGGATGCCATAGTGGCCGCTTGTTGGTGAATATGTCCTGGAAACGGGGGTCAGTATCGATGTAGCTGGAAGAAAGCAGACAGACATCTGAGAGCACTGACTGGGCCAAAGACGCCAAGCTCTAAGACGTCAAGGACATTCTCAATAGGCGCCTTGTCCGGGTCCTCAGGTGCTGGCCGGACGAGGGTGGGACGGTTTGTGCCTCCTTCCTGCGACATACTGAGAAGGCCGTTGGATATGCAACCGTGAACGCAGTGCACAGATAGACGTTCAGCCGCCGGGCTCGAGGATGGAGCCCCTGGTTGTGTGTGTGCTAGTCCCGGGCTGGGGTGTTGTAGCAGAGCCGTCTAGGCGTGTCAAAACCTAATGACTGCGGACTATGTGAGGATTGACTTCGCTGGCTGGCGGGACACGATACTATAATGTTCGAACAGAAATGAGGATTCGAAAAAAGAAGGGTCAAAGCCAGCCTTGAGCTAGTCGATGCAGCCAAGAGAGTGCTGAATTACATACAGATTGCGATATGTCCATGGCTGTGACGGGACCGAGCCTTTTAGTGACGATTTGCCGAGGTTCGGCTTTCAGGGGTGGATTTTGCTGTGGCACTTGAGAGTGGCCCAAGACTGCTTCTGAATCAGATGTCGAGGTTCCGTCGGCACGACCGATGTCCGATCAGGGGTTGATTGCGGTCGTTTTGCGCACATTGCCATACTATCACGACTACTGTACAAGGTGATGGATATTATAGACATCGTTTAACCTGGGCGTAAGCCAAATCACACATGGGAAGCCAATTCTATTCACAGGGACCGTTACATCCTGTGGGGACTGTTCCTGATGGCACAGGGTTAAACCCTCAACTCCGGATCGAAGGTGCTGCTTGATGATCACTTCGGGCCACCATTGTCCACAACGAAACTCATGCAACTATATTATAATCTGATTCTCAAATGCACTCACGACCTGGATGCTGTCACATAGGTGAGCGGCCAGCAAAATGCAGCGGATTGGGAACAGCACCGTTATGATTCGGTACCGCTGCCTCGGGACGCACCGGCTCAAAAGCGGGTACCGACGGAGCTGACGTGACGTGCTGGCGGCCCGGCTCTTTCAGATTTCCATTTCCAATTTCGCAGGCCGGTCCGGAGGCGATTTTCGGAGCGTCGACCTCCCTCCTTCCTCAACACCTCTCGACACCCACCACTGTCGAGGCTGCGAGCGTGGTCAAAGGGCGGTCCCGTACGTACACACGCACGCAGTATGGCATCCACACTACCATCACTGCAGAGGGCCCAGGTGCCCCTGCGACGCTCCCTTGCACGAGCAGTCGCAGCGAGCAGCCGCCCCTACGCCACCCAGTCCGATCACCCGACAGCGACAGCAGCAGCACCGCAGCCTACCACGCCCACACCAGCCACTCCTTCCACAACACCCTCGGGGACCCGTGTCCGCCCAACATACTTCAAGAACACGACCCTCTCCTCCCTCGACTCCTTCATCGCCAGCAAAGCCGACGACAGCACGCTCCCCGAGGGCGAGGCCTACGAGCTCCGCACCGTCGAGGTCGGCCCGGCCGGGCGCAAGAAGACCATCACCCGCCTGCCCGAGTGGCTCAAGACCCCGATCCCCTCGCCGGGCGCCAACACCAACTTCGGCAAGATCAAGGCCGACCTGCGCGGCCTGGGCCTGCACACGGTCTGCGAGGAGGCCCGCTGCCCCAACATCGGCGAGTGCTGGGGCGGCGACAACAAGAACGCCGCCACCGCCACCATCATGCTCATGGGCGACACCTGCACCCGCGGCTGCCGCTTCTGCAGCGTCAAGACGAACCGCCGGCCCGCCGCCCTCGACCCCCACGAGCCCGAGAACACCGCCGAGGCCCTGGCCCGCTGGGGGCTGGGCTACGTCGTCCTCACCAGCGTCGACCGCGACGACCTCGCCGACGGCGGCGCCCACCACTTTGCCGAGACCATCCGCCGCATCAAGGCCAAGAAGCCCACGCTGCTGGTCGAGGCCCTGACGGGTGACTTCCGCGGCGACCTGGACATGGTCAAGGTCGTGGCCGAGAGCGGGCTGGACGTGTATGCGCACAACGTCGAGACGGTCGAGGGCCTGACGCCCTACGTGCGGGACAGGAGGGCCACCTTCCGGCAGAGCCTCAGGGTGCTGTCCGAGGTGAAGAGGCTGAAGGGCGACGACATCATCACCAAGACGAGCATCATGCTCGGCCTGGGAGAGACGGAGTCGGAGCTCTGGGATACGCTGAGGGGTAAGTGACTTCTATCGAGACAAACCCTGTCATCTTTTGATATTGAAACACAAGCACGCTGACAACTATGGCGCGGGCAGAACTAAGGAAAGCCAACGTGGACGTCGTCACCTTTGGCCAGTACATGAGGCCCACCAAGCGGCACCTCAAGGTCGAGAAGTACGTCACCCCGGAGGAGTTCGAGCTGTGGGGCAAGCGCGCCCTGGACATGGGCTTCCTCTACTGCGCGAGCGGGCCCCTCGTGCGGTCGTCATACAAGGCCGGCGAGGCCTTCATCGAGAACGTCATCCGCAAGAGGGCGGGCGAGAAGGCCGCCGCAACAACCACCAGCGGCATCGATGCCGCCGTTGCGCTTGAGCACAACAAGAACAGCTCGCTGTAGCCAGCATATCTGAGCCTCATTCATTTGCGTACATTGTGTCTTTTTCTCTCTTCTTGTTTGCTTCCGGTGTTGGATGTTAGAAACACGGTTCGGAAATGATGCATCGGACTGGCGCACTAGAGATATATGGCAGTTCTCGGCATTCGGTGGTACTCGGCACTCACAGCAGCAGTTGTGCTGTAGCATGGTTGCCAAGGCCGCAATTGACATGTGCCTACAATTCAAGCTGTATCAAGAGGGCAGCATCTCAACAAGCTGCTTTTTATTAGACATGATGGGTTGGGGACATGAGACCGTACCACAAGGATGACATTCAACAGACAAATGGAGGCTTGGTAAGCAGAAGAAACAGTCATTGATTTGTTGTTCTGCTATTTCTCGTCAGGTCTTGATGACCCAGTCTTGTAGTATGTTCTATGCGAGGCGTCCCACACATATGTGAAGCAAATCCTCCATTTAGACGAGCCTCTCATAAACAGGCACTTTGATCGATGAGATCAATCCACAACTCAAGCTAGAGCCAGCCTATTTATGCTCGTGATGCAAGCCTCGCTGGTGCAACACTGCAATGTGTCGATCATGCCTGGCTAGGCGCTTCCCAAAGCAGCCCAGTCCCACTCCGACAACTCCAGGTCAACCCAGTCCTGGCGCCTGCAGACAACTGGGTAGGTTGGCATGATACCTTGGCTAGCACAACTGCCTCTCTGGATCCCCTTGGCGACACATTCATGAAGATTGTCCCCTTGATCCCAAGGCTTGCGGAGACTGAAGTACACTTTGGGCACAGAATCAGGGGTTAGTGCGTTGCCACTTCTCAGAATATAGCATGTGGTAATTGAACTTACTCTCAGTGCCTGAGACATGGTTTATAAAATCTCCTCGGATTGACGAATCCATGAAGAAGGTCGCAAGTGTGGCATTGCCGGTACTGCAAGCGACCTTCCCTTTGAGGTTGAACCACCATCCGCAGTAACGGTAGATGCCGCTGATGATTTGTTTACACCAGCCGTTTGCATGATAGCCTGCGCCGCCGGTGCCTGTGACTGCAATGTGATAGTCGAGGTAACCAGTGTCAGGGTTCTGGTTTGACTCGCATGACACCTGATATGTCCGGTTAACGACGACGAAAGCATTGCGGCAGTTCATCAGTGCTAGCTCTTCAGCCGGGGCGTCCGGGGCGTCATCACTGGCCGGGTCCCAATCAAAGTGGGAAAACCCTTGATCGTCAACTTCGAGGTCGTTCTCATTCAAGTCAGGCATGTGCAAGGTGTCATTATCCAGTTGCGGTTGCGGTAATGCCAGAGTTGGATCAGCCATGTCTTGTCGGGGCCTGGGAGGTGGCCTGCTGCCGTGGTGTGCCACCCAGTCCCATCGAGCCAAGAGCACAGATGCAAGTGCCATATTGAGGGGTGGCAGGAAGTTCTCGGGTCTCTGGGAAACCCAGATAGGAACACCGGGATAGTTCCACCGGCCCTCTTCATCCTGTGCGGCAATAGGCTGATGATGGAGGTCCACAGGTGCCAACCAGCTGAAAATGAATTAGCGTTGGGATGCAAAGGAAAACACGATGACAGATGGGTTTGTTCTTACCTCGCGCGAAGAGCATTCCTGGGCGTTGTCCGAAGCATAACGCTGTATGAGTTTGGCATGCCAGGCCGGTACCTCACAACGCCAAGGTAGACTCCAGCATCGGTGAAGATGACGCGATAATCGCCTGGCGCAATGGCTGGCTCGGCGCTGCCTGCGGGCGCAGAGTTACCGCCGTCAAAATGGCCTTGAATGGTAAGAGGGTACATGAAGATGCGAGTGCTGTCCCAGAGTGGCTCATCTGGCCACCCAGCCCAGTCAAACACGTTGCCCCAAATCTCAGTTTGGACCTCACAGGGGAACCGTTGCCCGGCCTGCCACCTTGGCCAATGTTGTGTGACGTAATCGAAGAATTCCGAGTTGGCCCTGCTGAAATCGGGGATTTGATTAGGACGGTAACCACCGGCGCGGCCGGCGTTCATGAGATGTTGCCAACCTTGCTAGGGGTGGGTTAGCTGTTATGTTTAGACTTGTGGGATGGAAGTGTGCTTACGTTGAAAGCAGCCCAGACTTCGTTTGCGGCAAATATGGGTTCCAAAGCTCGGCCTCCATGTGATGGGTTTTGTCTTCCGCCAGGCCAACCAGCTGCCGGGTCTTGCAAGACGTTTCCATCGCGAGGACAGAGAACAAAGGGAGGGATGCGGAAATTGGGGTTTCGTAAGTTGTAGTCAACTACATTCTGACCTGGTCCGGGAGTGTCGGAAGGAGCGGGAGGATCAGGGTCATCGCGTCGGGCGTTGGGTGCGGAAGGCTGCTTCTTGTTGACGGGTAGGGGAAGATGGTTGCTTTCGACAGGAACGAGAGTATCAGAGACGAGAGTGGCAGGGGCATCACGGGGGTTAGCGTGAAGAGGGGTGGTGGAAGCCAGCATCATCAGGCTTAGCAGGGCGACAAGGGCCATGATGAACGCCAGAGACTTCATCTTGGGAGTTTGGGCAGAGACGACTGACTCTGGGTGACGGTGTCGAGAGAAGTCGAGTTTGTGGTTCCTGAAGGCGATGTTGACCAGCGGTTATTGTTTCTGCGAGTGAGGCAGAACGATTGCTAGGCAGATTGGTGCCAGGCAGGTGAGGGATTGAGAAAAGGTGATGAAATCTGACGCTTCAGGTACTTCCAAGGTTGAGAGATGGTTAGAGAGTCAGTTGCAAGGTACGGGCACAGGAAAGTGTGCTGCCTGCTGAGATAGGAAACAGTGTTGCAGGGGAACACTGTTGCAGTTGAGCTCTGCAGGAACTTCGATCAGTGGGATCATTGAGGGACAAGACTCAGAAGACAAGGCTTTGGAAGGAATCAAAGTGTTCAAGCTACCTATCTAGGCACCCAGTGGGTACACTGCCTCTATTGCTTGAGAAGTCCATGTCAGCTATAAACTTGGGACGCCACCTCAACTGCTAACATTTTTGTGAGGGAGACTCACAAGCCTGCGCCATCAATTCCCCAGCTAATTTTCATACACTGAAGACAAAATAAATCAACCACGATGCTGTATCTTTGTGTGCTTACGTATTCCGTTGTCTAATCAATGTGCTAGAGGGTTCAACCACTCTCTCATTTCTTTTTGGGAAAACACCTAGGTATTGTACACAGAACCAGTTCCACATCATCCATGGGCTACTCATGCTTAGGTAGGGGGTTGGGAAGAGCAAGTCGAGGACTTGATACAGATGAGCGGTAGTGCTGTGAAACACCTCTTTTTGGCTTTTTGAATGCTGAACACTGCCACCTGACTTGGTGCAGTGGTTCATTGGGAGGAATCAGCTGAGCGACGACTTGCTCAATGATGTGGAGGTTTTTAGACTCGAGAGCAAATGGCATTATAGAGTCAAATGGATATCTTCTTCATGCAGAAAATGCAGAACCAACAATTGCTCCATAGAACTCAGTACTTTCAACCTACCTCAGTAAAACTCTTCATTGTGCTCAACGCCTACTGAAGAAGTTGTCTCTTGTGACCACTCTATAATTCAGCATGAAAAAGTCTCATGAAGGCCGTGATCATTACGCTAATCTTGTGACAATGGACTTTCTGCGGCGGGAACCGAAGTGTACAGGTACATATGCAATCACCGTGTGCTAGTGACTTGAGCATTTGAGTACACTCCCCAGGTCCAGCACAATTCCAAGATCTAGGTGTGATTATCAAGTCGGAGCTGTTGGCATCTCAACTTCGTAGTCTAATTAGGACCGCCTCAGACACGACCATGCAACTGAAAAATGTCCTTTCCCATCCATTTGGCTGTTTTCAGGCCACTGTCAGAGCTGAACCCCGTGTGATCAGAGGAGACCATCCTGCTGGTCCAGTCTCTGGCGGCACAGATCATCAGCAGCCTCGTTGTCCTCCCTTCTGATCCAGACGTAGTCAACAGAGCCGAGTTCTGCGACGAGATCGTCCAGATGCGAGGCCCTCTCGATGAGATCTCGATTGATAACTTCAAAACCCCGAGAGTTCAACCATCCGTTATGGCACCACTTGTAGATCCAGTCGTTCATGCATCTGACCGCATACTGGGAGTCTGAGTAGATGGTGACTTGAAGCTCTGGGAATCCACGCAGTGTCTTGTATTTCTCGAGGGCCCACTCCAGCGCCATGATGATGCCTGTGATCTCAGCTCGTTGATTGGTGGGACGCGGCTTGTCATGCTGGCGAGATAGGCTGCGGGTTCGGACGTGTGGTGGCCTTCCGTAAGGGCGCTCGAAGCAGCAAGCGGCTGCTCCGATTGCACTCAGTGTACCGTTGCGTCGGCAGCCGCCGTCAACATTGAAGATCATTCGGTAGACCATGGTGTGCAAGTTGAAAGTGATTACTTCGCGATGGGTCTGGTGAATGAGGGACAAGAGCTGGCCCGCGTTGCGAAGGAATGGACACTTGGTATGTGATACCTGCGATTAAGCCGTCTGGTGAGACTCAAGTCAAGATAAAGACCAATTTCGGTTGCTACTGACCTTGAATAATCCACCGCGACACTCTATGTGGGCAGAGAACGGACTCAATTTCGGCTCCGTGGTGGCAGTGATGATTTTTGAGACGACCGGATGGCGGCAGCCAAATCTCGTTGATAAAACTCAAGTGCTGCCTTGAGTGAAAGTAAAGCAAACGGAGGGGTGATATCATGGGCTGATTATGAAGACACTTGTTACGGTGAATCGGTTTTGGTTTGCTGTGCTGCAGCAACGTGAAACCATACTAGGAGACACAACAAAGTAAACAAGTGTGTTGACAAGAGACAAACAAGTAAGTGTCAGTGTGCCCTCAGCTTGAACCCCTGTCTGTAGGACAGAGCAAATCCTGAAAAAAGAGACCCACTAAGTATCTAGAATAGAGAGGACTTGAGTGGCATAACAGAGCAGGCTACCAGGCAAGGAAACAAGGCAATGCATGAATACCTTCTAGACAAAGACACATGTTTTAGGAGAACAGATTTCATGGATAGAAGATATGCATCATGCAAGGCATGCTTGAAAACATGTGAGATTTATTGCTTCGCTTGTCTTGTACAAAATCTAGCCTAAAAGCCATTTTCTCATAATATTCTTGAAACTCCTCCAAACTCATATTTCCTAGGACTTTCGTTTGGCGAACAAAAGCCAACCAATACTTTGACAACAGGTGAGATCAAGTCCCGGTACCTGCTGCAATCACTCGAATCTGATCTTGAGGAGAAGCAACCTCAAGTAGAATGAATCATGTCCCAAGCAAGAATCCGCAGATACCGCGGCAACTGGGCCATCAGTAGCAACCTTCTTCTCTTCACTTTGCCCTCTTGCCTTTTCCGCATCAACTTGCATCTGATCGTATGGACTCTCCAGACGCCCAGCAGTCCAAGCACGGATCCTTTTCCCGTAAATGTACATGATAGGCCCGCCCAAAGCGAAGGCCGCCATTATCCCACCGTAGATGACAAAATTGGCCATGAAGCCAAGCTGCTCAACCCAGGTTGTCATATCGAAAGATGGTGCAAAACCTACCACGAGACGCAGCGAGGAGACGACCTGGGCGTTGACGTTCTGTATGGCCGTGAACATGGAGTTGATGAGGATTACCCACAGCACGTTCGGGAAGAAGGTCGTCTTGATCATCTCCCAGACAGAACGGGCTGCCAGCCCCCACTCTGTGCGGACGTTGAACATTCCGAAGTTGCTCGTCCTGTTCCGTAATGGAGCTCATCAAGTCCGGAGCGAGTCTCGCCCGGTCCGAGGGCATAAACTTGCTTACCAGCTATTGAAAGTCGACTGCCTCAGTAAGGTATGCAAGTATCATGTTTCGACTTCAATTTCAGGGTGGAAAGACATACCGAGCTCGTCGTCAGACCGAATCCAGCGGGTCTCAGGCCCAAACGCGATTAGAAGGAGCCAAACGAGAATACCACACCCAGCGGTGATGTAGTAAAGATATCTCCAGGAAATGCGGAGAACAACGTAGGGACTAATGAGAACAGCCTGTCAGTCACAACTCTGAACACCCACGGTAGGATACACAACAGCTTACGCGGAAATACCCAAGCTCAATACAAAAAGTCCCTGCGTTGTACCCACCAGAGAGATTGCTCTGTTCCTCTCATGGATGAACATGAAGTCCTGGATTACCAGTGGCACCTATGACCTGGTCAGAAGACTGCCCCCGCTTCTGTTGACATATGAGAAGGTGGCAAGAAACATGATCGCATTTAGCCTGAAGATGGGGAACATGTTCATCTGCAAGTACTCACCAGAGCTTCGACTGCACCGGCACCGAGGCCCTGAAACGCCCCGGCTGCAAGATGGCTATTCAGAGAAGTCGAGTAGCCTGCCCACAGCCCTCCACTCCAGGCCATCGCGCCGGTGGCCAGAAGCACAAGCCGCCTCCCAATGGCGATGGTAAGTGGAACGAGGAAGTACCTTGAATAATCTGAGGTCAGTCTGTCTTTGCAGTCCGTAAGGTGGCCGAAAAGATCTCCAAAAGCTTTGTGTGGCACGCATCTGTGTGACTTCTATACAGCCTCAATAGGACAATAATTTTCCCAAAGACGCGCCAGTCCCAAGTATGGGAGGCACAATCCGAGGACATAACTTACGACGCAATACCGTTGACCATCAGCGGCAAAGACGCCAGCAGCGACACCTTCCACAGAGGCGGGCCACCCATCCCCGACATCAGCGGGCTTCCACCCGGTTCCTGTTTCTGACCGAGGACCTTGGGGTCGACGCCGGCGTACTCGAGGACGAACACGGGCACCATGGCGCCGATGACGTTCTCCGCGGCCAGAGCAAGGGCGCCGAAGAGTGACAGCGCGGCGACGGCCGCCCACTTGCGCCATGGGGGCAGGTTAAGCGGGTCTTTTGGGCTCGGCGTCGGCATGGGCACGAAGCGGATGCTGTCATTTTCGAACAGCTGGGTCGTGCCGACGACGAGGGCCTCGGGCGAGACCTCCTTCTGCACTTGCAGGGGCGACATGGGCGCGTCGTAAAACGATGCCGTCGACGCGGGCGACACCACCCGCGGTGATTCTTCTTCTACCGTGTCGGAGGCCATCGTGTGTCTTTTCTCTCTGTCACCTGTATTGCCGAGGTGTTATGGCTCCTCTGATGTTGTTTGTATGTTGCTGCTACGCCTCGAGTGATCCGTCCCATTTCTGGGACTTTGAGAGACAGCAGCTCAACCATAATATAAGAGAGTGTGAGATACCACGAGAAAGCACGCCACACCATCTTGGCAAATCGACCCCTACACTTGAGGGGATCGGGCACGGAGTATATGGGATGACGGGGTGGTGACAAGTCCGGGAGAAGGTTATGTCTGGATAAGGGGGCCACCTGTTGAAGGTAACTCTTCCTGATAGATAGCAGTGAGAGATACATCCGACAAACTATCAGGGGCTGCATAATATGTGGATTGCGTGAGGCACTCATAACGCTAGATGGCGTTGACAGTGCGTGCCATGATCGGAACTCAGTCCTGCACCGACGGGCATAGTATTTTATTGATCGCGTCCAAGCTGTGTTCCAGCAATGCTCAAGCCACGCTCAAGCCAAGAGTGGCTAGTCTCCTCGGTATTCAGGGAGATGAAGCGTGAAGTGTGGGTATTTAACCGCATACCCAGGTAGCGGACGGACGATAGGTTACGGAGTATATGGCTACACAATAATAAGTCATAGCAATTCCACTACAACCCTGTCATGGACCGGGATCAGTCTCGAAAAGCTCAGCAGGCACCGCTATGTAACAACTCAGAGGGAGACCAGCCAGTAAGACCACGATAGGCCCTTTCGTCGGCCAAAGCTCGCCACTCTGCGTCTTCGTACAGTCATAACGGAGGAATATCCAATCACATATGCGTAACTTGCAGCCTTATTTGCCCCCATGCAAGAAGGAGAATCTCTTATTCCGGTTGAAAAAAGCCACTTGGAAAAAGACGGCTGAACTGAGGACTCGATTGACACTGGAAGAGACTCCCAAAAATTCCCGAAGGATGAATTGAGGTTGAAGGATGGGGAAAGGAGAAGGTCGGCCGTTAACATCTGATCTTGTGCGGAGGACTAATGAAGTATAGGGTAGCTTGTGTGAGTGTCGACAAAGTACTTTTGATACATGTCAATGAGCCAATCGTTGTATCGCGGCATTTGATTTAAGACTCGGAAGTCTGGGTGGATCATCCAAAGTCCCAACTCTAGACGATCTTGTGACAATTTCCGTCGAGCCCATCCAGGACGAACAGAACAAAAGACAGGAAGCGTTCGGAGTAACCACTGCCAAACCCCAGGGCCATCCCAGACCCAGCTCAAAGGGATGAGATGCGCCAAGGTTGGGGTCGGTGCTTGACCCTTCTAGAAGCCGGGGAAGAAGGCCACGGAAGACGCCAGCCCATCATCTTCTATCCGGTCTCCCGTCTGCATTCAACTTTTGATTGCCCTTTTAAAGGTTCTCACTGGAAATGAGCAATTCCTGTTTTCCCACATGAACGAGGTGGCTAGAGAGGGGGATGACTGACATCCTGGCACGTGTAGTTAGCTTTACCGAGTTCCGGAGACGCGCACCATGGCAATAAACGTCTCGTGTTGAACTCAAGCCCGAGTCTTTGAATCGCATCACAAACCAGTCGTGCAAGACTTGTTCAGAACTTGTATCAGCCGTCCGAACAATTGGCAGTGTTGCCCCCGCCTCCTGAAGATCAGGAACGCGCCATTCGGGACCGGCCAAACGGGACACAAGCAGCGACCCTCGGACCTTTCACTAAATTGGTGGCACGGACGAATTCAAGTGACGTATCTCGGTCTCCTGAGTTGTTCGCTTATCGAGCACCCTCGGATCTCGAGCGAGACCTCGGCCGTTGTTATTATTTGGTGATGCTGACGGATTTAGTAGCCAGCCTCCCGCGCACAGACAGGCCCTGGTGATTCCAATCTCGTGTTATTAGACTGCCCTCGCCACCCACTCGAAACCATGCCAGGAGATGGACGCCGTGAAAAGAAGACCGCCCAATTCCCGATGCAACCGTCCGCCACCCTCCGCGAAAGATCCTTCCCATCCAAGAAAACAGGTGGAAGCGAGACAGGTATATCGCAAATCGCTAGACAAAGTAAAGATGAGACAAGCAAATGCTAAGATGCCACTTCCAATTGTCCCCAGAGATGACCGAGTAGATGAACAAGTAAATTGTAACAGATCCAAGGAAAAATAAATAACGACTCGATGCGTGCAGGACATCTCCCGAACAGTCCGGTCAGCACTTGAACGCGGCCTGTGTCCTTTCTTTCTCTATCAGCGAAATCGATATTTGGTGGCAAACGGATATTGATCACGTCGTGAAATGTTTGACGAACCATGCCTGGAAAGTGCCGGTTCCCAGTCAAATCGGTGGCGTAAGCTGTGGGTGTAATTGATTTCGGTCGTCAGTCCCCGCTCGTTAGTCTCGTGGCATCGGGTCATGCGTCGACTTCATCGTCGAAGGTTATAATGCGATAGTCGTTTCTTCAGTCCCCCCCTCGCTTCTCGTCCTCCTCTTTGACCACAGCTAAGCCATCGTCCTCAGGACCTGGGCCGTCGATGCAGGGCGGTGCCTCGGCCGGCCAAGCTGGGACGGGTATCGGGGCAAATTTGGTACCTTTCTCCTTCTCTTTCGTGACCCGTAGTATTTCGATGGCGAGTTCCCACCGCCTGACCAACCGCTCCCTGCGATCCTTGAACACCTTCGTCAGAGCGTCCTCCTCATTGGCGAGCTCCGCGACGAGGTCCTCCATCTCCTGATCACGCTTCTCCCGCTGCTTCTGAAGTTCGGCTTCCTGACGCTCGAGCAGTTCCTCCATGCGCTTGGCCTGACGATCCCGGAGCACATTGATCTTTGCCTGATGCAACCTAGCCATGCCCTCGAGTGCGTTATGTTGCTGTCCTAACTCCCGCAGGTGCCTCTCGGTGATGACACGCGGGGGCATGTCGCTGCCGGATCCGCCTATCGACGACCGGCCTAAGGCCTTGCAGTATGCCTCCATGTGTTTGACGCGGATGCGCACGCTCTTCTCTGCCTGTTCCAGCGACGCACGGAGTTCGATCTCAGCGGCAATTTGGCGCTCCTCGAGGTGTTGCTCGGTCTTTGCGTGACGCTCCTTCATCTTGTCGATTTGATCCGAGTACTTCTCATTGAGCTTGTGTTTTCGCTCTTCATGCCGCGTCCACATGATCCACTTAGTCTTCCTTTCAAACGTTCGAAACCGCCATTTCTCCTCCTCCTGCTCCTCTTTCAACTTCTTGAACTCCTCACAGGCCTGTGTCCTCGTCTCTGCCTGCTGGCGCTCCACCTCTGCCGCAGCAGCCGCAGCTTCCTGGGCCGCCTTCTCAGCCTCGAGCTCTGCTTCTCGTGCGGCCTCTTCCATCCTTCGCCGCTCAAGCTCCTCCTCGCCGTTGCAAAAGTTCGGGCACCCTACGGCTGGATCCCACACAGCACCGCATATGTAGCAAAACTGAGCCTTGCACCGGCATGTCATGTGCGTGCAACCCTGCGTGAGTTCTACCAGCGTGCGGCACTTATAACACCTTCTCCAGCCAGACTTCTCACCCATTCGCAGCACTTGGTCCAGCTCATGATCGTTGGGGCAGTCCTGCCCCACGGGATGTGCATCCCTCTTGCACCAGATACACACTCTGGTCCGGCATTCCCGGCAGACCACGTCGAAGGGGTGCTTGGGGTCGATGCGGCTCCGTGGTGGAATGAACTCGTTGCAACATGGATTGGGACAGAAGATTCGGGCCTCCCAGGGCGTGCTGTACTGCTGCACAGCCTTGAGGAATAGTTGCTGTTCGTCGCGGGTCAGAAGACTTCGTATCGTTATGGCTGGGATGGGTTGTGTGCAGCATCGGGGCGGCATCTTGGACTCGTCGGTCGTGGACTGCTCGATCATTATCCGCAGGCAGTTTCCGCAGTAGGTGTGGCCGCACGGCAGGGTCTGGAGATCATTTTGCTTGTTGAAGTCGTCACGACAGCATATGCAGGATCTGGTAGGGAAATGTCAGTATTGCCATCCAAATTGGATCTCGACTTCGCTGCAAAGGTCGATTCTGCACCTACAGAGTGGTACTTGGCGCAGTAGACTGTCTCTTCCACCGCACTTTCGCCTTCAAACCGTTTTTTATACTAATATAACTTTTCCTCGTGCTCACGCTGAATAGGCTTGGGGCGTTGTCGGTAGGCGTAGGTGGTCGTTTGAGGATTTTTGGCTGGCATAAGTTGGGTTCCAACTGCGCCAGGTATTTGTCGTACGTCGAGAAGTTAAGGCTTCGCGACCTTGCCCTCGAACTTGGGAGAGGAGGTGCACTATCGCGTTGTGCTGCACCGGTATCCGGCCGCGATGGTGGATTTGACGTCATGGCGGTGCCTGTGGTCTTGTCTGAGCCGGAGGAGGTGTTGCGAGCATGAGTGGAAGACAGGGTGGCGTCGGACTCGGGGCCAGGGCTGCTGGTGTCTCCCGTTGGCGAGGGCGGGGCCTGAATGGATATACCCAGGGCGGCTGCCCTGGTGGTTAAGTCTTGCTCGATGTTTTGCTCGGTCTCGACGGAGCGCAGGACCTCGACGAGGTACGAGAGATCGTTAAGCTCGTCTGGGGCGTTATCTATGATAGGGTCGGCCGGACTTGCATTGTGGGCAGTAGGCAGCAATGTTGCAAGCGAACCCATTGTCTTGAGGTGCCGGTGACGGGTTCGCCTGCGGTTGTCTCTGCTGGACGACCTTGTTGCAGGAGGGCAAAGGCAAGAGGATGAGCAGTGACCTCGGTGGGTGGCCGACAGGAAGTCGAGCCTCTAGTATAAGGTGCCGAGATGCTCAAGACGGGATGAAGGAAAGCGTGGCGGTCAGACGCGCCCCCTTCATCGACGGTCCATGATCCAGTGACAGTTCAGGATGGCGTCGGCCGTTGCCCCTTTGCGGTAGGAGGATGCGGCCAGTGCAAGTGCGGGTTCAAGTTCGGGGGGTGGGGGAAGGGGGTCGGTGCGGTTGAAGATCGGGCGGGCAACGGGCGAGGCTATGGAGAGTTAGGAATTCAGGTCCAAGTTGAATGACGCGACTCTTGTCACATATAGCAAGAGCAGAAAGTTAGGCGGACTAGACGCAAACACACACACGTACTCACACGCACACACACCACACACTAGTAGACAGATGAGTGGCCGGCGGGGTCGGAGCTGTCCCTGTGTGAGTGGTTGTTTCTGCCTCTGTGCTTGTGTGTGTGCTCCTGCTAGTGCGTCTGCTCGTGTCTATGTCTCACGAACTGGTGCAGGGTTGGGGTCGCTGTGCAACGCTGACTGATAGGTTCGAGGCCAGTCATGCATATGATATGACATGGGAGGATGTTGGGAGGATAGAGCGGGTGGTTGTGCAAGCAAAAGAGGAGGAGAAGGGGGACAAAAAAAAGGAATTGAGTACCAAGCAGGAAGAGGCGGAATGTAGACTGCAGAGCCAGTCTCCGAGCCGGCCCCGTATTTCGATAGATAGCAGTCTGGCAAGTGGAAATCAAGAATCATGCACACCACTGCCAGGGAGGCGGGACTACACGGCGGGGGACCTGGTCGGAGGAAAAGAAGACTGAGGTGGACCGGAGTGGGCGGGCGGCTTGCTGGTGGAGAAGGAAATCGTCAGGTCGATCAAGGTTGACGAGCGAGGCAGGCTCCTCTGCTCCTGCGGTGGGCCAGTGCCAACGGATGGTTGATGGGTGATCGGATCGGATGGGGAGGGAAAGAGATGTGGTGGCAGACTATGGGGTAAATGTGGGCTGGCGAAGCGCCTCATTTCGACTTGCGTAGGGAACAGTCAGTGGTCGAGTCGGCGCCGGTGAGTGGACAGGTAGGGGCATGTATTTGGGTGTTCCAGCATCTACAAGCAAGGAGACCTAGGTAGATGCATGATACCGTATCTAGGTACCGTGTAGACAGACCGTTTGCTCGGACGCTGCCGCCCTGCGAATTCCATCTCTTGTCCCTTCTTCTTGTCCCTGCATCGTCTCGTCCTGTCTCGTCGTGACTGCAGTTTGGGGTGGAGGGAGTGCAACTGCTCTGGGGTGCAGGTGCAATAGGAAGTGCGACTGCGACGGCGACTGGCACGGCAACTGCCACTGCAAGCGCCTGATGACGGGCTGCAACTTCAGCCTGCACTTGAGCGGAACCGGCCAGTGTGAGCCGGCGGGAGCTTAAGCTTGAGCCGTGCTGGCTTGCGGGTGGTATTGTGGTGTGTGTGGCAGGTGCAGGGCAGGGCAGGTGCGGGTGGTGCAGGGCGGCAACTGGGTGGGTGCGTGCCAGGTGGGTATTTCCCTTTCCAACCCTGCAGTCAGTCAACTGGGTATCTGCGTGCGCACCCTACTATCTACAGGATACACACATACAGAATCATACGTCTTGCGTGCCTGTGCTCTCTGCAGGTCGACTGCCTTCCCTCCCTGCCTCCCTCGTCACACAATTTATTAGATACCTGCCTCGCAGATCTACTGCGCTCGATCTCAACGGTCGACCCTCCACCGGGCCATTGAGGCCATGAGGCTGTGGCTTGTCGTCTGATGATGGATGCGATGAACACAGCAGCATCGCCCGTGCCCGGCAATTCCAGCAGGCGAGGCCCTCACTTGCAGGCTGCCGATGCAGTGCCACCGCACACCTGCTTGACCTGTCGTATTGGTCCCCAGCCTGCACATTCATATTGAACGTCCATGTGGTAGTCATCCAAGTGCCGCGTGTATAATCATGACTTGACCTCTCAGCACAGACTGCGCCTCTGTCGTTAATTTCTCGACCCAAGACTATCACCGACTCGCTAGTCCCTTGACTTTCTGCTGTGGGCTTCGGACATGACGGCCAACAAAGTCTCCGTGGGCCATCGCCGACCATGATACCCTCCAGCTGCCAGCCCACGCGCGCGTGCATGCCCACTGGCCACGCCTCGCCTGTCCGGCATACCTGCATTATTAGCACAGCCAAGGCCACCGTCTTGGTCTGTCATGCCAGTCCATCGAATTTCATCATCTCACCTGGACAAGGACATCCCGTCTCGCGACCTCCTAGAATGTGCAGTGGGCTGTTTGTCGTTTCACCCTGCACACACCGCCCTGCACTGATGACTGATGACTGATGTCTGCTTACTGTACTGTGTGTACCATCCCTTGTGGCCCTCAGCGACATTTCATCTGCATCCCATCCTTCTGTCAAAGGCATGAACAACTTGCCGCCATCCGCCCAGAAAACGGGAAAGACCCCGAACCAAGGCCCCAGTCTCCCTGTCTTCCAGCCCTATCTGCCCTCCCGCCGGTGGGGACGAAAGCTGCGGTGAATTGAGCCCTCCGGGATGCTGTTCATGCGTCTCTCTGCTAAGGGGCCCCAGCCGCTCTAGCCGAAAACGAAATCCGCCATGACCCATACATGATCAGGGTGTCCACTGCGGGCAGTCTTTTTTTTGTCCAAGGGCAATATTCTGTCGGCGATTAGTGAATCAAAATGACTGGCACTTTCTTCCCTTCCGACAGGGCTACAAGGGCCAGAAAAAATCCAAAACATCGATTTCATCCAGACGCCTCTCGAGACAGACCGCGGCCTCGCCGAAAACCTTTAACCCCAGAAGCCAAGCCGACATCTAAGGTGGCATCCGGGTGTGTCTCAAGAAACTATCCATCGTCACGTCAAGTACGATAAGGTCTCAGGGCGCCGAGCACATTTCAAAGCTGCACCCAGCCGTCCCATCTTTTGAGACAAGGATTGCTCATTCCAGGTCGACCTGAATCTGGCCGTTCTAGAAAAGTTCCAGAAGGGGACGCGAAGACCGTCCGCTGCCTGACGCCCAATACATGTGCCTTGGCGAATCGGGACTTGCTGATTTTTGAGCAGGGGATCGGGGGTGGGAAGCGTGGGTTGCTTTGCCGCTCTTCTGCTGTACCACGCGAAACGTCTCGAACTAGGCTACTTGCTGTTGTGCCAACGACTAACGAGACACGTCTTCAGTTCGCATTTGCGTTGTTTATCGGTTCTAATGAGGTTGTTAAAGCCCGAACGTTGAACCGTCCAAGTTTCCCCTAGCCATGCGTTCTTGCGGACAATGAGGAACAAACCAGCGCCCAGATGTTGAATACACATTACACCCATCGATTCTTCGCCCCCAGCACGCTAATTTGTATACCGCCCTGGCAATGTTGTTAAAACAAGGAACGCCCTCATCGTGTATCTATGCTGTAGTAACAGCCGCCATGCCCAGATCTTTGGGGGTATCGATATGATTGTGTTGAAATGTTCAGACCGTGACACGACCTTCGAGTTGAAGTCGAATGGAACGCCGAGTCCAATGCTCTAACCCCTTCCTTTTCCTTTCATCCCTTTGCTCCATCTGTCCTGAACGTATACATTCTCTCCTCTAGGCGTTGAAGCATCCGTTCTTGTCCCCACCTGCTTCTGTCCCGTACCTGCTTTACTGCACCGACCCACCAGTGGTGTCCTCAACCGGAGGGCACGTGCAGAACAGGTTCAGGTCTCCGTAGGCTGTTATTAAGTCGCGTCAGCAAAAAATCCAAAGGACTCAATGTAATGCTAATTGCTGAAGACAGGGGGAAAGGAAAAGAGAAAAAAAAAAAGGGGGGGGGGCAGAACTTACTATCATCAACCCTTCCGACGCTAGGCCAGAACTTCTTCTCCCGCAGCCAGGGCAGCGGGTACACGGCCTGCTCCCGGGTGTACGGCCTGTCCCACTCGCCGCCGACAATGTCCTGGACCGGGTGGGGCGCCATCTTGAGCACGTTGCCCTCGCGGGGCATGCGGCCCTCCTCGACGGCGCGGATCTCCTCCCTGATGCTGACGAGGGCGTCGACGAAGCGGTCGAGCTCCTCCTTGCTCTCGCTCTCGGTCGGCTCGATCATGAGCGTGTTGGCGACGGGCCAGCTCATGGTGGGCGCGTGGAAGCCGTAGTCCTGCAGGCGCTTGGCGATGTCGATGGCCTCGACGCCCGACGACGCAGCGAACGGCCGCGTGTCCAGGATGAACTCGTGCGCGCACCGCCCGTGCTCGTTGGTGTACAGGATCTCGTAGTGCGGCCGCAGCCGGCTGAGCAGGTAGTTGGCGTTGAGCAGCGTCACCTGCGTCGCCTTCTTGAGGCCCTCGGACCCCATCAGCATGTTGTACGCCCAGCTGATGGGCAGGATCGAGGCGCTGCCGTACGGGGCGCTGCTGATCAGGCCCTTGGACTGCGTCGTGATCACGCCCGTCGGCGCAAGGTGCGGGATCAGGTGCTCCTTGACGCAGATGGGGCCCACGCCGGGCCCGCCGCCGCCGTGCGGGATGCAGAACGTCTTGTGCAGGTTGAGGTGGCACACGTCGGCGCCGATCTCGCCCGGCGAGCACAGCCCGATCTGCGCGTTCATGTTGGCGCCGTCCATGTACACCTGTCCGCCGTACGAGTGCACCGTCTCGCACACCTTGCGGATCGCCGGCTCGAACACGCCGAACGTCGACGGGTACGTGACCATTATGGCGCCCAGCTGGTCCTTGTGCTGCTCGCACTTGGCCTGCAGGTCCGCCACGTCCAGGTTGCCCGTCTTGGTGTCGCACTTGATCGGCACCACGCGCATGCCGGCCATCGCCGCCGACGCCGGGTTGGTTCCGTGCGCCGACACGGGGATCAAGCAGATGTCGCGCTTCTTGTCGCCGTTGGACTCGTGGTACTTGCGGATGGCGCGGAGCCCGGCAAACTCGCCCTGTGCGCCAGAGTTGGGCTGCAGCGAGACGCCGTCCATGGCGGTGATGCTGGTGAGCTGATCCTCGAGGGATGCGATCATCTTCAGGTAGCCCTTGACCGTGTCCCTGGGGGCGAAGGGGTGGACGTTGGAAAATCCGGGCTTCGTGATGAGGGCCATCTCTGTGGAGCCGTTCAGCTTCATGGTACAAGATCCCAGGGGGATCATGGAGTGGACGAGGGAAAGGTCCTTGGATTGCAATTGGTAGATGTATCGCAGAATCTCGGTCTCAGAGTGATGCGTGTTGAAGATGGGGTGAGTCAGGTACTCGGACTGGCGCTTGAAAGCCCCTGGAATCTCGACTGTGTTGTAGTGCTGCTCGGCGAGAGACGATACATCCTTTGTCCCGCTGAGAAGGGAGAGTAAGGTAGCAAGCTCGTCATACGTGGTGGACTCATCGATGCTGATGCCGATCTTGGTTGAATCAAGACGGCGAAGATGAAGGCCGCGCTCCTCAGCCTCACGCAGCAGGTCTGCAGCCGCGGACTCTGCGCTCTGGCCAGGCTTGTGAATCACAAATGTGTCGAAAATGGGGCCCTCAGTGAGCACCTCCCAGCCGGAGGTGGAGGCGACGTCCCTGGCCAGCTGAGCATCCCTAGTTATCTTCTCGGCAATGGCCCTCAGACCCTCGGGCCCATGGTAGATCGCGTATAACGCGCTCATGTTGGCGAGCAGTGCCTGAGCAGTGCAGACGTTGCTGGTCGCCTTGTCTCTTCGGATGTGCTGCTCACGAGTCTGCAGCGCCAGCCTGAGTGCCTTTCCGCCCAGCCGGTCCTTGGATACTCCAATGAGACGACCTGGCATCTTCCTCTTGTGCTTCTCAGTCACCGCAAAGAATGCCGCATGTGGACCACCGAAGCCCATGGGAACGCCCAGCCTCTGGGCGCTGCCAAAGGCGATGTCAGCGCCCCATTCTCCCGGTGGCGTGAGCAAGGTCAGTGCGAGCAGATCAGTAGCCGCAGCAAGGAGGGCTCCCTTCTTGTGGACAGAGTCGGCCAATTGTCGGAAATCCTTGGCCTGGCCCAGTGTGTCAGGGTATTGGACCATCACACCCACAAGGTCGTCGCCGAGCTCCTCCAGTCGCCCGGCGAATTTCTCAGACAAGACATCGGCCTGTTCGATCTTGACCCCGAAGCCTCCAGCACGGCCCTCCATGACGGCCAAAGTCTGAGGGTGCAGCTGATCAGAGACGATGTAGGTCTTGCCTGACCGTTTCGCCCTCGACGACGACAGGCTGTTTATGGAAAGGGTCAGAGCCTCTGCAGCCGCAGTTCCCTCGTCCAACAGACTGGCATTGGAGATTGGCAAAGCCGTGAGATCGGACACCAAGGTCTGGTAGTTCAGCAGAGACTCCAGTCGCCCCTGGCTGATCTCAGGCTGGTAGGGGGTGTAGCTCGTGTACCAGGCCGGGTTCTCCAAAACGTTGCGCTTGATGACCTCGGGAACAAGGGTGCCATAGTAGCCGGCGCCGATGAAGCTCTTGCCAACCTTGATCTCGTCCCTCTGGAGGGCATCAACCATGCTCAGGACCTCGGATTCGGGCAGCGCCTCCGTGACAGCCGCCTCGGTGGGCTTGACATCCTGCTCATACCTCGACTTGGGGAAAAGCTGCCGAGTCGACAGGATGTCAGGCGGAATGACCTGGGCGACGAAGTCATCGATATTCTTCACGGGAGGATCCAGGACCTTGAGCATCTCCTGGGCCGAGGCGTCATCGGGGCCGATGTGCCGGCGAGGAAAGGTGTCAAGCATAGCATACTCGGATCTACTGAAGGTCGACTTGTCCCTGATGAACGTCTTGCTCCCAGCTAGGCCACCGACGGAGCAGGATCGACAGACCCATGGCCGTTGAGCATTGGCGGCAATGCGGAGGCTGAGAGAGGATGCTGCTGCCCTTGGCCCGGTGGCCCGACTCAAACGGCCGAGTTGCCGAGAGACAGCAAAGCCATTGGCGGCCATGATTCCTGGGAGAAGTAGATCCGACCGTGGAGAAAGCCTTCCTCGGGTTGAGCGTGGAATTGAGATCAGGAATTGACCTGGGGATTGAATCCCATGCAAATTGCTTTCGGCGGCCGACGGTGGTCCCCTGGTAAGCGAGACAGATAATACCGGCGGTTGTGATTGACGGTGGTGACCCTAGTATGCCATGGATTCGCCACTAAGTAGGACCGGCCAGCAACTAGAGAGATGCTCGGGTGTGAGAGACTAGGAAGCCGTGTCTAAGCGTCAGGAAACGTAATAAATAGGGCAAGGGGGAGGGGAGCGGAATAGGACTGGCTGGGGGTGACAAATAAGGACAGGACGAACGCGAGTTATGTTTGCTATGTTTAATATGTAGCCGGCCACCACGCAAGAGAAGGTACGGTGAGGATGGGAGGGCAAGGGAGGAACCGGGGGGATTTTATCTATCTAGTCTGGTCTACATTCTCCCTTGCCATCCATCAACACCGGGCCCTGTCATCCATCGTCTACCATCCCGTCTCCATGGCCGTGCCAGGGGCTGCAGAGAGAAAGGCTGCACCTGTGCCTGTGCCACGGCTCCGGGATCAGTGCTGCTGCCCTGATAACGGCTCGAGATTGTGCTTGCTTCTGGGGTAATAGGAATAATGAGCCGGCGCTGATTGTCAGTCGGGACGGCCAGGGCATGAGTCGCCAATCCGTTCTCGCAGTCCCATCCTGTTGCCGTGTTACACAATTGTCCAATGTGGTACTTTGCGGGCAGACATGGCCGTGCTGCGTGACCGTGATCGGCTTGCTGCCCGTGCCTCGCCTCTGCCCCAGGTTCGTGCTCATTGCATGCTTGACGTCCTCCCGCTCCGGCTACGGTCGGGAGACATGCCCGAGCGTGGAGCACTGGGAGCCACACCTGGTCATCAGACACCTACCAACTGGTACCTCGATCCTGTACCCAGGAACCCTGCCCCAGTTGCCCCGGTCCGTTGGTCGAGTCTTATCGGCTTCTCTCCCGCCTTATCAAAGCTCTCTCCTAAAACTTTGTCGGCCATCCAACAAAACCGTTCATCACATGCGTCATTGCTTCTGCACCCACTCCAGCAGCACCTTCTGCGAGATCCAGACCAAGACAACTTCCGCCAGCCCTCCCCGCGGTCACCTGCAGTAGAAAGCAAGACACAGTCAAGATGTTCGGAGGAAGTATGTGCGCCTCCAATTGCCCTCTCTCCCAACAGCCCAGCATGCTAATCATCTCGCGTCTCAGTGGGAATGCCGCAGCTGTCGGCCGAGGAGCTCAGGGCTGCCGAGGCTGAGGCTTCTTACACCGTCCAGCAGGTCGTCGCAACGGCTGTTGCTCTGTATCTCTGTACGTTTTTGGTCTCTCCCACAACTGTGGCGCTGCGAAGCACGCACATCCATCAGCGCCCGTCGCCTGTGGTTGTCGGACAGTTGCTGACCTCTTGTCCGCCCAGCCCCCTTCGCCGTCGACGCCATCTGGAAGATCTTCTGAGCACAGGCGACCGGGACAACTCTTCATACGACTCTCTCCTGCATCAACTTGGGCATACGTGTACAATATTGGATTGGCGATATCATGGATCTTTGGCGGGCATGGCGGCGTACTCTCCTCACAGGCATGCATTCGGTATCAGCACGTGGACGGTGGCCTAAGACATTCGGCTTGGGCGATGCGTGGCATCCGGTGTATCATACGGACAAGCTCCTTACGAAACGAAAGAATTAGAACAACAGCACTCGCATTTCATCCGCTGATGACCAACTTGACCGTGTTGGCTTCGGGTGGACGTTGACGTCGGACATGTCGGCGACTCAATCGCTTGCACTGCCGGAGGCTATGGTGTCTGAGGCTGAAATGTCTCTAGAATATGCCCTCAGTCAGGAATCTTGATACAACAGATCCCGGACCTCCGTGGTACAGAGCACCTCAGCAGCGTATCGAGAGACTGCTAAGAATGTGGCGCAGGAGTCCCGATACGAGAGACAATCCCGCAGGGCCATGTCTCATTGGATCTACTCGGATCGCGTTGCACATTCGTCCAGACGTACCAAGATGCATGGTTAGCCGATCAGCAAGTATTGAGCCGGTTGTGGGTGTTGGCCAAGCTATCATTCGGATCAATCAGTCAATCGGCCCATGTTTGGCATCCGACACCCGGGCCACGGTGTGGGATTCAGCTCGCAAGGTAGAGAGGAAGATGAGATGATGCTTCAGCTGATATCGAAGAGATCCGTGAAAGTCCCACGCACATGTAGAAACCGACGACAGGTCTCACAAAGAAATGGCATCTTGTGAAATGTGACCCAGTCGTCATCTTGGCGTTGTGCGGGCTTTGGGCAGCGGCCCGTATTAATGCAAATTGGTCTGGTGTAAAATCGGGCCTCTCCAACTGGAATTGTTTCAAAGCGCACTGGCGACCGAGAGGTGCGCAGGCCGCCTGCTGCGCCACTAAAACAGCCAAGCTGGACGACATCCCATCAGTCCGGCGCTCCTTCCCGTCTCGCTTCGCCTGACCTCCATCTTCCACTTCCACTTCCTCCTCTCGACCACTGCTCAAAGATTCAATCTTCAATCAGCAACCCACCTAAGTGCGAACCTATCTTAATTCCACATCGATAAACCCGCCACCATGGCTGCACGCCAAAAGATCATCGAGACCAACCGGTCGCTCCGCACCATCAAGAATGTAAGCAAGCCGTCGCTCGATTTCCCCCTGCCTGCAGCGTCTGCAATCGGCCCATGCTAACGTCCATCGCAGGAACTGGAGGCTCTCCTCGAGAAGGGCGCCATTAGCGACGAAGCCTACGAGTCTATCCACGCCGCCCTCCCTTCCGAGTCGCCTCTCTCCAGCGCACCCGCCCCAGCGGCGCCGGCGCCCGTGCCCCGTGTCGTCTCCCCACCCACCAACGGCATGGCCGCCATGAACATCCACCAGCAGCAGCCCCCGTCCTACAACCAGACCACAGCCGCCGCGCCCCCGGCCCTGCCCACCCGCAACCAGCCGACCCCGGCGCCCTCCAAGCCGGTGATCGCGCACGCCCGGGCCCTGTACAGGTACCAGGCCTCGGACGCCCGCGACTGCTCCTTCGAGAAGGACGACCGCATCGCCGTGTACGAGTACATGAACGCCGACTGGTGGATGGGCCGCAACGAGCGCACCGGCCAGGAGGGCATCTTCCCCAAGACCTACGTCGAGCCCACCGGTCCCGCCGGCCCGCCTCCTTCGCACTCGCCCTACCCCAACGAGAAGGCCGGCTTCAACGGCTACGCGGCACCCGCACAGCCCACCTACGGCGGATACCCGCCTCCGGCGCCCGCGCAGCAGAACCCTTACAACAACAACGTGCCCCCCATGGCTGTGGCTGAGAGCAGCGGGCAGCCCGCCCAGGAGGGTGATGGCAAGGGCAAGGAGATGGGCAAGAAGTTCGGCAAGAAGCTGGGTAACGCGGCCATCTTTGGTGCGGGTGCTACCATCGGTAGCAACATTGTGAACTCGATTTTCTAAGCCGGATGAGCTCGTGGTTAGGGAAGAAGACCACCGTTGCTACAGGGGTTTCCATATTGAGTTTTGCATTGAGCCGGATATTCATCATGCTCAAGTCGGCGCTATGGAGTTCATCGACGGAAGGAGGCCAGAGATCATGGTCCACATCCTACCTAGGTAGTGCAAAGGGGATTTCGCACCCGGTGAGACGGGCAGCATAGAAATCATAATGACAATTATTCTTTTGTTTGGGTCCTACGAACAGTCTACATCCGCACTACCACTCTTGGGGATGTGCTTTACAACACCTATATAAACCAATACATCCTGTCCAACCTTTTAAGACACGACGAACTTGCTCTTGTCAACGACGTATAGGTCAACATACTCGTCGACGGGGGTGCTCTCCAGCTTCTTGCCGTCCAGGCCGAGGTCGAGCAGCTGCTTGACCCTGTCGGCGCCGTAGTGCGGCTCGAGGTGGCGCTTGTACTTGGCCAGGATCTCGGGCTTGGCCTCGTCGCGGCGCAGGCGGTGGCCGAGGGGCGCCTCGACGGCGACCTCCTCGAGCACGGTGCCGTCGTTGAGCTCGACGGTCAGCGCGTTGGAGATGGTGCGCAGGTCCGGGTTGTGGTAGTCGCGCGTGTACTGCGGGTCCTCGACGCACTTGATCTTCTGCCGCAGCGACTCGACCAGCGGGGACGTGGCCGCCTCGGACCCGTCCGTGTAGTCGGTCGCCTCGAGCCGCCCGAACGTCAGCATCACCGCGCACATGTACTGCACGCAGTGGTCGCGGTCCGCGAAGTTGTCCATCGGCTTGAACTGCTTGTCGATGATGCGCACGCACGCCTCGTGCGTGCGGTTCGTCACCGCCTTGATGTCCGCCGCCGACTTTCCGGCGGCCTTGAGCTGGTTGTGGATCTTTTGCGAGGCCTCGATGGCGGTCTGGGAGTGGAACTCGGCTGAGAGGCGGTGGGTGTTAGTGTCGAGACTCATGTGGTAGGTTTGTGTCTGGAGGTGCGGTATAGCTTACCCGGGTACGACACCTTGAACAGCACGTTCTCCATGACATAGCTGCCATAGGGGCGCTGGAACTCAAACTTCTTGCCCTTGAACAGCACGTCGTAGAAGCCCCAGACCGGGGCCGACAGCACGGTGGGGACGCCGGACTCGCCCTTCTGGACCTTGAGCACGAGGTTGACGGCCCTCTGGCAGGCGTCACCAGCGGCCCAGGACTTGCGGGACATGGTGTTGGGGGTGTGGCGGTAGGTGCGCAGGCTCTGGCCGTCGACCCAGGCCTGGGTGATGGCGTCGGCGGTCTGCTTCTCGCTGAGTCCCAGCATGCCGGACACGACGGCGGTGCTGGCGACCTTGACGAGGACGACGTGGTCCAGGCCGACCTTGTTGAAGGAGTTCTCCAGGGCCAGGCAGCCCTGGATCTCGTGGGCCTTGATCATGCCCTCGAGGACGTCCTTGATGGTGAAGATCTTGCCGCCGGCCAGGTTCCCGCCGGCCTTGTTGGTACGATTGACCCAGTCGGCGACGGCCAGGATGGCGCCCAGGTTGTCGGAGGGGTGGCCCCACTCGGCAGCGAGCCAGCAGTCATTGTAGTCGAGCCAGCGGATCATGGCGCCGATGTTGAAGGCGCCATTGACAGGGTCGAGCTGGAAGGGCGTGCCGAAAACCTTGGTGCCGTTGGGCACGACGGTGCCTGGCACAATGGGACCGAGAAGCTTGTTGCACTCCCTGAAGCGCAGGCCCTCCAGGCCGCAGCCGATAGTGTCGAGGAAGACATACCTAGCTGTGTCGAACTGTGGTGAAGAAAACGGTCGCGGTTAGTCTCGGGTTGCGGGGTAACGAACAAGGGCGGAGAGAGTTGGGGATGGATTTACAGCAAGCTCCGAGTCGACCTTGTAGCTGTGGATGTAGTTGGCAATGTCCTTGATCTCTGGGTCGTAGCCCACGCCCTCAGAGGGCTTGGGGGGTGCGGCGGCGGCAGACTTGAGCGAGGCCATTGTGTGGAAGCTTGAGGCGGTTGAGGCTTTGGAGAGGAATCGAGGGGCGGTGGTCAGGGCCGAGGTTCGCGATGCTCCACCGAGGACTGACTTGGCCGACGCTGACCGGGCAGCCGGCGACGATGTGAAGGTCTTCTGGAGCCGCAACGACTTGGAAAGGGCGCGATTGACGGCGGACATGGTGTTTTCACCTCTCAGAGAAAAGTCCTAGGCCTTGCTACAGACCAATTGGTGGGGACAGCGGTCGGAATCGTGAAGGAATTTGGAGGAGGAGCAATTGGGGTCGGGGAAAGAAAACAACACAGAGCTTCGTCGGCTTAACGGTGACCAGCTCCTAGCCGATCCCTGCCACCGTCCTGCCTGTCCCGAGCTCTACCGCCTACCACGAGCAACCAGACCAGAACAAGGAGCAAGCAGATGTCATTGTGATCCAGCTTGGCGGGGCACCAGTCCCCCCTGCCAGTCAGCCTGCGTGCCGCTTCTCCGGCTGGCTATGAGCCTCCAGGCCTCTGAGCCGATAGCATTTAATGGACCCTGCCTGCAGGTGGTCTTGATAGCCAAGTGGGCACCGACAACCGGCATCTCATTCGCGATGCAGAACTTGCTCGATCCGCCTGGACAGCACCTGGACGAACCGTTCCCTGACAGCTGCAATATTCAATGACATGGCATCTTAGATCTCTCCCAAGTCCTCCGAGACTTGCTGTCCGCCTCGGCTCATCTGCCAGATGCTTCTCATCCGGGCCGCGGTCGGATCTGGGGGTGGGCCTGCCTCTCCCATCCTCTGACTCCGCCGCTCCCGCCGCGACACGGGGCCCCGGACTCCACAGCTGGGGTATTATTTCGTGCTTTTGCTCACCACCGTCTGCTCTTCACATGTGCCAGCGACAACATCCACAAATTGTCCTCACCAAATAAGTAATTGTGCAGTCACGACGGCCGGTCCAATCTCCATTATGGACATTTCTACGATCACAATTCACGCACATTGCGCTTTTAAACACATCTCTGCCACCCACAGTCTCCATGTGGTGCCGGCAACCCGACTCGACCACCTCCGTCGTAGGCCATATCCAGTATGCTCATTGCCCTCACGGCAAGCGATTACTCCTTGACGGGTGTTACATGGAAACAAGGAAGCACCTGCAGACTCGCTCATCACTTTGTGTGACATCTGGACAGAGCTCTTGAAACCTAACGCGGAGTGTATGATGCGAGCTGACGAGCATGCGGAAGCTTGTTGATATTCAGAATATCCGAACGGCCCCCAGACCCATCTTCCCAGAGACTCCAGTCAGGGCTTCTGTTACGAGAATACTCCCAGCTACTATTCCACAGATGTGTGCCAGCCACGGTCGGATCTCATGCACGTTTGCCTTTCAGCCCCCAGCGGGTTATCGTGCAGCTCGTACATCTCCCAGTAGAAAGACCAACGCGGATATTGATCTTATTCCTTGCAGGAAACCATGTCACCCTTTGATATACCAGATTACTTCCTGACTGGGCGACAGCTCAATTGCAGGACGCTGTGGAACCCAACATATTCCTTCCATCAAGCGAACTGCATTGTGTTGGATGAGCTGCCATGAGCCAGCCGTACAAAGGGTTAAAATGCCTCAGGTGCCATGGTCAGAATAATCCATCCAGCTTACTTGCCATATTTTATTCAGGCCTGACACTCCACACAGATTTGGCAGAAGCAGAGATGCATCAGAATTGTGTCATGGCAGTCGCTGCCCTGCTCGGGTCCTCCACAGGCTTGGGCGTCCTCCGGGGGAGGGATGTGGATTTCTTTGGGGCTGAGCATATCCAACCTCTCTTCTCTCCATTCTTACCTTACGCTGAGGGCCTGATGAGGCGAGACGGCGAGTGTCAGGAGGGGTCCCATCCATGTATGTGTGTCCTTCAATGGCGTTTGAGACTCTTGCCCCATTGCCCCAGGTCAGCCCAGAACGCTTACCAGTACCTGAGAGACAGGCTCCGATGTCAACTCAACAGTGTGCTGTCCGAACTCGGCATACTGCGTCGTGGACGAAACGACATTTGAGACCCAATGCTGTGATCTGGGCTCAAATTGTGGGCTCACATGCCCCCAGGACTCGTACTATTCTCTCCTCACGACCACGGTCACGGACACGGCTGCCAGCACCGTGACCACGGAAACAGCAGCTGCCTGCGTCGGTCGACTATGTACGAGCACCTGGTACGTATGCCCTCGGTCCGTCGGCGGTGGCTGCTGTCCGTTCGGTAGCGACTGCGTCAGTGGAGGGTCCTGCTTGTTTTCAGAAACAGCCCCGACCATGGCTGTGTGCACCAATGGCTTGTTCAGTTGTGGCCAAAGCACCCAGGAGAGTAGGTGCTGCCCTTCGGGCGCTGTCTGCACGTCTGCGTCCCCCTCAGGATATTACTGCGCGAGCTCTGCCAGGGCCCCGTCAGCTTTACCGACAACCGTCAGCATTATCATGTTGCCTACAGCGACGGCGGCGGAAGCGTCAAATGGGTCTGATGATGTTGCACTAAAAGTCGGCCTTGGAGTTGGAATCCCTGTTGGAATCATCGTCATTGCTGTTCTCGTCGTCGCTTGGCGTATTCGGAGAGCGAGGAAGCAGCGGGCTGTGAGTTCTGAGGACCATCAGAAGGCAGATTATGAGAAACCGGAACTAGCTGCGATCCCGGTTGTCATTCCTGCTGAGCTCGACACCGGCACCCCAGAGCTACCGGCCCAGATTCTCGAGGCAGAGTTGTCGGAAGAGGGCATCATGGCTGAGCTCCCGGTAGAACCAACTTCGCAAACGTCAGCACATGAGCCCAAAAGCCTCGGGGAGCATTTGACTGAGAGTGTCGAAGCGGAGAGGCCGAGTTGAGTCACGCTTCAGTTGGCAACATTCAATGCTCGCCCCTACCGCCTTTCACCCAGCATTTTGGACCATGATGCGACTCACACCCCAAGAGCAAATCGACGCTGGCTTGGCCGCATCGATCATTGGCCGTACCTCAATTTTCAAACCACGGTGTGGCTCAAAAGAAAGTGTGTGGGTCTCAAACAGCTGTGTCTTCGACTGTCTACATGGCTTTACTCGCCGCTAGGACTTGTGAGCTCAACTCAAATCCAACTTTGGGAGACTCGGGAGCTCACAGAAACTTGGCAAGGATTCACAATTTTATTGATCAGAGGCTATAAGGCCTGCAAGTCTATGCAGTACCACCTGTGGGTGAATACCATGCGTAGTCATGAGCCATCTGCAGCGAGGGTCTAGTAAACCCTCGCATATTCTCATAGGCGAGGGCATAAGCGCTTCTTGCTGTATGGTGGAAGCAAAACAAATAGTACACGCGGAGGTGTCATTTTCCTCTCCTTCTGCCAACCTCTACCTTCTCCCGTCTTCGCGTTGAGGGCCGTGTTTCCGTTTAGTTGCCCCAATGTGGGTTGGGGGAGGTGTTGCATCGTTCCTGCGCCATTTTCCTTACGGAGAAATATGTTGACCCTGAAATTTCTGAATGACTCAATTCGTTCCCCATCATTCATATTTTCGAGCTTTGTGTAATATCTCACAATCAGAATCCATCGACTGCTTACTTCTCCATATGTATTTGTATCCGAATCGCAGGCCGAACCAGGCCGGCCCGGGACCGTCACTCTGATCAGCCGATTGCTTCTTTCGCAGGGCCCCAACTCGAATACTACCCTCTCCCACTATCTTCTGCGCTCTAGTCTATTTCCACGACCACAACCGCAACAATGGACTTGGAAGATGGCCACCACCTTTATTAGCTAATGCCGAGTCAGTCGTTCGACCAACCTGCTGACGGTAAATTAGGATCACGACGTTGAGTCAAGGTCCGGCGGAATATTTATGGCTCAAAGGGGCAGGTGATATGACAGGGCTGTTTTTATAATGGAGACAAAGCGCCGATCAACCCCAAATGGAACCGACGCGACGTTACTGCCCGTCACTATCGCCATGTGCCACCATGGAAATTGGAGTCCCGTCGTGTATTGCCGCTCGGTGGAAATGGTGCCGATCCATGATACACCACTCACCGTCACCATTTATATCGTCTTGATATCAGTGCTGGTGTTCGATTAGTCCTCACGATGCGGACACGACCACCACGACCACTCCTGCACCAAAGGCACCACCACAATGGCGCGCTTGGGATATCTGGTTCTGGCGTCACTGGCCTCTCTCCTGAGCCTGGCCCCGTCTGTCAGCGCTCAAGGTGACAATCTGGGTCTTGGCAATGGCTACACCACCCTCAAGACCCAGAACTTCGACCTCCAGCTTGCTCGTGATGCACAAGTCCTGGCCTCTCTCAAGGCGGCCGGGGGGTCGTTCGACTTCCTCCCTTTCGACTATCTGCCCTTCCGTGCTGGCAATGGTCAGTACCACTGGGGGGATGTGACCTTCCGATACAGAACTGTCGGCAGCACGGCTTGGATCAATGGCGATTCTGCGGCCGCTCGACAGCCGGTCAAGGTCGTCTCGGGCGCTGGGAACGGCACGAACGGGAAAAGACTGGCTGCGTCAAACTTGGCGCCGACGCTGCCAACCAACACCGCAGCTCTGAACCTCACCCGGGAGTGGCTTGATGTCGACGGTGATCTCGGCCTGTCCTTTACCCTGACCAACACCGGCAGCAGTTCCATCGAAGTTGGCAGCCTTGGTTTCCCGGCCGAGTTCAACAGCATCTTCACAAACCGCTCCGCGTCAGACACCCAACGGCTCTGCTCGCTGTCTGACCCCTACGTTGGCCTGCACGGAGGGCATATCCGCGTCGCGCCCATCAACGGCAATGGAGCGGCCTTGGTTGTCACCCCGCTTGGAGACACACCCCTGGAGGCCTACCGCAACCTGGCCGAGAGAAACTATCCCGCCACAGCCTATGGCAGCCAGGTCTTCGAGGGATTCTATGAGTGGCAGACCGTGACCAAGGCCTACGCGGAGAACGAGTGGAAAGGCAGTGTGCCTTGGAACACGCCCACCTCGCGCACCATCGCGGCGGGACAGTCCTTGACATTTGGCTTGAGGTTTTCGCTTGCCAAAGGCGGTGTCAGGGAGATCGACGATGCGGTCCAGGCCACGAAAACCCCGTACGTGCGTGGCGTGCCTGGCTTCATTGTGCCCCAGGACCTGACGGCCCAACTCATTGTGAACCCAGGATCAGGTGGCAGCGTCTCTAAAACGGCCGTTGAACCAGCTGGGGCACTTACCCTGACACAGGCATCGCCGGGCGTCTACAACGTGGCCCCCTCGTCCAGCGCCTTCGGCCGTGTGAAGGTCACGATCACTTACACCAGCGGGCAGCTCCAGACCGTGCACTATTTCGTCACCAAGTCCGGGCCGGCCACTCTTTCGAGCCTGGGCAACTTCCTGACCACGGAGCAGTACTACACCGACACGAGCGACCCCTTCGGCAGAGCGCCATCTGTCATCAGCTACGACTACAGCAAGAAGGCCAAGGTCCTCCAGGACTCCCGAGTATGGATCGCAGGGCTGTCAGACGAGGCCGGCGCCGGGTCATACCTAGCCGCCGCGATGAAGCAGGCGGCCCAGCCTAACGCACAGGAGATGGCAAAGCTCGAGGCCTTTGTGGATGGCGTGCTGTTCAAGACGATCCAGCCAAACGACGGCAAGTTCACCGTCCGCAAGAGCGCCTTCTACTACGGCCTTTCTGGCTACCAGTACTCCACGGACTTCAACTGGGGCAGCTGGACGTCATGGAACAAGCAGAGCGCCTACGCCACCGACCGAGCATACAACTACGTCCACGTAGCTGCCGCGTACTGGGCCCTGTACCGCGCCGGGAGGGCGTACCCTGGGACCCTGACCAAGCACCCGTGGGACTGGTACCTCAACCAGAGCTACAGCACCGTCATGGCTGCCATGGCTCAGGACTCGAGGGGCAACTGGCTGGTAGGATACTCCCAGGTCGGGCTCATGGGAGAGACGGTGTTTGGAGAGCTCCTCCGGGACCTGAAGCGCGAGGGCTTCACTGCCAAGGCCACCGACATTGAGGGCAAGATGCGCTCGCGCGCCACACTGTGGAACTCGCAGGAGGACCCCTTTGGGTCTGAGATGGCCTGGGATTCGACCGGCCAGGAGGGTGTGTACTACTGGTCCAAGTATTTCGGGAACACGGCCACGGCGCAGAAGACGCTGGGGACTGTCCTGGGCTTCCAGCCGACGGTTGCCCACTGGGGCTGGAACGGAAACGCGAGGCGGTACTGGGACAACATGTAAGTTGGAAATTTCGACGCAGACCTCTTTTCTCGGTGGTTTGATCTCGAACCGAACTGACCTCCAAAACAGCTACGGTGGCAAGCTCCAGCGCATCGAGCGGCAGATCCACCACTACGGTTCCGGCCTGAACGCGCTCGTCGCGCTGTCGGCGTTCCGCAGCAACCCCAACGACACGTACCTCCTCCGCATCGGCTACGGCGGCATGAACGGCCCGCTGTCCAACATCAACAGCGACGGCTTCGCAGCCGCCTCGTTCCACTCCTTCCCGGACACGCTGGCCTGGGACGGGTACAGCGGCGACTACGGCCCCAACTTCCTGGGCCTGACGCTCGGCACGGGGTCGTACCTGGTCGAAGACGAGGACCTGGGTCTGGTGGCATACGGAGGCACCGTCAGCAGCGGCACGGGCGGCGCGGTCAAGGTGACGCCCAAGGACGCGGCGCGGCGTAGGGCCTTTGTCGGACCGCTTGGGATCCTGTTGGAGATCGATGCGGGCGTCATAAAGGAGTTTTCGTACACGGCGGGCGACCGGTCTGTGTCAGTGACGCTGGGCCAGCTGGACGGAACTCCGACGGCAAACTCGACCAACATCTGGGTGAGCAAGGAGTCCGGACAGGCGGGCTACACGGTCACTGGCACGGGTGTCACGGCGGCGAGGTTGGGGTGGCAGGTTCCTCTGAATTCGGCATCTGTCACGGTCAAAGTTGTACCTTCGTGATCTCTTTGTGTAGCTGAGTACGAAGGGCAAGCCAAATCCACTGCTGTTTATTTGTTCAAGTCGGTGTGATGCAACGTGATGAATCCCAAGCCCCGTGGCCCTCCCTCACTCAGCCCTCCACATCCTCGCCACGCGATCCTTGAAGTTGACCTTGGCCTTCCGCAGCGTCGCAGCGCCGCCCCTTCCACAGTGGGCGCAAATGAGGCTCTGGCACGGCTGGAGAGTGTGGATCTCCTCCACCTTCCTGGCGATCTTGTCCTTGTACTCGCCGGTGCTCTCCCTCATCGCGTCCCGGGCCCCAACCATCTCCCCCAGCCGCTTGTACATCTGGGGCAGCCGCCTCTGGATCTTGACCTGCTCCTCGATCACGGATGCCATCCTCTCCTCGGCCCGCGCCGCCGCCTTCCGGTCCATGCCGGAGGAGGCGTGCCACAGGTCCGCCCTGCAGCCTTCGAAGGCCCGCGTGAGCTGTGCGTGTTTCTTGTTCGTGTCGTCGAACTCGGCGCGTATGTCGCGGCAGCTTTGGGTGAGGTCAGCCACGGCGTGCTTGTGGGCGGTGAGCACTGTCCGAAGCAGGCTGAGCTCCTTCTCGAGGGCTTGGAGATGGTCGTCGGGATCGGGAGAAGCCATGTTTGCAGCTGCTGGGAAAGTCGTAGCCGTTTGTCACTTTGGGAAGAGACCCTGGCTTATTTCTGTTGGGATGAAGTTTATCGAAAGTTACCAGCTCCCATAATGGAGAGGAAACTAGCAAGGGGAAGAAAGGAAGGCCCGCACGTGGTTGGAGTTGAGCCAAAGCGGGCTACATGAGTGAAGGTGAAAAACAGTCACAGGCAAACGGGTGACAGCTCCGTTTGCATGTTAAGTAGGAGGGGTCACTCTGGTCGCTCATCTGATCCTTGAGAAGACAATCTTTGGGCCAAAACATTGCCAATCTAACAACGACACGTTCTTAGCATGCATTGTCTTGCTGAAGTGGAAGGTAGACTACTTTCTTCCGTCTCCACAAGACTGTCATCGTGGTCGCTACCCTCTCAAATTGTTCACAAATGACAAAGGAAACTTGCGATAAATATTTCAGCTGATTTAGATTCAGGATAATGACATCTCAAATGTAACAATCAATAGATGTTGCGAACATCTGGTCCATCGGCTGTGATCCGGGCACCTACAGGACCACTCTAGGAAATGTTGAAATACAACATCTAGACTCTGTCTGACGACTTTGGAAGCACTATTACCTTACTTGGACACTCCTCCCTTATCAATGGAAAGCTCTAACCAATGCTTGGTGGCGCACTGGTAATTTAACTGAAGTTTGGAGCCAATATCATGACACACTTAAAAGGCCCTTGATATATTCTGACTTGTTTGTCAGCACTATGCTTGTTGATTGGACTACGGATCCTTCTCTGAGCAGTTGTGCTGTGATGGTAGAATGCAAGAGTTGTCCGGAGCAGTCACTGAGCGACCTTTGAGCCAGAATGCCCTGGTGGGACATGCCCTGGTGGGACATGCCCTGGTGGGACATGCCCTGGCCGGAATACCAATCTTCCCAGTTTTCGAGTAACGTGAGAGACCTCAACACTACTGAAACTAACTCATGAGCCTTGGGACTCCGGCGAAACACACCAAGGGAGCTAAAATAGTGCTGTGTTTGTGTGGACAGATGATGAGTCCGCTGGTGAACTGGAAAGCTTTCGGGCAGACACTGTCAGAGCAGAGATGAATAGTAAGCATCATAGGGACTGTGGACTCTTCAATTATTGTAGCCGGGTATCCCCTGGCTAACTATTAGTCAATCCCTTGCGCCATGTCTCAGCGCGAAGGCCTTTTCTATCGGAAAATTGGGCGCTTTGTATGTATGTACACGCCTCTAGTTGCGGCCACTAGAGACTCTTCTGCCATGCTCCATCTCCTGTATGCCATGGCATCTTCCTCAAGCAGCGTTCAGCGCGTCACCGAGGCTGCTCACCGGACGGAGCTGCGAGTCGATCACACGGAGGCGGACCTCCGTTCGGACGATGTCAAACTCAATGACGGACAACTTCTTATGGGTTGCCTTGATAGCGTCCATCATAGCAATTGCCTTCTGGTTGAGGTCCCGGAAACGCACGGCCAGCTCGATTCGCAGGGTCTTGATGGTCAGTTGATATCCGATCGCGATGCTGATGTGACGACGCGCCCAGGCGTCTTCCATGAGCTTGATGTGGTCGGCGAGGTTTCGCTGGAGCTTGTTGAGGCGGATCCTCAGTTCCTCTTGCTCGCCCATAAAATTCTTGAGATCGAGCTCCGTGGTCTCGTGGTTGAGTCGCAAGGTGGCAAGGAGGCTCTGCTGCTGGGTCTGCTCTGCAATGAGGGCTTGACGGTTGACGCGCACAAGGCCTCCCATATTGATCCCCACTATTTCCAGACTTGTTAGATACTAGAACTCATTGGAGATGATTGAGAATACCACTGAATACAGGAACTGCTTACTATCAACCTGGTCAAGGAATGGACGAGGGTTGCCAGATCGATAGCCCAAGTCGAACGCGGTGATAGAAGAACGAGGAGGCATCTTGATTGTATTTCTTTTATGACTTCTTGAAAGAGATCGGGCGCAGAGAAAGGCGAGTAGAGTGAGTGGACGCGGTCTGTTAAAACATCAATCAGTACTAGACGCGTTTGAAGGGGTATCGAGCTACAAACATACCAGGTCGGGATGCTCAGGTCTTTCCCTGCAAGCTGTATCTGAAGCACGATGTATTGGAGGAGAGCTGATTGAGAGAATGCTTTATTTTCTGGATGTGGGCGCTTGCTGAGTCCCTCAAGTCTGTCGAAGAAAAAGGCGACGTGTAGGAGGTGTAGCTTCAGGGTCAGTTGTTGCGACCTGGACAGACGTCTAATCTTTTTCGATAACGAGCAGTCTGTACGAAAGCTCACCGCGGGGTAGAACCTGCTTTGAAGACCTTGTGTATGAAAGAAAGACTGCCAATTCTCAACTGGCAGGCTAATTCAGCTGCAGAACCAAGTGGAACGAATCTGGGAGCGACCAGGCCAGAAGGACTGTATTCTTGGTCACAGAGGCCTCATATGGAGGACCATATCCTCTCGAATGAATAGCCACGAAGAAGTTGCGCAGCCTCCAGATCAAGATCGGTCCCGTCAGTGTCTCCTGTCCGACTTGCAGCTGCTTCTGTGAGCACAGAAAATGTTGCTGCTCCTGTGAGACAAGCTATCTCCAGAGCCAAACATTTTGGGGTTACCATCGTATAAGGCGTTGATGCAGATCCTGGCTGGCCATGTCGTGGTATCTCCATTCCACTGGGTAGGCACAGGAAAATCCTTGAATGGCTCTCTGATGCAAGCCGTTAGCATGAACCCGTGTCGAAGGTGAACCGGGCCATTAAGCTCTCATGAAGTTGACCGCACATTTCGCTTCATCCGGTCCAGCTCGAGGTCTCCCCTCAAGCTCTCCTCAAGGTATCCGCAGCTCCGTGCAAGAGCATGTTCAGATCTTGCTGCTGGCGTTTTAGTGATACCAGTTTTCCATTATGAAGCTTGTCGTTCAAGAGAATCAGCTCGAGTATGGCTTGGGTGTATTGTCTGATGTAGGTTTTCATCCTCCCAAGACTGTCCACGAGGTGCACCCTGTACATCAACTCATCAAATGCCGACAGCCGACAGCACCTACGGACCGCCTTGGCCTGCAAGTCTACTTGGATGGCGTAGTCCAAGTCACCAGCAAGGCAAGCGTCCTCGAGTGCGTCGGCACATTCACGACTTTGGAGCAAAGTCATGAGACTATCACGATGATCTGTGATGTCCTTGCAAACCAGGCGAATGTGGGATTCAAGGTTGCGTTCTGTGTCCATTTTGGCCTTGATGTCGCTCAAACGAAGGCTGATTTCCGTGAGCTGGGGTGAGAACTCTGCGGCCTTAGCTGAGAATTCAGCATCTCTGCCTGCCGTATTGTTGCCCATTACAAAAGCCCACGTCTCGTTGAGAACGTTGTCCACCATAGGAATCAACGACGAGACCAAGGCATCGAAGTGATGGTCATGATCCGGGTCTCCGTGGATTGATGAAGACATTTTTGTCTTTGCCGGAATACTCGTTTGCCAAATGCTTGAAGCACAAATTAGTATACCTATTCTGGTACCAAGAAGAATAGCTGATGTCTTACCTGTCCTCGTAATAGTCTGTCCAGCTAGGCGGGTTGGCTTGTGCACAGGTGTTGTGATTTTGGGGGGCTAGGATATGGACCTCAAATTGTCAAGCTGGAGTCCGAGACAAGGTTCTGCTGTGTGCCCAGTTGAAAAATGGACAACGTGAGCTTCTGGTGGGAGAGCCCAACAGATTAAAACCCCAAAGGATTGCCGCCCTACCATAGCTAGGCTTACATCTAGCTCTGGGAAGGCACATGTGCCCGAAGCTCTCCATACCGGAAAGCTCCCTGCGATAATAACTTGAAACAGGCCCTTAGAATCTCTCTTTCGAGACGCTGAATCAATATGCGAATATCAGCAATGGTTCAGTGTCTCTCTAGCCCAGACGACAAAGGAACTCACCAGAAAGTGTGATGTGCAACTGCAAAGTCTCAGTTAACTGAAAAGCTGTGGCATAGCCTGAGAGCCTCAAGTCCACATTTCATACACATGCAGACTAGGTCTTTGTCTCAGTGTGTATCAAGGGGAGAGGCCCCATTGAGGGCGGGTGTTTGGATGTCTTGGATTCAGACGCCCAACGGCCGGGAATTCTGCGGGAAGACAACTAGCGGCCCCTCCTGCTCTGGGAAGGACGACCAAGCCTTGTTACAAAGCTGCTCCCGGGGGCACCAGAGATAGTGAATGACTGCAGCATGGAACAGAGTCTGGGTTCAGGAGGAAACACTGTTTTAGGTTGCTTTCGGCCAATGGATGTTGACAGGGGCTCCCGGAATTAGCCTTGGCAAGGCCGCAAGGCACTGTTCCGAGTTCTCCATAGTTTGGCAACTGTGCAGAGACTGGTTTCTGATTTTTCTCTCCTGGAGTTGAAGATGCCTAAGTATATAGATTTTAGTGCCAATTTTGAGAGAAGACAATATGTTGGAAGGTGATTTGTGTGTTCTGATTCATGGGTGTCTTTCTGATAAAATCTTTCAGAATCTGGCCTAGCAAACAACATAGACCACATTCTCTGGGGACCTTCTGAGATTATTTGTTGTCTGCTTACCGTGGCCAGGCTCCCTAAAAGAATATTCGCTCCGTCTCACAGCTCTGAGTACAATGCTGATCAATCACTCGCTGCGTTCCAGTGCCTGCCTGGTCGATGTCCTGCTCCAGTTGTAGCCATTGTGTCGAGTATCCTCTGATCAGCCCATCAGTGAATGCCTGTCGAATCTCCCTCAGAAGCACTCAGGCTGTGATCTTTGCGGCCGGATTTGATCTCGTCGGCCATGACATTCCACGCAAGCTTGAGAAGGTCCTTCCGCCTGTCGTCCTTGACCTTCATCTCCAAGATTTCCTCGGCCCTGTCGCACTCTTCTTTAATCAGCTGTTTCTTCTGCTTCTCCAGGGAGTCGATCGCATTGAAAATCCCGTCCCATTTTAGTATGTCTTCTCCAAGTTTGCGGCAGTCCGATTGTAGGGTGTGGACGAGATAGAAGAAGGCTATCACCAGTTCCTTAGTCTTGCCCTCTGGTTCACACTTGGAAGTCGCTGCCTCGACCAGTTCCTTTTGTCTGGAAATCTCCTCCTTTCGAGGTTGGATGAGAGCATCTCGAGCTCCCAGATGGGCCAGGTTTTCTACCACGTTGCTGTTCTGGTCCATTTGCTGCCTGATCCTGTCGTCTTGTTCTTGCAGCGGCTGGAGAACTTTGTTGAGGTCGATGGCACCCTTCTCCACAATTTCACGAAGGTTGTTCATGTTGTTGATGAATGCAGTGGTCTGTTCAGTTTCGATGAGTGCAAGATGTTGATAAGTGCAAGATGTTGGTGAGTGCAAGACGTTGGTGATTCTGTGGTGTTGCTGTGGAAAAGAATTGGAAGAAAGGACAGATCCGCCAGCCTCCGGGCCACGCCAGATATGTTTGTGTTGGGCAGAGTCAATGGAAGGAGTGGTCTTCAGCGGATCGTGCCTGATGAGAAAACCACATTGGCTCTCCAACAGCATCTCCCAGTCGGCTCCTGCCAGGTATATGACAGAAATATTGGATGACGAATGGAAGGTCATCCCTCGGAGATCGCAAGGATAGTCGAGAAAGGTGCATGAAGCTCTTGACAATCCATAAGAATGTCGCAGGCGAGACCCAGATTAAGTAGTTCCGGATTCTGTTGATTATTTGGGTGCATGCGTCTCTTCGATGCTCAGCCCCTGCTCTTTAGATACAATGGAGAATGCTGGACGAAAGCATGGGTCCATAAAAACATAATGCGGCTTTCTGAACCGACCCAGGCTCACTCTCTGCCATCTATGCCTGGAACACCAGCACAATACCATCATCACCCGCCGTGACGACCCTCTTGCCATCAAGCCCCTGCACAAAACCCAACACGCCGCCACCCTCACCGTCTCCCCGGTGACCCTTCCACTCCTTTTCCAGACCTGCGACCGTTGCATTGGGAGCGTGTTGAGTCGGGTTCGCACCCTGGAGATTCCATCTCCTCACCACGCCGTCCATACCGCAACTCGTCAGCAACCACTGCTGTTGTGCTGCTGCCGGCCCTGTCGTGTGTGCCTGCTTCACCCATTCGACCTTGACGACACTGAATTCGTCGTGCGCACCCTGGATGTGTCGCCGCACAGAGAATGTCCGGCTTGGGTCGTACACTGTGATACTGCCATCCACGGAGCCAGCAGCCAGTAGCGGCACCGTTGCGGAAGCCGGAGCGAACGCCAGAGTTTCGATACCGTCAGCCTGCACTTGTAACGCTGCCAGGATCTGACCTGCCTGCGCCTCGGCACCAGCACCCCGGGTTGCTCCTGCCTTGGCGCCCTTGGCCTTTGCTGATTTCGAGCCTGCCTGTGCTGTGGCACCAGCCGTCTGGTCCGTGAGCCTTGGCAGGCCGACGATCCTGATGGCTCCTCCAGCTCCGCCGACGGCCAGGTACCCTCCTCTCGGCTCAATGGCGACAGAGAAGAGACCGCCTTCCACGGCGAACCTCTGGTCCGTAGGCGTGAGCGACACCACGGTCTGACCGTTGTCACTCACGTGGCCCTTGGCAGCCGCGAGTCCCCACACGTCCCACACATACAGACTGCTCTCTTCGTCCACGGTGGCAAGCAAGCTTCCGTCGGGTGTCCACGCGCCGGCCGTGCAGCTCGAGGTGTGCAGGAAAAAGGTCTGGACGATCTGGAGGGGAGTTGTGGCATCCGAGGGGTCGATCGTGTACACCCAGACGGAACCATCTGAGGCGCCGAGGGCGATGGAGTTGGGGTAGTCGGTGCTGGGGCACGGCGCCAACCAGTTTATCTCGGGGACTTCCTGGCTTTCGCCGACGAATGTGAAGCTTGGTTTTGACGCGTCGACCTTGTACGCCTTCAGCCGCCCATCCATTCCGCCCGAAACCAGGAACTCTCCGTTTGGTAATGTGAAGGCCAACGAGTTGATCGAGTCTGTGTGTCCATCGATCGCAAAGACGGGCTGGATCTGGACGTTCTCCTTCTGGCTGGCCATCTCCCTCGCGGCGGCCTGCGGGTCGGCGGCGAAACTTGGTGGCAGCACTGGTCCGTCGTTCTGCGCAATCTCGGGGACCACAAACACGTATCCCTTGCCCGGGGCGTCGTCGGAATCTCCCTCGCTGCCGCCGGTAGCTACGATGTTCGGGTTCGTGGGGTGTTGGGCGATGGCAAAGACGGAGTCCTTGTGGGAGTCGAAGTATGCGACCGAGTCGTTCACGAGTTGGAGCTCTTCCCCCTCGTCATCGTCGGGCTCGGACATGTCAATGTCCCCATCCGCGTTCTCTGTTGGGATCTCCTCGGCGACTTCCTCCATGTCGACGACATCGGGCTCCTCATCAGAGGCGGGGTCGTTGTGGGGCTTCGAAGACATTGTGACGGCGTTTCTGGCTGGGAATCTTTAAATTTTGGCTCTTAAAAAAGTAGATCATGAAGGTCAAATTGACCAAGTCGCAGAGAAGTCGGCCTCAAAATTTATGGCGACAGGCCAGAAGGATTAGACGGGATTGTCGCCTTGGATGGTAGTTTGATTTCTAAATTTTTGCTTGATAAGCAACCGGAATGGCGGGGCAAGGAAGATATTCTAGATCTTGGATCGACCTGCCCCCCTGCTATCGAGCTATCGGTAAGCCCTGTAAGCTTGTGATGATGGCAACTCCAGGGGTCCGGTCCGCTTGCAGGGCTGAGCTCCAGGGGCGTGCAGCTTCCCACCGGGGTCGTCCCACCTGGACAGGAATTATTTTCAGCACTCAACTCATCCATTTCTTGAAGTTGGACTCTTACAGCTGCTTCGCAGATATGATTCCAAATGGATTCGGCTCATGAAAAAAATAGAAATAATTGTCGAGTTGCTCATAGCTGCAGCGGCTCCCGCTTCAGGTACTCCTCAAATTCAGCCGGCGCCCCCTTCGCAGCTTGTGCCGCCTCCTTGACCAGCTGCTCAGATTCCGGCCCATAGTACCCAAACTCCTCAAAGTACGACAGCATGCTAAGCAAAGTTGGCCGGCTGGGCTCAGGCAGGAATCCGGCAAAGACATCTTTTGGGACCTGAGCGTACGTGATCTTCTTGCCGCTCGAGCGGGCCATGATCTCTGCCATCTCCGTCATGGTGGTAGCAGCGCGTGGCACAGGCGAGCGCCTTGCCTGCGTACTTGTCCGGCTCGGCGAGGATGGCTCCTACAAATTTGCCTGTGTCGCCAGCAATGTCGATCAGAGGATACTTGGTCTCTGGCGAGACGAATCCCCAGAAGGTGGGATTGCCGTCGGGCCCAGGCCGAGGGGCCATGTTTGTGTGGAAATTCTGCATGAAGGCTGTCCACAAGTCATCAGCACCACCGTACTTGTTCTCTAGGCATCACGAGGAAAATTGAGGGTGAGATCGACTCACACCCAGGCAGGAAGAACGCCGACTTGATCGGGAGACCGGATATATAGTCTCTGACCTCGTCCTTGACGTCGAACGAGTCTACGGCATACTTACCGCCCGAGATCTTCTTGGGGCTCGGCACAGAGCTGTACACAAGTAACTGTGCACCCGCTGCCACCGCCTCCTCCGCGATGGCCTTGCCCTGTGCGAGCTCCTCCTCCATACCTCCGGGCTTGTACAGCGACACCGTCATGGCGAAGACGGTGTGCGCGCCGTGCAAGGCAGCCTTGACAGATGACCGTTCCTCAGTGTTGCATCTGACCACCTCGACACCTCTCTTTGAAAGTGCCTGGGCATCAGGTTTGAGGGGGTCGCGGGTCAGCCCGCGGACTTTGTACGTCTTCGATAGCTCGGCGTCTTCGAGGACCTTGGTGATGACAGAGCTGCCTTGCTGGCCTGTAGCTCCAAAGACCACGAGCAGGTTCGTCATTGTGAGGCGAGGCTGTGTAAGGGCGAGTGAAAGTCAATCTGATCGTTTTACCCTTGGTAAACATGATATTACAGTACTATGGGATGGCGCGCGGAACTTATATGGGAGCAAGAGGAGGCCCCTATAGGTCCTTGTAGCTCAGCCATCCCTGTCAGGGACTCGCGCCACGAATCTGCGGCGTCCGGAATCAGAGGACCATCGCATCATTGATCTCAGATACCGTACTGGAACGTACAAGCATGTGCTCAGATTGGAACCCATAGTTGCTGTAAACTCAACCCCACTTGGATCTCCAACTCCAACTGCCATGTTCGGTATGACTTGGACCAAGTTACACTACCGAGCCGGCATCGTTTCTCAGGTGTCGTGGAGATGTGTCTTGCCGTCGCTGAGGTCTTCAAATATGCCTTCTCTCCTAAAGAGACCGCACCCACGTTAAGGTTGGCATGAGAAGTACTCGGACTGTTTTCGTAGATTCGGACCCAGGAAGGATATACCTACCGCACACCCCGCTTCATCCGTAGCTTAAATTCAGCAACTTTACCTTGGAACTGATCGAACCAGTTGACTTTCTGATGGAATCATATTGAGGATGGAAGTTCCTGAAAGTACAGTCAACAATGTCTTCATCCACCCCCTTCAACATACTAGGGACCGCCCGTCCATTTCCGATATCCCGCGTGCTCGGACAAGTAAGTATACAAACAATCCAACATCTCAGAATGGATGAAACTCCTAGTAAATGCATGCAGTTGGCAGGCCAGTCTCCTTCCGGTATTCTCGTAGGCCGCCTTCAAACCCCGAGACACAACGCCCGTCTATTCCCTTCCTCAGCGCAGGCAGGATTGACATCATCAAGAACCGAACAGGTCCGATTCTGCTTCGTTGTACAACTTGTACTTCCCGTCGAACTGGTAAGATCCCTCCTCCAGACCCGCCAGAGCCTGGTTCCTCTTGCCGAACAGCCATGATTTGTCCTTCTCGCCGCCCTTCTTCGGGAAGACCCAGCTCCTCAGGCCTGCCCTGGGGAGCTCAGAGAACTTGCGCCGGCGCTCCTCCTTCTTTGGGTCGTCTCCGGCGGCAGAGAGCCACACTATGCCGCCCAGCCTCGCGGTGACGACACCACTGAGCAGCCCGATAAACAGCCACGGGTACTGCAGGGCCTCGACCTCGAAGGCACTGATGGTCTCGTGGGCAACCTTCACGTAGCTCGCGTCCCCGAGGACGAAGCCCAGCCGGAAGAGGTTCGAGGTGGACACGGCGTTTGTGGATGGTTGTGCGGTGTCCATGCCGTCCTTGAGGCGAAGGATGACGAGTGATGCCTCATCTGCCGTGGAGTAGAACCCTCCGCAAGCGGAGTGGTGCGCCATGGGTGTCACTGGGCGCGATGTGCTGGGCACTGTCGGGTCGTAGAAGAGCTCAATTTGTCGCTCTGGACGAGAACATGTCAGTTTCTGGGGTTGGTAGTTGAAGGTGGACGGACTTACTCTGCAGGCCATCGGCCCATTCAAGCCAGTTTTCCTCGCCAGTCGCCTCATATAGGTCAAGTAAGGCCTCGATCAGGAAAGCGTAGTCCTCCGCATATCCTTGAGCTGAACTTCGCTTATCAAAATAAGACCGGTACAGCAGCTTTGCCTGCGCGTCCCACGATTTTGTCTCGATGAACTTTGCCGCCGACCTGGCTGCGTTCAAGTACTTGGTGGCTTTCTCAGGGTCAACGGACTTGATGGCCGAGCTCGTCCTTGCCAACGCCGAGATGACCATGGCATTTGTACTCGTGACTGCCTTCGTGTCGGTCTCCGGCCTTGCTCGGTCTGCCTCACGACGGGTCCTCAACCGCGACCGCGCAGTCTCGATCCACTCCTTAGCCTCTGAAGATGAGGTGCCGAATTGTTTCCAGAGCTCTTCGGCACCTTTCACCGTGTGCAACACATTTTGATTAAGGAACTCGTCATTTGGGTCTTGCTCCCGCTCCACATTGCCGTGCCCTAGCACATTCCAGTGTGCCGCGGCCAGGGCACCCACGGTGGGAGAGTCCTTGAACACCTCGTCGAATTCCCTCCGGGTCCATAGGTAGTAAGCGCCCTCGCGCATCTGGGTGTCGCCTTTCCTGTAGTACGAATCTGCTGCCTCACTGCTGGCAAATCCACCATCGGGCCGCAAGATGGGCGTCGAGGTCAGGTACTCTGCAAGCTCAAAAACCACATTGGCGAATTCGTCCTCTTTCTTGAGTCCCTTGGCCGTTGATAGCCAAGCATCCAGATACAAGCCCAGCAGCAGCGCGTTGTCAGAGACCATCTTCTCAAAATGCGGCATCGACCAGTCCGCCGTTACAGCATACCGATGGAATCCTCCACCAACGTGATCGCGCAAACCACCGTCCCGGAGCTTCCGCAGGGTGTGCAGCGCTATGTGCTTCGCCTGCGCGACCTCTTTGTCCCCGACGACATCTGCCACCACACTTGGGAAGTTGGATAGTTTTAACAAAAATGAGAGCTTAGCCGGGGTGGGGAACTTGGGCGCGATTCCAAAGCCGCCGTTCACCGGGTCGAAAGTGCCAGCGATGTGCATGTATGCCTCCTCCAGCTGGTCCAAGTCCAGATCTGAGTCCCCTGCCATCGGCGTGCCGGAGGTATCGGTCGGAACGGCGGCACTCGAGGCCCCCACCGTTCCGGACGTCGCTATTCCGCGCGTTCCGAGAGTTCCCTCGGCAGCGAACTCACGCAACTTGGACACTATCTCCTTGGCCTCCTGCCGACACCGGGCCTCGTGTTGCGGCCAGACCTCTTTCATCTTCTGCAGGATCACCAGGAAGTCGATGCGCTCGTCCTCGGCCACCTCCTCACCATCGGGGCCGATGAGCTCGGTGCCGGGGGAGGGCCAGTATGTGCCGCCAAAGACAGGCTCCAGCTCGGGAGTCAGGAAGACGTTCAGGGGCCATCCGCCGGCGCCGTTGATTGCCTGTATGTAGTTCATGTAGATGTTGTCGATGTCCGGGCGCTCCTCGCGGTCAACAATAATGGGCACGAAGGAGTTGTTGAGCAGCTTGGCGATCTCGGGGTGAGAGAAAGACTCCCGGGTGGTCAGGCGGCAATCTGGGTGGGCCCTTGAGGTCAGTCACGTTGTCCAAGCCGCATGTTTCTGGGGCGGGACTTACAATGGCATGACTTGAAGCCGATGTTCATGAAGATGAGTTTATTTTCCTTCTTGGCCCGCTGTACGGCCTCGTCGTCCAGCAGCTGCCACGCGACGGGCGTGGAGGCATGTGATTGCACATAGGGGCTGGTGCTGTCGCCGGCGCGGTTCTGGAGGGCAGGAAGGTCGGACACGGAAGCCTTGGAGAACTGTGCCGACAGCTCAGCGTCCCTAGCCGTAACCGAGTGCTGCTGCTTCAGCTGCGGCTTCTGCGGCTTCATGGTGTCGTCTTATCGCGAGTGCTCTCGGGTTCGAAATAGGTTGCTGGGCGCTGGGCGGGATCGGGCGCTGTAAACGGTCGTGCGCAGGTGGGAGAGAGGGGTAGGTGAGGCCGTGATCGAGCGAACCTCTTCACGGAAGAACAGTACGGGACAACGTCGTGGCGACCAAAGGATGATCGCAGGAGAGAGGGTTCCTTCAGTGGGAGATAGAGGACTAGCAAGTTTCAAAAAGGTCACGATGCCTGCAAAATGTTGTAGTCATGGTCAAGGAGGACCAGTTCAGGCGCCCGCCCCGCCCCCACCACACCTGCGCCTGCAACCTCTCCAGGCCGCCAAGGCGCGGGCCCAACGTCATGGCTTGCCCTCCTCGTAGTGGGCCTTGGGCGCCATCTACATGCTACTGCAGCCACACAAGCCTCTTGTCTCTAAAGGACCTGCAAGGTGGTAATTCTACTAGGTCTTCATGCTTCCATAATAACTTGGTCCACAAAGCACTCCGACTTCACACGTTGCTACGAGAATTGCTCTGTTCAATTTTCTGCACCATTAAGTATCGGGACGCTGAATTCCGCCCCCCCTGGTAAAGAAGATATAATGATTTTTCTAGGAACGGCATAGTGGTTTTATAGCTAAGCCTTTATAGCGCCTTGGCATTAATTAATATATTATAAAACTTTTCCTTGCTTTATAAAGTTTTTATTATTATTATAAGCATATATTATAGTAATAGCTAGTAATGCATATATAATAATGTTATAACGCTTAGCTCCTTACCAACCTCTTTTTATTAAGATATATATAACTATTTTGCATTATATTAATAATAAATAAGTTATATATATTATTATAATTATAATTATACTTTTTTAATTAATATTATTCTTATAATATAATTCTTATTATAAAGTATTACATTATAATATTTTATTATATAATATAAATTATAATATAAATATATAAAGTTATATTGCTTAAGTAATATAGCTAATAGCTTGCATTAGTTAATTATAATATTTAGCTTATTAACCATTATTTATATTAATACTTACTTAATATAATTACTACTTAATAAGATTTTAAATTTTAATATATATATTATAAATGTTAAATAGTAATTATAATATACTTATTTATTTATTTTATCCTCTTTTTATAATATATATATACTTATATATATATATAAAGCATTATTAATAAACTATAAATTCTTTATTTAAGTTATTATAGCTTTTTTTACCCCTTTTTTAACTTAAATGCTAAGGTAATTGCTTTTTCTTTATATAAATAACTTTCTTTATATATTATAAAAAGCTGTTATTTTAATTAAGTATATAATTTTTAAGCTAAATATATATTAAGTAAACATAGCTTATATAGTTATAAAGGCATTAATTATTGCTAAGTTTGCTTAAAAAGCTATATAATAATATTATTTAGCTTTAATTATTAACTTCTTAAGTAATTAATACTTAATAAATTATAAAGTTATATAGTTAGTAAGATTATTTTTCTTTTTTTTCCCTTTATTATTATCTTAATTAAGTATTAATATAACTTATAGCTTAATTTACTAGTTATTTATTAGCTTATAATAAATCCTTAATAAAATATATATTTTTAAGGGTAGTAATTAAGTAATAACGCTTTTTATTAAAATAATAATTTTATTACTTTGCTTATATAAATAGTTAATTGTTATTTTTAACTTATAAATTATAGGAAATGCATAATAAGATATAATAATTAAGTTAAATATTATATTAATTAATATTAAGTAAATAATTTAAAGATTATATCTTTACTTAGCAATACTTATATAAACTATATATATAATAATAATTCTTATAAGTATAATATGCTAAGTTTTATATAAAGTACATTATAATAATTATAATTTTAAGTTATTAGCTTATAGCAAGGCTTTTTTACCTTTATTTCTTTTATTAATAGCGCGCTGCTTATATAAAGTTATTTTAATAATATAATTTAACTTTAACTTAATGCAAAACTCTTTATAAATATAGTTAAGTTAAATGTTAACTACTTTATATTAAATAAAGTAAGGGCTAAAAATATAAGCTTTAAGGAAATGAATTAAAACTTTAAGTTAAATTATAACCTTAAGTTAAATTATAACTTTAAGCTAAATTAAAACCTTAAAATCTTAATATATAAAGAGATTTACTAATAAACTTAAAATTAATTATATAATTTATATTTAAGTTTAAGCTTTATGCCTTAAGGGTTTAGCTTTATAAATATAAAGAAGGATATTAAGCGGGTTGCGTTTTTTAAATAAGGTAATAATGCTTTTTTAATAAGGTGCTTTAATATTAACATAAATAAATATTGCTTTATTTATAATATAAAGAAGGAGGCTTAGCTTAATAGCCTTAGCGTTAAGGTCTTATCTTTATTACCTTATATTAAGGTTTATTATTTGCCGTAATATTAAAGTTTAGTAAATTTATAAAAAAAAGGGCCCTTAACTAAGGAATTGCTGCTAACTTTAAAGAAGTTAAAGTAAGGTATATATTCTTAATACTTTAATAATAATAATAAAGATAATAAGGATTTATAAGTACTTAATTTATTTAGCTAATATTATTAAGATTATATAACTAAGTAATTAATATTTTAATGGCAGTATTATTAAAAATTATATTAATAAATAAGGCCATTGCTTTAAGCTAATATAGCTAAGTTAATATTTTTATAGCAGCCTTTTTATAAGGCTAGCTTAATAAAAGTTATTTTAATATTATTAAAAAGTTATACTAGCTTATTAATGCTTTATAATAATTTATAATAAAATAACTTTTAAAACTTTAAAATATAAAAACATAATATATTATATGCTTTTATAATAACTATAAAAGTTGCAATATTATAATTATATATTTAATAGTTTTAGCAAAGGGTAATAATTAAAGAAGAGGAGTTTAAGAGTTAAGACGTTTAGCGTTTTTATATTATATAAACTTTTACATTACCTATCTTAAGGGGTTTTGTTTTAAGGGTTGTTAAGTAGCAATTATTGCATTATCTTGCTTATAAGGCATGTAAAAATTTAATTATATTATAATTAATTAATTTTATATATAAATAATATATTATAAACTTAGTTATATTAATTAATGTAATGCTATATTTAATTAATAAGCTAAATATATATTTTAAAGTATTTAGTTTACTAAGTAAATACCTTTATTATATTTTAAGTATAATTAATTAAGTAAAAATTTTATTATAACCTATCCTTTTCCACATTATACCTTAATAGCCATATTATAATAAATAATATTATTAATAATATTATTATTATTTTATTAATTATTTTGCTTTATTATCATTATAAAAAAGTATAATTCTTTACTTAAGTTTAAAAACTTGCTTATTTATAAATTATGCTCCTTATTAAAGCGATTTTAAATAAATCATTTTATAAGCTAATTCTTATTATATAAAGCAGTTAAATATAATAGCAATAAAGTTAATAAGGCAACTTAATAACTTATAAATAAATATAATTATAATTAATTAACATAATATCTTATAATTAATATTATATATTACTTATAAGATAACTTTAATTTTTTTACTTATAATAAAAATAATAAGCTTAGCTTTATATTATGCTATAATAATATTAATAATAATTACTACCTTATTTTAATAAAATATATAAGATTATTAGCAAGAGCTTAAATAAACTTAGCTAAGGCATAATAATAACCTACCTTATTAAAATAATGCATATTAATTCTAAGCATAATTTAATATTTTAATAATCTTGCTTTAAGCATTAAAAAACCACTTAATATAAAGTTTTTATATTAAATAATTAAAAAAGAAATAAAGTTTTATAATAATGCCTTATATAATAATTAATATTATAATAAAAAAATTAATTAATTATATAATACTTAATAAATTAAATATCTTAATTCTTATAATGTATATATTACTTAAAAATAGTTTTAATACTTTATTAATATAATAAGTAATATAATTATTAAAAGTTTAGCTATATAAGTTAATATAAAGCTTAAGGATATAAGCGCTAATAAGGAGAATTATTAGCTATTTAATACTTTAAAAATAAAATTATAATAATAATAATATGCTAATTTACTTTAAGGAATATATTATAATAAAAAAGGTATTATGGATTTTTATATAATAAGTTTAAACCTTATTAAAAAGAAAGAAAAGCTTAGAAAAGTTTTTAAAATATTTAAAAAGTAAAAGCGCTATTTAATATAAAAATATAAAAGGAGAATTAAGCATACATTTAGATTTATATTTAAATAAAAGGGCTTAATAAGAGTATATAAATTATAATTATAAAAAGAATAATAAGAATTATAAGGATAATTAATACTTATATAATAAAGTTTAAAATTACCTTTTTTTATGGTAGTAATTTAGGTTTTAATTACTATTAAGCTAAGCATTTAGCATTTTTATCTTTCCTTCCTCTTAACGTTCCTCCTTTTAAATATGCTTTATAATAAGGTTTAAAGGTAAAGAATTAAGAAAAGAATTAAGAGAAAGAGAATTATATAAAAGGGATTATGCATTACCTTATATAATTATTAAAATGTACTTAATTATATTATAAAGCTTATAAGGAAAAGAATAAAAATTATAAAGAATAAGGATAAGGAAAAGGATTAAGAAAAGTAAAAGAAGTAAGATTATAAAAAAGGAAGATTATAAGGAGGATTATAAGAAAGGAAATTATTAAAAGTATTATATTAAAATTATAAATTAATAAGTATAAAGTATAAAAGAAAGGATTATAAAAGAAAAGACCTAAGTATATATACTTAAAATATTAATGCTTTTTATTGCTATTTTAAAACCTTTAAAGCTCTTAAATATAAATAAGAAATGAAAAGAAAGATTATAAGAAAGAAGATTATTAAGATAAAAACTAGCTAGTTATAAATAAAGTTAAATTAAGTAATAAAATATTTCTTTAGGTTAAGGTTAGC